CATGTTAAAAAAGGGTAATAGGGGATGGAGGAGATATACCTTGTATTATGCATTTCTAGTGGTTGGGGAAGGTATTACTATTATATAATAGATGATATATATTGTCTAATGATGTGTATAAATTTCCATATCCATCTGAAATGAATTGGAAGAGATATAGGTAAATCATTCTGCAAATGATGAGGAGCACATCCCCAATTTTGATATTCTGGCCATCCCATGGGCTAGAGACTATCAGAATCAGATTCCTTGACACATAAAACAGTAGAATTATAAGTTATTCATGTTTATAACTGTTTTATGTATAGGTGACTACTCCTAAGACCTAAGTACTTTTTCCTTATATGGTTGATTAATCTTGTTCCATTGAATTGGTCATAGTACTAACAGCGCACTTTCCTGGGTCTGATTACTATAAATGATATTTTGAAATTCAAAATAACACAAATATGAAGCGCAACTGTTAGGCTTTCCATAGGTGACAGATCTGCCTTCGGACTTTGAAATATCCGAACAGCATTTCTGGCAATGATAGTCCTTTCTCTCAACTCTCTCATTCCTACTTGCATATTTGATCTTTGAAAAATTGCACTCTCCACACATTCTTTCAGCTTGAATAGCTCCAGCTGTACTAAGGAACTCTTAGACAGTCTAGATACCATGCCGCATCTCATCATTGATCAAGACAAAACCGATTTTTTTTTGTACTAGATCGAACAGGCTCTTGTTCGAACCACTGAAAACCATTTACATGAAAACTTGCTGCAGACCATGAACTTGGACCAAACTTCTGATGGAATGTCCATCATCTCTATTTGTCCATTTTCATTGACAGTATATATCAGATCATATCAAACACTTGCCGTTATTTAGGCAAGGTCTAGTATGAAGACCAAATTCATATGAAGTGTACAGTACAGGAAGATAGCTGTCATACAATGTGATGGATGAGCAGATCTACATTGTCAGATGTAGGGTATGGCACAGCACACATAAGGGAACCTCAATATGAAAGACAACCTTCCACATCCTCCTCTATATCCAATGAACAAGCCTATCTCCTGATGGTGACATGTCCATATCCCAAAACATCTTCCACACCAGCACAGTCCATGCTGACCCATCAACTGATCTATTGCAACACCCCCCATCTCGCGTCCCATTACATACCCTTCTGGAACTCATCTCGCTGCTGCTGGTGAAACTTTAACAGCTTCGCCAGCGAGCGTGTCAGGATCCACTGCAGTGCCTCCAGGTGCTGGTCCTCATTCAGAGATGAACTCAGTGATTGCTTCGATGCAAGTGTGACTTTCCCCTCCCACCAAACCTTGTCGCTATAGCATGTACCTGGAGTGGTTCTCGCAGGAATACCAGGGCAGTTATCGATGCGCAACATGATATCTAGCACACCCCTTGCTGCTCACTTCTGCTAGACTAAGCATGCCTTCAAGTTTGTCAAATGTGCATCAAGGTGGGATTGCAAGACCACTGATAATCCATAGTAGTCATTCAAGAATGGCATCGTGCTCATGGATAGGTATAGACTGGCTATCTGGTTCGAAAATGAAAGAGCTTGAAGTGAAGAACATGGTGGTTCATCATAAAACTAAGGATGGGAGAGGGTATAAGGTGCCATCATGTGAAGATAACACAGTGCTGGCATCTGGGTTATTGAAGCCAGCATGGTAGGCCACTCTGCATTCCACTGTGGAGGCGATGAGAGAAAAAAGGATGACCTGGTGTGACTGTTCAGGGTGTGAGCATGTGTTGATTGTCTCATTGCAGCATGGTTGTTCCGGTAAATCGAGCTGCATCACCATCAACACATGTGATAGGTAATGGAATGATGATGGATATCCTCTAGAATAGCTGTATTGTAAGAACTGAAGGCATTAACAGATGAAGTACTACACACCAAGGCGTGAATGCTGTGTTTGGATTTCCAGGACATCCCAGGAGGCATTACATCCAATGTCAGCCATTCGTCTTAGCTCTCACCCAACATCTATGAACTGTCATAGATTCCAGCTCTCTTCATCAATCAGCATTGGGCTGCTGCGAACCGAGGATGCCACTGAACATCATGTTCACTGCTAGAGCTCCATCTCAACTCTCCAACAGGTGGTCATTGGCACAATGACTCTTCACAGTGGTTTGAGAGATAGTAAATATCTGTTGAGCTTGAAGACTGCCGCACTATGAGATGCATGAGGGAAATGAAATCAATAAGAGGATATTTCATGCAAGGGGGTTGCAAAAACCGAAAAAATCATATCAGGTCGAAAAATTTTTTAAGGCCTTGATGGACCGACCGCCTGACTGCCATGGGAAAAACATACCCACAAGGGAAACATCATGTAATCACTCCATGTCAGAGTCACCTGCCAGTGCGAGCTTTCCACCTATGTAGTCCTCTCATCCTCGATCTAAGCACTGATGATATACAGTTTTTGTCTGCTAGCAATGATGCTTTCCTACTGTACATGACTGACACTTCCAATTTGGGACCTGTCGTTCCAGGCCAACACATTGAATGTGATACTATCCAATCTTGTGAGCATTCCAACACAGATGTATTCAATTTCAACTCACCAATTCTGTCTTGTCATTGGGAGCAAAAGCAGAGAAAGAACTCAAAAACATTTTTACAGCCGGTAATTCAGTACTGACTAATCCTGCCGATATCCGGCACCATGCCATTGGTGCTTCAAGCCTTCAACATCATTTTGACTGCTTTTCCGGCACTCTTTGGGTTATGTGAGGTCATTACCCTGCATATATCAGCTGAAATAAACATCTCTAGCAGTGTCTAGGTTCTCTGGATGATATTTTACAAGAGGGAGGCAAAAAAATTTTAAGGACCTTTTGGACAGACCGACCGACTGACCTGATGTGCTGGCTTGCTGGGCCACAACCCCCTTGATTTCATGCACCTTTTTGCCATTACCTGCAAGCTTCGACAAGTTTTGATGCCATACCAACTATCGCCCGGCTTTGAGTGCAGCCAAGATGATGTCTCATGAAGCTCTGCTGCATTGAAAGTTCTGATAGCCATGATAAATGAAGATGTCAACAAGGCCTCGTCTAACCTCTTACATTGAGAAAACTGTGTCGATAACGCCAACAAGACGCATGTAGCAGTGCATAAGTTTCCTACAGTAGACTTCTGGATGAAATTTATCATTGAAAGACACCAGACAAAAATCGCCTACCTTTCCAGTCTGCTCTTCATGAGATTCTTGACTCATTTCTTCGTGTCGTTTCCATTCCAAAGATCATCCTCTTGCCATGAATAAGATGAAATCAATCCATAAAAGCACATATAATAGGCGTCCTGCATGTGGGAGAGGGGGGGAAAAGAGAGAAGAATGGGACGATGATGGTGGTGGTCACAAACAAAGAAATCATGGGAACGCATCATAATCAGGATGTCGGGCCAACTTCCGGTGGCCTCCCATCATCTCTACATTGCGCACGTCCTGGAGAAATAAACGTTTAAACCTGCAAGCTGTATGAAAAGTAGGTATTTCCCTAAAATTAAGTATTTAGCGCTGAAATTGAATTTTTGATGCCCTTGGAATGCGTCCATTCCAAGATGTTATAGGTCGCACCAACTGAGCCATAGATTACTACTCCATCCTAGCACGATGATCATCTGTACTTACTTCTCTAATCCTCTATCCTCTGTCCGATGCTGACCGCTGAAACACTGAGGCCTAGGTCTGGAACAGTATCATGCCAAGGTGCCTGCTGCCGAGTCCCATAGAGAACTAAGAACCCGAATGAACGCGCGTATGTCATGTTCACTCCAGAGCACAAACTTTGAAACTCTACATGCGAAAGAAAGGACAACACCTCCTTCTGCAAGGATATTCAAATCTTGATTATCTTACCCTTCGTTGACATGAAGCATATGAATGCGTTGGCGAGACGAGCAAGGGAGTGTCCCATTAAACCCCGTGTTCTCGTCACATCGTCACATAGAAGAGAAACACTCCATATCCGGTGTGTGCTTCAAAAATATCAATATAGGTGCTTGTCCAATCATTCGCAGCATACTCGGTGAGCTGGCACCATAGGTTTTTTCTTTCCTTTTGATACCTCTCTGTGCTCCTTCTAGAGACAATGTGTGAGAGAGCACGCACTCAAAGGCATCAAATATAACCTTGATCAACTCTACAGGTGATCTAGGAATGTTACCAACGAACTCGACGGTCACAGAAATGCGAAACACGATTCCAATGGTAAACAGGCCCCCTGGTGGCGGATAGGGCCTGTAGTGAATCATAGGGAACGGTTCTTGAAACATTAATTTAACCTGGGGGCGTGTAAAAGAAGAATTAAAATGAGATAGCTCTTTGAAACTTCGACAACTCTGATCTTCATATTTTTACTTCGTTTTGTTTTTCTTCCATTGATGCTACTCTCACTGTTAAACTACGATCTAGTAACATCGTCCGACTTAAGACATCCTGATCCTGTGTGCTGCCACGCGTTTTAGTTAATTAATACTCCAGATGGAACTTTTCATTATTTATGCATATAGCTTCATGCCCGTAGAAATGTTATTACACTTCCACACAGGGTTCAACGGTAAATATACATGAAAAGCGGATGAAACTAGTACACAGCACGCGGTAGCATGCATCATACGTTCTTGTGCTCATAGTTGAGTATAATTCTGCAACCCGAAGCGAGCAACCACAATATCATCTCGGTGAGGTCCAGGTATCATTAACAAAACAAGGCATAGAGTGGGGGGCATCGACACGAATGAGAATAATACGTCAGTTCCAACCCTGTCATGTCACAACAATATGGGCCAAAAAAAGTCTGTATTCAGGGACTTATACATAGCCATGCATTGCGAGGGACAAACGAACCTGCCTTGTGAGGCACGGCACCACATCGTGAGGGAATCTCACACAAGAAGGCATTAAGTAGAAGAAACAGAAATGAAAGGCAACTCGTAAACACACCTCAGGCATAGGTATACTCCCTTAGATGTACGACGTATACACCGTTATCTTGATACTCTCCACATAATTTGTCGAGTAGGGTATTCCCGCTCTCGGGTACACAGAGATCGTATCCCCCGGTTTGATTTTGGCCATCCATTCCTTGATGGAAGATGGGGCATCCTGATAGTCCCACACATTGACATGAGTCCGACTCTGGAGGTCAGCGGTGACATTATCCTGAATTCGCATGAATATGCCAGGGCTGGACTCTACCCCAGCTTCAAACCAAGTATATGAATCAGAATATAAGCCTCCGGCATGCCCTTTGAGTATCCATTCTGTTTGGGCAATCACTCTCTAATAAGTTACAGCAGTTTGCAAGGTCTCGCACCTTTCTTGCCATGGGACAACGTCGTGAAGATGATGCGCCGAACCGGGTTCTCCGGGCTACCAGCAATCGGTGGTGTAGAGATATAGGGTTCACGAGGGGAGTCATCTCGGACGTTGACATGCTCATGTCGTTCAAACGAATTCACAATCCACAATTCGGCAAAATCAAGGATAGCCCGGATGATACCCGGTGCTTGCGAAGTACTAAGCCGCTTTTCCAACAGGCGCGCTATTTTCTCAATGTCCTGTTGCAACTTGGGGCCACCATCGAGTATCGACAGATTCTGTCGCGTCTCCGGGTACCACAGCTCTCCGGCTGCCCACTCCAGGTCCTCAAAATTTTGAGGTAAGCATTGATCGAATGAAGCACCCTTTTCGAGCAGATATCGGATAAGATCCGAAGAGCGTTGGTTCAGAGCGAAATCAAGGGGTGTTTTCCCCTTAGAACGAGGACTGATATCGCAGCCCGCATCGACAAGAACTTTGACACTGTCAATACGGCCGTACCTTATGGCCGTATGTAAGACAGTATCACCACTGATACTGGACCTAGTATTCACATCGACTCCATGACCAAGTAGAGCTTTAAGAATGTCTACACGACCGTGGTCGGCGGCTCCAATGATGATGTCGCTATGACCGTCCTCTGGTACATGTTCCGGGAATGACTGGGGGTGGGGCTCAGGGGGAAATACAGTAGCCGAACCGCAATCCAAAAGTTGCTTAACCACTTCAACGTGTCCATACTTGGTCGCGAGGAAGATGGGGGACACAACTTCATAATTGCAATGATAATGCTGAGCACGATTATTCACATCGACGTGAAATTCTTGTAATAGCATTTTTACGGTGTCTAGCTTGCCCGTGGAAATGCTAATCATCAAGGGTGTGCCAAAGTAGAATAACGGGTGCTCTTTGAACTCGGGAAGTTTGTGCAGGAGGTCCCGTACCAATGATGCTGGCCCTTCAGACACAAGAGGATAGACCATATAATCCAGCTCTTCGACGGAGGGTGGTATTTGACAGGTCTCGCCACGGATAGTTCTGCAGCAGTCCTTCGTCAGTCACTAGCCAAGATGGACCAGCACAATAACGCGGATAGACGAAACCGCCAGCGTCTTCACATAGATCATATTCCTGCGATCGATATTCTCTATAATACTTTAAGACCTCTGTGCCGAGATATATGATTTTGCTAGAGGAGAAGCTAAGGCTCTGCCACTCCAACTTGGAGGAACCATCCTTCGTGACATCTCTCAGGTCCGTACCAAAATAAGAGAGTTGTCTGCGCGAACGCTGAGCGAGTAGGTCCTTCTCCAAGTTATCGAAGAGAGTAAGGAACACGTCAAAGTCAGGAGGCTCTTCCGACTCCGAGTCAGGCCGTGTTTCATACATTTTGACAGTATGTACATCCCAGTTCGAAACGACATAGACAAGGAGAGGATGTTCTTCTAAACGCTTGAGAAGGTCTTGCTCTGTTCTACACGGCCCATTCTGGAAATCCTCATAGTGAAGATATGCGGAAATGAGGTCGGTGGTATGCCGGTGCAGGAAGGAGAACGATGGAATATGATAGTTTGAATGATGCGCCGTTCGTTTGAGATAATCCGAAAATAAAAAATCCTAGCAAGAACAATCAGCTTGATGTCTATCATGGTGATGACATTCCGCACCTGCACAGAGGCATGGGATAATACCACAATATCTGTCTCAGCGTCGTAGCGGACCAGACTTGAGCACATCTCCAAAAGATGCTCGCCGCTCAGAGGCTTCAAGTCCCTGTTCGGCGAGTCTCTTCCTGTTTCTACCATGACAGCCTCCACAAGTTCCGCAAGACGCAGCTGTCGATGCGATCCAACCAACCACCAAAGCGTACGCTGGACTATTTTCACAGCGCGCTGGCCCTCTCCTTTGACACTTTGAAGGATCCTTTCATACATTGAATTCAAGTCAGCAGGAAGATTTTGGAGTATCTCGTCGATGTCACTTTCGAATTTCGCTTTTGCCAAGGATTGCAGCTGACAGTCGACCAACCGGAACCTACTTGAAAGTCAATAATTTTCAAAAAGCAGGGGTGACAGTACTTACATGCCCTTGGACTTCTCCAGAAGAGTCGACGTGATACGTGTACGAACCGGTTCACGAACCCGTGCAAGCGGAAGATAAGAGGTGTTCATCCTGTCCTCGATGAATCTTTGTATATCATCCTGGACTCTCTGAGTTTCGTCCCGGAGAGAGATAGTAGGGACGTGGCTCAGAACGTCCAAGATGTCCTGCTCCCCTCTGCTAGTAACAAAGATGGAAAAATTGGAACGTGCGGACGCAAGCTCGCGAATTGCCGCTATATATTCTCTCCGATTTTCCGGCGCGCACTCATCAAGAGCATCGAGGACGATGAACACGCGCTTCCAAGGTGCACTCACCTTTCTCAGCAACTGAATGAGATAGCTGACCGATTTGGGCGGATCTGTATGGTGCTGATGCATGGACATCTCCAACTCGCCGAAGTCCTTGACAAAGTTCTCCGGTTTGTAACACTCGAGAATCCGCGCGAGTAGTGTGCGCAGCAGTACGACTACATCGGTGCTTCGGACATCCTGGAAGTCCGCGAAAGCAAACAAAACGATCTCTTCGCCGCTGGTGACCTTTTCTCTCAAATGGTCGATGACAAACGACCTGTATACACGAGTCAATGAGATTCCAAGGCAGTCGTGTAGATGCAAGCCTTACGCGAGGATGGTTTTGCCGTTACCCGCTGAAGAACTCCGAGTCAGGATGACGTGTCAGTCGACTAATGAACAGACTCACGTATACCGTTCAACCACAGAAAAGAACCAGACGAATACCACAAGACGAATTGGTCATGCTCACGCAGCCATTCGCATGTTTCGAGCTGACGCCGTTCGCGCACTCCTTGCAGCTTCGCCTCGGAATTTAGAGGCTCCAGCCATTTCACAATGTTCTGGAGACGTTCGGCTATGAGATTCTTCGGTAAGAGCGTGCGCACTAGAAATAGTTTGTGAGATTACCTAGTTCCTTGGCTGCCTTCTTGGCATCAGCTTCCTGCTGGCGCTTCTTCATATCGTCAATATCTTTCCTGGAAAGCATGTCAAATTAGCAAGCGACGAATGAACGAAAGTTCACCTACGCCATCTTGACCAGAAGAGGCTGCAAATTCCCAGAATTTTGCTTTATATCATCGCGCAGTGCCTTGATTTTCTTCTCGCCCGACCACGTCCACTTGACGCGTCTCTTGATGTTGAACTCGAACTTTGGGTCACCGTACACTTTTAAAACGGAATCCAACTTAACCAAGGTAGTTTTGTAATTCCGCAGCGATGCAGACAGTTGCTCCTGCTCCTTGTCATCCCCTCCGTTTACACACTTCTGTATCTCCTGTAACCTCTCCCGGGCTACTCTGAGCTCTTCCATCAGCTCCGAACACGCCTTTGGTGCATTCTTGATTCCTTGGAAGAAGTCGTAGGCTTGGATGCATCGTTCGATGAGGTCCGGAATACCCGTTAGAAGGGAGACAGGGTCCATTGTTCGAAGGCAGTGCGTATGTGGTGGAAGGAGACAAGAGACGCTACGCTGTGTATCTGTTACTATCGGTTGCTGTGTGCATGGGAAGATGACTAGGAAGCGGGGATGATGGAAGCTCTATATCAGATACAGAGGAACCAATCACAATGAGTAGCACATGCAGCTACTGGATCAGGCCAAAAGCGCCTACGAGTGATAGTATAAGTGGACAGCAAACCTGGATTGATTCTAGGTCCATCGCATCCACGGATGGACGCGTCGTTGAAGACAGACGTTGCCAATAAAACGATAGCTCAGTGGCACTAGGACTCGGGCATGTTAGGTATGATTGCACCAGTGCATGTCTGTGTTATGGTTCTCTTAATATCACCTCCAGGATGACGCAACTGCCGTCCTTCACACCACCGCGTGCATGAGTCCAAGCCCTCCCCCGTGCCCTCAACATAGCCAGAGATAGAGACAAGCTATCTCGCCCGTGATACAGGTCTAATTTCAGGCTAAAGACCACAATGAAGACGTCGATAAGGCAATGTTCCTACAAGCCTGCGAAGATATTCAATCCCTTTTGGATGAAATCTTTCCCATCCCCTTGGCGTCTAAATACGCCACAAGTGGTGGATGATGTCCCTGGTTTCCTCCGTTTGACGCATCTTTCCTCATCCAACATTCCCTTGAACGCAGCACACATTTCGATAATCTATTCCTGCGGCCTGGATAGGGTCTGGTGGCTTTCTCCGATAGTGCTCTTCAGGCGAACCTGCTGGAACGGCGAGGCTTCAATGAAGGCAATAGGATACCACAGTGGGATCGAGGATTCTGTCGATTGCAATTGCATTGCGGAGATTGGCGTCTACGATGTCGAGAGATATTACGCGAACTAGTAGGCGCTGTTGAGCCGAGAGCTAGTTTGGGAAGCATATAATGGCCGCTCTTACGAAATTTGTTGTCTTTTGAGGAGACGTAGGTGAACCGGGCGATCACCATCAATTGACTCCCACATCCTAGTCCCAGACGTATACAGCCACAACCTGTACAGCCATTTGGTCCAAGGGGACGAGATGATGAGGACGGGCGTCCTGGAACAGACACTGTCAGCTTTGTGCGATAGCGACGGTTTCACATGATATGGTTTAAGAACTGGATGTTGAATAGGTCGGTAGTTTGAACCACAGGAGGTCATAGCTCGGGGAAAAAATGTCGAAATTTCGAGCAAGAGCCTCATAAAAGGTAAAAGTGGCGGCAAAATAAGTAAGAAACCCTAACCCTAAGGAAAGTAAGGTTAGCTTTACATCCAAGGTCTGAGGGGCGGACATACCGTATATAAAGCAGTCCTATTCTTCCCCAGACCTTCACAACTGTCCTTCAAACCGCTACCATCGCTTGCTCTCAGCCTTGCGCACTTCCTCCTCATACGTTCGCACTCATTCGAGCAAACCAGCGCCTCTCCGTCCGTCCGTAAGCCTTTCGTCTGCGATTTGTGCCATGAATGACGGTGCCATGAAGATGATGCGTGATCGGCGGGAAAACGTAGCAAAGATGACAATGCAGCGGGATAGAGAGTCGCAAGAATTCCATTTATCATCATCGATGGCGTTCTACAACCCGTCAAAGGCGCCTCTCATTATTCCTGTCTGTGGCGACGAGCAGCTGACAAAAACGGTCCCAATTCCCCGCCATTATGCACCCAGTCCCGATGCGCCATATACGGGATCTGTACGCGAATATATTGCATCGTCCTCGCATCTTGGTAAACCGCGCCATTATCATATTCCGCCGCCATCTCAAACAAAGAGCGATAACCGGATAGTGGTACAACCACTGTTAGAGCATACCCGCGGAGAGATGCAAATGAAGCTCAATTTTGCGCATAATCTGCCGGGCGTACGCGTTCATGGTCATGAGGGCTGAGTGAACGAGACAACCACCAACTCGACCCTTCCGTCGCTGACTATCATCCACGAAAAGCTTCCACGGCCAGTCGTCATTCAGAGGTCGGGTAAACAAGAGTGGGTTATGGTCGCTGATGCTATCGGGAGGCTATGGTATGCTCTGCAGATACCCATCCCTCTGCAAGCAGAGCCTTCGTTGTTGCTCCTCGAAAATCAGGATGATGCGCCTTTGGACAGCCATCGAAGGATCCGGGGCTGCGAAAAATGGGAAGTGGTTCAACGGTCCAGACTTCAGATTTGTGTATTTGATGGGGAAGATGCGCGTCGTGGGGCTCCTTGCGATAGAATGCGACACCTTGGATGCTCGTTGAGTAGGGCGCGCAGTCGTGCCTTGTGGGTCTCGGGGTAGGTACTCGATGTAGCTGTAGACTAGACCGTATGCACTATGAGTATGTATTAGTGACGCGCAACAGACAAAGACAACGGACTACCTCTGGAAGAGCTGCCTTTGACATGGTTTTGTACGTAAATGCCAGCGTATGAAAGGGCGGTAGTCGTGGACGTCGAATTCATGGCATCCCTTAACCCTAGGCAAAGATTAGGACACATCTCTACACCGGATAAAATATACGGTACCCAACACGCTCCGACCCCGGATTAAACCCTCTCGCCGTCGCTAACCATACCATCGAGCACGGAGGCAGGCAAAAGGCTCCCGCACGCCACCCATGCAGACACCGGTCCCCTCCCAATGCTCCCCGAGTCGCCACTGCACCCATTGCCCTGTCAGTGCACGTCGTTGCTTTTCCAGAGTGCGAGCACGGGAGTAGTTCCGCCACAAGTCAGCTAGATTTGACACGCTAGCAGCTTGCAGTATGTTGTACCCTGCGAAGCGAAGCAGTGATGGTGGTGGGAAAGATCAACAGTACTCGCCGAGAGGCCGATCCTCATTTAGACTCCGAAATCTTCTTCCGGTATTGTCGCCAGCAAACTTCCGGCATAAACCCTCCCCGTCCTTCTCCCCCCAAAAATTGTGACTCAAATACTATACATCCTCGGCGTACGGCTCCTTTATGTGCTCTAGTCCCGTACTCGAATTCGCTTAGGATAAGTTTCGTAGAAGCTAAGATCGTCCGAGAAGTCTCCGCTGCAGTCTGCAGATGTAAGCACTTTGAGTACGGATCCGGCCTATGCCCTTATCATCGCTTGCGTGTCATGCAACTCATACGAGACAATCTGGTAACGCCATATTCGCAAGTTATACTTTTATCCGTCGCCGTATGTTTACTTGATTCTCTTTCTTCTTTCCCGAGGCTCATCTATCTGAAGGGCATCGCTTCAACTCTCGTCCTTGTTAGAGTTGCCTTGGGACAGGCATGCTTGGAAGGACCTTGATGATCAGTATAATTCAGTTTACATTCCATCAGATCCGTAACGTCCGACCTTCAATGTAAACTATCTCCATTTAGGTCCGAAGTGGCGTTACCAGCCTCAGCAGGCTCCATTAGATCGAACATGTTGAGGTGCTTCCTTACTTGGTTGAACGGTTTCTCTTCGTCCGTCCTGCATGGAAACACGTTATCCCGTATGGCATATATTATGCCGCAGCCGAGTTCCTCGGTTCCTCCACCGAAACAGTCATAGTCGAAAATATGAAGAAGCAATATCGGTGGCGGTTTGTCAGTCTACAGCGTGAAAGCCAATCCTGCGGGAGACGATCGATAACCTTCTAAAGATTATCAACTCCGCGTAAAATTTCTTAATGAAAGAATTCGAGTACGCTGTAATCGAGGACCAAGCAAGTCAGTAACGATTGAACGATTCAAGTTTCAACTGTCCGTCTGGAATCCAGGTCGTGATAGCTCTGAAAGATACAAGCCGACGCGCGACAGGTGCGTTTGGGTAAGCTTTCAGGAAAGTTTTGCCGAATCTCAGTTCAACGAGGCCCTCTCCAAGCAGGGAGGAATCGGTTTCGCCTTTTGGATCTACACCAGGTAGTCCCTTGAATATTTCATTTGCGCACGCTAACTTGGCATGATCTAGATTTGTCAGAGCAGGAGCTGGGCTAGATACCGGCCCCTTCATTTAATCAGGATGGTACTCGGAGCGAAACTACCCAACACTCCTCGTAAAAACAGAAAGCCTAGGGAATCCTCGGACATACCAAATGTGCATCGACTACATCGCGCCGGCGTCTTTCTTGCCCGCTCTAAATCAGTCTTCAATTCGTCGAACCAGGGCCGATCTTTTTTACCTCTTCCAGCTTAGCAAGTCCCGGCTTCCTTTCAACATCAGCGTTGGTTCGACCCGTGGCGAAGGGGAAACGCAAGTTATCATTGCGCAGACCGTCTCTCTCGTGGTAACCTTGACGTGAGCTGGCGTCTCCTCCCTTCAGCAAGATGGAAAACAAAAACAGCTGGGCTTCCTTTCCCACAAAGTAGCCCCTGTTGTTGCATCATTTCGCTCTGTCGTGTGCTCACTTCTTTCGTACAGGAGTCCCACATACTGAAGAATAGCTAATCGTTCATGTTTATCCAATGCATCGAGGTCTGCAATTAAAATCATATCGTTCAGTTCCGAGAGGAGCACTGAAAAGCACGCGTCCTTATTTTACGTCTCATTCAGAACCCAACAAGTAACCTGCTGGTGAAATCGGCCCACTCAGAGGCTTCGTCTCGCATTCAAGCTCTTCCTAAATGGAAGTGTCGTGTTGCAAAAGTGAACGATTGCTCGGGGAAGCAACCATCGCTTTGCAGAAAATCCCCAGCGAGGGTGTTGCCGGGTCGGACAGATGGAAGTCGTCATTTGAGCTCGTTCGGATCTTACGTCGGCTACAAGACAGGTTCATGATCATCTACTTTCTACATTACATTGGGTATAACTACATTATCTGATCGAGACACGTGAAGTCTTTCCCGAGATACTCTCAATTTTTCGTATGACATCCAAATGCGACGAAAGATATTTATTTTCGCTTCCAACTTACCCCGGAGTGATTGACCTTCACCCATGTCGGATGCTGACAGACTACTTTAGATTCCTCCACGATGAATATCTTAACGAGAAATGTGTCGAGTCTTCCACCCGTGGTAGGTTCTGCTTATTATTTGCACAGGCCTCACAGGTAGGCCGTAGGGATGCACACTTTCATTGCCGTTGTGCCTTGATCAAACTTTGTAAACTGTGAGTCTATCTGGAGTCTATTCTTCTGTTTTCTTCCAGCTCACGGCTATACTCATTCTCAGAAATTCATGCACCGTAATGTTTTCTTCGTGGTGCTTGTCGTCATCTATACCCTAGCAACAGTTTACGTCGGACACTGGTACGGTCGAGATTCATAATACGCAAGCCAGAACATTTGTACGTGTGCATGTATGGCCCTCGCCTCTCTAAATATGTTCTCTACTAGAGCTACCTATTCTGTAACATCGAGCATTAATGTCCTGATATCCGACTGTATCATGGTGCGACATCATCTCAATAACTATCTGTAACTCGTACTGAAATTAAAGATTAGATCTGGTGATGTGCATCTGTCAACTACTCCAGACGAAGCTCTGTCAAGAAACGACCCATGGTCTGGTTTGTTCTGTTAGAAAGGAGAAGTTTCCCTTTCTGTCCAGACGGCGCCTTTACTAGATGCCCAATACATACCGATTGCATACCAAATAAAAGCACTTGGAGCAGACTTAGAAAGTAATACAAAGACCAATGACAGCTCTGATTTACTTGTCTAGCACGTAGCGGAAAAAATAATTTTTCCTAATGATTATCTGTTACGATCTTATACGATCTAGACGATCAATATTATACCATATTATCGTCTTGCCAAAAGTCTTCACACAAGGATACTGGCCTCGTATTCTTGACTGGACGAAGATGTAGTACGACTTCACAAGATACCGATCACAGGCTTGTACCGACGACATTAACGTTGTAAAGCCTTATAGTCATTTCCTGGATTTAAGGACCCACTTCTACGATCTGCGGGGTACGGCTATCAAGGTCTGCCTCCTGCTCTGCGAACAACATCAAGTCCTTACCTCGCTCTGCTTGACGCGATTCCCACATGCTAATGTCCATTCCGAAGTAAGTATCCTCGCCAAGGTCGTCGCTACCGCCGCCGCCGCTGTCTTCGTCTTCGCCAGGAATCTCGAGCTGGGGCTCATCCAAAACGCACGCGTTAGTTTGCGGGACACAAGGCGTCCAATCGAGGTGTCCATCACTCCTCCCTTCCGTTATACTTCCAAATAAGCCCCTGAACCTTCCGTAGTCAGGAAGCTGATCGAAATCGAGAGAACGGTTTTCGTCGAGTAGGGCTCTCCAGTCGAACGTGCTCGGATCGGCGAGGCTTTAATGAAGGTAACAGGATGCCACAGTGGAATGAAAGATTCTCTGGATTGTAATTACATTGCAGAGGCTGGCATCTACGGCGTGGGAAATACTACGTGAAGCAGTAGTCGCTGTTGATGCCGAGAGCGGGTTGGGGAAGCTTATGACGAAAGTTTGTTGTCTTTCGAGGTGTCGTGGGCGATCCGGGTGATCAACGTTCAACTCCAATAGACTCCCTCATTCATACTCCTAGACACATACAACCAGTTAGTCCAGAGGGACGCGGATGATATGACGAAGGGCCTTCTGAAACAGAACAAGCTTTGTACGATAGCGATGGTTTCGCATGAAGATATGGCTTAAGAACCAAATGGTGAATAGCTTGGTAGTTTGAAGCACCACAGAAGATGATAACCTGAGAAAAAATGTCGGAATTTTCGGCAAGAGTCTCTGAAAAGGTACAAAAAAGTGGCGGCAAAATGAGTGAGAAGCCTAACCCTAAGGAAAGGAAGGTTAGTTTTAGACATTCGAGGACTGACGGGGGAACATACCATATATAAAGCAGTCCTGTCCTTCCCCAGGCTCTCATATCTCTCCATCAAACCACAAGCATCGCTTGCTCTCAGCCTTGCGCACCTCTCTCCTTGTACGTTTGCACTCATCCAAGTAAAATAAAGCCTCTCTGTTCATCTGTAAGCCTTTCTTCCGCTGTTTGTTCCACGAATGATGGCGCCATGAAGACGATGCTTGCTCAGCTGGGAAAACATGGCAAAGATGACAATGCCACGGGGTAGAGAGTCGTCAGAATTGCATTTATCACCATCGACGGCGTTCTACAATCCGTCGAGGGCGTCTCTCGTATTCCTATCTATCGTGACCGCAACGATCCCTGCTCGCCACTATCATATGCCCAGTTCAGACGCATCACATACGGGATTTCCACGCGAATATATCGCGCCATCTCTGCCATCCGCTCTTGGTGAACCGCACCATCGTCACATCCCGTTGCCGTCCTAAGTAGAGCGACAACCCGACAGTGGTACATCCACTCTTAACGCCAAGCCGGGGAGAAATGATGAAGATGAAGCTCGATTTGGCGTCGATGGTACGCGTTCTTGGTCGCGAGGACTACGTGGGTGAGGCGGCAACCAACCTGGCCCTTCCGTCGCTGATGCCGTTGAGAGGCTATGGTATGCTCCGCAGATAGCCATCCCTCTGCAGGCGGAGACTTCATTGTTGCTCCTCAAAAATCAGAACGATGCGCCTTTTGACAGCCATCAAAGGATGCGGGGCTGCGAAAAATGGTAAATGGTTCAACGGATCCAGACTTGCGTATTTGAGGGGAAGACATGGTTTTTGAGGCACCTCGTGATAGAATGCGAGACCTTGGATGTTTGTTGAGTAGGGTGCGCAGGTCGCACTTATGTGGGTCTCAGGGTAGGTGCTCGATGTAGCTGTAGACTCGAGATTATGCACTACAAGCGTATATCAGCTACGCCCACCAGACAAAGACGAAGGACTACCTCTGGAAGAACTGTCCTTGATGCGGTTTTTTGTGTAAGCGCCAGCGCATGAAAGGGCAGTGGTCGTCGATGTCAAGGGCGACACTTACCCTCACTTACCCTTAACCCTAGGAAAAGTAAGGTAAGGGTCACGACTGTGCGTGAGAGAAAAATACCTACCCATCTTCTCGTTACTGATCAATCTCTTTCACTGTGGCGATCCATCTCGTCGAACATGGAGGCAAGCAAAATGTTTCTGCGTGTCACCCATGTAGACACCGGTCCTATTTCCCAAATGCCTTGAGTCGCCGCTGCACCCAGCACCTTGTCATTTACATCATTGTTTTCTGGAATGCGAGGACGATGAAAGACTAGTCCGTTCTTGCGACAATACGAGGCCACAAATTCAGTATCCCAACCATACACGTAATGCCACGTCATCAGAGATCCCATTAGAGCTAGCGTATGCCGCACGGATATTTTCCCTTATCTACGGAGAATTAGCAGAGAAAAGGATGTAAGATGGAGAAAACGTGCCGAATGAGATAGCGAGCAGAAAACGTCTGAATTGTATCACAATCGAGAAGTGATCCGCACCATGCTTGGCATCCAGATGTGTACTGCGCAGTCGTATACATCGTTGAAAAATCGGGCATCTTGGAGCGTGTTCGGAAAGCAACTTGAGCAAGCTACAAATCCACCACTATCAGAGCTCGATTAATTCAATAACAACACCCATGACTCATGTTAGTCTACTGCGACATGATGATGGTCACCAAAGCTGTCTCGCGAGGTGCCCTTCGTCTACTAGCGACGACTTGTCCTGATCGTAGTTCTGTAACCGTGGCAGTATCTCTCGCCATCAGTATGCTTATCGTCACGGCGATGTTGGTCCTGAAGGTTCAAAATGTTCAAAGGCTAAGCGCCAAGTACGGTGGTGGTGGTGGGGATAAGTGGAAGATAACTATGAAAGGCTTTCTTCGAGCAAACGTGACTGTGCATGGAGACAAAAAGAAAACGATACTGAAATGTGCAGTCGAACCGGCGCTTGCTAAAGAGGCATGGGAAGACAATATCGCTCCAGTGGATGATACAAGTTGATTGCAGGGAGAACAAGCGGGAAGCAAGTTGGCGAAGGGAGCCAGGGCCAGGAAAAGTGTAGCATATGGTATGCGACTGTAACGTTGCGCAGATAAATGAGTCCCGACTTCATCATACAGCCTTGAAGCGTTACGTACCCATTACCGTTCTGCCTAGCATCTCCTTTCCATCAGTATCTCTTCCTTCTTGATATTGCATCACCCGACACCACTGGGCACTTCATCGTATCCTAGAATACGTGTCAGAGATATATAGGTTCACGGAAGGGTACTGACATTGATAATCGTATTGGTTGCCTGATTTTGGGCATATTTTCGGTCGTAGTCCTATCCTGTTCCTCAAGCCTTGGCACTAGCAAGTCCATAATCTCCGCCTACATCGAGTCGCAAGTTGCAAGACAATCCTGGTACCAGATGACTTTGCTGTACAAACGAATGATGAGGTATTATCGACGCGCTGAGAAGATATTTGCTCACAGAACGCCGGTTTCCTTCATTGTCCATTGAACGATTCGTTCAGCTACGCGTCACCATGCCATACCATACGAGGAGTACGAGTGCCTGGCCCTCCATATTGCTCCATCGCCTGCTGCCACCATTACTGAGTGTCTTGTCCTGAAAATGGACCGTAAAAGAGTAATTTAGCCACAAATTAGCTAGGATTGACGCACCAGCAGCTTGTAGTATGTGGTACCCGGCAGAGCGAAGCGGGAGTGGTGGTGATATGCAAAGGGAACGGTTCATGCCGAGAGGCCAATCCTCATTCGGACTCTGAAGACTTGTCCCGGCATTGTCGGCAGCAACCTAACTGTGCCTCAGTGCTCCCCTCCCACAATTTAAGCCTCCAGAAATTGTGACTCGATATACGTCCTCAGGCCTCAGCATTTGGCCTCTTTATGTACTCTAGTCCCTCCGTACTCGAGTTCATTCAGGCTAATAGGTACAGTTGAGGCAGGCACGAGTCTACAGTCCTCAAGTTTCGCTGCAGATGTAGGGTCAGTAGAGTGCGGATCGAGCTTATGACCCTGTCACAACGGAATCCGGATTGTGAGAGAGGACCACATACGTACATGTACCAAGTCACATCGACTGATTCATCTCAGAGTTCGTGCTGGCTGACTGGCGGGATACAGGTGTACAAGCCATGAATAATGGGAACGGATCACATGAAAGCGTGTATGATAGGGTCCATCTTCACCCTCTCGAGCACCTCATACACAACCTTCCACATCCCTGACGCTTCTCCGACACCCCCATCTCCGGCTACTCCCCTATCTCCAACGAACGAGCCTATCCCCTAATGGCATCGCGTCCATATCCCAAAACATTTTCCACACCAGCGCAGCCCACGCCGACCAATTAACCAATCTGTCGCAACCCCCACACCTCGCGTCCTATCCCATGCCCTTCCGGAACTCATCTTGCCTGACCAGAGAGCGCGTCGGGATCCGCTGCAGTGCCTTCTGGTACTTCCTCCTTCCACCCGAACCTTGTCGCTATTGCACACACCCGGAGTGGTTCTTGCAGGAATACCGGGGCAATTATCGATGCGCGTACAATATCCAGCACACCTCTCGCTCCCCACGTTTCCGCTAGACTAAGCACGCGTTCAAGTTCGTCAAATGTATGCCAAGGTGAGATGGCAAGACCACTGATGATCTGTAGTTGTCGTTCGAGAATGGCATCATGCTCGCAGATAGGTATAGACTGACTATCTGGTTCGTAAATGAAAGAGCTTGAAGCGAAGAACGTAGCAGTTCATCGTAAGACTAACGATGGGAGACGGTATAGGGTACCGTCAAACGAAGATAAGACAGCGTCGGCGTCTGGGTTACTGAAGGTAGGATGATAGGCTGATCTGTGGTCCATCGTGAAGGCGATGAAAGAAGGAAGGACGGCCTGGGATGATTGAGCAGGGTGAGCTTGTGTTGATCGTCTCATTGCCACATGGTCGTTGGTAAACCGAGCTGTGTCAACGTCAACCCATGTAGTAGGACAATGGAATGATCATGCCAGGTATCCTCTAGAACAGCTGTACTGTAAGAAATGAAGGCATGAATGGACGAAATACCACACACCAAGGCATGAACACTGCCGTTGAATTTCCAGGACGGCTGGGGGGGGGGCATCGCACCCGATGTCAGACAATGTACAGGCCGATGTCGGTCGTTTGTCCTAGCTCTCCCACAACGTCTATGAGCTATCATAGACTCCAATTATCTTCATCACTCAGCATTGGGCCACCGGGAACCAAGGATGCCACTGAACGTCGTGTTCACTTCCATTCTCCATCTCGGACAAGTGGTCATTGGTGCGATGACTCTTCACAGATGTCCAACAGGGAGAAAACAACTGTTGAGCTTGGAGACTGCCTGCACCATGACACGCATGAGGGAAAGGAAACCGATAACAGGATATTTCACGCACCTTTTCACCATTACCTGCGAGCTCTGACAAGTTTCGATGCCAGATCGACTATCATTCGGCTTTGAGTGCAGTAAAGACGATCGATGATGCATATGTCTCATGAAGCTCGGCCGCAGTGAGACTTCTGATGGCTGTGATGAGCAACGAAGATGTTGACGAATGTTTGACTAGACTCTTACCTCGAGAAAGCCGCGTTGATGATGCCAACAAGACGAATATAGCACTGCAGAGAATTATCTGCCGTAGAATTCTTCAGGAAATTTATCATCAAAAAACACCACAAAAGTCGCCTACCTTTCCAGTCTGCTCTTCATCAGTTCATTCTGGACTCATTTCTTCACGTTGTTCCGTTCCAAGGATCATCCTCTTGCCATGAATAAGATGAACTTGATCCATAAAAGTGCATAGAATAGGAATTCTGCACGTGGGAGAGTGGGGGAAAAGAGAAAAATGGGACGATGGTGGTGGTCACAAACAAAAAAATCGTGGGAACGCGTCATAATCAGGACGTCGGGCCGACTTCCGGTGACCTCCCGTCATCTCTACATTGCGCACGTCCTGGAGAAATAAACGTTCAAACCTGCAAGCCGTACGAAAAGTAGGCATTTCCCTAAAAATAGGTGTTTAGCGCAGAAATTGACGCCCTCGGAGCGCATCCATTGCGGCACATTATAGGCTGCACCAACTGCGCCATAGCTTACTACTACTCCATCTTAGCACGACAATCATCTGTACGTCTCTAATCCTCTATCCTCCATCCGATGCTGACCGCTGAAGTGCTGAGGCCTGAAGCTTTGAAGGAACAGTGGCATGTCAAGGCGTGCTGCCGAGTCCCATAGACAACTAAGAACCGGAATGGATGCTCGTATGTCATGTTCACTCCAGAGCAGGAAACTCTATGTGCAAAAGAATAACACCCCTTTCTGCAAGGATAGGCAAATTCGGGTTATCTTTACCTTTGTCAATATGAAGCATACGAAGGCGTTGGTGAGATTAGGAAGGGCATATCAAACTCCATATCCTCGTCACATAGTAGAGAAACGCTCTCCATATCCGGTGTGGGCTTCAAAAATATCAATATAGGTGCTCGTCCAATCGTTCTCAGCATACTCGGTGAGCTGGCACCATAGTTTTTCCTTTCTTTTTAATGCCTCTCTGTGCTCCTTCCAGAGAGAATGTGCAAAGGAGCATGCACTCGAAGGCGTCAAATATAGCCTTGGTCAATTCCACGGGTGATCCAAGAATGTCGCCAACAAACTCGACGGTGACAGAAACGCAAAACGCGATTCCAACGGTAAATGGGGCCCCTAGTGGCGGATAAGGCCTGTAGTGAATCATAGGGAACGGATATTGAAATATTGGTTTAACCTGGGGGCACGTAAAAGAAGGATTAAAATGAGATAGCTCTTGAAACTTCGACAACTCTGGTCTTCATATTTTTACTTCAATCCTTTCTCCCTCCAACGCCAATGTCACCATTAAACCACGAGTGAGTAACGTCGTCTAACCAAAGACATCCTCATCCTGTGCTAATTAATACCCCAGATCGAACTTTCCATATCGTTTCACACCTTTAGAAACATTACCACATTTCTCACGCAGGGTTCAATGGTAAATATACACGAGAAAGTTGGTGACAGCACGCAGTACCATGCGCAATATATTCTTGTGCTCATAATCGAGTATAATTGTGCGATCTGAAGTGAACCGTCAGAATATCATTTGGGTGAGGTCGGGCTATCGTTAACGAAACGAGGCGTAGAGTAGGACATCGACACGAACGAGAATAATACGTTGGTTCCAACCATGTCGTATTACAATAATATGGACCAAAAAAATCTTCATTCAGGGACCTATACATAGCCATGCATTGTGATGAACCAATGAATCTGCCTTACGAGGCACGGCACCACATCATGAGGGAATCTCAGACAAGTATCAAGTAGAAGAAACAGAAAGGAAAGGGGACCCATAAACACATATCAGGCATAGGTATACTACTTGCTTAGATGTAGGACGTATACACCGTTATCTTGATACTCTCCACATAATTGGCCCAGCCGGGCATTCCCACTCTCGGGTAAACAGAGATCGTATCCCCCGGTTTGATTTTGGCCATCCATTCCTTGATGGAAGATAGGGCATCCTGATAGTCCCACACATTGACATGAGTCCGAATCTGTTTATCAGCATGGACATTATCCTGAATTCGCATGAACATGCTAGGGCTGGACTCTACCCCGGCTTCAAACCAAGTATATGAACCAGAATATAAGCCTCCGGCATGCTCTGTGTGCCATCCTGTTCGGACAATCAGTCTCTGAGAAGTTACAACAGTTTGTGAGGTCTCGCACCTTGCTCACCATGGGATAATGTCGTGAAGACGATGCATCGAACCGGGTTCTCTGGGCTACCCGCAATCGGTGTTGTAGAGATATAAGGTTTACGAGGGGAGCCGTCCCAGATGTCGACAGGCTCATGTCGTTCAACAGAATTCACAATCCACAATTCGGCAAAATCAAGGATAGCCCGGACGATATGCTGTTTTGGTGAAGAAAGCCGTTTTTCCAAGAGGCGCACTATTTTCTCGATATCCTGCTGCGACTTGGGGCCACCTCCAGACAGTGTCATCGGATACTGTCGCATCTCTGGGTACCATGGCTCTCCAACTGCCCACCCCAGGTCCTCAAAATTCTGAGGTAAGCATTGATCAAATGAAGCACCCTTTTCAAACAGATATCGGACAATTTCCGAAGACTGTTGGTTCAGAGCGAGATCAAGGGGAGTCTTCCCCTTAGAACAAGGACTGATATCGCAGCCTGCATCGATGAGGACTTTGACACTGTCAATACGGCCATATCTAACGGCCACATGCAAGGCGGTATTGCCACTGATACTGGACCTAGTATTCACATCGACTCCGTGATCGAGTAAAACTTTAAGAATGTCTACGCGACCGTGATCAGCGGCTCCAATGATGATGTCGCAATGGCCGTCCTCTGGTTCATGTTCCGGGAACGACTGGGGCCAAGGCTCAGGGGGAAATACAGTGTCCGAGCCGCAATCCAAAAGTTGCTTAACCACTTCAACGTGTCCATACTTGGTGGCAAGGAAGATGGGTGACACAACTTCATAATTGCAATCATGATGCCGAGCACAAGTATTCACGTCGACCTGAAATTCTTGTAAAAGAATTTTCACGGTGTCTAGCTTGCCGGTAGAAATGCTAATCATCAAGGGTGTTCCAAAGTAGAATAACGGGCGCTCTTTGAACTGGGGAAGTTTGTGTAGGAGGTCCCGTACCAACGACGCTGGCCCCTCAGACACGAGAGGATAGACCATATAATCCAGCTCTTCAATGGAGGTGGTATTTGACAGGTCTCGCCATGGATGGTTTTGCAGAAGTCCTTCGTCAGTCGCTACCCAAGATGGCCCAGCGCAATGACGCGGACGGACGAAACTGCCAATGTCTTCACATAGATCGTATCTCTGCGCTCTATATTCTCTGAAATATTTCATACTCTCTCTGCCGAAATAGAAAATTTTTCTTTCAAAATAATAATCGTCGTTGTCATCAAGGCTCTGCCACACCAACTTGGAGGAACCGTCCTTCGTGGCACCTCTCAGGTCTGTGCCAAAATAGGAGACTTGTCTGCGCGAACGCTGAGCGAGTTGGTTCTTCTCCGAGTCATTGAAGAGGGTAATGAGCTTGTTAAAGTCAGGAGGCTCATCCGACTCAGGGCCTGTTTCATACGTTTTGAGAATGTGCACATCCCAGTTTGAAACGACGTAGACAAGGAAAGGATGTTGTTCCAAGCGCTCGAGAAATTGTTGCTCTGTTGTACATGGCCCATTCTGGAAATCCTCATAGTGAAGATACGCCAAAATGAGGCTAGTGGTATGTCGGCGCAGGAATGAGAATGATGGAATATGGAAGTTTGAATGATGCGCTGTTCGTTTAAGATGGTCTGAAAATAAAAAATCCTAGCGAGAACAATCAGCCTGATGTCTATCGCAGTGATGACATTCCGCACCTGCACAGAGGCATGGGATAATACCAGAATATCCGTCTTGACGTCGTAGCGGATCAGGCTTGAGCACATCTCCAAAAGATGTTCACCGCTCAAAGGCTTCAGGTCCGTGTTCGGTGAGCCTCTTCCTGTTTCTACCATGACAGCCTCCATGAGTTCCGTAAGACGCAGCTGTCGATGCGATCCCACCAACCACCAAAGCATACGCTGGACTATTTGCACGGCTCCCTGGCCCTCTCCTTCGACGCTTTGAAGGATCCTTTCATACATCGAATTTAAGTCGGTAGGAAGATTTCGGAGTATATTATCGATGTCCTTTTCGAATTTCGCTTTTGCTAAGGATTCCAGTTGACAGTCGACCAGGCGGAACCTACTGAAAGTCAATAACTTTCAGAAAGCAGGGGTGATAGCACTTACATGCCCTTGGACTTCTCCAGAAGAGTCGATGTGATGCGTGTACGAACCGATTCATGAAAATGCGTAAGCGAGAGATAAGAAGTGTTCATCTTGTCCTCGATGAATCTCTGTATATCATCCTGAACTTTCTGAGTTTCGTCCACGAGAGAGATAGTTGGGGCACCGCTCAGAACATCCAAGATGTCCTGCTCCCCTCTGCTAGTCACAAAGATGGAAAATTTGGAACTTGCAGACGCCAGGTCATGAATTGCCGCTATATATTCTCTCCGATTTTCCTGCACGCACTCATCAAGAGCATCGAGGACGACGAAGATGCGCTTCCAAGGCGCACTCGCGTTTTTCAGCAACTGAATAAGATAATTGACAGATTTGGGCGGATCTGCATGGTACTGATGCATGGACGTCTCCAACTCGCCGAAGTCCTTGACAAAGTCCTCTGGTTTGTAGCGCTCGAGAATCTGCGCAAGTAGTGTGCGCAGCAATACGACTATATCGGTGCTTCGCACATCCTGGAAGTCTGCGAAAGCAAACAAAACAATCTCTTCGTGGGTGACATGATCCTTCAAATGGTCGATGGTAAAAGATCTGTATCGCGAGTGAATGGGATGCAAAGCAGTTGCAAATAGAAACCTTACGCAAGAACCGTTTTGCCATTGCCCGCTGAAGAACTCCGAGTCAGGATACATAGCGTGATAGGACACGATAATGAAAAGACTCACGTATACCATTCAGCCACAGAAATGTAGAACCAGACGAATACCACGAGACAAATCGGCCATGCTCACGCAACCATTCGCATGTTTCGGACTGGCGCCGTTCGCGCACTTTTCGCAGTTTCGCCTCGGAATTTAGAGGCTCCAGCCATTTCACCACCTTCTGGAGACGTTCGGCTACGAGATTTTTTGATCAGAGCGTGCGCGCTAGAAGTGGTTTGTGAGATTACTTAGTTCCTTGGATGCCTTCCTTAGTTCCTCGGCTGCCTTCTTGGTATCAGCTTCCTGCTGGCGCTTCTTCATATCGTCAATATCTTTCCTGAAAAGCATTACAAATTAGCAAGTAGCAAATGAACGAAAGAACACCTACTTTATTGTGACCAGCAGAGGCTGCAAAAGTCCAGAATTTTGCTTTAGATCATCGCGAAGTGCCTTGATTTTCTTCTCGCCTGACCACACCCACTTGGCACGTCTCTTGATGTTAAACTTGAACTTTGGGTCACCGTACACTTTCAAAGTGGCATCCAACTTATCCAAAGTAGTCACGTAATTCTCCACCGACGTGGACAGTTTCACCTTCTCCTTGTCCTCCACTCTGCTACCATATTCCTGCAGCTCCTCTAACCTGGTACGTGCTACTTTGAGTTCCTCCATCAGCTCCGAGCACGCCTTTGGCGCGTTCTTGATTCCTTGGAATAAGTCGTAGCCTTGGATGCATCGCTCGATGAGGTCCGGAATACCCGTTAGGAGGGAGAGGGGATCCATTGTTCGGAAAAAAGCGTAGCAGTGCGAATGTGGTGGGAGGAGACAAAAGGCGCTACACTGTATATCTGTCACCATCGGTTGCCGCATGTATGGGAAAGTGACTAGGAAGCGGGGATGATGGAAGCTTCATATCTGATACCGGGGACCCCATCACAGTGAGTAGCACATACAGCTACCGGTCTGGCAAAAACTCGCAGAAGCGCTTACGAGTAGTACTATAAGTGGACAGCAAACCTGAGTTGATTCTTAGGTCCAAAGCGTCCACGGATGAATGCGTCGTTGAAGATAGAGGTTGCCAATAAAACGATGGCTCGGTGGCACTAGGACTGGGTCATGCGTAGGTATGATTGTATCAATGTGTGTCTCTGGTATGTTTCTTAATATCACCTCCCGGACGACGTAACTGCCGTCCATCATACGACCGCGTGCATGACTCCAAGCCCTCCCCCCTGCCCTAGACACAGCTAGAGATAGAGGCATACTATCTTGCCCACAATATAGGTCAAATTTCTGGCCAAAGTAAAGGGATGAATGAACATAGTGAAGACGTCGATAAGGCAATGTTGTTACAAGTCTGCGAACGAACCAACAGCGGATATTCAATCTCGTTTGGATGAATCCTTTTCCACCCCCTTGGCGTCGAAACACACATCATCGATCATCGGGAGAACTGTGTGGTCATGTGGAATCCTACAAATTGGGCCGGACGATTGCATAGCAGGGTCCAGCATACATTCACCGTGTCATTCCTTATCCAAAAGTTCCTCGAACAGAGCGCATGTTTTGGTAATCCATCCCTACAGGCCAGGGTCCCGTGGCATTCTCCGATAGTGCTCTCCAGGTGAACGTGCTCGGATCGGCGAGGCTTCAATGAAGATAATGGGATACCACAGTGGAATGAATGAAGATTTGGTCGATTGTAATTGCATTGCAGAGGCTAGCATCTATGATGTGAGGAAATACTACGCGAACCAGTAGTCGCTGTTGAGCCGAGAGCGGGTTGGGGAAGCTTATAATGGAAGTTCGTTGTCTCTCGAGGTCGTAGGTGAACCGATCGATCTCCCCAATCGACTCTCCATCCATAATCCAAGACCCACAACCTGTATAACCAGTTAGTCTGAGGGGATGCGGATGATATGAGGACACACCTTCTGGAGCAGTCACTAACAGCTTTGTACAATAGCAGCGCCTTCGCATGAAGATATAGCTTAAGAACCGGATGGTGAATAGCTTGGTAGTTTGGAGCACCAAAGGTGATAGCTTGAGAAAAATGTCGGAATTTTGGGCAAGAGTCTCTGAAAAGGTACAAAAAAGTCGCCGAGTGCGCAACCCTAACCCTAAGTGAAGTAAGGTTAGGTTTACATTCAGGGTCTGAGAGGGGGCATACCGTATATTAAGCAGGCCCAACCTTCCCCAGGCTCTCATATCTTTCCCTCATTCACCGATCTCACTCTTCCCCGCCTCCTTCCCCCTGCATCTGCACCAAGTAAACCAACGACTCTCTATTCATCCGTAAGCCTTTCTTCTGCTATTTGTTCCACGGATGACGGTACCATGCGACGAGGATGACAACGCAGCAGGGTACAGTCACCAAACTTGCATTTATCACCATCGACGGCGTTCTACGCCCCGTCGAGCACGCCTCTCGTTATTCCTGTCGATGTCGACGAGCAACTGACCCCGACAATCCATGTTTGCCGGCATTATACACCTAGTACCGACGCATCATATACGGGATCCGTACACGAATGTCACGCTGTCCCCGCCGCCTGCCCTGAGAAAACCGCGCCATCGTCACATCCCATTGCCATCCCAAACAGAGAGCGGTAACCCGATAGTGTTACATTCACTGTTACGGCCAAGCCATGGAGAAATGTTGATGGAGCTCGTATTTGCTGCTCAGAGTCTATCGGGGTACGCGGTCTTGGTCATGAGGGCTGCATGAATGAGGCAGCAACCAACCCACCTCTTCCGTCACTGGTCATCGTCCACCCAAAGCTTCCATAGACAGTAGTCATCCAGAGGTCGGGCGACCAAGAGTGGGTTACAGTTGCCGGCTTTGTCGAGATGTTATGGTATGCTCTGCAGATACCCGTTCCCCTGCAGGCATCGTTATCGTTGTTACTCTTCAAAAATCAGGATGATGCGCCTGTTGACAGACATAGAAAGATGCAGGGCTGCGAAGAGAGAGAAGTGGTTCAGCAATCTAGAGAGGGGAGAGATGCGGTTTATGGGGCTCGGCGCCATTGGAGACGACATCTGGGAACTGCTTGTTGAATAGGGCGCGAAGGCCGCGCCTATGTAGATGTTTGTGTAACCGCTAGCGCGCGAAGGGCGGTGGCCGTGGACATTGAGCTCAGCTGTAGCAGGCAGACTAGGGTTAGGGTCACAACTCTGGGTTGAATAAAAAAACCTACTCGTCCCAATCGTGGTCCCGTCACCGTGGCAGTATCTTTCGCCATCAGTATGCTTAACAGCCATGTTGGTACTGAAGGTCCAAACGTTAAGCGCTAAGGTGCGATGGTGGAGATACCCATGAAAGATGCCTCGAAGCGAATGTGACCGTGTATGGGGACGAAAAGAAAACGACTCTGAAATGTGTAGTGGAACCGGCGCTTGCTCAGGAAGACAACATTGTTCCGGCGGATGGCACCGCAGGGATCGCGGAGAGAATAAGCGACAGTCGGTTGAGGAAGGATACCATCCGGGGAAAAAAAACGTAACATAGGGTATGACGCTGTTACAGTGAATAGATAAATGAACACTGACTTCGCTATACAGCCTTGAAAGTCACGTACCCGTTTCTGATTTCGCCTGATATTTCCCCTTCCACTATTATATCTTCCTTTGACTGCCGCATTGTTGAATCGATCTTGCGTCTCCGAGATCACCAGTAGCCACTTCGTCTTACACTAGAATGCCTGTCAGATATATAAATGTTCACGGAAAGAGTACTGACGCTATTTTGGCTGCCTGACTTAGGACATTAATTTGGACGTAGTGGGCCAATCCTATTCCTCAGGCCTCGGTATTGTCAAATGCAGAGTCGAAATTCGCGCCTATCTCGAGTCGTAAATTGCATGATTATTACAGTGCCGGGTAACCAGTTCGACCGTGACCTAGCTGTACCAAACGAATGATGAGAGATTATTAGTGTGCCGAAACGAATTGCTCGCAGAACACCGGTTTCCTTCAGCCATTTGTAGAGCTCCGCGTCAATATGGTGTGTCGTGGCCCTCCATACTGCTCTATTGTTCCGCCGTTACCAGTGCCTTATCCTGAAGATGGTCTGTCAAAGAGTAATTCTGCAAAAAATTAGCTATGAGCGTACCAATGGCTTGTAGTATGTTGTACCTGGCAAAGCGAAACGGGAGGCCAGGCAGTGATGGTCGGTGCCGAGAGGCTGATCCGTATGCGGACTTTGAAGTCTTCTACCGGCATTATCGGCAACAACAGAACCGCCTCCCAGTGGACTTCGGTCTTTCCCTAGACCTGAGATACGATTCACTGTACATCACGCTTCGAATCTTGAACAGCAAGGTAGGAGGCATACCTACTGTTTAGTCGCAATATTATACTGCCTCATTCCCTGCCCGAAGGTCCGTTACGCAGTATTTCATATATGGTATAAGTATTGAAAGTAGATTCAGCGAAGATCAACAAAAGCAATCTACAAAACGAAGTATCATCGTTCAACCGGGCCGCAAGCGGACGTGTTATGAACGCGATCTAAAGCTCCGTGGAATTTATACGAAAGTCCAGGGTATGTTAGCGTCCAAAGATGCCGCCAGAAACGCGAAGTGTTGGGAGAGAAGGGAAAGGAGCCCGTCCATCTACTACCTCTCGAAGATGTAGATACCATTCAAAACCTATTTTCCATACTCAGCACACGGACCAATATCAGAAGAAAATGAACCCTCACCCAAGCGGCGGCATCGCCGAATTCCGAACCCTGCGACAATACATAGCTTCGAGCGTCGGAGAAACCAGTGACGTCCTGACAACATTTTTCTTGACCGCCAGCTTGATCAACGTCCCAAACACCGGTCGTAAAGAATCCTATAATATGAATTAGTATACTGGACGCCCATTACACTTAACAAAAACTCACCGCCCAGGTTGGTATTGATGATAAGCATCAAATCCTTAAAGTGGTCAGACGTATTACAGGTCGAGGAGTCAACTTGGAGGGTAGGATTACCCCAAGAGCTTGGAGTCGGTAGGCCGTAGTTGACGTCTACGTCAAAGTGTAAAGCCCACATAGTAACGGCCGAAGAAAAAAACTCGACATACCCACTGGACCATGGTCGGTGTTCCACCACCACATCTTGATACCATCCGTAGTGAGCTCGAGTGCATAACTGGCTCCATTGACATCGTTCGCGGCTTTACCGAAACTGGTCTTGCTGTTGACAGAAACACCGCAAGACTGGTAGTTCGCATTCGCATTGCAGTTGGTACCGCCCTCCGAAGGATCGACGTTCAGCTTCGCCCCGTTGACGTTGTTCGCATCCATCCAGCAGCCATCACCACTGTGAACGGACATCGTGTTTTGAGTATACGAGTTCACGCCCTCGACCAAGTCGATCTCGCCTAGAGAACGAAGGATTCATAAAAGCGAGCAAGTGAAAAAGGCGGATGCTTACCAGTTTCAGGCCAGGTTCCGCCACCCGTGAACTATAGCAATGATGAGTATCAAAAACACAGAGAATGGACAGAGCGTACCCAAATAGCGGGCCAAACGCCACACATACTAGGCATCTGGTGAACGTCGATGATGAACAACAGGTTCTGTGACGGGTTGAACGTCTCCTTCGACGACATTCGAACAGCATTTCGCAGAGCCACGTCTTCCGCCTGGTCAACGCCAATCCGAACCTTCCCATTAGACTGGGTATACACCAGCCCACTGCTCTTCCCGTCGACATAGTTAGCGACGCCCTGGTTGTCAGATGCCTTTTCGTCACTACAAGCGCACGTCAGAAATGATCAGCAATCCGAGGAGCCGAGGGCGCACAAGTTGAAATAATCAATAAGGTCATCTCCCGTGAGATACTTGTACATCTTCCATCCGTCACTCGACGTTCCGTCTCGTTTATGTTGGTGTCGGTGACTGAAGCTGTGAGATGACCCGCTCAGCCCTGCATACGCAGCGCCAACCAGCGAGAAGGCAGCGAATGCAGAAGTAACGCGCATCGCGAAGAAGTCCGCAGATCAACGAGTGTAGTGAAAAAATGAGTGTAGGGCGCAGAGCCAGGAAGGTGAAAGGGATATCGTGGGTTGAAAGGAAGGGTTGCTCCCCGATCGCAAGCCTTATGTACACCAAGATCGGTTGCGGGGGGTTGTTTGGATTTTCTAATACCCTAGTTAAGAAGTGACCTGTCAAAAAACGCTCCACAATCACGAAATACTAACCATTTGGGTCGAGCGTCGAGGCTGGTTCGTAACATTCAAGTTTCGGGGGGACTCGCCTGGACGACCGCCATAACAGCCGAAAGGTTGAGCAATTTGCAAAGAGCACGGCATTATTCTGGACCCGAAGCTAGAAGACGAGTTGGCCAAGCTTTACTACGTACGAAGAATGTTCTGCTGGAGCACGTCTTCTCGCTGATCCCATAATGATGATCGTGCACGAAATGAACGAGTGGGAGGACATCGGTGCGCAGTCAGAGGCTTTGATATCACGTCATAGTAGGTCCTTGGGTATCGCATAAGCATTGCTTACGCGCCACTGGAATGATCATTAATGTTGCCAATGGCCAGTGCACACCGCATCGAAACGTCGCGAACGTCGTTGCGATGGCAATTGACAGCTTAAGCGCTCAATGTCATGAGGTACATTCACACACTTCTGACAAAAGCTCCGCATGCCTGGTATTACGAGGCTAACAATGTAAACACACGGTACGACGTGAGAATGCCGGAATGTATCATTCTGTCACACCCGTTGAGCACAAGATAAAAAATGTATCTGCAAAGACGAACGAACCTATAAAGCAAAGCGCCAGCCCACATGCTTATCACGCCCACCATCCTTCTCGGCCCAATATACTCTCCATCCACATCTCCCGAGTTTTCTCCTTCGAGAAGGCCCGTTCCTCCATTCTATCTTCACGCAGAATGAACTTCGTACGCGTGTTATCATCGCACGACGTCACCAACTCCCTGAACACCTTCACCATCTTTTTATCAGCCACCTCTGCTCGTGGAATGATAGGACCAAGCTGCACGATAACACAACGAAGGGTCTGCGGCAACACGGCTGAATCGCTTTCCAAACCCATCTGCAACTCCTCAGCAAACGCCGGAGCGCTGGAGACGCCGGATATTCGTAGATGTGTCAAGGAAGGAAATAGCACATCAAAGCCCACATCTAGAAGCCCGAGTGGGTTCCTGTTACCGACAAAGTGGACGCGACGAAGCTGAGGCATCTTCGCCGCTAAAGGGTACGAGTAAAACCCACTTATCGTGAGATCGCGAAGTCTGGGAAATGAGACGCGATATACACTGGCGATGAGCGACGTTGATACGGGACTATTGGACATGTACAAGGACAATGTTTCGAGGGCACATGATGTAATTTGCAACAGTGAGATATAGTCCGAGGGATTTTGAGGCGTTTGAGATATGAAGAGATGTCGAACGTTATGTGTAGGAGGCAGTAGAGGTAGTTCCCGATTCAGACGTGTGAACTGTGGGGCGGAAGAGAGGGATATCGAAGTGAAGCGTAAAGGTAGCGAGATATCGTGAAAATACTTCGAGACTTGACGTAGGACAGGAAAAGTCTGCCCTCCGTCGCTGCAGGCTAGCTGGCATATCAGGAATACGAGCTCGTTGGGACAGGAGAGGAGTGACATGGATGTTGTAGGCAAAGCGAGGGCAAAGGGATATTCCCGATTCCGAGGAAAATGCAAATATTGCCTCGAAATTGCGCGACCGGTCACGTGCATCGGATTCGCAATATGGTGACAGATGAGTCTTGCCGGCCCTGATATTGCGCATGTAGATAGCAAAATTAGCGCACGCTGATCCTCCTTCGACGATGAATGAATGAGTGCCTCGTATCTGCAACAAACCATTATTTAGATTCCGTGAGCGGGAAAGGCGGGCCGGTAGAAAACGTACAGAAATTCGAGAAGAAACGGGAAGAGAGATGGGGCTGCGTAGAACCCATGTCGAGGGCATGCCAAGATACCGCAAGGGGAGACGCGCAAGCTTCGGAACACGACGCGTGTCACGGCAAGGAGGATGCGTAAGCCAGGAAGTCGCGGAAGAGGCAGGCAGAAGCCATAAAAGACCTAAACATAGGATGATCAGACAGTATATAAAGCCAGTAGTCGAGAGCGAATAAAACTCGGAGAAAGCTTTACCGCCTTACCTGTCCATTTTCCAAACACCGTTATATGCTCTCAGGTACTCAATGCGGGGAACCTAGACACCCATATGCATCCGCCGGAGAGGTTGTTGATTACGCCCATGATTTAGCGTTTGACGTTTGACAACGAAACATATATCTTTGATTCCTTACGCGTACACGTTGTAGTCCAATGTTAACGATGTCTAGGATTCGGGAGGGGTGCACGTCGAAGCACAGTTGACAGATAATAGCTATCTTCGCTAATGCTATTCTAATAAAAGAAAAGGTGATATGAATTGGCACGATGCAGATCAGAAAGGAGACGTACCCCAGTGTTCCCCTCGAACTTCCTTCTAAATCTCAAGGCAGCGTAGAGCGCAAGACAACTCCAAAATCCCAAGTGTAACTAGAGCGCTGAAAATAAAACATGCTATGAATCTATTCTCGGCCTGAAGGACGATAAGATTTCCGCGGGATTCAGTCACATCATGGTGGTGAGAAAGACTTTGGATTGGTGGACCATAGGGCTGATAGAAGAGTAGGTAGGAACGTGGCTCTGGGCCGTGACAATGGGCTATTTTTGGCTCCCAACGATCTTTCTCCTTTGATTCCTACAAAAAGGTGTCTGGAACTATTGTGCCAAAATCTCCCACAAGTCCGTTCCTCTGTCTAAATTCCTTCCATTTTACAAATTCGTAACTGATTCTGGTCTTGATTTAAGATGCTCGCCTACGCTAGAGGAGAGTCCGGCGGCGGCGTCTTGAGTGCCGCTGAAAACGAATATTACCGAAGTTTGAATACCACCACCGGAGCCATGGTGGAAGCTCCTACTGAACAAATGGCTTAACACAATGTGACAACTGTCTTTCGCCTGCATTGGCTACTTGTAGAGCGGTCTGTTTCTCTTCTTCAATCCTCTCGCTTTTTCTAATGTATGCTTGTAGTAACGGCTAGCAGATGGCTATTCATCAAGCCCTACGGTCGCGTCCCAGATATTAAAATGGTGCCTATGGTGTTTGTTCGGCGCCACACCACAATACCTGTGCCCAGAGCCTTTGGAAGTTTCCGATACCGGGCTCGAGATTTTCTCGTCATGACAAGGACGCCAGAGCATAGCTTGGAACTCTGGGAATGGAGGGACTTGGAAGATGGAACAAGATCCGCTCTGCTCGTCCAACTCCGCGATTATGTCCTCCAGCTGCGAAGTATCCCTCGTCCTGTCGGATCATCAACGGCGATTTGTTCTGTTCTTGGTGGGCTTGTCTACGATTTACGGCTCTGTACTGATGGTCCTTACGGTCCATACGTCGCGAGGATCAAATGAATCTCCAGCTCCGCTTAGGTGTTCGTCTAGAGTGTAGTCGACCTGAGGTCATAGAATCACATCGGCGTCGCCATCCTATTCTCTTATATCGCACCCCAGGAATATCATGGTTGATGGAGATAGAGTGACGGGGATAATTGATTGGGAGTCGGCAGGATGGTATCCCGCCCATTGGGAGTACTTGACGGCAATGTTTGGCCATGATTTTGAGCCTTGGGAAAGGGATATCCTGAAGATCATCCACACCGTAAATGTAGAAATTTAGGACATCCTGACTATAGTACCTATACCTAACTTTTCGGAAAGTGAATGAGACTTGCTGAAATTTCGTCCGATATCAAAAGTTCCAAGACGGCGTGAAATTTATCTCAAATCAAAGAAAGCAGGAATGGATCACGAGATTCCGGTGTTCGAACCGAAGCTAATTGTTTCCAGCTACCCTGAATCAATGCCGAAAGCATCTGTTTCGGTACATACTTCGGCAAGACCAGTACTGAAAATGTGAGTGCTACCGAAATCCCGTCTGGAATACTTTATTTCGGTATCCGTGTTAGGCAAAGCCGAAACTAAGGTTTGGGGCGTCCTGGGCCGGAACGGGGTCATGAATCCTAATTTGGGTATACTGGATGTCGGCACGGGAATCAAAGGTCTGGGCATGCATTCCGGGCCCCCGCAAACCTTAGGTTTACCATCTGCCGAAACTTTGCCCTGAACGGAGGCTTTCGTCACTAGTTCAGGGAATTCCTGAATCTTTGCTTTCAGAGCTCGATTACGGCAGCCTGGATTGAAATTCGATATCTTACATTCCGGGGATGATTCAATGCCTTCTTGAACCTTTGGTATGGCTACCAGTATCAGTAAGTCCTGTTTTTCACATGAAATCTTAGGTATAGGCAAGTAAATCCGACTCTCTCAAATTTCCGCATTCCCGGAGTGATCCCTCCGTTCGAGTTTGAAATCAGTCGACCAAGGGTATAGTTGGGGTATTGCAAAGTGGAAAGCACTTGATATTTAACATGCGGGTTTCGGTTTTCTTATATCCGCCAACCGGTACTTTACCGAGGGTATATGGAAGTCCGGGACAATTAGACGATTAGAAGTTACATCGTCATGAGACTTATCTCTCTCGCATCACATATTTCTCTCGCTATCTTGATAAGCAATCTCCTGGGACGGGACAATAAGATTTGGAATGAGATTTGTATAAGCATCTTTAGCACCTCCGTCCTTGTTGCTCATTGTTGCCAGGCGTGCTGTAAGTGTCCCGGCTGATCTAGACAGAATTTCTTACAAACCCACTATAGATGGCTGTTCACTTAGGCGTTGCTCTACATTACGTCCAGAACGACATAGTCAATCCTCATCCATACTTTCATTGGGTACTCGTAGCCACTGAAGCCATGTCCTGGCTTTCCCCATTCTCCCCGACCCACACATTCGAGATCATCCGTAACACTGATACCAAAAGGCGCTGGGAAACAAGGTTCAGAGCGTCCAACCTGGGTAACTCGACATCCTTGGCTGGTATCGTGGAGTTTGCGCAGACCGATCTGGACATGGACTCCATCAGGAGGGTGATCGAGACCCACCCTGCGATGGACGAAGGGTGGAGAATTCAGGGACCAACTGGGTGGTCTTGCGCAACTTGGGTCTTGCATGTCATGCTCACCTTGGAAGAGATGGCGATATTTGATCTTCCGGAAAACCTCACGCCGGATATGCTGTATGATAGCATTTTGGGAGAGGGCTATAGAATCATCATGGGGAAGCTGCCAAGTAAACCCACACCTGTCGTCCAGCTTAGTGCTCACTCGTTGGTGAGGATCCGGCTTTGAATTGTGTATAATTGCTGTCGCTGACAATTGAATCCCAGTGAATCACGCAGGGTGCTCTCTTGATATTAGATAGCCATGATGATGGGTTAGCATCACCATTTCTTTGGAGTAGGGGAGCGAGAATTCTCCGGTTGAGACGCTGAGAATACCTGTGCTCAATTGTGGGTCTAGAGCCAAGTTGAGATTATAATACACATTGATACAACATTTTCGGTGAAACCGAGTATAAGAATTATGATTCTGCTTCCGTACTTCCATCGGGCCCGTAGTGGACCACACTTTGCTTGACGGAGACTTGCACGGGATGGGCGAACGATGTGCCCTATAATACTGGACTTTCAGCAAGTATTTAGGGAGATGAAGTCAAATGGCTCACGGGGTTAAGGATGTTCACGCGTCGCGGGTTTCTCGCGTTGAACACGTCGAGGTCCACGACGCCATCAGAGGTGGAGCGATCTCGGCTGTTCCGAAGTTCGTACCGGGTGATGAGGGTTGCTAGGAGGGAGCTTGAGTACACTGGTGAGAGTGTGAGTCTTGGGTTGAAGGTTTGGCGTTTGGTACGCACGTTTAGATATGACGAAGTATAGGCCTAGGAAGACGAGGTTGTTGTTCATCGTAAGCCACTGGAATCGGGCAGGAAGTCAGCATGAAAAGAGACATGATATGAGTTATTTCTGGGCTTACGCAGATCATCGATGCGATGGTGGCAGCGCTGATAACAATGAGCGTCAGAGTCCTTAGATGCAAGGATGGATCACATACCACGTAACGGCACCACATTCTAATGTGTATAGAATGAGTGAGTCTATTATATGGTCGAAGCTGTCGCCGAACGTTAAAACTCATAGGCCGACAGGAAGTATTCTCTTACCTCAATGAAACTTTGCGGTTGGTGTGGAGTAATTTTAGTAGTGAGCCGGTAATGAGGATATCCACAGCGGATGAGAGTGCGAGTCCGGCGGAGAATACCCACTGAGTGTGTGCCAGTGAATGAGAGAGGGAGAGAAGATGAAAGGGATTTGTCGTACGCCAAATTTATTCCTGAATCCAGAATATGTTCCAATGGATAGCCTGGAGAGTAAGGATGATTAGTCCAGGAGAGGGCTGATAAGTGATGGAAAACATGCATTGCTCCAGCGGTGACTGAGATGGCTGTTTGAGCTGTTTGAGCGGAGAAAATTGGAAGGACACGCACCACAAGCACAGGCTGTAGGAATCGGAATGAGATTGGTGCAGAGGAAAGATCTTCAAAGGACATACTTAGCCGGAGGAAAGCGAGAATGACCTAGGAGATGCAAAGATGTTAGAAGCCCATCTTCATAAACGATTAACGGTTTATAATTACAATCAATGCTGCAAGTATCCAGTTGTTTCTGCTTACTGTAGGAGCTGGCTGAGTCTTGGTATATTACGAATTGGAAAGATGCGCACGCCGATATATTCGCTCAGCGAAGAACCTATGCAAGTGAGAATCCGATTCCGAACCGTATTGGACGGGACATACAGATGGACAAATATGGTAGAGATGGCCTTTTGTCGGTAACATCAGGACAGTCACCGTAAGATCTGAGGTACGACGTACTGTAAGGATGATTGTAACCTTTGACGGCGGAATGAGTTGGTGCTAAGTGTCGCAGGTGAGAGGCCTACCGATATCGCTCTAGGGCAAAGTCAGGAAGGGCGATAATAGAAGGGAACAAGAACATACGGGGGGATTTGGTCTATCCAAGCTGTGTTGCCAAAGTGAACGATCAAATAGTTCCATATCCCGGCCCAAACAGTCCCGCTGTGAGCGACGTCGAGGAGCCTTACATTGCTGTGTGAGCTCACATGTAGGTTTGCGAGTAGAGGGGACCGACCATAGAATAGTAACCTGTACAGTAGCGTTGCAGACACGATGAATTTGATGAAAACAAGGAAGCCCTCACCAGAGCTTTGATGCGGGGTTTGTCCTGGGGGAAGAGTTTGAAGTAAAGGAGAGACTGGACGGACAACATGCCGGTAAGACTGTTGGACTCACTGGGTGAGAGATGAGACATCGGGGAAGAAAGTACTTACACCGCAGAAAACAAACCACCAAGAAGCAGAGAGCCTATGGTATACGAGAGATTGACCATGATGAGCGGAAGCAAGGCAACAGCAGTGCACAACAGCTCGTGTGATACAGCTCATATATAATTCGGACCTAGGGTAATAGGAGTACGGACGTTAATACAAAGCAGGATACGATCGATGATCGACCGTCGTAGAGGCGTAACCACAATTACAAGCCACAGTCCGAAACATCGGTTACAAATACCAATTTTCTGAGCGTCCCTGCCCTTCTCTGACAGTGAAGTGATGAATAACGCCTCTTGCGAAGGAGGGATACCCGTAAGTACAAACTCGGGTGCACGTTTTTGGTCCCATGTTTATGTCCCCTGACCGTTTGTAGGCCGTCTTCCAGGGGGGACTTGGCGCCGCTGAGAAATTGAAGTTTCGAACCTCGATCACAGGCTGGAGCCTGCTGCACGGGATCTAATAGATATCTGATTTTGGATTAAAATGCTGTCATTATTTGCGCGCCCTGTGGAAAAAATGTGGAATGACCAACCTTTGAAACTTTTTGGTGTATAGATGAACCAGATCCAGCACCTGTTAAGCCCGCTAAAGCACAGATGTAATAGCTGTTAAAAACGTTTTTTAACAGCTATAACAACTGCAAGGGAGAGGGATATCTACGGTACTTGAATAATTATTGAATAAAGCTGTCCTGCGTGCTCGTAATTATCAAGTCCTCTGGCATGTTTTATCAGCAGGTACGCATGACATAACTGAGCATGCGGACATCATTCCCCCCGAGCATGCGCTCACCGAATTACCTCCGTCATCAGCCGCCCATCAAATTTGCTGTGCCGAGCCTTCTGTTCATCACCCCGCACGATGAGCTCAACCATATAGTGTATATACCTCAAATTTCAGCCCAAAATAATAGAAAAATGCGTAATATATAGATTAATTTTGTCCATTATGTTTTTTGACCTAAATAACATCAAGTGGCCTCATGAGATAGGGAAAACTATCAGAAATACGTGGTAAAAAGAGTAATAGGGGGATAGAGGAGACATACCTGGTATTTTACATTTCTAGTGGTTGGGGCGGGTACTCCTGTTAAATAACAGATGATATACATTGTATAATCATGTGTACAAAACTCCATGGCTATCCGAAATTTATTGAAGGAGATATGAGCAGATCATTCTGCAAAACAGGAGGAGCACATCCCCAATTTCGATGTTCCAGTCATCCTATGGTCCTGGGATTATCAGAATCGGATTCCTTGACCCAAAAAACACTAGGAACATCTATCATCCATGGGGGTCATTTTACCCAGATAACATATACAGGCATATGTAGCTATAAGACAAAATGTAAGAACCTCTTGTACTTCGGAGTTTTGACATATTACCCCCATGGATGATAGATGTTCCTAGTGTTTTTTGGGTCAAGGAATCCGATTCTGATAATCCCAGGACCATAGGATGACTGGAACATCGAAATTGGGGATGTGCTCCTCCTGTTTTGCAGAATGATCTGCTCATATCTCCTTCAATAAATTTCGGATAGCCATGGAGTTTTGTACACATGATTATACAATGTATATCATCTGTTATTTAACAGGAGTACCCGCCCCAACCACTAGAAATGTAAAATACCAGGTATGTCTCCTCTATCCCCCTATTACTCTTTTTACCACGTATTTCTGATAGTTTTCCCTATCTCATGAGGCCACTTGATGTTATTTAGGTCAAAAAACATAATGGACAAAATTAATCTATATATTACGCATTTTTCTATTATTTTGGGCTGAAATTTGAGGTATATACACTATATGGTTGAGCTCATCGTGCGGGGTGATGAACAGAAGGCTCGGCACAGCAAATTTGATGGGCGGCTGATGACGGAGGTAATTCGGTGAGCGCATGCTCGGGGGGAATGATGTCCGCATGCTCAGTTATGTCATGCGTACCTGCTGATAAAACATGCCAGAGGACTTGATAATTACGAGCACGCAGGACAGCTTTATTCAATAATTATTCAAGTACCGTAGATATCCCTCTCCCTTGCAGTTGTTATAGCTGTTAAAAAACGTTTTTAACAGCTATTACATCTGTGCTTTAGCGGGCTTAACAGGTGAGATCCAGATACCGGACCTGCGGACTGTGAATCGGAGTTCAAAAAACGCGACTTATCACAGTGTGACGGTACGCGCCTCTCCCGATGACGACCAGGACAGTGAGCCCGACAGATTACAATCCTCGACCCACGAAGCGTCAGCGTCGCGACAGCATATCACAGGGCGCCACTGCTGTCGACGGCAATGACCTTGCTCCCTTGAAGGCGATCGCCATGGCTCCTAAGCCGTCATGTCTCACACCATTACCCCCCTCTCTCCTACTCATTTCGCTTCCAGGCATTCTGATACATCCACCGACGCATCGGTATCATGCCCAATCTCTATGCCTTTCTCTTCTTGCTCTTCGAAGGTGTTTGAACCTACCGAATTTGACTCCAGAGGTGGAATGCAGAGCATGGACTGCTATGGTGGAGGTTGGTATGCTTGTAATAGCCGGGGGCTTCAGTCAAAATGATGACCATTTGTGGGCAAAAGCCATCGAAATTGAGGTATGTGATATGTTTCTTGGTGTCGAACTAGGCTGACGGTTTGGGTATTAGGTGGAGAAGGCTGCGAATAAAGCAGTGAGTACTATGTTGTATATCTATTTCGTGTACTGAATTGTATGCTTGTAGCTAAATATCGCACAAAAAGTGAGTTTCCTTCTCGGATAATGTCATTATTTGACTGAACGCATGACGCCAGCACCCGACCCTTCGACTGTATCGTCCCCATGTAACTTGCTTAACAGCACGACTGCTGCACTGGCAACGCAAGTCCAAATTCGCCCTCACTCTCCTTCGACGTCTGCTCAATTCGTTCTTACCCTCTGATCCACCCCATGCGATTTACGCCGCTCATCTTACCCTCATCTCACATCTTACAACATCGAACTCGTCTTCCTCGATATCTAGTCCGAAAGAGACGAAGGCACCCCTATCTGCTATACAAGCCCTGGCAGACCTCGCCGACAACAACAGGCACTCTAGCGTCAAACTATATGCTCTCGTCCTGAAGCTGAGGACGCTGGTGTCGTCAAATCTGTGGGAGAGCGTCGACGATGCCCTACGCTCGGCAGAGGAGGCTCTGGGAATAGATTGTCTTTCGGTGCAGGGCTCAGCTGTCGCAGAAAAGCAGGTCCTCAACTCGATATCCAACACACCTCGGTCGCAGGAAGGAACTATAGCCGGTTCACCGAAACAACCTTCTACTCCTACTCCATCGATGCCAAAGTTCGCTGACAAACTGGCTGAAATCATGGCTATCCATACCTTGATTATCGGCGTCGTCTTCCACACTTTCGTCGGTAACTTTGCAAGAGCAAGTACGCGTCTAACCCTCCTTCATATGCTCATGGACTCCGGGGTCTTGATAACGTCAGGCAGCGGCGTCGTCGTCGAGATAACCTTTTCAAATCCACCGTCACCTCCTCTTCTCATTCAAACGACTCATCCGCGTGTCCTTTTCATTCTTGCCTATCTCGTCAGCGCCATCTCGAGGAAAGATCCCGTCGGCCGAAAACCCAAGCGAAAGATCTTTGCCGTCGAAGGTCTGGCGGTATGGGAGAAAGAGATGCGCAAGGAGCTTGTTGTTCCCCCCTGGGCTAGCGTTGATGATGTAGAGCAGATGAACCTGACGATGGCCCGGCTGAAGTGTGACTTGCTTTGCGAGCTTATCTCGGTTCATATCATGCGGTCTGAAATCCCGTTCGCTGAGAAGCATCTCGCTGCTTTGACGGCGCACGCTCGTACGAAGGGGCTGTTTGACGCTCTCGCCGCCCGCATCATGTTGCACCATGCACATCTTGCCCATACAAAGGGTGATATGCAGTTAGCTGGCAATTATTATCGAGCAGCGGCTTACCTTGCGGAGGATGGCCCCGCTAGAGACCATTACGTGTGGACGTCTGCCCGTGCCGGTGAAATCGCTTTGAGAATCGGTGTATGGGCTCGAGGTGAACAGGACGAAGATAGCTGGGAGGCTATCACGGAGGATGGATTGTCCGTCATCGACGACTGCCAAACTCAGGGTGGCACTCTGAGGAGTATAGGTACTCTTATCGAGGCGTGTCTGTCCTCGGAAATCCTCAAGGCCAAGTATGTTCTTATTCTAATACCTTTATCTTCGTGTACTGACCATTCTATGCTCTCAGGAATTTGCTCAGGTCGGCGATGGGTGGTACGACAGACTCGAAGGACAATCATTTACGTGCATTAACCTTGGCACTGCTCACGCCACATTTCATGCATACCGCTATGGAACACGCTATGACCATGCTAGTGACGTGCGAGCAGTTGGCGTCGGGAATGGGCGCAGGTTCTGTGAAGGGCGCCAAAAACACAACAGGAGCCGATACTGTCGGAAATGGTCCGCTAAGGTTATGGATTGCAGAGCGAAATTTGGGTTGGTCTTTCCTTCTGTTTCTTTCTTGGACTGTGTGACTAATCTGGACTACAGAGATCCACCGAAGAAGGGGTGATATGGCTCGAGCCGAAAAACAAGAAGCCGCTATCGAGGCGCTCAGGAATGTTGTTCATTACTAGTTTACTCATGCATTATAGACTTTCGATCATGCATTATTTATTACCGACACACTCATATGTATCATGTACTGTATTATCATCTTGCTCGCTTGCTATTGATACTGTTTTCTCTAGGTGTCATACATGACATCGCAATCTTGAAAGACCCTTCCTTACTTGGGAACATGAGCTACCACTATCAGCGATGAAGTAGAGTTAGTGACGCGTGACGGCTCAAGAAGACAGAATGCGACGTCAAATGTGAATATAAGCAAGTGAGCCTCCGTTTAGGATAATGGTTTTGACATTTAAGTTTTCGCGCTCAGTCGCGACAAGGAAACGTCGACCAAGCTAAACGCCACCAAGGTCCTTAACGACGAGGAATTTCAAATCTCAGGCCCCTCGATGCCTGAAGACTTCTCGCATTCAAGTTGCTGCGATGTAGAAAAGTGACAAAGCCCATTCTAGCTCTCTCTCTCAAGTAGGTTCTGGCCCCAAGTTCATAAAACCCTTCGGAAGTCAGCAGGTCCCGCAAAATCCTCATGATCACGATCATGAAATTCTAGGTGGCGTCTTCCCCTCTTGTCAAGAAAGTCATTCAGCGAGGTGCAGTTTCACATACTTATGGCAGCCCGCCCTAGTACTACCCTGAAAATGCCGTTGGATTTCATTCAATGGCTGCGGATACCCCGTGGGTCCTTTGGGGTATTCTTTGCCGACTCCGAACGCCTCAATCAGTCGGCTGCCCTGGAAATCGATGAGTGTCTTTGTATCATCCGCCCATCCATCCAATATTGAATATCCGAGCTTATGTTAACTGTAGACTGTAAGGCACCCTCATCGTCCCGTACAGACGCATTACCCGTTCACGGCGAAGCATAGCTCGTCTTCGTGGGCTCCAAAACACCGAAGAATTGCTTACAATGCTATGATGGCCAAATCACCGTGCATCCAGGGGCTCCAAGGTACGCTGATTCCCATCCGTCTAGGAAGAAGACCTACTGATGTTTAACTTTAGATCCCGTATTGTCCCTCGAGGACGAATCAGATATCGCCTAGAAGGTACGTCATGGTCCGACTCGGTGTTCTCGCATCGCGATTTAAAGGTGCATCAGTGATGGGTCCGTGTCACGAGCCGTCTTGCTAATCAATGGCTCGCACTTCAATTGGACTCTAGAAGATACTATCAACATACATGGGCTCTGACGAGAATACACCTACTCATGGCTCTGCGAATTCGAATCAAATGTAAATGGGATCGAAGACCGGAACATCTATACCCGCACAGGAACATTCGGGGTGACCGGTGAGGCTGCACATAAAATGACCCTGCAATCACGCAGGCAGTTTTCTTCTCAACCAACATCTACACTTCTTATGTTAACGGTGTGTGTCCGCGACCTGCTGTACGTCCACTGTGCAGAAACGATGTCGAGGTAGCTGATTTCATTTTCTTTTCATATTAGCATTTCCAAAACGTCTTCACCGACTCCGGCGGCTTCGCCGCAACCTATTATACCCCAGGAATTGATCGATATCATTATCGATAATTTGTATAACCATCCCCGCTCGCTGAGAGCCTGTGCTCTCGTTTCATCATCCTGGTCAGGGCGCAGCCAGCAAAACCTCTTCTCTCGAATCACCCTCGCTGGCCGACCATGGCCTGACCAACCAAAAGGCCGAACAGCGGCGGAGCTATTTCTACGCCTGATAGAATCGGCTCCTCATGTCCCGGGCTTCGTTCGGCACCTCGAAATCATCGAGGGTGATGTCTTCAAGTCCGACCGGTGGCTCGCCCGGTCGATACCAGTCCTTGATCACATTCTACCCGCGCTCACAAACCTGCGAACTCTCCATATCAACTTTAGCGGACTCCTATGGCGCCATATCCCAGGTATTCACACTTCGTTTCTGTCCGCTTCCAGGCTCCCGGACCTCCACAAAGTAACGATATCAAGCCTCACCAGCGTTCCCAGCTTAGACAAACTATTCACCTTGTTCCAGGGTTCGAATATCGCAGATATCAGCTTGGTGAACGTCACCACCTGTGCCCTGACCAACGGTTCACAGACATATACCCCAAAATCCCTTCGAATACCACTCGAAAACCTCTCCCTCTCTCTTGATGGCGACCAAGTCTGGGGACTTACGTCGTGGCTCGCTGATCCATCATGTATCTTGCAACTCTCCGGTTTACGGAAACTGCACGTCAACATATTATATTCACGGGAGATGAAAGCCGTTTCCAGATTACTGGAAACGCTGCACATGCCTTCCCTGGAGACAATAGAGATCCAATTGGAGGCCCTTGGTAAGCAAGCGTTGCTATTTTAACCCTCCCTATTCTTATCCATCCAAAAACCTCACAGATTCCACTGATTCCATCCACCCGGAAAACCTCCCTGATATCAGCCGTTTTCGGCACGTCCGTTTAACGCTGACACAAGAATGCCTTGGATGCGAGTCGGAGGAGTGGATATCAGCCTCACTTGCCGCTATCTGCTGGACACAGATACTGGAGAACTTCAGGGAGAACGTTATTGAGACTGTTACGCTTATGCTACCCAAGATCCACCCGGAGAAGTTTCCAGAAGCCGAACGGATGCATTGGATTGCTCTAGACGCGGCTCTGATGCGTGCTGACATGTCGCATTTGCGCGGGGTGTACCTCGAAGATGAGATCAGTCAAGAAATGGGGTATCGGAATGCGGTTATCAAGAACATACTTCCTAATCTCTATGGAAAAGGCCTTTTAGTATTCTAGGTGAAGACCCTCCTTTATTTTCCGACGGAATACCACTGATTGGTCTTCTCAACTTTGGAAAGGCATTACATACCATGGTCGGAATCTTTTCATCTCGGCTTTTCACAGCACTTGTATATCCTTATCTATAATACCGTTTAGATTTGCTCCGATCCAGGTGTCTTCGTACGTAGTTTGAGCAGCCATATTTATTCAATATACCGCGTCCGGCTGCTTCACACTTTCGCGCCCTCTATTACACATTCACAGCAGAGGCCGGGTCATTTTAGCTCGTAAAAATTGAAGCCTTTGTCAGTCCTGAAAGGGTCGTCCGTAAAACGGCATGAAAAATCCCCCTCCCCCTAATAGAACAATGGACTTAGGATAACTTTTCGTTTTACGACACTCAAACCGAGAATGTAAAAACTAAAGCTGGAAATCGAAACCTTTTAAAATCCCGGTTTAGGCCATCGAAAAAACACCAGCCTCTGCAATGATTGAATGGCGAGGCAAGCAATTAAGCCAAAATAAATCATCCATATCCACGGACTTGGCAACGTATTAACATTATACACACTTCACATAGAAAACAACTCCGTATGCAGCCCCACCCCACCCAACTCCCCACTCCTCGTCATCCCAAGCCTCGCAACGGCATTAGACGCCTCCCTTATTAAACTCTCAGGCCCACAGACACACACCCCAACGCCCCCACCCAGACCTACCCAACTTAACTTCTTCTCTTCCTCATCATCAGGCGGAGGAGGTGTAACCAAATCCCCAAGCACCTTCCCAAATCCAGGACGCTCAAAGATCACGTCCGAGTTGGGAATAGATGGTACTGCATCGGGGTTACACAGACACGTAACGTATATCGAGACGTGCACGTCTAGTGTCGAACCGGGACGCCCAGCGACGTTGGTGATATCCATGAGCATAGGTGCGAACCAATCGATCGAGCCTGATGACGACATAATAAGAAATAATGAATAAAAGAGTAGAATGAAGGACCCTACCAAAAGACCGTATACACCACACAAACTCGATCCTCTTAGTCCGCTCCCCACGAGGCCTCCCAAGCTTGACACACTTCCCAACGATATCATCAAGCAAACCAATCGTGAACGTCGCTCCGCTCCCCCCAGCGAACAACAGCACGCTCTCGTACTGTCCCAAATCAATACTACACCCTCCATAGGGTCCATCCAGCATAACCTGCACCGGAACGTCTGCCCCAGTAGTCCCAGCCTTGTCTTCATGCTCCAAGCACTTTGTCTTATTCTCCGCACTCTCATTGGCAGTGAACACATTAAGCGCCCTCGTCCAATCACCCGACACCCTCGCTCCCAGTATGATCCCAGGCGAGGAGATACACGAGACCCTACTAGGCGCCGAGAGGATAGTCAGCGGGTGAGACTCGAATACGCGTCCTGAGAAAAAGACCCGTAAGCAGATGTGCTGCCCTGCTTCCCAGCCGAAATCACAGTCTGGGATACGAATCTAAACCGGGGGAATGAGCTGGCTGGAGGACGACAAAGAAGAGATTAGCTACGTACGATGGTCATCTGGTTGTCAACAGCAGTGACAGTAGCATCCTTGATTCGATACCGGAACAGACGCATGAGCATATCCAGGCCATAAAACGCCAACGGAGGGAATATCCACGGAGACGCATACGTCGTATGGTAGCATATCGTGATGAAGAACGCCACGAACCCAAGGACACTACAATCACCAACGTTAACACCCACCTAGCCACAGAGAATAAAACTCACTGAACAACAAAAAAGATCTCATAACAAACCCTCCTCGCAGGCCTAACACTCGTCAGCACAATCACACACAGCACCCCAAGCGCAGCAATCCCGCTCGTCTCCTTCTGCTCCCCCAGAATCGTCAGGTTCCACTCCAAGTGGTTCCTAATCCAGAGCGACCCATGCACGACCGCACCGAGGAACATGAACCGCCCAGACCAGCGGTGCACGTAGTTGAGCTTCTCGTACCCGTGCCCGGGGCCCAGGAGCAACGAGAGCAAGGAATTCTTCGTGGCGAACAGAAAGACCACAGGTAACTGCGCGAGAGCGAGGAACCCGGCTCGGTTGGGGTTGTCTTTCAGTTGAGCGTCGACGATGATGCATACCAGCACGATGGCAAGGTAGGCAAGGATTACGAAGACTATATCGTCCATGTGAGACGGTCTCGCATATGTATACGTGTATAACACTCACTCTGTCCAACATTCAGTGCAAGGAACGGAGGTGTCCACAACGTGACGCTCCCAATGGTCCCGAAGATGCATTCTAGGTGCTTCTTTGCTGGTATCGAGCGGCGCGGTGTAGCCTGCTGGAGGGGCACATATATCCCTTTGGCGCTAAAGTCCTCGCTAACGCCTTGAAACCACAACCAAGTCCTTCTGTTGCGTATCGAGCGAACAAGGTAGGGCAAGGAGTACAGAATCGCAGCACCGACACATGACGCCCAGATAGCGGTGAACCTGCGCTGCCACTTCGGATCTTCTACGTATGAACTTGATACTTTGTCAGTCACAGAACGCGGAAGCGGTATAAAGGACGTACTTGTATTGCTGGAACTCTGTTGGGATCGTTGGGGCAGTTCCAGCGCTCATCTTAGGCGATGTTGAAGGGTAGTGCGTGAGAGACTACTCGATGAGTACGACCACATTCACGGAAAGAAACGTCCATCAATCCGACGCTCGCACCGCAGTGCAAAAAGTTTTTTCGTTCATATTGATCCTTGTTTGGCGTTGGCGTCTGAACCTGTCCCGCCTTCTGCGATGAAACGATCAATTTTGTTTCTCCAAAAAAGTTGATTATTCATACAGCAATTAACAAAGACAAAGCATATTAGTGTCGCATTAATGGGCGCTTCCGAGCCCATGGGTACCAAACCTCCCAAACAATGTCTCGCCTACTCCCATGCCGATAATGATGGAGAGAATGAATCCCACCTGGAAGGTCCTGAAAGTCCAGGATCAGAAACTGCACACACGTCGAAGAGAAAATACCCACATGGCTGCCAACATGAATGTGAAAGACAAAGCAGACTGCAGCGCATGCATGGCACCCCTTGCCAGATCGTTCCTAAGAACAAACGGCGGTGCAGAGCGCAGTACGACAGACTTGAGGGTACCCGGCTCGGACTTGAGCGCCTCGACTTCGGAAGAGGAGTCGCGGTTCTTCCGTGCATAGAGTACCTGGGCCCTGGAAAGCTTTGTTAGCATAGGTGAATGGAACTAGATTGACTCGCAAACCTTCTTGCCCAGTGTCCTTCCATGACCCTCCTCATCGCCGCAAGCCAGCGGTCAATCAACGCCAACATGAAAAAGCCAATACATGCTCCAACCATCGCACCAGCACTCTTGGGGACCCAGCCCTCGAACAGCAGGATATCTCCCGGTGTGAAATGCAGGTACGGCACCATCATACCCGACATAAGCGTCGTGTCTCCCGACGTATCCATCCCTGTCATAGAATCCATACTAGACGTAGAATGCGCCAGAACAAGTGGTAGGAAGAGCGTCAGGAGGGAGAGCATCTTTAGCAACATCATGGACCAGTGGATAATGGGATCAAGTCCAAATTCACGGCTTGTGCAGGAACGTACAAACACACATAAACATGCAGGTTCCGGTGGTGCGAAAGGAGAGGAATATGAAGTCCGGAAGGATGCTGCATTCAATCTCTGGTATCGGGTCCTGTAGTCGACACTAATCTAGACACATCGTTTCCGAACAGAACGAACGACGAACGACAGACAGTGCTCGAAAACCAGATTGTAGGGGCTGCTGGACAACAGGATTCCCGAGTCATTCTCCGAGTAATAAACAACCGAAACGAGACCCGCGGATCTGAGTGCACCGGATGTCGTTGCCAGTGGCCAACGTGGAATAGCTCCTTTTGCCGGTCACGCGGTGACGGCTGACGAGAGCGAGATGACGAGAGTCCAGCGAGAGGGGAGGCCCAATCAGCGACGGCCAGCGAGAGATGCATGAGGTCTACATCGATCCTGGTATGGAATACGACTATCTGAGCCGGATCTGTGATGATCTTATTAGCAATGATAGACGACAGCGAGGACGGTGTACGACGCACCTGGGAAGGGTCACCAGACAAATACACCTCCTCATCGTGGTATCAAGACCTTAGGCGACGAGTCGCCCCAAACCCCTCCGGTCGACTTCATACCACATCCTACGGGATTCCAAGGTGTATATGGAGGACAATACGACCTATACAGTCACGGAATACAGATAGAAACAGATTCGCTATCCATGGCGAGGAGGAAAAGTCGCAGAGGAAGGCTGCGACAGCGGCTGGGAGGATGATGGTGGTTGAGAGGAGGAAAGCAAACAGAACAAATCCGGGCCCCACGAGTCCTTTTTGCGGTGGCGTGGGAATTCGATCATGAGCCTTTTGTTTCATTGGCTGAACATCACGTGGGACCAGCAGGGTTAAGTATTCGATTTCAACTTGATACTTACCTGTCCGGTCTTTCTCATATACGACTTGGATACGAGATTCCCTACTCTTTTATCTTCCAGTCTTTCAATGGGGGTGAAGGTGAGGAGGCAGAAGGACCAGTGAGTATTTTTGGTTCACATAAGTATGTCATTATCAAGTCGTATTGCGCGACATTGCATCGATGTTGGTATCGCTATCTAATATCAAGTGCGAAGAGTCTATAATCAGCAAACATTGCAATTTTTCCATGGGATAATGAATAAGTTTCTCTTACTACCAAGCTGAGAAGATCGTTTATTCATTTCACCGCCATACTTCTATCACTGTATAATCTACCATCTCCTCAGCTTTGTCGATAATTCCAGCTAACGTATGAAAACACCTTTCCCCAAGCTGTGAAACACATAACCTGCTGTCATATTTCACAGGATTGACTTTTTCCTCCCCATACAATCCCCAATTCACTGTCTCCTCCAAAGCACCCTGGACACTACTATCACTCAACAGCGCATGTAACCTCAAACACGCGTCCCTCATTCTCCCACGGAGCCTATCCCTGAGATCGCAGTCCGGCAAACTCAAGAGGAGATCCCTATGATACTCATACAACCAATAATGATACTCCTGATACCCAGGATTCCATTCAAAGAAGACTTCAACAGGAACTTCGACCATCCCCTCGCAATTAAGTGCGCAGAAGTACACAACCGTCGATGCGTAATCATCAAAGTCGACGAGACGGAAGTTGTTCGCATCAAAGATCTTGAGAGCGATGGCAGTAGAATAGTTCATGATGAACTCAAGACTGTCTTCTCCTAATTCAGTTTTCCGGTACGGGGAAGCCTCGTCTATCTTCGCACGGATAGCATCTTGATATCGCTGACGACATCGATACCCGATAACAACCGAGCATAGGAGGGCGTTTACTAATTACCAAAATATCAAGCCCCGCTGAAGCTCGTTACGACAAGGGAAACACTTACGACACATAAAAGCATGGAAGCCTCCGAACTTTCCACGGGCATCATTCCTGATTGACGGTGCCCTCAGTGTAGGATGCCATCTACGGTCGCTCCAATTCTTATCCAGCTGGGCATTAGAGAACGCCAGTGAGGTAAGTCGATGCCTATGAGGAGCAGCGAGAGTGTCAGGTACGATCACAGATGAAGCCCGGCATACGAGGAGGGCGCGGAATGGCAGACTCTGAGCGCGAAGGTGGGGTTGCATGAGACCTGGACAGATCCAGTAGCGAAAACCGACCGTATGCATGTGTATGAAGGGAGAAGAGAAAGACTACTCGTCAGTCAAGATCGTTTATCAATCTGGAGCCGTGACTCAGACTGTGGCTGTTCAAGTTTTTGTCAATGTTAAGCGCTCGGCAGGGTATAAGGCGCTAGAGCTGCTATCAGATCTGGTATTTGACCACGAAAGACAGGAAGGCGTAAATGAAGGACGAGTTGTGGTGGCTGTAGAAATTGAAGACGGGATCCGGGCCGATAAGCCGACGTGCCCAAAATTTCAATTTGAGACCACCGCTTTTCCTACTACTATGATGCCGATGGCAACAAAATAAACTCCCCTCCCCCTTCATATTAAAGCTTAGTCTCGTGGGTACCCTCAGCGTGCAGACTGTCATGATCCCATCCTCTACGGATGATTCAACCCTGACAGATAGCCGCCCTTGTCATGTCGTATTCATAATGGCGGATTGGCGCCCAGTCGCCACATTTTTGAAGGGCATCATGCAACTTATTCTGTTCACATTCTGGAGGAGTGGTTAACTTCGAACATGACGCATGTCGCAGCTCACAGCTCTGGTCACCAACACCAACATAAACGAGGCAAAACAGATGGAAGATCTAGTCCAAACCGCTCACGAGAGATGACGTTATCGATTATTTTAACTAGTGCTCTCTAATATCTCGAGATTTCTTCTGAATTCTCACGTGATTTCATAGTGCAGGACGAAAAAGCATCCGAAAACCAGGACTGTTACATCTATGTCGATGGAAAGAGCAGTGGGCTGGTTGGACGCCCAGTTTAATGGACACGGCGGTTCGGATTGACCCTTGACCAGGTGGAGGACGTGTCTCTGCAAAATTACGTTCAATCCGTGACAGAATCTGCTGTTCATCGGATGCCCGGTCTGTGTTGCGTTTGACGCGCTATTTGGGTATGCCCTGTCCATTTCTTCAACGTGTGATCGATATTTATCATCACTCATCTGTAGTTCACGGGCAGCTTGACGCGGACTGAAACTCGGAAGCGGCCATCTTTTGCTCTTTATGAATTCTTCGTGCTCTAGGCGAGACCGACTTGGTCGAGGGCGTGAACTCGTATACCCAAGACACAATGTCCGTTCACGGCGCTGACGATTTCTGGATGAACGAGAGCGACGTTCACGGGGAAAGGCTGAAGGTCGATCCTTCGGAGGGCGCAATACAAACGTCGAATTGCAGCATTACAGTGTCTGGCCGACGATTTTAGTCGATAAAATACTTGGGAACGCAATCTCTATGAATTGATACGAGAGAGTCGGAACTCCCAGGTTGCCTTGCACGCGAGCCGATATCTTTGGCATCTTGTCAATTTATTGCACCTGGCCATCTTGATACCTTGGAATTCTTCATCGTGGCTGTCATGGGAAATTTTCTCCACGTGGGCTACGTTAACGGTCACTCTACACGGCGTAAATTGTCATTACATATATTTCTCTTGAAACTAACAAACCTCTGACAGGGTGGGGAGGTCAGGTCGGACAAACGCTATACTCTATTCTGATCCACTTCGAGCCTCGAAAGCATGCATCGGTGCACGATCTATGCATAATAAAAAGCCCCATGATTGGTCTGTCGCCTCCAGTGCGTTACCAAAATGAATTTTGGGGGGCTAGGATAAGAACTTGAGAAGAACTTCGGAAGGAACGTCATTTCGCGATTTTCTTGATTGACGTTATTCCCGTCGGACAATCATCAGTAGTACTGGTTGCTGCATGCTATGGCACCCCTTGGAACCACTTAAATCCACGCGAACGGCCCGAGGCCGTGAAAGACTCGGTGCTAATTAAGTTTGCTCCGGGCACGTAGAATTTTGCGAGCGCACTTGCGAGCATGCGTTTGCGTTCGCGAGCATGCGTTTGTCACGCTTGCATTTGCGCGTGCGAGCATGACAAAGAACTTCTTGAGATTTCTTGTATGAAAATAGCACCAGAATTTAGTCAATGCTTTTAGATGCGGAGAGATATAATACCTTTTGACAAAGACAAGAAAGTTGAACGTTATATTGAGGTGATGCTCTCTCAAAGTTCAAAACCAAAACTCAAGAGCCAAAAAATCAAGCTATGAAGCGATTCTTTGACCCGATATATCCAGTAAATCAATAATCTATCTTAAAAGTGGTCGATAGAGGAGTCTAATCCCAAGAAAATTTGCGTAAGGCATGGATGGACTTGGAGGAAGGAAGTTGAAGAAGCTAAGTTAAATGTTGGTTGCTGGTCAGAGAGGGTCAAATTCAATAGCAGATATATCATAGGAATATCAAACGAGCACAGATGTGATGACTAGATGCCGATCGCTCAGAAATATCAGAAGTGACCAACAGTTAAGACGGTTCAACTCTAGCCGAACGCAAATGTTACACGTTGTCACAACTCCGTCACACTTGCGAGCCAATTGCGAGCCGCCGTTGCTCGCTTGCGTTTAATTTCCAACCGCATGCGTTATTTTCGAGAACGCATGCGTGCATCTACTTAAGGCTTGCGTTCGACTTTGGGATGCATGCGTGACATCTTTGTGAGATGCGTAAGCAAGTTTGGTTCATTTGAGAACCTGTTCATCCCACCAAGTTCAAAAAAGGGTAAGATTTCTTAGTCATTTCGAAGTGAAATGTCGCTGTGATGGAGAGATCTCTTTTTGTAACTAGCACCTATACATTTATAGCATTTTCGTATTATTCAACGGCTTTCCTGAGTCATAGTAAGTGACATTGACCTGGTGGGGCATATCCAGGAACTCGGAACAGTAAGTAAATGATCAAGATAAGACACAGTTTACTAGTGTCTTTAAGACAGCACTAAGTATTCATAGGCCATGCAAACAAACGTATCCATATGCGTGCAAATGCATGCAAGTTAAGTGCAAGCGAACGCAATTGAACTTGAGTTGAACGCAAATGAACCGCAGTTGAACGCAACTCGCAAGTGTCGCTCGCAAAATTCTCCTGGCCCGTTTGCTCCCGTTAGTGTTGATAAACAGTCCCCTTTTAGATATAAACCACTGCCTTTCGCGCTCTGTTCCCCACGGTGCCTGCGCTTTGGCTTTCCCTCGGACGATGTATTACCGACCAAATGTTCTTTTCCTTCGCTGCTGTTGCGTCCGTTGATGACTACGCGCGCACATAAACTCTCGCTTTCTTTAATTCCGGCAGATATTAAGATTCAATGAAGCAGATTCCTTCCGGTACTAATACTTGAATTCTTCCTCTGACCATATATGATATTACATCCCCTCCAAGAATAATAATACTTCTATCTCAATTCCGGATGCTCAGCAGTATATGGGATAGCTCTGTCTAGCTTCCGCCAAAGTAGCTCTCCGTCTGAACCGCCAAGTGGAGGGTTCATGCCATTCTCGTTCCATAGATCCCTCTGGAAAACGCGTCGAGATGAGTCTGGGAAAGTAGAGTAACACACGTTCTCGGCAACTCACGTCCATTTCTGTGATCTGTATTTCCCATCTGATTCCTCGCCCTTTCGTAAATGGCTCGATGGCTTTCTCGTATCGCTGCATGAAGTCTCTTTTGCGTTCGCGTCTGTAGGGTCTCCTCAGTATTTATCCTTGTCGCATTGTACAAAAACGACTTGCGATGGCAGATGTCGGGCAATGTGATGGATGGATATCCTCACAAAGTCAGTGGAGGACTTTCCGCTGACATAGAAGTTCTCCTCTGAAACCTCGATGAAGTTGACTACGACGTAGAAGCGTGGAAGACCAGCTTTGACGTATACTTCGGTCACAGCCTCGGCGATAGACCGTTTGTCGCAGGAACAGTAGAGCCCTTGGGGGACATAGAAACGATGGAAAGGCATAGATATGATAGAAACGGACACAGCGGTTCTTGTACGCTCATTTCGGAGTCCTTTTGTACTTGGACGGTTAATCACAGCCCTTCGGGTCTTGGCACAAGGTCTATTGCATATCTGAGATCGGATTCAACTGAAAATTCGGGTCACTAACGGCTTTCTGAAGTCCGTTTGAAATATACATGGCCCGATAAGCTCCAGTCGCGATGCTTTCACACTTTGGTATGGTCGGTGAGAGGAAGCCCGAGGCACATTTGTCGTAGCTCTTGAGGTGAATCAATAGTGGGTGATCAAGGATCGTGGCCTTAGCTTCTACCCTAAGGAGTCTGAGTATTTGGCGAGACTCTGGTCACCGGTGCGTTTTGAACTTTTTCAGCCTAGAAGCTGCTGATTTCTGTAAGTAGTTCAGCAAGTTCCGATGGCCGTACATCGTTGCGTTGAGTTTTCTCTGGGCGCGTGATGTCGAAGAATGATAGTTGCCTACCTCCCAGTTACTCAATGATGCACGCGTTATGCGTCCAAACTTGGAAACACCGCTCGAGTACCCCTATCCAGTTATGATAACATTCAAAATATCTCTTTGGGAAAGCCGCATAAGCCGGGATCGGTCCCGACAAGTATGAAGTACTCGATGGACGCGGCCCGGAAAGATATAAACAGAGCTGTAGCCTTCTAAGGAACATTATATTATGATTACAGGTAGCGATGTACAGGGCCCGGCTAGCCAGGCCAAGCCAAGCCCTCCAAAGCTGGGTCCTGGTGTCGGGCTTGAAGAGGGCTTAGGCTCACGCTTCGGATTCAGAAAGCCCAAGCCCAAGCCTCCTGGCTTAGGCCCGAGCTTTTGAGGATGTTGTAGCACTACAACTAGGCCTCATAAATGACTACATGGTAATTTTGTCGAAGCTCCATAGTCCCTCAGAAATATGCGGTTGCAAAATGACAATCAATATTTCCGTGACTAAGTAGTGCTCGATAATCCCCGAGGCTTCTGGGAAAGCTGCTATTCTCAAAGAAGAGGTAATAAAGGAAGTCAATATAGTAAGTAAAGCAGCAGATTTACAACATGAACCACTACCCCCTGAAAGACAAGACTACTATGGTCAATAATACACTCGACAACAAAAAGTTTATTATTTGAACTCAAAACATGGTTATCACTTCCTACTACCCAAGCCCTGGCCTGAGCCCGAGCCCGGTAGGGCTTGGGCTCAGGGCTCGGGCTTACAATATCGAAAGCCAGGCCCGCCTTAAGCCAAGCCCAAGCCCTAAAAGCCAGCCCGAGCCGGGCCCTGTACATCGCTAATTGCAGGATATAACTCCGCGGTCAGTGGCACAGTGCCGGTCACTGACAGATTCCCACAAGATTCATGGCTGCAGTTCACCCATTTGGCATCAGTGTGCCCCTTCATATGCATGATAACTCGGACATTCAGGGCAACGTGGAGCCTCGCGGGTTTCATGAAAGTAGATAAACTTGGTCTCCCGGAGATGAAGCCTAGAAGACCGACTTAATTTGAAGTGAACTCTATTGTCATCTACTAATTGGTGGGAAAGGTTGATAAAGCCCAATAATTGCTGTTATATATAAATTTCCCAGCTCGCATGCTTACTGATTTCAGAGATAATGTTGTGAACTTGAATTGAACTTCCCGCGAAAAGGGGCGATATTTGTCTATGCTTGCACTCAAGGCTATTGGCCTGCCTCAGTTTATGCTTGCGTCCCACTCTCCAAATTGACTGCTCGACCTGCAACAGGTCTGATCATTTCAAGGATTCGACGCTCATCTTCAATACCAACCTGGGCGGTGTGTTTGATTGGTTTAACGAAAACTTAGTACACTGATTCAGGTCGTAGGATTCCTTGTGACGACCGGTGTTTGGGGTGTTGTCAAGCGCGGCGGTCAAAAATGTTGCCAGGACGTCACTTGTTTTTCTTACACTCGATGTTGTGTGTTGTCTCAGGGCTTGGAATTTGGCGACACCGTCGCTTGGGTGATAACTCGTCTTCCTCTGATGTTGGCCTGTGCTGTGTACTGAGCATGGAGAATAGGTTTTGAATTGCGAATTGTAATCTACATTTTTTTTAAGAATCAATAGATGAACGGGGTCCCCTCCTTTCCCCTCAGCACTTGGCGTTTCTGGTTCTATCATTGGACCCTAGCATACAAGACTTTCGCCATGTATGAAATACTCCGTGACGGACATTCGGGCAGGAAATCATATTGGGGGTCCGGGACTAATTCTGCTTGAATTCTCCTGCTCGCGGACAGCCAGCCCTCAATATTCACAGCGTAATGTATGAACCCCTGACATCATACTTTTTCTCGCTCCATCCATTTTCACTCAGGGGTCACCGAGAAAATACCCCAAGGTAGATTTCCTGAGCTGGTATTAACCGTGTACCTTATCAACGTTCTAGATGTCGAGCCAGAACCTCTGCCCGCAATGCGGCTACAATTCACAAAAGTGTCTCATCAAGTTCCACCCCGTCAAACTGGCAGGTTCGCGTATGTCTGAACTACTGAAATCAAATTGCCCCCCTCTCGATACCGAACGTCTTCAGCTGGAGGAATTTATTGGTGAAAATCGTGGATTCGTAGCCAGTTTGCAGGAACGGGTCAGTCAAGCGCGGGCAGTGCTGGATGAACTCTTGGAAGAGGAGAGACGCGTTAAGGACATGATTGAATCGTGCAAGACCTTCATCCAGCCCATTCGTAGAATCCCAGAGGGTGTTATCCATGAGATTTTTTCGAAGTTCTGCGATACTAAAAGGGAGGGAAAGGATTCATTGGACAAGAAATTTGCCCCACTGGTTCTTTCGCAGGTCTGCAGGGACTGGAGGAACGTTGCGGTATCGACATCTCGACTCCGGTCCTTTATAACGCTGGACTTTGACTGGTATCGTGACGAGCTGGCATGCCAGTATCTCCTTCAGACATATCTTCTACGTTCTGGGAAGCACGATATCACGCTCTCCATACACAGCAACAGCGATATTTCAAGGAGTCATCTTATTTCTGTTCTTCTCTTATGCGCCCCACGGTGGACCAATCTTTCATTGTCTATTCCCTATGATTCACTACACGCCTTTTCGGCAGCCAGAGGTTCCGTTAATCGTTTGAACCGACTTTCCATTGAGTTCGTTGGCAACGTTCCTGGGTTAAGCGTAAGGTTGGCCATGTCCGTATTTAACACCTTCGAGTACGCTCCACTGCTCCGAAGCTTCTCTCTGAAAGGAGTACTCAGAGGCGTCGAGCAGATGAACCTACCATGGTCTCAGCTCACCGAGTACAGTGGAAATGATTGGACGAGTGGCTATATTGATATCTTGAAGCGAGCGCAGGATATGGAGAGCGCTTCCTTACAATGCCACGATGACTCGGAATTCGAAGGGATGTTCCCTTCCTTATCTCACCGACGTCTTCGTGTGCTTCATGTACACGAAGAGGAAGAGAATCTGGATATAGAAGACATCCTTTCCGAAGGAGGGATCGTCCACTTTCTTTTGCATGTGGAGTTTCCCGCTCTGGAGTCTCTGAAGATGACGTACGTCCATCCGTATAATGTTCAAGTCCCCAAGTCCCTACTCGGCTCGACCGCGCGCGGCTTGAAGTCCCTTTCCATCGATTCGCCAATCATCCTTTCTTCCAGAGCACAAGCTGATTTACTCAACCTTCTCAGAACAACAGTGTCACTTTCGAGCTTCTCAATGACTTGGTGGTCGATACATGCCAACCCTCAAGGCGACGGGTTATTTTTATGGCTCAACAGGAACATCAACCCCGATGTCGTTCCGAGACTCGCCTCACTAGCTGTCCGGTTTATAAATAGAGAGCCGTATTTGTCGTCTTCATTCGTTGATATGGTGCAGTCTCGGAGGTACGCTGCGTTTGTCGGTACCTTTTTCCATAACACCGGTAGAGACGAACGTGGCTGGGCGTTGGAAGGATATGTGTGATGAAGGCTTCGTCACTTATGAGGTCGAGCCGTACTAGCTTTCTTACGTTCGATTTAAGAACGTATACATATCCAGAGTATTATTCGAGCGAGGACAGTGTTGTGTGAGGCGAGGGATGTGTACAGGTTCAAGTTCACAAAGCTTGGCCAAGGCGACTATGAAATTGAAGGCATACATCTCTACGGCCTATGGGTGAGGTACCGAGAGTCGTCAAAACTCAGTTGAGTTACTATGGGTGAAAGACTCGACGCGTTGAGATATTCATCGCAGACCCGGCGTACGGAATGTGGAGAGAATCTGCCAGTATGTGACATGAGCGATGATTAAGGATACTGAGTGGATTGGAAACGAGAATAATTGTCAGATATTTTGTTGCATTTGAATGCGGCCATACGAGAGATGAAGGGCATCTTGGAAGTGACTTCCTTCTAACCTCGATCAATCTGCAGCCGGCCCTCGAGAGATATTTCAGGAGCCGAGTACGTACCCCTAACAAGCTCCTTCGGACTATCGATCCGCGGTCAACAATCTTTCAGTTAAATCACTCACTGGCTAGAAAGAGTCTGCTTCAAAGGTAAACCATTGCATCTCACGGTAATCCTTCGATCTGAACATTACGGTAGATGTCTGCCTTTGTTCATTGCCCACGATGCGGTTACAACGGACAGGACAACCTTCCTCTTTCATTCGAAACTGTCCATCTAGCAGCTGTGCGAATGGCTGAACTATCAAAGTCAAACAACCCACCTCTTCAAGCCGAACGTGCTCATCTGGAGAGTGTTATAAGCGAAGGCCGCGGGTTTTTAGTCGGACTGCAGGAACGGATAGTGTTGGGATTTACAACTTCAAGCTTGTACTAGAAGATTCCCGAAGCTTCGGCTTACTCATTTGTCACGATACTTAGATATATTTAGTTACTTTGGTAGAATATTCTAGATACATTTCGTAGTATATAAGGAGCTCATTAGGAGCTCTAGTAGCTAACAATTCAGTATTATACCTACTGCAAGCCTCCCACTGCAATAATTCCAACAGATAGCTCAAGCACGTGCTGCACTTGACCTGCTTTTGGATGAGGAAAAGCGGGTCGAAGACATGCTCGAGTCCTGCAAGACAATTGTACGCCCCATCCGTAGGATCCCAGAGGATATCATACGCGAAATCTTCTTGACGTGCTTCGAGCGAGTCGAAATGGAGGGGAAGGATTCATTAGATGGGAGCTTCGAGCCGTTGGTTCTCTCACAGATCTGCAGCGATTGGAGGAGCATCGCGCTGTCGACATCTCGGCTTTGGTCATCCATTAAGCTGGATTTTGACCTGTATCGCAACGAGCTGGCGTGCCAGTATCTTCTCCAGACATATCTTCTACGGTCTGGGACGCATGATATTACGCTCTCCATACACAGTACGAAGGAGATTGCAGGGAGCCATCTGATTCCTGTTCTTCTTTTATGCGCCCCTCGTTGGACCAACGTTTCATTGTCCATTCCCTACGATTCACTACACGCTTTCTCGGCTGCCAGAGGATCCCTCCATCGTTTGAATCGACTTTCCATCGAGTTCGTCGGCCGCGTTCCTGGATTACCCGTAGGATTGGCCAAACCTATATTTGACGCTTTCGAGTACGCTCCACTGCTTCGCAGCTTTTCTCTCAAAGGAGTATCAAGAAGTGTCAGACAGATAAACATACCATGGTCGCAGCTCACCGAGTATAATGGAAACGATTGGACGAGCTGCTATATCGAAATTCTGAAGCTCGCACCGGATATGGAGAGCGCTTCCCTTCAATGTGATGAGCACTCGGAGTTTGACGAGACGCCCCCTCTTTCATCTCACGAACGCCTGCGTACACTTCATGTTCACGAAGTCGAAGAGGATCCAGATTCTCCTATCATTCCTGAGGGAGGTATTATTCGTCTTCTTTCGCATATAGAGTTTCCTGCTTTGGAGTGTCTGAGCATGGCGTACGCCAATCCATATATTCACATTCCTACTTCTCTGCACGGCTCGACCGCTAGGAACTTGAAATCCTTGTCGATCGATATGCCATTCCTCATATTACCGGAAACGCAAGATGATTTAATCAGTCTTCTCAGAACAACAGCATCGCTTTCCAGCTTATCAATGAACTATCGGCTGGTACCTACCAACCCTGAGAACAAGAGACTACTTCTCGGGCTGAACGCGAATATTAACCCCGATGTCGTTCCGAGACTGACCTCGCTGGCCGTACAGTTCACAAATAAAGAACCGTATTTGCCGCCTTTATTTGTTGACATGGTGCAGTCTCGGAGGAATGCTGGGCCTACACGCACAGCATTGCAGAAACTTCGTCTGTCGAAACCCTTTGTCATACCACCGGTCGATCCTGATGTGGCCGCGCGCTGGAAGGATATTTGCGATGAAGGCTTTATCATGTATGGGATGGAGTAGTAGCGGTCTCATGTTCGATTTCGGGGCATGTATAGTAAAAGAGTAAATAATGGAATCGTAGAAAGCATTGTTCGACGAGAATTGGTATCATGAAGACTTCACAAAGTCGGGTGGAAAATAACATATTACGAGAGTGTATCGTCGCTTTTATCACCAAGAGCGGAACTTGATAGCGGCTCTCTAGATCTAAACGAGTTGGTTTGCATTGGAACACGGGCTGGATGCAAGTAAACTGAAGATCCTCGCGTCATCACTGATCGACGCGGATCCTCTGGACGAGCCTGTCCCAAAGCAACTCTAGCGACGATGAGAGTTGGAGCGATTCCCTTTAAACACATCAACCTAGGGAAACAGAAAGAGGAGGATGTGAACATACGGTGACGGATGAAAGTATCACTTGTGGATATGGCGCCGTCAGATCGTCCCGTACGAGATAAATGAGGAGGAGGATGAGCGTGAGTGCATAGAGCGCTGACGACTCGATGAGAATCGCTATGACTCGGTGGTAGGTGTATAAATTGGTCTTCGGCCCACTCGGGGCTTCAGTGGTCAGCATCGGATAGAGGATTAGAGTCGTGCATATGATTGTCGTGCTGAGGGTCATGGAATAGTATGCTATCGCCCAGTCGGTGCCGCCTATAACGTCTTGGAATGGATGTGTTCCGAGGGCGTCGAGGTTCTGTAAGATGTAGAGGATGTTGAAGACTGGTAGGAGGAGGATGTCAGGGGAAATAATTGAAGAACTAGGAAAATCTGACTTGTGCCGCCGATGGTACAGAGAACGGGTAAGATGATCATCCGCCATTTGTGGCCCCAGAAGGTCCAACATCGCCAAATCTGATCAGTACTTTCAGTACCAGTCATAGATAGTTATTGAGGAGACGTCGCACCATGATACCATTCGCTATCAGGATGTTCACGCTCGATGTTACAGAGTATGTAGCTCGAGCAGGGAGAGTATTGCGGGAGGCGAGGGCCATGTACACGTACAAGTGTTCTGGCCCGTAGACAACGAATGCCGATCTTACTAGCTTCCAACGGAAGGCGAGATGCACCGTTGCTAGGGTATACATAACGAAAAGCACCAAGAAGAGGACGTTACGGTGGATGAATTTCTGTGTGTTGTGTTTCGAGACTGGTGATAGACATGAGTTGAAGGAAAACTGAAGAATGAATGGACAGACTCACAAAGTTTGGTCAAGGCGACGATGAAAATGAAGGTATACATCCCTACGGCCTGCAGGTGAGGTTGGAGTCGTCAAAAATGAATCACGCCTACCATGTGTGAAAGACTCGACGAATGTCGCGTTAAGATATTCATCGCAGATCCTGCGTATGAAATCTGAAGACAGTCCGTCAGTAGTATCCGACATGGGCGATGGTCAATGACAATGAGGTAGTTGGAAGCGAGAATAAATACTGTTCGTTGACTTGAGAATGCCGTACGAGAAATGGAGATTTTCTCGGAAAAATGCTGGCTCCTCGGCAATGACAGGCTAGTGTGACGAGCTGGATGATAGATCCCTCTTAAGGGAAGATTTGAAAATGGAACATTACCTCACAGACAAGAACAGGGTGTAATCGATGGCAACAAGCCTCAGAAGCTCGATCCGTACTCTGTAGAGCGCTTGTATCTGCAGCGAAGACTTGAAGACCTTAGACCAGTCCGGATCCTTTGCCAGTGCTAGCCTCTTCAGACTTCAACAGTGAGCTGAGTGAATTCAAGCGCAGAGGGACTAGAGTATATTGAGGGGGCTGAATGTAGCAGTGCATAGTAGTAAATCTCAAGAATTTCGAGACTCAATTCGCTGAAGAAGGGGAGTATTGAGCGTTTGTGCTGGAAGTTCGGCACAGTAACGAGTTGAATCGAGTTCGGTTGCTGCGGCCCGCGGTCAATGACGGAGCGCGACTTCGAAGTCTGAATGAGGATCGGCCTCTCGGCACGAACAGTTGGTCTTTCCTACCGCCATCACTGTCTGGCTTCACTCTGCAGGATACAACATATTCTGCTCCTGGTACGTTGGTCCTAGAAAATTTTTTGTTGAATTGCTCATTAACAGCTCGTCTTCAGAAGGAGACATTCAGCAACGACGGCAGATGGTGGCGCAGTACGGTCATACCCATACTCAGGATACCATAATGACAGAATTGGACGAATGGTAGAACGGATAACGAAGGAAACCGGTGATCTGTGAGCAAATGCTCGCTCGGCGCGATGACAAGCTCTCATCATTCATTTCGTACAGCTAGGTCAAAGTTAAACCGATTACACAGCACTATGACAATTTTCCAATTCGCAACTCGACATAGGCGGGAATATTGATTCTGCACCGGACAAGACTGAGGCCTGCAGGACGAATTACTGTCCAAAGTCAGGCCACCAAGATGGTAATTAACGTTAGTACCCTTTCCGTAAGCTCATACATATCTGACAGGTATTCTAGTGTACAATGAAGTGCCCAAGACGCAATATCGATAAGGAAGAGATAATGGAAACAGAATGGCAGCCGGAGACGTGGTAAGTGCATAACTTTCAAGACTGTATGACGAAGTCAGTGCTCATTTATCCGACCAACACAACAGTGTCGTACCTTGTACCACGCCTTTCCCGACCACAAGTTCCCTTATTCAACTGCCTGTCCGCTTGTTCTCTCTGTGATCAGCGTGGTATCATCCACCGGAGCAATCTTGTCTACCTGCGCCTCTTCAGAAAGCGCTGGCTCCACCACACATCTCAGCGTCGTTTTCTTTTCGTCTCCACATATGGTCACGTTCGTTTCGAAGAGCCCTTCATGGATATCCCCTGCCAATCCCCACCGCCGCACCCTGGCATTTAGCCTTTGGACCTTTAGTACCAACATGGCCGTGACGATAAGCATACTAATGGCGAGAGATACGGCTATAGTAACGGGGCCACGATCAGGACGAGGTGTTGCTGGTAGACGAAAGGCGCCTCGCGCGACAGCCTTAGTGACCATCACAATGGAGGAAATGCTCTGAGAGGATGCTATGCTCATGTCGTAGTAGACTAGGTGAGTTATGGGTGCTGTTGTTGAAGTAATCGAGTTCTAATCATGGCGATTTTGTAGCCTGCTCAAGCTGCTTTCCAAACACGCTCCTAGATGCCCGTTTTTCGTTTACAATGTATACAACTGCGCAGTGTGCACCTGGATGCCAAGCATAATGTGGCCCAATCCCCTTGATTGTAATACAATTCAGACGATTTCTGTTTGCTATCGCATTCGGCACGTGTTCTCCGTCTCACAGCCTTGTCCCTGCTGATTCTCCGTAGATAAGGGAAAATCTTCACCGCAGCATACGCTAGCTCTAATGGGATTTTGACGGCATGGTGTTGTGATCTGAATGCGACACCGAATTGAGGTGAACATCATTTCATCGCAATAACAGAACAGGCCGTCATCATGCTCGCACCCCGGAAAACAGCGATGTGCAATAACAGGACGTGGCCCCGGCGACTGAAGGCGCAATGGCGAAGAGAACCAATATCTATGAGCTTTGCGCAGAAACCTTTGCCTTCCTCCATTGTGTGGTTCGCGACAGCAAAGGAGATTAATCAGCGACTAGTATTGGAACATGTTGGGTAGTTATTTTCTACCCAGCGTAGACTTGTAACCCTAACCCTACTCTGCCTAGGGTTAAGGGACACCGGGTCTAGAGCTCGACGTCTACGACTACCGCCCCTTCAATGCGCTAACGCTTACACACAAAACCGCGTCAAAGGCAACTCTTCCAGAGGTAGTCCTTTGTCTTTGTCTGGTGAATGTAGCTGATACATGCTTGTAGCGACTGTCGAGTCCACAGCTACATTGAATAGATATCCCGACGTCCACATAGGTGCGACCAGCGCGCCATATTCAACAAACAGTTCCCAGATGTCGCCTTCTATGGCGTGGAGCCCCATAAACCGGGTCTTTCCCCTCAAATTTGCAAGTCTGGACCGCTAGGCCACTTCTCGCTTTTCACGCTCTTCATACTTCGATGGCTCTCAAAATGCGCATCGTCCTTATTTTCGTGGAGCCAACAACAATGACGATGCCTGCAGGGGAATGGGTATCTGCAGAGCATACCATAGTGTCTCGACAACATCGGTAACTGTAACCCAATCTCAATCGCCCGACCGCTGGATGACTCCTGGCTACGGAAGCATGGAGTGCGCGATGGCCAGGGACGGAAGAGGCAGATTAGTTGCTGCCTCGTTTACGCAGCCCTCATGACCATGAACGCGTACGCCCGACAGACTCTGAGCAAAGTCAAGCTCCATCATCATTTCTCCACGGGTATACCTTAACAACGGATGTACTGCTGTCGGGGCATCGTTCTCTGTTTGAGACGGCAGCGGGGAGTGACGATGGCATGGTTTACCAAGGGCAGGCAGCGGGGACGGCGCGATGTATTCGTGTACTGATCCGGTATATGACACGTCGGGACTAGGTGCACAATGGCAGCGAACATGGTCCGTCATGGTCAGCTGCTGCTCGTCGCCATAGACAGGGACAACGAGAGGCGCCCTTGACGGGATGTTGAACGCCGTCGCTGGTGATAAGTGCGATCCTGACAGCTCCCTACCCCGCTGTAGTGTCATCGTTGTCAGGTTCTCTCGTCGGACAAGCATCGTCTTTGTCCTGCCGTCATTCATGGAACAAATAGCAGAAGAAAGGCCTACGGATGGATAGAGAGGCGTTGGTTTGCTTGGATCAGTGCGGACGCAGGGGGAAGTAGGCGCCGAAGGTTGAGATTGGGTGGTGGTAGTGGTTTGAAAGAGAGATATGAGAGCCTGGGGGAAGGATGGGACTGCCCTATATTTATTATTCGGTATGTCTGTCCCTCAGACCTTGAATGTAAACCTAATCTTACTTTCTTTAGGGTTAGGGTTTCTCATTCACTTTATCCGCATGCGACTTTTTCTTCAAACTAGCAAGCTATTCACCATCCGCTTCTTCGACAATATCTTCATGCGAAGCCATCGCTATCGTACAAAGCTGGTACTGCTCCAGAAGGCTCGTCCTCATATCATCCGCATCCCCTTAGACTAACTGGCTACAGGTTATCGCCGCATGTGTCTGGGATTATGGATGGGGGAGTCGATTAGGTTGATCGTCCGGTTCACCTACGACTCCTGGAAAGACAACAAACTTTACAAGAGCGGCCGTTATAAGCTTCCCAAACCAGCTCTCAGCTCAACAGCGACCACTAGTTCGCGTAATATCTCTTCACATCGTAGATGTCAGCCTCTGCAATGCAATTACAATCGACAAATCTTCTTTGATTCCAATGTGGTAACCTATCACCTTCATTAAACCTCGTCAATCCGAGCACGTTCGCCTGGAGAGCACTATCGGAGAATGCCACCGGACCTTATCTTTGGATGAGGAAAGACGCGTCGAACGTATGACTGGATCCTGCTAGTCAATTGTACTGCCCAGTTCGTATGATTCCAGAGGACATCACACGCGAGAACTTTGTGTTGTATTCAGATGCTAAGGGGGTGGGAAAGGATTGATCCAAACGCGATTGAATATCTGCCGTAGGTTCTTTCGCAGGCTTGCGGGAGTATTGCCTTATCGACATCTTCACTGTGGTCATCACTTTACTTTGGACCGAAATTTGACCTGTATTGCAGGCGAGAAAGCATGTCTTTATGTCTGATAATATTGGGGGCAGGGAAGGACCTTGCACTCATGCACGCGGTTGTATGATGGACGGCAGTTGCGTCGTCCTGGAGTAAGAGAACCATACCACAGACGCACACTGATGCAATGATACCTACATGTGTCCGCGTCCTAATGCCACCGAGCCATCGTGTTATTGGCAACATCTGTCTTCAACGACGTATCCATCCGTGGACGCGATGAACCTAAGAGTCAATCCGGGTTTGCTGTCCACTTATCCTATCACTCGTAAGCGCTTTTGCTAGGTTTTTCCTGACCCGGTAGCTGTATGTGCTACTCACTGTGATGGGGTCTCCTGTATCCGATATGAAGCTTCCATCATCCCCGCCTACTAGTCACCTTCTCATACACGCGGCAACCGACGCTGACAGATATACAGTGTAGCTTCTCTTGTCTCCTCCCACCACATCCGTACTGCTACCCTTTAATTTTGACCTAACAATGGACCTTATCCCCCTCCTAACGGGTATCCCGGACCTCATCGAGCGATGCATCCAAGGCTACAACTTATTCCAAGGAATCAAGAATGCGCCAAAGGCGTGCTCGGAGCTGATGGAAGAACTCAGAGTAGCACGTACCAGGTTAGAGGAGCTGCAGGAGTATGGTAACAGAGTGGAGGACAAGGAGAAGGCCCAACTGTCCACGTCGGTACAGAATTACGTGACTACTTTGGATAAGTTGGATTCCATTTTGAAAGTGTATGGCGACCCAAAGTTCAAGTTTAACTTCAAGACACGCTTCAAGTGGGTATGGTCGGGCGAGAAGAAAATCAAGGCACTTCGCGACGATCTAAAGCAAAATTCTGGGCTTTTGCAGCCTCTTCTGGTCACAATAAAGTAGGTGTTCTTTCATTCATTCGTCACTTACTAATTTAGCGCTTTTCAGGAAAGATATTGACGATATGAAGAAGCGCCAGCAAGAAGCTGACGCCAAGAAGGCTGCTGAGGAACTAAGGAAGGCAGCCAAGGAACTAGGTAATCTCACAAACTATTTCTACCGCGCACGCTCTTACCGAAAAATCTCGTAGGCGAACGTCTCCAGAACGTTGAGAAATGGCTGGAGCCTCTCAATTCCGAGGCCAAGCTGCGAGGAGTGCGCGAACGGCGTCAGCTCGAAACATGCGAATGGCTGCGTGGGCATGACCAATTCGTCTCGTGGTATTCAGCTGGTTCTCTTCTGTGGTTGAACGGTATACGTGTCTGTTCATTTTTGACCGATCACGCTATGTATCCTGATTCAGAGTTTTTCAGCAGGAAATGGAAAAACAGTCCTCGCGTAAGGCTCCCACCGCTACGACTGGTTTGAAAATCTATTCACTCGCCCATATAGGTCGTTTGTCATCGACCATTTGAAAAAAAGTGTCACCAGCGAAGAGATTGTTTTGTTCGCCTTTGCAGACTTCCAGGATGTCCGAAGCACTGATGTAGTCGTGTTGCTGCGCACGCTACTCGCGCAGCTTCTCGACCACTGTAAACCGGAGGACTTTGTCGAGGACATGGACTTTACCGAGTTGGAGAAGACCATGCATCGGCATCATGCAGATCGACCTAAATTCCTCCAATATCTTTCTGAGTTGCTGGAAAAAGCGAGTGAACCTTGGAAGCGCGTGTTCATCGTCATCGATGCTCTTGATGAGTGTGTGCAGAAGAATCGGAGAGAATCGATTGCGGCAATTCGCAAGCTAGCATATGCAGGTTCCAAAATTTCTGTTTTTGTTACTAGCAGAGGGGAGCAGGACATCGTGGACGTTCTGAGCAGCGTCCCCACTATCTCTCTCGGGGACGAAACTGAGAGAGTCCAGGATGACATACAAAGACTCATCGAGGACAAGATGAACACTTCTCATCTCTCGCTCAAACATTTTCATGAATCGGTTCGTACACGTATCACGTTGACTCTTCTGGAGAAGTCCAAGGGCATGTTAGTACTCTCACCCCTGCCTTTTGAAAATTATTGACTTTCAAATAGGTTCCGCCTGATAGACTGTCAGTTGGAATCCTTAGCGAAAGCGAAATTCGAAAGTGACATCGATGAGATACTCCAAAATCTTCCTGCAGACTTGAATTCGATGTATGAAAGGATCCTTCAAAGCGTCGAAGAAGAGGGCCAGCGCGCTGTGAAAATAGTCCAGCGTACGCTTTGGTGGTTAGTGGGATCGCATCGGCAGCTGCGTCTTGCGGAACTCATGGAAGCTGTCACGATAGAAGCAGGAAATTATTCGCCGAATACAGACTTGGAGCTTCTGAGCGGCAAGCATCTTTTGGAGATGTGCTCAAGTCTGGTCCGTCACAACACAAAGACGAATATTCTGGTATTACCCCATGCTTCTGTGCAGGTGCGGAATCTTCTCACTGAGATTGACATCAGACTGATTGTTCTCGCTAGGATTTTTTTTTCCGACTATCTCAAAGAGACAAAGTATCGAAACTACCATATTCCATCATTCTCCTTTCTGCACCGACACACCGCTGGCCTCATTTCGGCATATCTTCACTATGGGGATTTCCAGAATGGGCCATGTACAACATCGCAACACCTTTTCACGCGTTTGGGACAACATCCTTTCCTTGTCTATGTCGTTTCAAACTGGGACGTGCACATTGTCAAGATGTATGAAACATGCCCAGAGTCGGAGATGCCTCCTGACTTTGACAAGCTCCTTGCCCTCTTCGATGACTCGGAGAAGAATCTACTCGCTCACCGTTCATACAGGCAAGTCTCTTATTTTGGCGCACACTTGAGAGATGCCATGATGATGGGACGTGTTCCCCTCTTGGAGTGGCGGTCCCGATGTTTCCCCATAAGGAGTCCTTTTGACCGATACATCCATGTCACGGTCAGCGTTTTGGTAGGAAAATATTCCCAGGACTATGGATCGCAGGAAGACGATCTATGTGAAGACATTGATGGTTTCATCCGTCCGCGTTATTGCGCTGGTCCATCTTGGCTTCTGACCGAAGAAGGACTTCTGCCGAACCCTCCACGACGAGACCTGTCAGATATGACCTCTATTGGAGAGCTGGATTATATGGTCTATCCTCTCGTATCTGAAGGGCCTGCATCGTTGGTACGGGACCTCCTGCGCAAACTTCCCCAGTTCAAAGAACGCCCATTATTCTACTTTGGAACACCTTTGATGGTTAGCATTTTTGCCGGAAAGCTAGACACTGTAAGCATGCTTTTACAAGACCTTCACGTCGACGTGAATACTTGCGCCTGGCATTATCGTTGCAATCATGAAGTCGTGTCACCCATCTTCCTCGCGACCAAGTATGGACATGTTGAGGTGGTTGAGTGGCTTTTGGATTGCGGCTCAGCCACTATGTTTCCCCCTGGGTCTCGACTCGAGTGGGACCCAGAAGTCACAGAACCAGTTGATGGTCATAGCGACATCATCATTGGAGCCGCCAACTACGGTCGGATAGACATTCTTAAAGTTTTAATCAGTCACGGAGTCGACGTGAATACTAGGTCCAAGATTAGTGGCAATACTGTCTTGCATGCAGCCATAATATATGGTCTCATTGACAGCGTCAAAGCTCTCATCGATGCAGGTTGCGATATCAACCCTCGTTCTAAAGGGAAAACGCCCCTTGATTTCGCTCTGAACCAACAATCTTCAGATCTTGGCCGATATTTACTCGAGAAAGGTGCTTTATTCGATCAATGTTTGCCTCAAAACTTTGTGGACCTGGAGTGGGCAGTTGGAGAGCTGTGGTACCCAGAGACGCGACGGCATCTAGCAAAACTCGATGTTAGCCCCAAGTCGCAGCTGGACATTGAGAAAATAGTGCGCCTCTTGAAAATGCGGCTTTCCTCGCCAGAACCGCTTATCATCCGGGCTATCCTTGATTTCGCCGAATTGTGGATTGTGACTTCCGCTGAACGACATGAGCTCGTCAGAGTCTTTGAGCGCTCTCCTCGTGAGTCTTATATCTCTACACCACCGATTGCTGGTGGCCCGGAAAACCCGGTTCGGCGCATCGTGTTCATGACATCACATGGCTATCAACGTGCGAGACCTCGTAAACTGCTATAACTTATTAGAGACTGATTGACCAAACAGGATTAATACCCGAAGAACCCGCCAGAGGCTTGTATTCTGATTCATCAACTTGGTTTGAAGCAGAAGTAGAGTCCAGCCCTGGCGTGTTGATGCGAATTCAAGATAATGTCCGCGCTGACGACCAGAGTCGGACTCACGTCAATGTGTGGGACCATCAGGATGCCCCGTCTTCCATCGAGGCCTGGATGTCAAAAATTAAAGCAGGGGATAAAATCTCTGTCTATCCAAGAGCGAGATCTGGGCTCTGCCATAATTATGTGGAGAGTGGTGTGGTAATGGTATATACATCCTATATCTAAGCAAGGGCTCCTATTTGTTAGTCTCTTGTAGATAGACGGACGATACATACCTATCGAGGGTGGGTGAACAGCATGTACGAGTCTGTTGTTTATCTGGTAGTACACCGCTGATTCCTTTACGACGCCTACCTCTGTCAATTCCAAATACCAATGGGACAGTGAATAGAGTTGAATTTCTGTTGCCGGTCATGGTGCATAGAAGGCCATCGTCACCGTTGAGGATATGAATGATTAGTTGCTCTTGAAATGGCCAAAGATCCTTCGGGCTCGGTAGTCACTTTGCGACAACATCCCTGATAGTTTGAATACTTTCAGCATCATTTCATCAGAGATTTCGTGTCGTAGCGAGACCAGATAATGGCGCGAACGCGGTGGTATTGGTTCAAGTCGGAGTGGCGGGAAAGTCCTTCTACATATGGAAGCTGACGCAACGGCATCGACAGTTATAACGATCTGACTCCCGATACGTTTTTATTCCTTCGAATGCTCTCTTACCCATCAATCTGACTCTGTACATCGCTTCAAGCTGATCTGTCTGCATCACCGCTGCCAGGGCTCACTGTTGCAGAGCACACTGTCTCGGTAGAGAAGCGACTGGAGTGACTGAAAATGATCACTGGACGCTTGGAGGCTTTATTTTGAAACATTAGGCAACGGTGTGCATACTTCCATATTGGATCGTACTAATTTTTCCAAGTAGCCATAGACACCATGAGCTCTGCTAGGTTGACCTACCAGCGTGCGCCCTATGGCAAAGCCTTGTTGGGCCAGGGCAGTTATGTGAGCTCAACAGTCGAATCTCTCGTTTCTTCCCTTAATCAACCTGAACAATAGAGCAACGTGTTCAAGTCGACTGAACTAGAATCGGGAAAAACAGTGGCTCTCAAGATGTCGCGTGTCTCAAGGAGAGTGAAGCGACCCATTCTCCAGCACGAGACTCGTATCCTCCAACTTTTGAAAGGACAAGCAGCTATTCCCTTGGTGTATGCTTACGGCCAGCTGGAGCATTTTGAGTACATGGCTATGGAGATTCTGGGGCCGAGCGTCGTGGAGCAGCAGAAGACGAACGGTCCTGGGACTGGTATGATGTTGACGACCGTCATCCGAATAGTGGATCAAATGGTGCGTAAACTTAGCCTTCAGACATTGCAGGAATAACTGAACTGGACGCACAGCTGGCGGGACTGGAGCACATTCATTCGCTCGGGATTGTGCATCGCGACATCAAGCCTGAGAATCTCCTCTGCGCATTTGATGATTCGACAATCAAAATAATTGACTTTGGAATCTCCAAGCCTTTTTCCCATGGTCAGCCTAGCAAGTACGATCCATTAAAGGACCGCCGGGCCATCGTCGGGTCTCTTTACTGGGCAAGTCTGAATTCTCACAATGGATTAGGTCAGTGCACATTACGCCTTCGAGCTCTAGTAAACATCTTAATTTTTATCCCTATCATGCCATAGATCTTTATCCGCGCGATGACCTGGAATCCTTAGCTTACATCGCCTTGTTCCTTCTTCGTGGACATTTGCCTTGGAAACCTCGTCCGCGTGAGGAGTCTCAGCTGCGCTCACAAGAGATTGTCCGACTGATGAAATCGAGTTGCTCAGGCAAAGGTTTGTCTGAAGGACTTCCGGCAGATTTCGGTGACCTGCTCGACTATACGCGCTCCCTCGATTTTGATCAGCTTCCTGACTACGAAAGGTTCAGGCGCATATTCGGGAGTATAGTGGATGGGAGGAGTAATGGACCCCTCGATTGGACACCCTCCGTCCCGCAAACCAATACGTGCGTTTTAGATGAGCCCCAGCTTGAGATTCCTGGCGAAGACGAAGACGAAGACGACGACGACGATAGCGACGACCTTGGCGAGAATACTTACTTCGGAATGGATATTGACATATGGGACTCGCGTCAAGGAGAGCGAGATAAGGACTTGACGTTGCTCGCAGAGCAGGAGGTAGACCTTGATAGCCGTACCCCGCAGATCGTAGAAGTGAGTCGCTAAATTCAGGAAATGCTCGTAAGGCCTTACAACGTTAATGTCGTCGGTATAAGCCTGTGATCGGTATCATGTGAAGTAATACTACAGCTTCGGCCACTTAAGAATATGGGGCCAGTATCCTCGTGTAAGGACTTTCGGCGAGATTCAATATAGTATTATATTGATGGCAGAGTGATATGATCATATAATAAGTAAATCAGAGCTGTCGTTGGTCCTTTGTATTAATTTCTAAGTATTCTCCAAAGGTGTTTATTCGGTATGCAGTCGGTATGTATCGGGCATCTAGAGAAGGCGCCGTCTGGACAAAAAGGTAAAGCTCCTCTCTAACAGAGCATGCCAGACCATAGGTCGTCTCTAGATGGAGCTTCGTATAGAGTAGTTGACGGTTGGAATGAACAAACTTTCATCTCTCCTTTCCAGAGGCTGAGAATTCGGATGGACGTCATTCGCCATTTGTGGCCCCAGAAGCTCCAATATCACCGGATCTAATCTTTAATTTCAGTACGAGGTACAGATAGTTATTGAGATGATGTCCCACCGTGATACAGTCGGCTATCAGGACATTAATGTCAGTATTGCAGGATCGGTCGCCCGAGTAGAGGACGTATTGCGAGAGGCGAAGGCTATGCACACGTACATGTGTTTTGGCCTGAGTATGACGAATGCCGACCGTACCGGTGTCCGACGGAAACTGTTGCTAGGGTATACATGGAGAAAAGCACCACAAAGATAACATTATGGTGATGAACGTCTGAGACTGATTATAACATTGAGCTGGAAGAAAACCGAAGAACAGACTCCAGATAGACTCAGAGTTTACAAAGTTTGATCAAGGCGACGATTAAAATGAAGATATACATCCCTACAGCCTACTGGTGAGGCCTGCGCAAATAACAGAGCCTTCCATGGGTAGAAGACCCGACAAATTTCGCGTTAAGATATTCATCGTAGACCCTGTTGATAAAATGTAAAGATAGTCCGTCAACATCTGACATGGGTGAAGGTCAATCACGCTGGGTCGGTTGGAAGCGGAAATAAATATCCTTCGTCGTCGCAGTTGGATGCCATACGAAATATGGAGAGTATCTCGGGAAAGGACTAAATTTCATTCGTTTGTGCTCATGCGGTTGTCCGCAGAATGTGAACGCTCATATCCAGATGAAATGCATTGGACCCGGCGCGTTCCGGACGGCACGTGTTCACAGAGACGATGGGTTTTTGCTAATAAGCCCGCCATTTTTGAGAGGCTTGCACAGGAGACGAAGAATCCGAGTCGTTAGCGGTCAATAGTGTTAAGCTGATTCCGGGTACAGTGGAGAATATTTTTTCAGCAGGGTGGAATTGGGACGACGCGCCGATAAGTCAACGAATAGGTGTGACAACTTGGTCAAAAGACCTTTACGCTTTCACTACCTTTTTGATGGTTAGCATGGTCGTTAGACAGCAGGCGCACGATGAGGGGATGGCTAGAACATCGACGCGATCTGCGGAGAAAGTGCAAGGAAGCGAGGAAACACCGGATGTTGGAACTGGAGCGGCGGGGGAAAAGCCGAGGGTTCCCACGCCATCGACGTGACCTTTTGGGCGGGCCGGACCGATTATTTTCTGACTCGCGATATATTTCTATTCTCGCGGATCTCTCCTTTTCCCACCGAGATAATTCCGATATCGCTCTAAGCTGTTCTGTCCGAGTTACCGCTGGAAACGCTCACTGTTTCTGAGGAAAGAAGAGGCCGGTTTAACCGATTGTTCTGAACGCTGAGAGTATTGATTTTGAATTAACTAGGTGTCAGTGCGCTTGATTCTATACTGCTCCATGGATGCTAGATCCTGAAGCTTCCAAGTTATCGTAGACACCATGAACTCTGCTGGATTGATCTACCAGCTTGCGCCCTATGATGAATACCTTGGGGCATGGCACTTTTGTGAGTCCAAAAGTCAAATCTCCCGTTTGTCCCCTCACTCAAACTGAACAATAGAGTTATGTGTTCAAGGCGACTGAACGAGGATCCGGAAAAACGGTGGCTCTCAAGACTTCCCGTGTCTCGATGAGAGTGAAGCGGCCAATTCTTCGGCACGAGTCTCGTATACTCCAACTTTTGAAAGGGCAAGCAGCTATTCCCTTGGTATATGCTTACGGCCAACTGGAGCATTTCGAGCACATGACTACGGAGATTCTGGGGCCGAACGTTGCGGAGCAGCAGAAGAAGAATGGTCCCGGGACTGGCATAATGTTGACGACCGTCATCCGAATCGTGGATCAAGTGGTGCGTAAACCATGAATCTAGGCATTGCAGGAATAACTGAACTGGACTCACAGCTGGCGGGACTGGAGCATATACACTCGCTCGAAATTGTGCATCGAGACATCAAGCCCGAGAATCTCCTTTGCGCATTTGATGATTCGACAATCAAAATCATCGACTTTGGAATCTCCAAGCCGTTTTCCCATGGTCCGCCCAGCAAGTACAATCCATTAAAGGACCGCCGAGTCATAGTCGGGTCTCTTTACTGGGCAAGCCTGAATTCTCACAAAGGAATAGGTTAGTATGCGTCACACCTTCGAGTTCGTAACATATTAATTCTTATCTATATCACGCTGTAGATCTTTCTCCGCGGGATGACATTGAATCCTTAGCTTACATAGCCCTCTTCCTTCTTCGCGGACACCTACCTTGGAAACCTCGTCCACGCGAGGAGTCTCAGCTGCGCTCACAAGAGATCGTCCGACTCATGAAATTGAGTTGTTCAGGCAAAGATTTGTCTGAAGGCTTTCCCATTGAATTCGGAGACCTGCTCGACGACAGTCGTTCCCTCGATTTTAATCAGCTACCCGACTACGGCAGGTTCAGGCGCTTGTTTGGGGGGAGTAGTAATGGACCACTCGATTGGACACCTTGCGTCCCGGCACAAATCAATACTCGCGTTTTAGATGAGCCTGAGCTCGAGATCCTTGGCGAAGACGACGACCACTACGATGACTCCAGTAGTGACGACCGTGGTGAGGACAGTTACTTTGGAATGGACATTGACATGTGGGACTCACGTCAGGGAGAGCGAGATAAGAACTTGGCGTTGCCCGCAGAGCAGGAGGCAGACCTCGATAGTTGTATCCCCTTGATCGCAGAAGTATTAGAGTAAACTGGTTGGTCTGGAGTCGTTGGTCTTTTCATCGTTGAGCCTGAGCTTCTTTCCACCTGACAAGCTGTGGTTTCGGTAATGAAATTGAACAGACCGGGTAATTTTATATTGCAGCCTGAACGTCGACAGTTCAAGACTTAGCTCTGGTTTCAGGGATACGAACGATGTGGAATCGACGCTAACCAAGTCTGGTACTCTCGAAGTCGACTGCGACCGCCCTTTCATGCACTGGCACTCACAAATGAAAATGCATTGTTTTTTTTAGTCCATTGTCTTTATCTGTTAAACGTAACTGATACATGTTTGTAGTGCATACGGCCGAGTCTGTACAGTTACATTGAATAAATATTACAAACCTACATAGGCGCGCTTTACGCGACGAGCAGTTCCCAGGTGTCGCCTTCAATGGCGTGGAGTCCCATAAACCGTGTCTTTCCCTTCAGATATGCCAATCTGGGCAGGAGGACAACCTCTCGCTCTGTACAACCCGACATCCCGCTACCGGTCAATCGCTCATTGTTCTGATTTTTGAGGAGCGACAGCGACGACGGCGACGGCGGCGTTATGGGGTCGCGTATGTGCATTGCATGCCATAATGTCTCGACAACATCGGCGACCGTCACCCACTCTCGATCACCCGATCTCTGAATGACTACTGGCCACGGAAGCTTTGGGTGGACAATAGCCAGTGACGGAAGAGGGGGGCTGGTTGCTGCCCCGTTCACGCAGCCCTCATGGCCGAGAACGCGTACGCCCGACAGACTCTGAGCAGCAAAGTCGAGTTCCATCAACATCTCCTCATGGCAAGTTGGCCGTAACAATGGATGTAACACTATCCGAATATCGATCCCTGTCTGGGATGGCAGCGGGATGTGATGATGGCGTAGTTTACCCAGAGCAGGTGGCGGGGATGCGATATATTGGTGTATAGTTCCCGTACTATGTGACTCGTCGGGACTGCCTTCATAGTGGCGGCGAGCAGGGACCGTCGTGGTCAGCTGCTCGTTGCTATAGACAGGAATAACGACCGATGCCCTCGACGGGGTGTAGAACGCCGTCGCTGGTGATGAATACAGTTCGGGGAGTTCTATGCTACCCTGCTGTGTATGCATTGTCGCCGCGGTTTCTCGTCGGACGTTCATCATCTTCGCGCCGCCGTCATTCATGGACTGAATAGCAGAAAAAAGCCTTACAGATCAATAGAGGGACTTTAGTTTGCTTGAATGAGTGCAGATGAAGGAGGAGGGTGGTATGAGAGCGAGCGATGGTGGTGATTTGAGTGAGAGGTATGGGGGCCTGGGTAAGAATGGGGCTGCTTTATATATGGTATGTACCCCCTCCAAACATTGAAAGTAAACCTCACTTTTCTTAGGGTTATATTAAGGTTTCATGTGCATCAATTTGGAATCGTGTACATATCAGTTTATTACCTTTGAGAGCTTGCTCTTGGTTGTAATCTCGACGCTTTTTCTAGGGAAGAGGTCTTCTTGAGCTGTGCTTCAAAAGCTTCCGTCCTTGCTCACCGCCCTGCTTTGGAACCGTGACTCCGACAGTCGAGATTCAAAATTCTTCGATATCGTACGAACCTGGTACTGCTCCCAGAAACTCATCCTCTTACCAGCTCATCCTTAACCTTCGGCGGTTTTGAAGTTTCCATATTAACTTTGCAGAACATTTCCGCTTTGTATGATAGGAATTCCTTCAAGTTATCTACTCTCTGAGATCTTGGCAGTATTCTGTGAAAACTTGTCATTTGAAGAGCCGCGAACCAGGACCTATGCGTCTATATCAGGTCATGGCCGCTTAATCGAATTCTGTACCTCACAACTCTGGCACTCGAACTGGTTGTCAGCCATGACCCGGAATGGCTTAGCGTCTTATCCGGGCCGCTGGAATCCCGTAGATCCTAGTATTCATTTCCCGATATATACTGACAGAAATATATATCGGGAAACAGATACTAGGATCGGACCGTTCGTGTGCACCCGGCTAGATCCATTTCTCAGCCAGATTTTAAACTGGCCGTTTAAGTCTGTTTAACTGGGATTTCTCAGCATGTCACTCCATTGTCACGGATGCTGCACTCCCTCTGCCCGCGCTCCCGCTCACTATACACAACAACAACGGCATTTCCAACAAGACTGGAAAATATAGCACGCCTGCGAATGGAATTGAATACCCAGACAGATCAACACAATTTTGGGAGAACACTACCGCTATTGTGTACGATCACTTGACATCATTCGGTCATTCGGATATCATCCGCCGCATTCATCTGAATTATCCCGATCTTGTGACGCTCGTAAAGGGTGCCGGTGTCAAGTCCTAGCCTCCGGAGTTTGTGACCGATTTTCTTAGCTTTAACAGAGCCCTCTGGCTAAGTCCAAATGGGTGCACGCGAACGGGCCCTAAGTTATCTCCTAGTATCCGTTCTTCGATATATAATTCTGTCACCTGAATACTATCTTTTCAAAACGAGTGCCCCCTCGGGACTAGATAAAGAAATGCGATAAGAATCATGTGAGTTATCCTTCTCTTCTTCCTTTTTGTTTTTGCCATCGCTTATGAGCTCCTTCATCAGATCATTTGCCCACATTTCCATCATCGTTATAATTGTTGTCCGTTACTATGCATCCACTCTCGATATCATACCGCATACATATCTTAGCATGTTGCTTTTCATTGTTCACTTTGTACATATATTTATTTCGCGTATCCTACACCAATCGGTGTGATCTGTATAATTGTAGTTAGCTCATTGTAACAACTGCATTTGTTTGTCATGGTAATCTGTGCCTGTTCCAGTGTCAATATGTTCCGCAAAGACAACAGGTTCGCGAAGTGATATCCTCCGATGTCGTAACATTTTATTCAATCTTCACGGATGACCGGATGAGTCGACCGAGTATGGAAAAGACGTTGATGCCTTGCTCTGCCTCGTACTTCGGGCTCGGAATGGAATTTAGAAGGCGTGGTTCCAATGAAAATTCGCACCCGCTATGCTGAATTCTTCATGAATCCTATATAGTACATATTATCAGAGATTGGGCAAGCATTCAGATACAAAACACGATACTTAAAATAGCACCATTATGCTTTGTTTGTTCCGTACGCCTTTGAGTCGCCAGTATGACAGAAAGTCATACAACCAACCTGAGTCTTCAGCTTACATCACCCTCTTCCTCCGTCACCCGTGCAAACTTACCTTGGAAACCTTGATATTGCAGCTTTGATGTCAACAGTTCAAGCTGCAAGACTTACCTCTGATTTCAGGGGGTACGAACGATGTGGAATCAACAGTTTTTCGTGGTAAGCTTACCATTTTCTCTTGAGAGGAGTTGGTATTAGAAACGAAGAGAAGAATCCGGGTCCTTACGCGTCAACCAATAGTCAATAGTTGATATACTGGGTACAGCTACATTCAGGACTAGATTTCTTAGGATTGTGGCATCTGGAGGATGTAAATCAGTAGAATACAAAGGTTGAAGGTTAAATACGGAGAAGTGGAGATACTTACGAGTATATTTTGATTGGATCCAATGCTTGCTATTGCCGAGAAATGCCGACAGGATATTTCAAAGTCCGAAAACAAATCGGCCTTTCGGTACGAGTTGTTGATCTTTACCACCACCATCACTCTCTGGCCTACGGCTTGCTCTGCAGAGTATGACCGACCATCGATGCCTGGTGAGTTGGTCTCGGTAGCTCTCTTGTCGAACCTCTGACTAAACAGCCTTCTACAGGAGCCATATAGCACTCGGTCGGTACCAACAAGGCGAAGCAACAATCGATCATTGGTCGTCTTTCACAATCTCGCTCCAGTATACCATGGCGATGCGGGGATGAATAAATGATTGACTGGATAGGGAGGGAGAACACTGCACTGTGGACATCTTGTTATCGTTTCGGCGCATTTACAATCTTGTCATTTGGTCACGATCAGACTGAATATCCGACACTGCGACAATCCTTGCGATTTGTGACTCGACGTGAGCAGGACTCTTTCCCGCAAGTACCAGTTACGTGATAGGATGGAATCATTTGTCGAAGTCGGATGGCCAAGATGATAATATAGGTCAGCCTTTTCCGTGAACTTATAAGATATATATCTAACAGGTATTCTAGTGCAAGGCGAAGAGCCCAGTTATAACCTATCAGATACAATACAGATAACGAAAGAGTCGAAGGAGAGATAATGAAGGGGGATTTTTGGCGGAAACACCAGCAGGTACGGAGTTTTCAAGGCTGTACAGCGAATTTAGCGCTCATCTGTCTGTTCACACGATAGTATCGTACCAGGGGTTACGTCTTTCCCGACGAATGGTTTCCTGTTTCTTTGATCGGCAGCTCATTCATCCCTTCGGACTCGGGGTTATCCATCGGAGCGACGTCGCCCACTTGCACCTCTTCGGCAAGCGCTAATCCCACAACAGCACCCAGCTGCGCTTTATTCTCATCGTCATATGTGGTCACGTCACTGGATTCCTCAAGGAGCACATCGTGGCCATCCCCCGCCAATTTTCGGCGTCCCACCCTAGTCCTCAGCTCTTGCAACTTCAATGCCAACAAGGCGGTGACGATAAACATGCCGATAGCTAAAGATATCGCTATTGCAATGAAGCTTTGGTCAGGATGTGTCGTCATTGGTAGGCGAAAGGCGCCTCGCGTGGCAGCCTTGGTCACCATCGCAATGTAGGAAACGCTCTGTGAGGATGTGCTCATGTCACAGTCAAGTAAAGTGAGTATCGGCTGTTGGTATAAAGTATTTGGGCTCTGATAGTCGCACTTTTGTAGCCTGCTCAATCTTACGGCCTGAGATGCCCGTCTGTAGGGTGTATATCATGATGCCTTTCAGTGGGAAAGCGTGACGTGGAACTGCTCTTGATACAATTGAGTTGTTTTCTGCCGTCAAATTCGGCCCGCGTTCTCCACGTCAGCTCTTTGTCCTTGTATCCATCCCGACACACATCAAAATACATACGGAGAGGCGCCCATCGTATCTGCTGTTGTGCAAGCGGCAAAGAATCAGATTTTTCTATGTCAACTCGAATGTGTGGAGTCGGTCTCGTCGGCCTCAAATAAAGCCTAATTGCCATTCTTTTCTGTTGCGGAATGTCCCTGTCCTCTCGAACGACTTCAAATGCGTTCACCACATGGGAAGAGATACCAATGACCATGCATCTTCCAAGCCATTGGGTCCTTTCAGAAACTCGAACTTGTCCCCTCAGCGCCGAGCTCCAGATCGTTTTTCTTCTTTTATTTTCTCGTACTCATTGCCACCATCTCTTTCTCCAACCACTACAATCGCTTCTTCAGCATCCAAATTCTCTCCATTGCACTCCTTGCCTGAATTGCTTGTGAGCCGTCATTGGTAATCAGAGAACAGGAAGACGTCTAGTAAAGGATATTCCTGGATGGCTAGTGTGACCGCTGCGGGAAGTCGAGTCAAAGACGGAGCTGAAATGTCGTTGACTCAGGACATCGCGTCTCTGTGATGTCAGATATTTACCGTGGCGGTGTCTCATCTTGAATTAGATGTCTTGTAGGTATTTGCTATCTTTCATCATCATGAGGCTGACAACTCCCTGTAGCTGAAGCAGAATGCTTTAACTTTGGGCTCGACGTGACTGGGATGACAGGGTGTTGTGATTGCGATTCCCAGTCATAGCCTTCCTTTTTGCTGCAAGACGGTATCGTCATGTTCGCTCGCCGGTACAGCAGAGAGTCATGTCGACAGGGCAATTTTTGCAGGACCGTCGTCAACCGGGACATGCAAGGATGTACGAGTAACTTGAGGACTGATCAATTAGAGTTTGCGGTGTTCTGTAACCCTGACCCTATTTATCATAGGGTTAGGGTTACTGAGCACTTGCAGCTGAGCATTGCTACTCTCGACGTCGACGACCACCGCCCTCTCATGGGCTGGTCCCACAGGCGAAACCATATCATCCAGAGGTAGTGCGTTGTCTTTATCTGTTGAGCGTAGCTGATACATGCTTGTAGTGCATACGTAGAGTCTGCGGCTACATTGAATAAATATTCTGTACCTACATAGATGCGACCGGCGCGTACTACACGACGAGCAGCTCCCAGGTCTCGCCTTCAATGGGGCGGAGTCCTGTAAACCGTGTCTTTCCCTTCAGATATGCCAGTCTAGGCTGGTGGACAATCCCTCGCTCCACGCAACCCGACATCCCGTGAATAGCAAAAGGCGCACTATCCTGATTTCCGAGGAGCGACAGCGACGACGATGGCGTTATGGGGTCGCGTATGTGCAGAGCATGCCATAGTGTCTCGACAACATCGGCGACTGTAACCCACTCTCGATCTCCCGACCTCTGAATGACTACTGGCCACGGAAGCATCTGGTGGACGATAGCCAGTGACGGAAGAGGCGGGTTGGTCGCTGCTTCTTTCACGCAGCCGTCATGGCCAAGAACGCGTACGCCCGACAGACTCTGAGCAGCAAAGTCGAGTTCCATCAACATTTCTCCACGGCTTGGCCGTAGCAGTGGATGTAACATTATCGGGATATTACTCCCTGTCTGGGATGGCAGCGGGATGTGACGATGGCGTGGTTTACCCAGAGCGGGTGGCGGGGATGGCGCGACGTATCCGTGTACAGATCCCATATAAGACGCGTCGGGACTGGGTATATAATGGCGGCGTGTAGGGACCGTCGTGGTCAGCTGCGCGTTGCCATAGACAGGAATAACGAGAGACGCCCTTGACGGGGTGTAGAACGCCGTCGCTGGTGATGAATATAGTTCGGGGAGCTCCATACTACCCTGCTGTGTAGCCATGGCCCCCATGTTTTCTCGCTGGATGCGCATCGTCTTCGTGTCGCCGTCATTCATGGACCAAATAGCAGAAGAAAGCCTTACAGATGAATAGAGGGACTTTGGTTTGCTTGAATGGGTGCGAACGTAGGCGAAAGGGGGCAGGGAAGGGGAAGAGTAGGCGATGGTGGTAGTTTGAGGGAGAGATGTGGGGGCCTGGGGAAGGATGGGTACCCTTTATATATGTATGTCCCCCCCTCCTGACATTGAATGTAAACCTAACCTTACTTTTCTTAGGGTTAAGGTTTCGTGTACATCAATTTGGGATTGTGTACATATCAGTTTTGTACCTTTGAGAGTTTACTCTCGGTTGCAATCCCAAAGCCTTTTCTAGGGAAGAAGTCCTCCTGAGCTGCGCTTGAAGCTTCCGCCTTCGCTCACCGTCCTGCTTATGAGCCATGACTCCGACCTGTCGAGACTAAAAGTCATCGATATCATACGAAAGTAGTGCTGTTCCCATAAAACACATCCTCTTATGTTCCATCTTTCATCCCCAAAGGCCAACAAGGCTGGGCTCGTATGCGGATGAACAGTCGATCTGGGTGTCACCACTCGTTCGTCCTGCGGCTCCTCGAAAGTCGACAAGTACAAGGTCATAAGGGTGATCGTTATGTCAGAATGATTTGTAACCAGTTATTCACCCCAAAAGACTGGTTTCTTTTGATACAGGATCGGGGCGTAATCGCCACTCTTTAATACCATGCCTCCCTTACCGCTGATTCTGTACTGTTTCTTCGTCAGAGAATTCAACCTTGCAACACCTTCTCGTATCCCCTATGAGTGGCAAACCACCCGCCCGCGAGGAAAGGAGCTTGCTGATATATTCATAAAGGTATGGGAGACGTAAAACTGTTGTTTGTAAAACGGTTACCACGTCTTCGAGTATCATGGGACCTACGTATGTTTCGGCATCGGACAGCCGGTCCTCGACAAGCTCAAAAAGGGGTGTACTCACCCCTAATCAGTTCCTCCCTCTAACTCATCATCATCCGTCCGAAGTCGATTCAAAGGTAAGTGTTCTCAGTTCTTATAGAAATTCTAGTACTTCCTTGAAGCTTATAGTCGTCGTAGATGCCAGCCTCTTCCCACTGTCCTCAATGCGGCTACAATCGACCAGATCTTTCATTCCATTGTGGTATTCTGGTACCCCCACGAATGGAGGAACTGCTGAAATCGAATGAACCACCCCTTCAAGCTGAGCATGTTCACCTGGATAGCACTATTTGTGAAAGCCACGGGTTCTTAGCGAGACTACAGCAACGGATAACTGAGACACGTGTTGCGCTCGAGGGACTCCTGGACGAGGAACGGCGCGTCGAACATATGATTGAATCCTGCAAGACAATCGTCCACCCGATTCGTAGAATTCCTGAGGACATCATCCACGAAATCTTCTTGGCATGTTTGAATACTGAGAGAGAAGGGATGGATTCATTGAGAAGGAAGTTTACGCGGTTAGTTCTTTCCCAGGTTTGCAGAGATTGGAGGAGAACCTCACTATCAACACCCCGGCTTTGGTCATCCATTACGGTGGATTTTGACATCTATCACAATGAGCTGGCGTGTCAGTATCTCCTTCAGATGTGTCTTTTTCGGTCTGCGACACACGATATCACACTCTCCATACACAGCGGGGGGGATATTTCAGAGAGTCATCTCCTACCTGTTCTTCTCTTATGCGCCTCGCGGTGGACAGATCTTTCTCTCTCCATTCCTTATAGCTCTATACATATCTTCTCCGCTGCCAGAGGCACCTTCCACCGCTTGAGTCGCCTTTCGCTAGAGGTTACCAGAGGCCATGTCAAGGTACCCGCTGCAGCGGTCAAGCCCGTATTTGATGCCTTCGAATACGCTCCGCTGCTTCGCGAGTTCTTCACAAAGAACCTGTGTCAAGCAGTTAAACAAATAAACCTACCATGGTCTCAGCTCACTGGGTATACTGGGGACGACTATGGAAGCGTGTATATTGATATCTTGAGGCTCGCACCGAATATGGAGAGCGTCTCGTTGCAATGTGATTTTTCTGGGCCTGACTTTACACACCCTCCTTCATTATCTCATCGGCGCCTCCGTATACTTCATGTGCACGAAGCCAACGAGTCAGATACAGGGGTAATTTCAGAAGGGGGGATTATCCGTTTTCTTTCGTGTATAGAATTTCCTATGCTGGAATCTCTGAGGATGACATACGGGAATGCCTCCATCCAAATTCCTAGTTCACTACAGGGCTTGACAGCTGGCAGCTTGAGGTCCCTGCGTATCGACGCGCAACTCGTTCTTTCTGCTGAAGCGCAAGCTAATCTGTTCAGTCTTCTCAAAACGACGTCATGCCTTTCCAGTTTATTGATACCATGTCCATTGATGCCTGAAGGGAGTGAATGCGATGGGATTCTTTTTGGGCTCAATGGGAATATCAACCCGGGCGTTGTCCCCAGTCTCACTTCTCTCACTATTCAGTTCCTAAATGAGAAGCCTCATCTCGATCCTTCTTTCATTGATATGGTTCATTCCCGAAGATATCCTGCGTCTAATTGTACTGCGCTGCAATGTCTTCGACTTTCTGCACCATTCGCTATGGAATCACTTGATCCCGATGTGGTTGGGCGTTGGAAGGATATATGTGACGACGGACTTGTCGTGTATGGAGTAGAATAGTGGATCTTTTCCTCGGGAAATTTGTCGGCGTAATTGTATTAAGAGTTATCTAGGCTATCCAGTAGGACCCAGTATTAAGGAGAGATTAAAATCCACCGTCCAAGGCGTGGCGCGTAACATGGATGAAATCACGTCATTGGTGAGTCCTGGTTCCCAGTTCTACGATTAATTGTGGAAAGCAGCACACATTGTATCAAGCCTGCCACCGAAAAACTGATAAAAAATTGGGATTGTATGTAAGATTCCTAAAAACATGCGCTGCTAAGAGATCTTGACTCAACACTCTCTGACAACTAATTCGTAGTAGCATTAGTTGTCGACGTTGCAGCAAACCCGATCCTCGAGTTTGCGGTATCATAAATTGTGTAGTAACGTTCCAAGAACGTATAGCCGTTGATGAAATCGAGACCTTGTCCAGAATTGTGGCCAATATCGTTAACGATGAGATATGTGTCGTTGGGACTGCCTCCGATGGCCGTATTCAGTGAACGAGGCCAGATTTGAGCATTGGGCGTGAGCTCATATGATTTCTGAGCGCAGTATTAGTCGTAGTCCATCTAGATCAATGAATAAGACTTACACCGTTAATGTTGAAGTAAAGACTTGAAAGGTTGGAGTATTGAGACGAAGTGATGCAGAGAAGACCCGTGGTATTGTCCACGGTTGCACCAGTGGCCGACTGGTACCTTTTGAATGCATCGGAAGCGATATAAATGAAGGTCGTCCCTAGCTCAGCTCAATCAGAGTACGACTAGAGATCCAATCTGAGAAACACTTACCAGTATCTACAACACCAGCGGTAGAAGATAGGATGGGCACTTCGGCTCCATAGGTGATAGATTCGTCGATACCCCAGTATTTACTTGCCGGGGAGGTGTTCGTAAGTGGGCTGTTGTAACGTGGTCAACATGGAGCCCAGGGTCTCATCAGAGATGAAGAGCGTACGCATAGCTAATTTCCCCCCTTATTTTGGAGTTGTCCGGACCTCCTAGATCAGACTCGGAATCAGTATAAGACGGAAAAAAGAACGTTCAAAAACCTTAGATACGTACCCCAAGAAAGCTCTCCATTGGTGACCTCATCATCAGTCGTAGGTGCAAAGTACACACCAATTGCATTGTCCATAATTAATCTTTGGTTATAGAGATTATCGGTGACAGTGGGTATGAGTGCGTCGTTATCGAAATACAGGGTTCCTAGGACAAACTTAGGCTCGGAGATGACACAAATGAACCGCTTACCAAGAGTGAGATCGATGGGACCAATTCTGTGATCATTTGCAAATTCTTTAGAGAGATTGGAAGCATGCAATGGCCGATCCATGACTTACCCGAGGATACCATCGGTGCCGTTAAAGCTATTTTAGAATCAATATATACTTGTGAACGTCAAGGTCCAAGATTCGTACCCGGAAGACAAGAAAGCCGCGCCGATTGACTGCGACTTAATGGTCAAGTTTGGCGTGATAGTAACTTGGTCTATGCATTCCCACCCTGGACGAAACATGATTAGTAGAGACAATGGGGACGTAGAATTAATTATTTGCCAATGAATGATCCGGAGCCATAGGAAACGGACTGCGTGGATATTATCAGAAGACTGAATAAAATGACTAGTACGAGACCACCTACCACTACATCAAAGGTATCTTTGCTGGTGCGCGTACGCACGTACATTTTATCTGCACCGACCCAAGTATTCGAACTGCCGGTGTCGACAATCAAGTTGTCTAGTGTAATGTAGAGTTAGCGCATCAATGAGTTCGTGACGAAAAGGAAAACATGCACAGAATGTTGGAGGGCTACCAACACCGATAGAAGCTGTATAGATAACTGCAGCATTATCCACATCCTCATTGATGATAGCGCGTCCAGCCAAATCCCGGCTGACTCCATTCGCACGAGATCGAAGGGTAGCCGCTCGAGCCCGATCTCGTTCTACAATAGAGCTTGTGCCATTGAAGTTGAATTTCCTCGCAATGGGAAGGGATACGGGCCTACGAGGGATGTCGATGGCGCCTGAAATCCCGGAAACTATTAGCGAAGAGAGCATGAAAAAGGCTGAAAGCATCTTTGAGTGAGAAAAGAGTTTAAGATGATAGAAGGCTTGGTGACACGGTGGTTTTTATACTTGAGAGGAAAGTGCTAATCAGAGGACGAGACGAGCTATAGGATTTGACGCAAGGCATGGTGGCGCTGCTTCTCTTACGAGTAAGTGCTTTCCCATGCTATGGAGCCTGATAAGTATTAGTCAGGATATTTTATAGCATATGAATTATCACTAACCGTACTGACGGATGGCAGTGGTGCGTGCTATTGAAAGTAGAAGTCCATAAGAAGATAGGGCTGGGATAGATGAACGGCTGGAAGGACGACGATAGCAAGAATGGAACGGGGCCATGAAACGTCTGCAGAACCGGGGTAGACTGACAGGCCTAGCAGTATATGCGCATGGACGAGCATAGGCCATTCTCTCCGTCGATTTCATTGTGGAATGATATATGATTATTTGCTAAGCTTGCTCTACAGAGAAATATAACCGGAAATTCGACAGAGAATGGTGGGTAAAGCTGAGTTAAGGGTATCAGACAGAAGTTAGCAGGAAAGGATCCGTGTCGAAACGCCTGCAAGTTTTTACTGTTGGACAAGAGTGCTGCTTGCTATTGAAAGCTTGCTTACTGTTTCAGCTAGACGTTACAGATGGACCATGGCATGTATTCGGCAATAGTGGCGAGTATTCTGAACTGTGAATCCAAGACAGGACAATTAAATGCCAGATAGTAGCGAATAGATCATGCATGAAACACGTAAAAGGGCGAAGCAACGAAACCGTACTTATCCACGCTGAATGTTTCGCGATTGACCTCAAGCCTCGAGCTTGACGCTTTGAGGTGGGTGGAGGAAGTAATAGCTGCAGCAGGTACGTAACAGAACTTCAGTAAGTAGAATTGAAGAACCGAACGTACTTTTCGTGCCGATGAAATGCCGGTCGCAGATTTCAAAGTCCGTAGGCAACTTCCATGCTGCAGGTCCGGGGCCGCGGCAAAAGTTCTTCAGCTTGAAACCACCATCACTATCTAGGCTGCAGTTCTGCGCTACTCTCGTTAGTCCCGTCGCTGTACCGAACTTGCAGATCCTACTCGCTCTAACCTTGCAGCCCCAGTAGCGGACCAGACACCCTCTTCAATCTCCTACAACGCCGCGGCGATTCAAGAATGATGGAATAGGACATAATAGGACAGTCGCCTTGTGAGCTAGTCGTCCTTATTATGCTTTTTGTTTACCAGACATCCAGTATCCGTTGAGAGAATGTAGCCTTGCGTCAGGGACACATCATGCCTCGTCAAGTGATGACCGAATATCGATATCAAGAATTCAACTGCACGCGTTGCATAATGATTCTGTGAGGTGGTCCCACTCCTGCAGCTAGCCTTCTATGATGCGCCAATAGGAAAGCCCGCCTAGCTCAATCGGATAGAGCGTCAGACTCTTAACAGGCTGGGCGGTTTAAGCAAATCTGAAGGCTGTGAGTTCGACCCTCGCGGTGGGCTACCTACACTTTTGCCCTTTTGGAAGTTCGCAAGTCTCCTAGGATCATCTTCCACTGTCCAGTACCGCCGTCTACGCGTTCCTTCTTGAATTCTCCTTCTTTAGGCACCTTACCTTCTCATCAGCTACAGGTCAGTTGATACAGTAGCTGAAACGACAACCGTAAAGCAATGTCGCGTCGTTGCATGGCTGGGATATCATTCGAAACAGACATTTACTGTTGTTATTGCGCGCTTTCCTGTAAATACATCTCATTTTTTATCATAATAGGCTTATCGATCTACATAGTTCTTGATACATCATTTATTAACTCACGGAACGGACATGCCTGAACAAGACGCTGTTGATATTACGACATCAGCCTGAGTTTCGTTTGTTCAGCAGCGAAGAACGACGTTAGCTGAAAGAACAAGTATTCACATGGTGCACCACAGAAAATGGTCAACATTTATGAGCATGTACAAACCGAAATTACTCCTAAGAAAGCTGTCTAACCCACCTAACGTCTAATAAACAATCTCAACGATAGACTTGGCTATAAAGATGTCTGACGTACCTCAATTTTATCGTAAGCAGTATATATGTCCAGATATAATCCCATATAATCCTGGTAAACAGGCATATACCTTTACGGCCTGACCTGCATTAGCCTCAAGTTAATATCACTTCATAAGAGTTTGGGCAGCTTAGAATGATTATTAAAGACATTACCGCCAGTTACTCTTATATACGATAGCATTTTCAATAGACGGCAGCAGCATTTGATGAACACGAGTATATTATTGAATGCGGCGATGAAACCACCAAATACAAATTACATACACTAATACGAAGTGGCCAGGGATACGGGTACAGAGCATAGTCACGCATTCGAGGTGCAAAGCAAACCTGTATAACAATTTGAGTGAGATGTGAACGGAATAACAGCAGAAAAAACTTACAGAAAGGCTAAATGCAACTTGTGCAGGAGCATAGAGATGCCGCTGAACATCAAAGCATCGGACCCAGCCTCACGAGTCACAATAACGGGTAGTCATCTTCATGATGGGGCTCTTAGGCAGACAATTATCTTGGATGTTCATTGTGATCGGTATCCGTATGTATCGCAACGACTTTGCCTAAAGAGCGAAATCAGCGAAATCACAGACAAACAGTGAGAAGACATATTTTCCAACCGTGGGGCAGACTCTGATATTAAAGAAACCACAAAAGTCAGAGTATATGTGCATACATGCTTTCGAATTTGCGCACCTTGTTGTATATCTACCATCCTTATTGTCCTCCTCACCTGCCTATCCTTCTCATTGCGAAACATTGTTCAGCACTTCGTGGGCATGGTCGATGTGGTACTGGAAAGAGCAGTTATTATACGGCGGCACGAAGGTAAACCGATGCCAAAAGCACCTCCAATCAGAAGTAGCGTCACTCGACTCCCTCTGTTACCTGCAGGTATGAAAAACTCGGTAAAATGTACACTACAGAGCAAACAGGAGACACACCTCTGCCCTCGAGTACCGCTATTATGTTCTCGGCATCGCCGTGACCTTCATGCATTGTGTGTTCATCGTCAGACGAACCGTAGGCACTGCCGCTGCCAAGATCCTTGTTGTTGCCATTGTCTTGCTCCATGTCGACCTCATAATCAGCTTCGTCATCTTCAGATCTGAAGTTGGTGGAGTCGGAAACCGTTTTCTCGCTGGTGGTTGGGAAACCTGGCGATGCTCGGCATTCTTCGATGCATTCTTGGATGTGCTCGAAGGTTTTCTGGGTGGGAGTAGCTTTTCTCGATGGCTTCACATGTGAAGAACTGGAGAATGTGGGTTTGGGGATGGCAGGGAAGATGGCGGTAGAAAGAAAAGCAAAGATCGCGGTCTGTCACGTTCATGTGACATGACGTTGCACATCACGATACCGATTTTAGAAACTTGTTCTCGCCTGAGGCCCCGGGAAGCTCCCGCCAAGGTTTGTCCGGCAAAAACCCTGATTTTTTGGCCTCAAATATGCAAAGATTGGCGCCTAAAATATGCTAACTCGGACAAGGCGTCTCCCGGTCCGTCCGTGCCGGACAGCGCCGCGGGCCAAATTAGGCCAAATTTCGGCGTCCTTCGCCTTGCATTTTCTGGATGAAATTTCAGTGTCACTTTCATCCTTCTTTCAGATCCCAATAAGTCTTCGCTATGCTTCTCCAACTACAGGGATTCCGCCAGGTGCCATTCCTCCAGGCCCCAGAGGCCCTAAAATATGCTAACTACGGACAAGGGTTTCAAATTTTGGGTCTGAAATATGCTATCTACGGACAAAGATTTCGCTTTTTTTGGGCCTAAAATATGCTAAAATCCGGACAAACCTTGGCGGGAGCTTCCCGGGGCCTCTCGCCTGCCAGCCCTGTCACCGGCGGGAACATGTAGCATCACAACTGCCAGCACGTTCACCCAACAAAATCCTCCTCCTATGAATCTCTGTCTTTAGAATGTATCTGTCATCCTTCCTTTTGCCCCGAGTCTACAACTCTGCAAGTTTTGCCATGATGATGTTCCTCTATGACCGGATTGCAAAGCTTTTACAAACCTAAATAAACCTAGACTGAGATTTCTAATGGTTATATCCTCTTATGAACCTGACTGAGAGGATTAAAATATCAAGTATCCCAAAATAAACACATGGCTCGTTTATACAGGTATATGAACATGCCTTATCTTTATATCGGGCTATATACGAAGTCATCTTATGTAAAGGCATGTAACCTTTTCTCGCTTTTTGTGGTGTGGTTAACCAAGGCATGACCACACTAAACTGGGGTTTTCCGAGTTTCTCCGAAGGGACTGGAGAGTACCAGGAACTGCAGGACATGGGATTTGAGCTACTCGTCTGATTTCTGGCTGTTAGGTATTATCAAGCGTGCAGTGCAGTGGGTAACTGCTCTTGCTGTCGATAATCATGTTATCGTGTTTTGAGAAGACGACGTCAGTTTCTTCGCTGTCTTGTTCTATCGAGCGTATCTGATTGTTTTACGGTACGCCCAGTCGAGTCTCACGATACTTTACCAATCGAACGTACTGACTCCCGATGGCCAGATAGGCAGAACTTCTAAGTGCGCTACAGGTTTTCCCATGGATCGCCTTCCATTGTTCAGAATCCCATAAAGCGCCAGCGAATCGCTTGGTTCACTATATTTCACCCTTTACTCACACTCTCGGTAGAAGTTACACGCACGTAGAAGCGCAGGACGACCTGCCAACGCAGCAAGGAGAAGGTTATCTCTCAGGGTTCCAAGCCATACTTAACGCGCATATCACTGTTGATTTCGACGTGCCAAGTAAAAAATCCTACTCACTCTACGCCATATGTAACAAAGTTTCCATCGCAAAGCCCTGCCCAACGGTCAACCAGCGCACTGGGGGGTGGCAGCATGACAAGCGGCACCGATAAACGAAGACTCTCCAACCCAGGCCTCCTAGACTCAACCATATCAACGAAAACACTCGACAGACCGGGGGATATGTTTATGAACCGGAAAGCCAACGACTTGAGACCGGGAACGACGTCAGGATTGATGCTAATGTTAAGCCCGACGAGAATCACATCCTCTTCTGGGGCCATGGACATGGACATGGATAAATGCGACAGCGATGGTGTCGTTCTGAGGAGACTGAGTAAATCAGCCTGCGCCCCAGTGGGAATGATGAAAGATGCATCGATCGAAAGGCTGCTCAGGTTACCCAAGTGCAGAGAACTAGGAATCCATATGTTTGGGTGCCGGTACGCCATACTCAGGGACTCTAGAGCAGGTAATTCCACATGCGAAAGAACATGAGTGATACCCCCCTCTGAACGGATCTCGGACCTAGGTTTCTTTGCCTCCTCATAAACGTGAAGCCGACGAAGCCCGTGATGGCGAAACGGTATAGAAGGGAGGACAATATCAAAACCACAGTCATCGTCACACTGCAAAGACATGCTCGCCATATCCGGCGCGAGCTTTAAAATATCGATATACGTGCTCGTCCAGTCGTTCCCAGTGTACTGTGTGAGCTGCGGCCACGGAAGACTCACCTGTTCGACCGCACTGCATACACTATTGATGGAGACGCTTCGGAGCAGTGGCGCATACTCGAAGGCTCTGAATATGGGTTTGGAAGGTGGGAAGAGCGGCATCCGTGGTTCAGTCGTGAACTCCACACGGAGACGAGTGAGGCGATGTAGAGATCCTCTGACGGCAGACAAAGCGTGCAATGATAAGTATGGAATGGCGATATGGAGGTCAACCCATCGTGCTGCGCTTGAAAAAAGGATAGGGGTAACAGGGTTCTTCGTTGAGAGCCCTTTTGTGCTGCGTATGGAAAGGGTGATATCGTGCATCCCAGATCGCAGAATGTACATTTGAAGGCGATATAGACACGCCACTTCATTCCGATATCGGTCGAAATCCAGGGAAATGGACGACCATAACTGAGATGTAGACAACGTGACACTCCTCCAGTCCCTGCAGACCTGCGAAAGGACCAAAGGTGGAGATTTCCCATCCAAAGAGTCCTTTCTCTCTGGCTTATCAATGTCCAAACATGTCACAAGAATTCGGTGTACTCTGTCCTCGGGGATGTTACGAATAGGGGATAGAATTGTCTTGCAGGATTGAACCAAACGCTCGACGCTCCTCTCCTCATCTAATAATCCCTCAAGCACAGCACATGTTTGGGTTATCTGATCCTTTAGCCCAGACAAAAATACATGGCTATCACCGATAAGACTCTCCAGGTGAATGCACTCGAAATGAAGAGGTGGATTATTTGATTGTAGCAATTCGTCCATCCGCGTTGCTGATAGGTCAAGCGAGCGGAACGAAAGAGTGCCATCCGATCGATTGTGGCCGCATTTCTGGCAGGGGAAAGAGTCTGGCATCTACACTTGTGATAAGAAGCTGGAAATAATGTTAGTTTCACAAGTTTACCTTTTTTTCTTGTTGATCGCTGGAGAGAGGATGGACAGGGGTAATTCAAATCGACTCCGACAAATGACTGCTATTTAGGGCCGGGTGTCACTCCTGTAAAGTGGAAGGGGCTAAGCTTGGCCTCATTTTATTTTATATCTTCTTTGAAATATTGAACCTAATTGGATCCGGAGTTCAAGCTAAGCACTACACACACACTGAGGGTATTTCAACGTTATCACTTAAATTCTAAGCTGACATGATGATTGATGAGGGAGTGTAAATTTGGAGCGAATACTGAAGCTTACAATAATTGTACGAAGAACTTATACTCAAGAATACGCTAGCATCTGGGGCTACAGATGGGCACTTGTTCCGCAAGACCTACAAAAACACTATGATTTTTCAGAACATGTCTTTCAAATGGAGTGTGAAAGGGTAGCAAGAAGCTGATCTGACTACCAATATCTTCCATATGTATTCTATAATCCTTAGAGCTGGAGTAGTGATATTGGCTGCATTTGCGTTCTAGGTCGCCTTTCGATTGCCTTTCGAGTAGCGGTGACTCAGACCGTCGTTTCATGCGATGTAAAGAGCCAATTCACCGGAAAGATGTGTCTATGGGAAGAAAACATACAAGTCGAAACAGATCATGCCGAAAATAATTGTTGTACGAATCAGCCAGAAGTTGGCATGAAGATGTTGGTGTTGACGCGGGATCAAAGGCCTATCCGGCCCGACGGAAAATCGCGTCGATGATGTGGGAACCTTTATCCCTTTCCGGATTCTGGCCTGTCATGCGCTTTCTTGCTTCCTTGCATGTCAACAATCCAGTGATCCTCGGTCCTACGCCTGCTGTATGCTCGCCATGCTGACGCTATCACGAAAAGGAAGCTGAAGGGTCTATAGTCTCTTTCGAAGACCTCCCGGACTCCGTCAAGTTTAGGAAATTACAACTTGAAGCAGACAGCTTGATGCGGTGCTAAGAAGATGGTCCGAAACTGAAAAGGAAAGACCGAGAGAGCAATGTTTCTTTTCGGTCATGGTGCCTAGCTTTGTTCGTCCCAGAGCTGCAGTATCCCCTGATTTCGGAAAGAACCAGGGTTTTCGGAGAGTCACGTGGGGCCTAGCCTCCATCACTCCGTCACATCCTCGTAATCAAGCACGCAATATTTAATCTTTATTATTCCCCCATTTTCATTTATGCTACATAATTATTGTAAAATTTCATTTTTGAGGGTTAATTCATGCAAATTTACATGTTATTCATACCGTTAAAGCCGCTGGCCAATCGCACAATAAATCTTAAGATGTTCACTTAAGCCGTCAATCTTAAGCAGTCTTATATTGTATTTACTAGTGAAATAGCAAGAAAACATGTCTGTATGCAATACGACAAATTTTGTGATATAATCCATGTACAAGTAAGACAGCAAGGCGTACAGCAAGAAAACATACATACGAAATACATCAAACATATGAGACCCTGCAATAATCAGAGAATTTAGATGCTGGTTCTAAGGACATTAGAATATATGCCTTTAGCGAACAACATGAAGACTTACAACTTGTCCAGGTAGCAATGGGGCAGATTGGACCTGCGACTCGGGTAGTTTTGGCAAAGACAGACTACCGACCCCAACCATGGACAGTGGACCTCTGCTTATCACCTCTGGACTGATACCTATTCCTCCTAGTCGAGTGATCACGTGCAACATGGTCCCGATTCACCGAAGCCATCTCAGAGTAAACGACCACGGAAAGACGTTCCGGTGTCTAAATCTTGGAACGAGAAGGAGACTCAAAGTCATAGACAGTAGGTGTCGTTCTCTCGGACAGCCCGAAGGTGCAGTGTATAGAGGCCCGCTAGTTTCCTAAACTCGGATGGCATTATCGTTCCACCCAACTCGATGTCAAGCCTCCTCAACTCTCTTCGTGTTCCCTTCATCATCCGAACAATGGATGTCATAGACATATCTGGAGTTTGGTGCAGAGACTCGGGAGGGATCCTGGATTTCACGCAGCCTTGATTCGCATGATAATGGTAAACGTCCTTCGAAGGCTAATCAGCATGTGCATAAATACCATGTGAGATCTGGGACGTGAGTGAGAAGTACGTAGCGCCAGAATAAGTTGTCGGGGCTGTATCTTCATTGTGAAGTCATTCGTTGCCTGAGCCCGACGTAAGTAGCCACGGATTACCTTTCCTCCCACGCTACATCTTTATTACTTCCTTCACCACTGTCCTCCCTGCACACCGTATTTAAGCACCCCAAAAAATACCGATACCTGTCTGAGCAGTGAGATTAAACCCTACCATTCCCCGAAAAACCACTCACACCTAAGTCGGCAGATGGAGCTACTCAGAACCAAGAAACTTCGTAAACTCCTCAATGCCGCAAGGTGAACTTGACAAGCCAACTCATTGTGAAGCGATGACGACGATTTCTAGGACCACCTTCACTCGACCTCTCAACATCCTTAGGGTTGTGTTTAGGCGTTCAGGTCTGTGCTTCATTCTGATCCTTTGTGTTGATATTCATGATATCTCAGAGCACACCGAGCACACCGACCTCTGTGAGTCGGTCTCTCCACTTACGCGATCTCCCTGATCCCTTCACAAGCCACGGATTCCAGTGCTGACTCTCCACTGCCATCCACGCCCGACACCTTGTCATGGGAGGCGCGCCGACTTCAACTTGGTGTTCGACTTACAGATGAAGTCCTCGATGAAGGGATGTTGGTGTCCGAGTCACTCACTCTCGATACCTAGGTGCGTCATTTGCCAACATTCACAGTTCCAACTAACCTCGTTCAGACTACGTCAGCCTCCTCACGCCAGAAACTGTGTGCACTTCAGATGAATGAGATCCTTCGTTGAACATGTAGTATGACAGAAATATGGTGATAGTCTTTGCTCCATTCCCCCAAAAATCTAAGAGTTTCACGCCCTTGCACGCTGCAAGTAGTTCTTGAATTTGAATAGAGAGAATTTGTTCGTCATTCTCAACCTGGTGTGGCTCTTTCCCATACTATTTGTGCTGACATACTTTCCTTTGACGGTATTAGTTTTGCTATGCCTGATGGTTGACGACGTCGAACGTGTCCTGGCTTGTTTTGAGAAAGGGAACCTCCCGGACAGTGCTTCCTTCGGTGTCTTTACTTGTGCCACCATGGTGTTACAAGTACATCTCTGTGCTTCGTGGCTTCAATCAGATAAACGACTTGGGTCTCGTCCATCCTCATACTCGTCCCACGAATATGATCTCCGAACTGAGGTGGAATCCATCATCAATGCAGAAGGATGCATGAAAGTTGCAATGGCTAAGATCACTTAACTTGATAGCTTCTTGAAGGAAGCGCAGAGAGTGTATGGCAGTGTTAGCACTTGTGAGTTGGTACTCTCCTCACTGCATCGCCTTCACCCTAATCACTGTGCATAGTTGGAATATGTCGTGTCGCTCGAAGTGACTTCGTTTTTTCGGATGAGTTCCTGCAGGCAATGAAATCTCCGTGGCTGCTTTGGCTACGAATACGGACGAGGTGAGTCGCACATGATGCGAGCACAACCATCATCTTCATCAGCATCCGCCCCACACCTCTCCCAATCCGAAGACCAATGAAACCGCGGAGTCATTTCTGACTAAACGTAAGCTCCAAGCGCCCATGCTAAAGCTACACAAACATATCAGTTAGCATAAAGACAATTATCATACGGGGAACAAATTACCTCTTCCAAGCAAACACAAGAAAACCCGCTTGCTGTAGACAATGCAATCGAAGCAATATGATGCACTCCATGATCATCGCGTGGCCTGCCGCCAGCTGGCCCATATCATTTATCTTTCTGCCGGCATCGCAATCTCGACACCATGCCGTGCCTTCCCGCTGGTCACTTGACATCAGCAAGTTCTGCCGGTGTTGTTCACCATCCATGGTGCCACGATAGGATGACACGTACAGTCATTGCTAGTCGAGCACCTGAAAACCACGAGAATGCCTTCCCGTAGGTACGTTCGTCGTGCTGGCATCCTATGCAGATGACATACAATGGATGTCATGCACCTGCAAACCCGTGGCGCACCGAGAATTGGTGCAGTATAGACGTATGCACTGCGCAGCAGCGAGGACTTAGCAGTAGGCTCATATGGCAGAAACAACTGCATAGTCTAGGGCCATCCCAATGCCGTCCCAATGCTAAGTTCATCACTCTACATCTTAAGATCCGGACAACCACAAATATCCAGATTCATATGAGACAGAACTGCGCTGCCGAGGGAGACAACTGCCAAGCATCGTCAGCTTTAGAACACTGCTACCCAAATATAACCTGACTTGCCTCAAGACATTCGATCCTTTGCACATCTGTACACATACGAACTACCAACGTGGGAATAAACACCCATCTTAAGATTACAACCCCATATCTTAACATATACTCGGCTTCAGCTCTCAAGTTCACGCCTACTTTTCAAGATCGAGATCACATATTCTCCTCTCTCTCTCACCCCAGTTCCCCGCTCATTCCTTGCTTTCCCTCACGCTACCAAACCGACCTAATGATCCTCCATACCCGACGCCCGCTATCCTTCCCTAGGCGCAATACTGCTGCTCAACACTGCTGCTCGAATCGACGCCAGAGCACATCGCCATTCACCTATCTTAAGACACCCACCCCACAACTGCCCATGCGAACCTCAGCCCTCTAACATCCTCTTAAACGACATTGGCCAAGACCCTACTTCAGTGCGGCACTGCCTTGTCTCTCATGTTCAGATTCGGGCTGGCCTGTGTCCCATCTTCAGATCAACAGCCGCACAGTCTAGGACCATCCCAACCCTCAGGACATCTGTCCACACCTTAAGATCCCAACCAAGTTGGCTCTCGGACAGCCTCTTAAACGAATTTCACCTAGACGCGACTCCAGCACGGCTGGTCTCTCTCTTATTTTCAGATCAGGCTCTCATACTGGTGTACGTCCTATCTGCAGATACGCCTTTGGCACACACGAAACAGCACACACACACTTCATCCCTCGTTCCCCTCAACCTTCTCGTCCACCATGAGACCTCGATAGCACTGGACCGCCCTAAACTGCAGATAGCCCCCCCCCCCTGATCTATCTGAAGATGTATGGTCACAGAGACATCTTTAGATCGCACTCAACCAACCTCCTCATCTTTAGATTCTGACTGGTGGGGTACATCTTCAGACCCATCCTTCTGATACTTCTAGCATTAACATTAGCCATAGTCTATTGTATCGCCACGGTCTCACCTGCATTCAATGTCTATATCGACCTCATCTACTGCTGTATAAGCTTAAGGTGTCCTGCAACTCAGCGCTAAGAAGAGCACCCATTTCTCTTTTCTTTCAGATGTCAGAACATGTAGACTGCCCTCAACCTACAGGTCATAAACAGTCAGCACATTCCACTGAGTGACCACCACACATACCTTGTACCAATATTCAAGCCGTACCTCATGTCTCTCTATTGAAACTGAAACACATCCATCTACACATCTGTGCGCCTGCCCTTGGGCTGTCTGTAGCTGTACCACTACAAGCAAGATCTTGAGATGTGCTATTCTGCTTGCACATCTTCAGATGCATGCTTGGAAGCTGCTGTCAGTAAACTAGATATGCGTGTAAGTATCACGGATCCTACACCTGCTGTGTTGTAAGTCAAGAATACTTGAGACAGCCTCGCAATGCGCAATGAGGTGTGATCTAGCACTTCCTGACTGCAGCCGGAGCAGACTTTCAAGCGACATCTTCAGATCCTCACCCCGTTCATCATGGCCGTCTGCAGATGTCGCCCCATTGGCGATGTCTTCAGATGGTGTCATCACAACTCACAGCTTTGGGCGTCTTCAGATAGGCGTCGTCTTCAAAGTCAGCATCTTCACATGCCAGGTCTCATCACCACAAACAAGCAGCAAAAGATATGTTAGATATGTGCGTATATACTGTACAAGAATTAATTCTACAATCAATGTTAGCCGTTGCTATGTCTGCTCGGAACAACCTCACTTACTTCTAATATGCTACCCGGTTCTACTACAAGGAACGTTCCTGAACACAACAGTTAGCAATAAAGCATGCTGGCCAGGGGTGAAGAACTTACAACCGTGAAGGACATGGCATTGAAGGAAGGAGCGTGACAGTGTTTCCAGATGCTCCGCCACCTTTTGGGCCTCCCGCCACAGTTTCAACAATTTCTTCCACTCCGTCTGATTTTCGCACTTGAAGTCTCTGTCCAGATATTTCTTGACCCGACGCTGGTACCAAGATTCAGCGTCTGCGCTCCAAAATCCTACGTCAAGACCACTTCCTCTCCAACTCGCATCTTTCAGAAACCACGAGACATGTTCTGTCAATCTGCCACAGTCGTCTCCCTTCTTGCCGGACTTGCCTGCACTTTCCTCTCTTTCGACCTTATACACCCCACAGATGATGTTGATCTGGTCCTCAGTGAGCATCTCATCCCATAACTCGTCGCCTTCTTCCGTCTTGTAAAATCCCCCCACTTCCGTCACCCGGGACGAAGGGCCTGAAGTGACGAAATCTTCCGACACCTCCATCGCCAGGCGCCAAGGTACACCGCCATGCTTCAGAGCGGCACGGAGGACTTCATTGCTCCGAAATAGCTGCTTGCGCCTTCCGACGTAGCTCATATAGTTATCTTTACCAAGCTGGAAGCCCTTGACTTGATAAGGAATGCGCTCGACCGCTCTCAGGGACGTTCTTGGGCCCCGATCCTCATGGCGAACGCGTAGGCAAGTTGAAAGTTTGATGCCCCAGGAACACAGATATTCAGCCACTTCATCCAAGGACAGGTGCTTCATTTGGCGGAGACACAAGAGGACCACACTCGCTCGACCGACAATCAGCTCATAGTCAGTCTCTTCTCCATCGGATATCCGGTACATGTCCTCCCTCTGATTGGTAATCTGCACCCTTGATACTGAGAACCTTTTGTTGTAGACTCTTGCCAGGTAATTCGTACACGACGGGTCAAAGTCAGACCAATCAGGAGGGAAACCATGCAGCAGCGCTCCCCTTGAGAGGAGGCCGTTCATTAGCACGCTGAGCACCCATTCGGATCTTGGGTTGTAGGGGTCCCTATCCGCATTTCGACACGCCAAAGATGACTTACATCTGGTGGCCTTCTGAGCCTCGACGGGCATGAGTTCGGTCTCGGATGATTGTGCTGCAGGAAGTTGAAGGCCATGGAACCAATACAGAACCTCTTCAAGGGTAGCTGTGGACATCTTCTCTGACTGAACATCTTCTGCCTCGTGAGCGATGAGGCGGCGACCTAGTTCTTGTGCAGGGTCTAGATTGCTTCCTTGAGACGATGCCACTGGCTCGTTGATCCCGTCATGGGCGTTGGATCCTCTTTGGAAGTCAAAATCGTCATCATCATCCTCATCGCTGTCATAATGCGCTGTGGGATCAAATTCTTCATTCAAGTCCCATTCGTTACGAAAGGAATCGTACCGACGCTGACTGTTACTGTATTGCATCCAGACGTCCACCACCTGCCTGCGAAAAAGAGGCCGTCGAACCAGATAGCCCTTATGTTCATCTAACAACCACTCAAACACTGCCACACCCTTGGCACCCGGTACTTTGAACTTGGCTGCATGTTCCTCCCTCTGGTATCACGTCTGCCTGTCCTGCTCACTCTCGCTCTTCTTCAACACCTCATTTTTCTCTTCTCTGCGGGCGAAAAAGTCCTGCCATCTCTCACCAAGGCGCTGTCCATGGTGCCTCTCTCCCTTGCCAACAGGCTCATATAAGATCTTCGGGCTTTCTACCAGCCTTGACTCCGTAGGAGCTATCGTTGACCAAGCTCCCTGCATGGGCACCGGGGCCATCATTTCATCTGTGCCCCAAGCTGCACCCGACGATTCCCAGGTCAAGACGTCAGGTCAAGGATCAGGCTGAGGAGGGCTTGGATCGAATATTGAGCCATCAGGGAGAGCTCGCAATCCCAGAGGAACTCTCTTGGTGGAACGCATCGCTGCTTGGCCTTCCACCGGGTGGCATAGAGCTTGCCAGAGCTCATCACCTGTCGGAACGTACTTCAACAACCCAACAGTTGCAGAGGCCCACGCCTGGATTGAACCCCATGCCAGCCACAGTGGGATACCGGCATTGATCATGTGCTCAAAAACATCCGTGAAGTCGCAATCCTCCACATCCACAAACAGACCGACGTGTTGCAGCCCTTGCACGTTGAAATTGTTCGAACCCGCCACCTGGAATCCTTCACCGTCTCATGCCACCCAGCTTTCCTTGAAAAGATCCGTAACATGGGCATCAAAGTGGCTTGATACCACCTCATCCCAAAAATCAGTTTGGTGGACTGCATTGTAGGCTACCTCAGCCAGAACTAACATGAATGCCTCCCTCGAGCACATGAGCATTGCCGTCAGCTTGAGATGGTCGACGTGACTTCGCCCATATCCATACCGAGACAGTTCGGGCCAGCTGAAGAGAGCTCTCCCCAGCCTCAGATCGGTGGTGGCCGACCGGGACACCTCTCTGAGTTGCAGAACGACGGTCTCCAGATCCTTCCAATCACGAAAGACATCTTGTCGAAGGTACCACCTATCTCCCTTCGACTCAATTGGAACACTGGCGTGGGTATAATTGAGGCATCTCAACAGACAGCAGCTACAGGCTGCATAGGTGTCGACGGGAACAAAAGCCTGGTATGGTATCGAGTTTATTGACCAGCACCGCTCCAGAAATGGCGTGGGATCTACGGGGAAGCGCATGGAGGTAGACTGTGACGGGTCCACGATGGCTCTGCTAGGTATCGGGGCTAACTCTCTTGTCGTGAGGAGAACAAAAACGCGATCATCTTTGGTCACCACAACTTGTCGCAGACGCGAAGGCCTGCTCCCACCATAAGTACTGCTACTTCAGGAACAAATGGACACTTACTGTGAGTTCACTCCCTCGGAACCACCGGCTTCGGAACTGTACTGAGCAGACATAGGACTACCACAGCCTGAGGCGATGTTAGAGTGATGGATAACCCTCTGCCTTGAAGGCACCCACCTGCAATACTTTGTCAAGTGCAAAAATTGGCACAGGCTCAACAGTTCCGAAGTCGACACTCCAGGTGATGCGAGCCCAAGCAATTACCAGCCAAGGTTTAACCCCGGTGTGATATGCTCAACGTTCCTCTACCAAAGTTTCACCTTGGTACCATGAAGGCGGTAAGAGTGAGTGGCGCTTGGCCCAAGCGCAAGCTTTACACTTCAAACTCCGCCCAGCCTCCGATCCAAACAAGTGCATCGCCAGCGATTTTGCTTCCGTTTGCACTCCCCGCCCTGATCATGCGCAACTGTTGTGAAACGACGGTGGCATTTTCGGGCGGTGATGGTGGGATGTAACCCGATGTGTTCCACATCGGCGCCATTCCACCAGAGTAGCCTTGGACTGTGGTACATCCGTTGTTAAATGGTGGGCTTACTTGCAGTCTCAGACTTCTCTGCCCCACCATTGCACCGGGCCAAACTCTCTCGAGGGTGCTACTACTCCAACGCCGCCTCTGGCCTGGCGACTTACTTCCTACACATGCTGTATTCTGCTCGTAGCCAAGGGCCATGATACTTCTGTTGTTAAACGTCGGCTTACTCATGGCCCAATGCTTTCCTGACTCACACCTTTCATCCTCGAGTGCGCTACCGTGCGAGCGCCTTTTCCCCTGTAGTTGCCCTCTTTCCAATGTCTACCATCAGTTGCCTCCTGGCATGAGCACCGGCTCTCCCTGGAGGACGTGCTCCAGTACCAGTAAAGGCGAATGCCCCCGTTCTTCCAATTTCGCCACCGTCTGCCGATTTCTCATTAAGATCATCTCATCCAGGTAGAAGTTATACCTGAATGAGGTGGATTTCAGCTCTGCATCTTTTTGCTCCCAGGGTGAACTCACCATAAGCGTGGCATTTCATGCACGATGGGATGGTAGCCACCAAACCATCCGTTCGCTTGCTCTGCGGCTGAGGCGTTGAATCGCCACTCCTTTCCCCCCTTCTTGCCTGGCTTCATCAGCTCGGGAAAACGGGAGGGGAGGCACCATCTGCAGCAGAATTCGTCTGTCTCTTTGTGGCTTTGGGCATGCCAAGTTTCCACGACCATTCCTGTTTTGTTAAAGTAAGTGTCCCTTTGAGTCCAGAGATGGTGCAGCAATGAACAATTGTTGTCGTAGAAGATGTAGCTGGGCAGGCAGTTGGGGTATCGTGATGTGGGAAAGGTGACTTTGAGAAAGTCCTGTGGTTAATTTGGTAAGTTGAACGCACCCATTCCAGAGACGAGGAGAACTAACTTTACTGGCTGTCAGTGATTCTGCGTGATAGAAGGTGCACCTGGAGACTATGACCCCACAGGGGCGTACGAACAACTGTTCGTTATGGGTCCATTTGCGGTTGAGTCGCCCAATGATCTTTCCCAGTAGGTTGTGGGCTTGGAATAGAGTACCTACGTTCAATTCAACGCCATCTGATGCAGTCGCATTGGTTGGCTCTTCTGTCGGGCGAGACTCTGTTGTACTGACAGCACCGCCCTCCTCCCCCTCCATCCGCGGTCGCCGTAGGTATTGGGTGAGCAACTCATGCATGCCTTTGTGAGTTCGGTGCTGCACTTCCAGTTCTCGCTCTTGATGAGCGACTGTGCAGCATGCCAAAGACTTGTTTGCCTTATCTGGCGGCAATGCACATCCCACCACGAAACATTTCTCTTTGCGATCAGAGTGAGCAGGACAGAACCTTTCCTTGGGTGTTTCGAGGTCTATGCGACAAATACCCTCTACTGAGCAACACGGATGGCCCATCGTCACGCCGTCCATGGTTCCTGCATCCACGACGTCTGAACGAGCGATAGCCATGAGCATTGAACTTTCATTCTGACTAGTCAACGACTCACATGTTTTCCCATCAGGGCCCTCAATGAGCTGCATGCAAAGTTTGCATTGATGCGCCCAGAACTCCTGACCCGTGCCGACCATTCATCTGTTCCTGTCCTCGAGTGCCTTGTTCATGTGACCTCGGTGCTCTCCGCTGTTGGGCAAAGTCAGGTGCTCGTGCCTATTGTACGCATCCAGCAGCAGCCCGTGTAGAAAAAAAGCGTCATAGACCAACTCTGCCGTGAGTTTGCTTTCCAAAACAAAGTTGTTGGGAACGTGGGTTGCAGGCGTCCGAAGTGATTCATTGTACCACTGCGCTATACCTGATGCAGAAGCACTGGTTGAAGGGGTTACCAAACATCCTTTCTTGGGGGTGACTACTTACTGGAGGGTCACCATAGCCTGCTGAAAGATTCCAATCAGGCTGACTTCGAAGTACGCTGTCGTCGATGCTCCTATGATATCCGGCATCTGCTCGACATACACTCGTTGAGCAGTTTTGTCGCTCGGCACACTGACACTGTAATTGGGCATATGTCGAGTATGGCATTCTGGGGATTCTGAGGTCAGCTCATGCAGGGTTTGAGGTTCTATTGGCTCACTACAGCAATAATAGCTCTAGACAAAGACTGGCAGAATGCCCCATGCAACTGTATAGAGCCTCACCTCAGTAACAGAATAGGACTTGTAGATTCTTCCCTGCTGCAACACTCAGGTGGGATATCAGGCAGTCTTGCAGCGCCTGAAACAGACAAAGTGAGGTTGTTGTGGGCTGTCAAGCGTAACACCACTAACCTACTTTGTAGTCCACCCCTGAAACAACAAAAGTAATCGTTGTCAGATGTCACCATGGTAGGTTGCACCAGGTAGACTGAGCCGCCGCATTCTCAACCAGCATTCTCGAATGAAGCGGTCAGGAAGGTTGAGGGCTGGCACCGAGGAATGCCACCTCGTTGGATTCAAGCATCTCTTTGGAGAGAGAGTAGGTGGCTGGGCTGATGCGACGAGCAAGGCGTAGAAAGAGCAGTGCCTGCATCCATGTTAAGCATTTTCCCAACTCTGAGTCTTCAGGCAGAAGCTTGGGAAGGTTGGCGAAAATCGATGAGGCTAAGGAGTCCGCATTCATCGGGTGGGGGAGAAAATAAAACCTTGGCTCTTACATAAGCCCTGCCTGTTGGGAGGGCTGATTCTGAATGAAATTGTTTGCATACTTAAGCGTGTATCTATGGGCTACCGACGATCGGTTAACTACTAGCATCATCTATGTCATCATCTACATCGTCCAATGAAAGTGGGTTGGCCTTCCTCTCTGAAGCAATATTAGGCAGCTTGCCATAAATCATTGCGAGCCGCTTAACTATGGTTGCAGCGCCGTGCCATCTCTGGCTCTTACGCCCTTTGCCTTTCCTGCCTTTCATGAACTGGGGGTCAACAAAGTTTATCTGACACAGTTTCTCCTCCGCAGTGTCAACGCCTTCCTTCTCAACATATCTGCCGATATCTCTTATGTTTGTTAACCAGTCATGGCTGCAGTTGATGAACTGTTCCCAATGGGCCATGGTCACTTCCACGTGGTAATATTCTAGTATGCATCAGCGTGAGACCTGGGAACAGCAAGGCGAACAACTGTACGCACTGTGGCTAACAACTCTTCTGGTCCCGAAGTGTCCAATGAGCCATTTCTCCAGCAGTGGCCGCACTTTCTCTCCCAACGTTAGTGCATCGCAGATAGGCATGCCGTTGCGAGTGGCACGATCCCATAAGTCCTGCAAATCATCATCGTCTTTAAAGCCGCTCCTGTCCAAAAACATGGTAACAATCGCTTCGCGTTCGTCAGAGGGCATTCGGGACTATTTAAACGATTGAGTGTGATGTAGGCTGGGCAAGTGGCACATGTGACCCACCTTCACAGGCCTCTTGCGCTTGACCAGACCTTCTGAGGTAGGAGGAACTTGTTCAGGTTGTTGCGCCTCATCATCGCTGACAAGCACTGGTGCTAGCATTGCTGGAGGTATCACAAGTACCTTGTCTTCCCCATGGCTATAGATACAGACCTTATGATTGACCAAGTCATAGGGAATTAGCCATAGCACATTGGCAATTTTCCTTGTGGTCAGTGAGCATTATCTCTTATTCAATTGCTAATACATGACTGACCTTGTAATGCTCCATTTTAGAGCTACCCTTTACTGCTTTGATGTTCTGAAATTGCAGGATGGTCTTCTCCATCATAATACTCAATCAGCAGTGGAAGTAAAAGGTATCCCTACCCAGGGCTTACTTGGCATGGTGATGCGAATAGGATCTTGCAGATGGCATGGTAACGTTGCTTTCCATGTCCCCATTCCTTCATCAGTCATCAACAGATGGGCCACATAAAGCTGTGCTATACCCACCACCTTGGAAAGAAGTATGATGGCTCTGTGGCCTCCTGGGCATGTCTAGTCAGCAGGAATGGATTAACAACTGAGAGACAGGAACCTGGCAGAGGTGGAGGAGAAAATTTCTTCAATGATTGTCACCAGCAGATATTGGGCATCAGCGTAGAATGTGCCTTGATGCACAAACCAGTGGTTGATATCCACCTGCTGCACCTGAGTCCCTGGGAACCTAGGGATCCTCGAGATGAATGGCAACTTTGGCCACATTGAGATCAGTCAAAGAGGGTGAGAGGCTCAGCATGGTGTCGTACCATGGGCAAGATTGACCTATGGGAGAATGCTACTTCTAACAGAGGTGACTGGATGTGCCTCTTAGATGAGTGAAGTAATTAAGTGTGCCTCCTATCTAGTCCACCTACAGGCCCCTATAGTGTGAGTTAGTGGCAGGTTGAAGGCTCAGCTGCTCGGAATATCTCAAAGTTGGGCAGCGGCTGGTTCAAAACCCATTTCTTAGGGTCTAACATCAAGAAGAATATTCGATTTGGTATACGGACTGCTCATGATGATGCAGTGGAAGCCATGGTAGCAATTCGATGACCCCAGTCAAAGCCATCACAAGAGACCTCCACCCATTTGAATGTTGATCATGCCTGGGACCATTTGCTTGCCATGATGGGCTGATCTTGCCAAAATATAACCAACATTTCAGCTTCTGTCAGAGGGATTAACAGTCTGCAATGGGTTGGAGAGATAGATGTACTGCCAGGCATAGGGGCAGCCCAGACTTGTAAAACCTCCTGTAAGACAAAGCGTGTGTTGATGTAGACACATTCATGCACCTCTTGTGGCAGGGAGGGCATTATGGGTAATAATAATTGCAAACAGTTCCCAAAAACTGCAACACTGAGAGACTCCACTGCTAATGCTGTGTGTCTGCAGATAGTCACTGCTCCAGTGTCACGATCAGCTGGGTGGACTACTGCCATGATGTGAGACCCTTACACTCAATAGGGGTGGTTGTTACAGGCCCTACTATAGACCAGAGTCTGTGTGTACACTCTTCTTCTTGCTCACCCTTGTCATGTTGTGATATTGCCTCTGCATTGAACAGTTGGGCACCTGTGGACGTCCTGACCATCTGATTATCGTGCGCTTGCTCGAGGGGATTCTGTGCGAGTGTAGGCTGTGGCCGTCTTGGAGAAGGTAAGTTCGCTTCCTCATCGGCATGTGGTGGTGATTGTGATGGTGTTTTGACAGGCCCTGATACGTTGTCTACCTTCTGCAGCACTGTGTTTGATTGTTCAAAGATGGTGTCATGAAGAAGGACACTGATATTGAGGAGCTCCAGGGTGATTTTTGAAGGACTAGCTGTTGGTTGAGTCAGACAGAGGGCATCTTCGTGTAATGGATTCTGAGGTGGCGAGGGGGATAAAGGGGGTGGCTCCTCTGTGGGTTGGGGTGGAGGTTGTAATAATGGAAGCGCTAAATGAGGGGATATTGTCGGCGGCTCTGGTGGATGGTCAGATGTACTGTGTCTTTGTAACGGACTTTGAAGCAGTGAGGAAGGCAAAGGGGGAGGCTCGTCAATGGGTGGGGAAAGATGTTCTTCTATGAATTTCACCGCCAACCGAGGAGACGGCGTTGGTAGCTCTGGCGACTGTGCAGATGTTCCTCTTCGAAGCAGTCCTTTCTTGCATTTACATCGAAGCTCCCGGATGCGAATGGTCCCAGCAACTGCATGCTTTCTGGGACTCATCATTGAGCTGAGGGCACGCGGGCAGTTGTTTCGTGACAAGATCAAGTGAGACTTCTTTGTATGTGCTGATGACTGATGGGGATGGGCAGAGCTACTTGGTGGTTGGGGAGAGCTACTCGGAAGAGATGTGAGGGTCGAGGGTGGAGTACGTAGCTGGTATTCTTCTGTTAGCGTGAGCAGAGTGTGATTGAAAAACAGCTCATGCCTTCGGGAATGTATTCCGCATGTTCAGGCCTAGAGAGCCACTCGCTGACAGCGTGGGTGGCAGTATTGGATGGGGTCATAAGGCTATCCCAGTCAACATGTACATCTTGAACCTTCTTGATGAGCATGTCCACATCCAATGAGTACCTGAGCGCGGTGATGTTGCGCTGATTCAGCATGCGCATGACAAGAAACTGGCAACAAAATGAGAGGAGCAGTGCAGACACGGAAGAAGGGACCTAGCGAGCACCCTGAGCTTGTGTACCAGTATCTGACGCAGGAAATCCTCAGTGTTTGGGTCGGCCATGGCTGAAAGCTTTTTGTTGAAGGATGCGGTGGGAGGAAGTCGGGTTGTTTGTTTGTGGCAATGTTTGCATTGCCTGTAAGGTTTGCATCTTAAGATTTTGAAACTTTGCTAACACAGTCCACAGATAATTGATATTACTGCCAGTCATATGCGTGCATCTATAGATGTGCATGAATTGGAGATAACTGACATGTTTGGTCAATGCAAACAGACTTTTGTCGCTCTCTTATTACCACCACCGTATGACAGTTCCTCTCTGTCCGGAGTGTGGCATTCTTCCTCTCAATTTGCCTGCAATTTGCAAGGGTGCATATCAGTTGTCACACTTTGGCCAGTACTACGTAAAGGTATGTGCAACATGCATGCATGTCGTTGTGGTTGTCTAACGTGTAGCCAGTGTCCTGGGTATATTTCTCCGGAAGCACGAGAGGCTGGTGGTGTTCCGACGTGCAACTACTTTCGTTGGCTCACTGCGGAAAGAGTGCTGCAGATAATCTACAACAACCCAGAGTGGGAGGTTGAAGACTATCTGCGACAGAAGAGAAAGATGCAGAGCACCTTCAGCGTGTCGGGCGCATCAAGCTCATGGACGATCTGCCGTATTGAGGGCTGCAGTACCAGAGGCAGCAAGATGTGCGGGTTCTGTAAGACGCACTGCCATGAGTCGGGTCGTCAGAATGTGTGCGGCCCCCATGGGTATCGTCCTGTTGGCCTTACACCGAAGGCATCACGGGGATCGACGGCATCATCCAGTGTGACCATGCAGACTACCGGAACACCTGTGATAGGTGCTCCACCCGATGGCATCGACAATCGTGAGGAGTTTGCGCGACACCTTGATGTGGACTGGGGGCGACATCTCATCAAAGATGCTGGGTATCCGGTGCAGTCTCGGATGCCTGCACCAGCTTCAGGGCTTGCAGTCGTGACACCGGCTGATGCCGTACAGCCGATGGTGGATCGCGTGAAGCGCAGGGATCAAGAGTTGGCAGAGAAGGAGCATACGATTAAGGTGACTATCTTTGTGAAGGTATGAGCATCTGTGGTCCTCTGGTGCGGTTGGATGGCTGACCTGTGCTGTAGAATGACCAGGCAGCAGAGCACTTCAAGATTGCGGTTTTATCAAAGGATTGGCCGATGTTCAGCCCCAAAAAGTATGCTATCATTGCGCGTGCATGTGGGATTGCTGCTGGAGAGCTCAAATACTTCCAGAGGTATGAAGAAGGTGTATGGGTCAACTATGACGAGAAGATCCGCATTCGCAAGGATGAAAATGTTGTTCTGCGCTTGTTAGGGGTACAGGTTTGCCAAGGCTTCGAAACTAAGAAGAGGCCGCGGTCTTCATCACCTACCTCTGGTGTTCAGTCGAAGGACCAACCTAGTCCAACGAAAACGGTTCGAACGATGCAAGGTCGCATTGCATCGACAACATACGTCCTACAAACAACAGGGTCGGTAAGATGGACTTACATGCAGGTCTAGGTCTTCAAGTTCTACCACCACCATAAGCCTAGTGGAAGACATGACTCTCATCGACTTGAGCATCAGTGATGATGATGACGATGACCTATATGTGCCCATGTAAGCTTCTGAATTGCTCGTAGACAACATTACATGCGCTGATGGTGATGCAGAGCACCTGTTCAGGAGAGCATGGAACTGCCAGCTGTGACCGGTCGAAATCTCAGCAATGCTGAGGCCAACACCCCTGGTCGTGGCGATGGGATTGCTTGGCCATTTAAATGGGCCATCGACCAGCATGAGTGCTTTGCTCAGATTGAAGAGCTTCTTAAGACGGAGAAAGACATGAAGGTAGCACAAGCGTTTCTCAAAGTTGTGCCGGTATGTATTCAAAATGTATGAATGGGTACAGCACTAATATACATTGATCAGCAATCCAGCCATTGGGTGGAAGGCACTTGGCACCACCATTATACTGCTTGGAAGGCCATCAAGGATAACATGCACCACCCACTTCGTAAGGCGCTAGTAAAGGCGATTCAAGCAGGTCGAACGGAGGATGGAAAATGGTCTCCTTTTGCTTTGAGAAAGTAGTTATATGTTCAATTTACCATAGATTTTAAACACTGCCTTTTAAGCATATGCAAATAAGATTTTCTTTTCAGCAAAGCTATTTGTTAGAAGAGGACTAATGAGGTAATGACATTGCGCAAAGGCATCTAGACAAGAGCGACATGTCCAAAGTCGATAGGTAAGTCTTCAGATGATTCAATACGAGCAGCCACACTCAGATGTGAGATTGATGAGCGGTTCATAAAACAAAGAGACAGTTACCTACTACTACACACACAAGCATATCTAAGTCGGAATCTTGGATGGTTGGTGCATATCTTCATGCTAGAGAAATAGATTGCATTTAGCTTTTAAAAAAAGGACTGTACACCGCGAAAGGGATGCATACATGCTCTAACGTGTGATGCCAACAGAAAGGAGGACTTCTTAAGATGTGCACATCACCATAGAGATCTTCACACACCAACACCCAGCAAGGACACCCGTATCTGCAGATGTCAACAAGCAGGGCATGTATATCTTAAGACAGACTGGCAAAAGCGGAAACATCTTGAGACAGCTATTCAGTAGCAATCTTAAGACTAGGAATGCATCTTCAGATGGCAGGATGAACACTTATGTCTGCAGATGTGAACAAGCAGGAAGCATAACCTAAGACTTACCATGTCCAGCAGGGCATCTGAAGATGCCATAGCACTTCTTAAAAAATCTTGAGACGGTTGTTCAGCCATAATCTTAAGACGGGGAGCCAATTATTATCCAAGGCATAAACAAATACATTTCAAGATAGCGGTAGGTGCATGGCATTGAAAAGCTATTACAATGCATCATTCAATACAGCTCCAAAATCTGATCCAACGTAGATAACAAGCCCAGACCCATCTGCCAACGCTTCACTTTCATCCCTTTTTCTGTCCGAAACCCATTGTCCACCCAGCGCAATATGCCACCTGCAAAAAACTGAGTAAAGGAGATGTGGCTATCCCCGGCAGCCAGTGGAATATTGGAATGGGTAATGGTGGCTGAAGGAATAAAAATGGTGGATGCGTGAGGGAACTGAATGAAGATCTTGAGCTCCCATAGGATATGTCCGCCCCGCCTATGGTCAGAGCGACCAAGGGTAGTAAGGGCGCACCAGCCATAGGGGCAGTTAAGGATGTCGCGATGCTTGAAGGTCCAAACACTGCCACCAAAGTTGAAGGTGGCACACGGAAAAACGGAGTGAGTAAAATTGAGCCGAAGGTCGGGAAGCTTCTCATATGGGGCATCCAGATGCTTTTGATAGCGGTCGTGAAGCCGAGGAGCCCATGGGTTGTAGGACGCTAGAAACAGATATTAATTGACTGCAAGATTACACAGGAGAACGCACACCGCTTGCATACGTCGCCATTCGATTCACGGCCTCACTGCCTACAAGGCGATTGACGATGGCCGCTAGCACGCCATGCTGAAGACGACTGGGCACAGAAAGGGGGGCTCAGACCACCTGAAAAATGAGTGCATTAGAATCACAGCGATCAAAGGCAAGGAGTTAATAAAAAACGCATGCTCTGCAGGCTAAGGGGCATAGAAGAGCATCCTAAAAAATGGCAACATAGACTGCATTGGATCCAGGGGTGATTCCGTGCACAGCCAGCATGGCCACATTCAACGATGCTCTACTAGGCCCTGACGCCGCTGAGCAGAGGTCGGTTGCCCTGCCTTGGGGGCGAACAAAAAAAGAGCAGAGGGGTGGGATGGGATGAAACGGCGTACCTAAAGCTCCTTGAGGATTGCGGCTAGAGCACGGCTGGAGGATCGACGCGAGGCAGCAGTGTAAAACCGCTGTTTTGCAACAGAACCAGCAAAAGGAGGTGCAATTGGAGCTATCAGCCAGTCAGCAGTTCCACCGCTAGTCTGGCTACAGCCCCACGCCAAAACAGCAATGCAGCAGTCGAAAACCACTGGGGATGCTGGTGGTAGTGGAGGAAGAAAAAGGCAGCGAAATGATGGGCCGTTCAATCGGAGTTTGAAAAATAGTCATGTGGTGAGCGTGATGCATCACACCACTCATGTGAGGTGACATGGTGTATATCCGATTATCTTAAGATGTCATTTGATTAATACTAATAATCTATTCAATATTGATCGTTATCTTAAGATGTCGATTTATTGATATTAATAATTTACTCAATATTTTTTGTTATTATGTATATTTAAAATTGGGGTTGTCATGCTTACATGATAATGGTATTGCCAGCCTGTCATGTGACTCTCCAAAGTTTCAGAGTTCCTACTTCTGACGACGTCTCGTTCGTCCAGTTGGATATATGCACCAGTTATCCTATACTCCAGGTACGCCAACTGCTGACTGAAGACTTGTCACTATTTGACTTCGTTAACAAGGCATCTGGGAAGAGATAAGTGATCCTACTTTCTGGCATTTTCTATCCTGACATGTTCGCCTCGAGTGAGACTCATCGTGTTCTTTATTAGGATCTTCAATTGATTTCCCTTGTCTTTCTTAGGTTCCTTTCCCCCAACATGTCGTCATGATTATTGCCAGTAAGCGTCATTCCACGTTCAGGGATTTATTTAAATATGGTGACGATGGCATCAAGCAAAGGCGTGAGAGGAAGACGCGCCCGTATACTCTTCAATATCGCGAAAACTGCATCTACAGAATCAAGATGCGTGGTGAATCGCCGTTCACCTGGATCCCTCATCCACTTGTCTTGGGAGATTGATCCCGGTATGTATCTATTACGATTATGTTCTTCAGCTATCTTATCAGATTTTACAGCACTTTTTCTAGGATTCCAGAACACTGCGAGTTTGGCGCGTGCTTCTGCATCGCCCTCTACAGCACGCTTCCTACCACTAACTACCACCATGCCCGACCTCGATGTATGCCTCCAAGTTGCACGTCTCGCTGAAGCTGTCAGTGACAATGTCCCATACGTGGAGAGTGTTGCCAAGGCCGCTGTGATCATCTTTGAGTTACTTCAGGTTCGTGTATCTCACCCCTACGGATGCTGTTGCTTACACTATGGCTCTAGCAAATGGGAAAGAACAAGGAAGATGCGAAGGAGCTCTATGAGAGCATTGCGAACATGATTATCATCATCGATACACTTGTTCGTTTCAAGGGAGAGCAGGGAGTTTCGTGTTTTATAGACATTTGCGGAGAGATGGAAGGGTGGGGTCTCTTTTTCGTTGGCTATCACACCTCTACAGCTAATGGTCCAATCGCAGGTATCTTCAAGCCATGGCTCAAGACATGAAAGATCTCCAGCGCAAGCACCGTGGCATGAAAGGCATCTTCAGTGTCGATAAGTACCGAGATGCTATTCAGGCACACAGGAAGCGTGTAGATGATCTGAAGATAGACTTTTTGGTAATTCTTTCATTCCTACTTCTTCCGTGCTGTAGCTTAAACTGCTGTGCTGCAGATCCATGTAACAGGTGACTGCCTTTTGGAGGTTACCCGAATGCACTGCCTGCTGAAAGATATGACGGCTCAGGCCGCGGTACGTCACTCGTCGGAGGAAGATTTTGTGATCCGCATTCCGAAAAAGCACGCTTCGATCGGTGCCTTAATTTTTTTTTAGACCCCGAAATTCCGGCATTCAAAGCACACTGGGTGACTTCCCGTAAACCCATCAAGCCGAAATGCCGAGCATAATTTCATCATCTGTGTCTGGTCAACCAGTTCTGTAAATTCGTGCATTAACAGAGGCCTCCCGACCCGTCTGTAAACGGATTTTGTGCTGTAGCTGTCAAGAATTTGATTTTTATATGTTCTGGAAGTTCCGTTCGCTGCCCGAATATGGACATCCTCTCCTTAGTTTCTTCCGTTCCCTCTTGTTACTCATTGAAAGAAATCGCACTGCTGACAATATTTACCATCAATTCAAGAGCCCGATAACACTGAAAACACTCCACATACCATTCATGTTCCTGCAAAACTGTCGTTCAGTTTCCAACATCGGATACTCCCTCTTCTCTAGGCATATTTTGCTCCAGCTAGTGTATTGAGAAAGTAGCGCGTCGTCGGCGGGGGATGACCTAATTTGGACTCGACGACAGTCAAGAATTTGGAGTCAAAACAAGTTCAATTGGTCCTTACGGTTTACGGATCTGTCTGTAAATTATATTACAAATTTCACGCCGTTGTTGTTTTAGCTCCCATCCGTCTGTAAATCCTTACGGAAAGTCACCCACTGATCGAGTGCTGGTGACGGCAAGCATGTTCCTGATTCTTCGTCATGGTTTCGTTTCTTCCTTGGCACCATTTACGCGTTACAGTAATATTTTAGTTAATTTTCTATGCGGTACATTGATACAAAAATAAAGATATTGTATCGATGTGACCCTATACCACCCTTCATAAGAAGATGGTGAGGAGAATAAATTACAAGCTAAATTGAATGCTGATAATCAGATTCCAGGCGTATAAGTGCTGGCGCTAAGGCCGCGAAGGTGAGCATCGCGTAGAACGGCGTACAGCGGGATACACGGTTTCAATTTCTACACAGTCGCATAAGCCTACAACTGATCGTCTTAAGTACATAACGGGACTCGGCGCCCTTCTTTCATGCTGTCATCTCCCTTCTGGATACCATAACGGCACAGAGATGAACGAATAAGTGAGAACAACAGGGTGCTTCGCAGGTGAGTCGCTCTCATTTTGACATGTCTACATGGCTACAAGATATCCTAATTACTCGTAGGCCCCAGAGTAGGGTTTTAGATGATGTTGAAAGGGGAAATATTTTGGTCGAAACCACGAGTCGATAGGTAAATTTTAAAGGCCAGCGCTGTGTAATAAATTAGAAGTTTATCATCATACGTTCCACAGCCTTGTACTACTGATATCTACGTTATATTGTTTTTGATAACCGGTGTCATTCGTCTTCAACCGACAGCCCGCTCGCTCTCCCAGCATCCACCTGTGCCTCTCCATGTTGTCCACCTGCGCTTTCTTTCATCCACATTCACAGACACGTCGCTCGGTATTCTGACTAGCGCATTCCGACGGTGTTCCTAGAGCACCATACTCCTTCAACAAACAAGATGGCTACGATAAACGCTGATGACCGGAGCCTACAGATATACCGTGTTCTGTACTTCGAGAAGCTCTATGATCATTACAGTGACCTTCGGCAGATTTTCAATGCATGGCATGAGGCTTCGACGAGACCGACGACCTGGAGAAAGGGATTGAATCGAGAGCGGGAAAGGTGGTAGACGCTTAGAAGCCTACGTACTGTAGAGGTCTAACCGCTGCAGCAGGAGAAGAGCTTTAAAATGAAAGGAAATAATTATACAACTCTATCTCGTGAAAATATACCAAATGGAGTCCTACACATCAGGCGAGGAGAAACAAGGAACGTGTACTGGAAACAGCCTATCGAGTTTAGGGCGTCTTTTAGCTTAATAGGAAATATGATGATATTGCTGGACTTGATGCGTTCCCAAGTACCATGGAAGAAGAACGGCAAGTATCCCTTGCGAGTGACAACGATGCAAGGACCAGATCCTAACAATATCCTCCCACAGAAAAACGCCTAATGAAAGAGAACGGTAAATCTGGAATACAGCAGCAGGTAAATGATTCTGATGTGAGTTTCTCAGACAATGATTCAGATTTTCTTATGGGGATGTGTTGGGATGGGCTGTCGTTGTATCTATTCCATGAATTTGTTTACGGGGGGGGAAGAGCTAGGGGTTACTTACAGAGACGGTTGGAACACCGGTCCGGGAAATTGCGTCAGTGGCGTGGGAACAGTCCATTCTCTCTTGCTCTCATCATCGACATCCTCCATTGAAATTTTGCTGCAGTGCCGTGAACCACGGCATTCCAATTTGGCGCACCCGCTAACCGTTACTATAAAAAAAGGTAAACCCCTGAAGTGGGCGTTATTTCCCGCCTCTTATCACAGCTATAGATGACGGCTTCTGTTCATTCCGCGCACTTGACCTATCAGCAACGCGGATGGACCAATTGCTCAAATCAAATAATCCACCTCTTTCACCTAGAGAGCGTTATCGGCGACGGCCACGCGTTTTTGTCTAGGATAATGGAGCGGATAACTCAAACACGTGCTGCGCTCGAGGAACTATTGGATGAGGAGAGACGTGTCGAGCGTTTGATTCAATCCTGCAAGACAGTTATATCCCCTATCCGTAATATTCCGGAGGATATCGTACGCGAAATTTTCGTGGCATGTTTGGACATTGATAAGCCAGAGAGAAAGGATTCATTGGACAGGAATTCTCCACCTTTGGCTCTTTCGCGGGTCTGCAGGGACTGGAGAAGCATCGCGCTGTCAACATCTCAGCTCTGGTCATTCCTTTCTCTGGATTTTGACCGATACCGGAATGAAGTGGCGTGTCTATATCTCCTTCAGATGTACATTTTACGATCTGGGATGCACGATATCACCCTTTCCCTACGCAGCACGGAAGGGCTCTCAGCGAAGAACCCTCTTATCCCTATCCTTTTTTCGAGCGCACCGCGATGGATTGACCTCCATATTGCTATTCCATACCTAGCATTACACGCTTTCTCTCCCGTCAGAGGATCTCTGTACTGCCTCACTCGTCTTCGTGTGGAGTTCATGAATGAACCGCCGATGCCTCTCGCCGCACATTCCAAACCCATATTTAATGCCTTCGAGTATGCGCCACTACTCTGTAGCATGTCCATAAATACTGTATGCAGCGCAGTCGAACAGCTGAGTCTGCCATGGCCCCAGCTCACCCAGTTCACTGGGAACGATTGGACAAGCACATACATTGATATCTTACAGCTCGCGCCAGATATGGGGAGCATGTCTTTGCAGTGTGACGATGACCGTGATTTTGATATTGTCCTTCCTTCTTTGCCGTTCCGCCATCACGGGCTTCGTAGGCTTCACGTTCACGAGGAGGTAGAGAGTCCTAGTTCCGATATCCTTTCAGAGGGAGGTATCGTGCATGTTCTTTCACATATTGAATTCCCTGCTCTCCAGACACTGAGTATGGCGTACCAGCATCCTGACATACGGATTCCTAGTTCTCTGCACTTGGGTAACCTGAGCAGCCTTTCGATCGACGCATCTTTCATCATTCCCACTGGGGCGCAGGCTAATTTACTCAGTCTCCTCAGAACGACACCCTCGCTTACACATTTATCCATGTCTATGTCTATGGCGCCCGAAGAAGATGCGATTCTCCTCGGGCTTAACTTCAGGATCAATCCTGACGTCGTTCCCGGTCTCAAGTCGTTGGCTTTCCGGTTCATAAATAGGTACCCCGGTCTGTCGAGCGTTTTTGTTGACATGGTTGAGTCTAGGAGGCCTGGGTTGGAGTCTTCGTTTATCGGTGCCGCCTGTCATGCCGCCACCACCTAGTGCGTTGGTTGACCGTTGGTCTAGGCTTTGTGATGAAAGCTTTGTTATATACAGCATGGAGCGATAATGGTTCACCCGCCAACGCAGTCAGGTACCAGAAATCGAAAGGCATACGTACTTGTCCAGTGTGGTGTAGCTATTGTTTGCGGCATAATTTAATTTGGCTCGAATGAACTGGGCAATAAACTAATGATTCCAGTGCGTGAAGCTGGCTGCTGGCCAATTAATGCATACCCGAATGTCGAAAACCGAGAAGTAAACCATTTCAGGATTTAACTACATTTATGTGTCTCTTAGTAGGCGGTTGTTCTTAATTAGCACGGACGCGATGTCAATTGTCATGTGGATCTACAATATTGTCAGACTATGGCCTCGCGAGATAGAAAGCGCATGTACCTGAGAGCCCATCTTCAAGTCATCTCGTCATTCCATTTCCCCGTAATGTGGGATAGAGTCGTGAAGCTAGTCGACGTTATTCACGGTACGTCCGCCGCACCTCTTTCTACGCCCACGAGATATCTGTCAGTTCGCCAATACAGTAGGCGAGGAAATCTGAAATACGGTGTGTGATAATTCTGGCTTGAAACCTAGATATACACAGGTTCTCGTATCTTGTTTCTTCCGATAAGAGTTTCAAAAATGACAATTGGGTTAATCATGACAAGCAACAGTCGTACGGCGATTCAGCGAAGGGCAGTTAAAATTCGAATATGCAGCCACTGATTAACGAGCCTTTGCCAAATCTGTTACGTAAAGCACACCAGAAGCCTCGGTGAGGGCTGGTGACCGCGCTTAGCAACAGTGACTAGGAGAGGCGGTGTAAAGTACAGAATGAAGAACGAAAGGGTACGTGACATCAAACAGGAGACGTTTAAGAAAACATACGACGGTGAAGGGGGATAACACATAAAAGTCTGGATTCTAGAGGGAGAAATCTGAAAAAGACACAGGTCAGAAGTTAACCAAAAAAAAGAAAGTAGCCCACCGCGAGGGTCGAACTCGCAGCCTTCAGATGTGTCTAAACCGCCTCGCTTGTTAAGAGTCTGACGCTCTATCCGATTGAGCTAGGCGGGCGATGTGACTAACTTCGACCGAGAGATTATAGCACTGAAGGATGCGATTCCTCCAAATACCACAGTACGAGCTTGCCTTGGTAGGCATTAGTGCTGAAAATTCGAAATCCGAAAGCTAGAGTGTTCCAAGAACGATAGGGGATATTCCAATTCGAAGCAGTGCCGCCATGACTCGGAAGAAAGACAGGCCGTACCGGTTGATGTGGGGGAGGCCAACCAGTTAATGGATGCGGACATCCCCAGGTTAATAGAAACCGGAACGATAAAGGCCTTGGATGATAAGGAAACCGCCTTCTAGGAGCATAACGATAAAAAGGGTTGCCCAGCAGGGTAGATGCTCATTCCGGCAGGGCCGCTATCATGGAGGTGAGCACCAACCTTCGCACACAATGTTCAAAGTTGCTTACCCGTCATCGCTGCTTTTCTTCGACATATCCGACCCAGCTCCGAATCGTTGTCGTCCTCCCTTCCACATCGCGTTGTAAACCATTCGAATATCTCAGAGTTCATGACCATCGGTGCTAGTGTTGGTCCTTCCTATAAACGACCCAGTCACCGATGAAGACGAGCCAGTCTCTCTGAGTATATAGGGCAGCTTTGAAGAAAACCAGGTCCGGGTGAATGGGAGTCGTAAGCGCCGCCAGTTCTCACGCTATCGATGCGATTTTCCGGGCCGGCTTCTTGGCTTCTAACCGTCATTACCGAGCCCGCCCCCAGAATCGCTGTCGCATATCCTTAGCTCTGTCTACACGGCAGATGAACTTCGACTGCAATATGGCCTCACCGAGACTGTATAAATCGATACCCAAGGACGCTAAGGTCGAAGGGAAACAACACGGATGGTGCGCCGTTCTATGACAGCAGGGGCCTGAGCTGTAGCTGACTTCTGCTGTTTGATAGTAGCTCGTCAATCAACTCGGACTCTAGCTTCCTTTGTATACGTATAATGGCTGGAGAACACGTCGTGCTACGGTATGGCGGTGGCTGGGCCTGGGATTCGGGACCAAATTCATGGCGCACTGCGCTCTCTAGGTGTATTTTGTACGGCAATTCACATATCCTCTGCATACAGTAAATGTGATGGACTGCAGGACAATGAGGTTGCCAAGAACTGGTTCGGCACCCCCACAGTTTCTCCCGATAACATCAGTGACCTCTTGCGGGTCCCCGAAAGTAATCCTTACTATCGTTCATCGTTTAATATCGCGACGAATGTATGTGGTATCTTCTTTTTTCCCCTTGTAATCAGCATTTCTGCGCTCAGACTGACTATGGTTGAAGACTTAGCTCCTCATATGCGCATATATGCTACTCGTCGACACCATCGGGTCCTGCCGCACATGGTTTCTGCCGATATGTGAGAGTTGTCTGTAATAGTAGGTGATCTGTGAGATTCGTCATCCAGTGTCGCTGATGCGTACTCATGCACATGGTGCAGCCGTCCTGAGATATTCGGGGTGCAACTGGACGAAATTGTTATCGTTCCGTTTGGTTCATGCACCTCGTCCTTTCTTTTACAGCCATTCCTTGCGTTTCAGATACTTCTAGCTCCTCATGGCCGGGAATCTTAGGGCGCTACCCTTGCCTTCAAGAAGCGACGAAGGCAGTGCCTGCAGCGTAAGAGTTCGTCCTGGACAGAAATTCCAAGTCTGCCTAACCGAACGTTTCTTAGGATCAAGGTTATACTTTCCATTGAGCAGACATCGGTTGTCAGCGTCGAAAATCTCCATCTTTCATTTTCTCCCGGTCTCCACTAAAGGTTTCGAAGCTATCGATACACCTCCAAAGGTAACCCATTACCTTCACCATTGAATATCGTCAATGTATATTCACTGTACAGTCATCCCGCAGCCGGCTTATTTTTCGTAAACGCGATTTTTATGATGTATCATTCCGTCGCGTAGACCTAAGTACGTCCTTTCCCTCAAACACATTTCTGTATGTTTCATACATCGCTCACTTCACAGCCCAGGATATTTCGACACTGCTCACACCTTCGGGGACTCACGAAGGCAATGCCCGCAGTAGGATACACACACTTAAGACGTTCCTTGTCGTTCTAATCCGGCCTGAGATTCCCGTCCTCTATATCGACCGTGAGAACCTTTATCACGAAGCATCATGATCGTCGAAGCAGGAACGCCCGCACAACAACGGATACATGCGCTCATCAACCATCGCGTTCCGCAGTGATAGTGGGTGTTTCACTGCTAATTATCGCTTCACTTCCTGTGTTCAGGGCAAGCGGCGTAATGGCCATACGAGTCCGAACATGACGCATTAGGAGTGTGTACGACGTCAGTGAACAATGAATGGTTCGTTGCAGACAAGATTCTAACAGTGCAGAGTCTGACACGTCTTCCGCGAAGATCCTGCTTCAAGTTACCGGTCAATGTAGTAAGTATGAATTTACTTTCTATTCTAATATGGCCCTGATCAGCTTGGCAGTGTTAGGCTGTCCATTCTGGAAGCCAGTTGTGCTGTTCGCTGCGGACCTTGGCAACGACATTGGGTCCGAAGATGCATACCTCGAACCCTCTTCATAGTCTACCGGACGTTGCTTGGAGCAAGGACCGTCGGTGGAGATGCGTTGAAGAAGCAAAGTTGGCAACGACAATTTGTCCTCTGGATCTGGCCGAGATTTGACGACAAATTGATGATCGGCGGATTTGCAAGAGGGAAATTTTGTTCGGGCCGGACTGCCGAGGCGTCTCGTGAAGGCTGTGTGGTATTGGTTGTTAAAGCTGTTTTATGGCGCTCTTCACGATACATTCATACAACATGGCTCCCATACGCCCACACCAGAAGACAAGAAGTGGCTGCAAAACATGCAAGCAACGCAAAGTCAAGGTATGTACCTCTGCCAGCATAATTTTCAGCAGACAGCAATGTTGAAATGGCTTCCAGTGCGACGAAACTCTTCCTATATGCAATAACTGCACCCGGAGAGGTGTAGAATGTGTATGGGGTAGTACTTCCCCGAAGCAAGAATTGGCAACGCAGGAACAGAGCGTGGTTGTCGCCCAGTCAAGTTCAGCCGAAGGTTCCCTCGCGATATGGACTCTCGGCGAAGGTTCATCCGACCTTTTAACGCTCGAATTGATGCATCATTATTCTACCGCCGCTTCTTACTCCCTCTCTGCTGATCCCGACGCTACGACCGTATGGAGAGGCATCATCCCTCAAATGGCCTTTGAACCCCAGAATCAGTGTCTCCTCCAAGCCATTCTCGCGTTTTCCGCCCTTCATATCCACTACGAAGACTCGACATCTCATCGGCATGCCCAAGTCGCGACCGACTATTACAACCAGGCGAAATTTGGGATACGCGTGGCAGACACTGACGGGACAGCGGACGTAAACGCCGTCTTGGTCGCACTGTGTCTTGTCGCGCGGTATGAATTTGCTTCGTCGGCCGCAGTATTCCCAATCCCCGGAGAGTGGTATAACACTATCCGAGAAATCCGTCGTAATTTGTTAAAGGACCGGACAGAGCTCCAGGATAATGTTATGCATTCCTTATTGGCAGCTATTGCGCCTCCTCATCTGCCTACGTCTCTGACCGACCAGTTTCCGTCGGCTTTGTCGACTCTCTTGATCTCAGCGCCGGATGCGGAAGAGTTGCACGACGCGTCGGTGCGCAATGCTTATCAGGAATCGATTTATTTCCTCGAGCAGGCGTGGAGAGCCCCTCTCAATAGATGCGTGGGTTTATGGTGGTATATGATGTCTAATACGTTCCTTCAACTGTTAAAAGAGGCCAGGCCGCGTGCGCTCATCATATTGGCGCACTACTGTGCTATGATGAAGCACATCACTCGGGATGGACCGTGGTGGTTGAAGAAGAAATGGGGTGATGAGGCTAGGAGGATTGTTTCGATGCTGGATGCGCGGTGGGCGCCTTGTTTAGGGTGGGTGTTAGCTCAGTTGGATCCCGAGCGTGATAGTCAGGTTTTTGATTTTACGGGGATGGATACCCTGAGTTGGGGTGATGCAGGAGACGGTCGTCATTTCTAGTTTTTACAACGATATGGATAGATAGAGTTGTTGTATATATACGTGTATCTATTTATTAGATGAACATGTCCCGTATAGTTCGCACCCGACAGAGGGGAAGTAATATACATATTACGGAAGGGTGAAGGAGAAAGATAGAGAAACTTGTCAAAGGGTGGTGTCATTCGAAAACTGAAGCATACGGCGTCGGTATAATTATATCAGGCAGGGAATCATTGAGCAAATTATGATCAAGTCAGGAAAGCTGCTTTGGACCTAGAGGAGAGCATCGAGGCTGGACATCGGAAAATAGCAGAAACGGTCTTAGTTGTTACCGTTCCATTGAGGTCAAAATTCTGACCGTGATGGCGATCCTCGATACGATGGTGTAATGTGTACAGCAGGGCGCGAAGCCATAAGTTTGGAACGGTATGCTCATCGGGACTCAATAACTTTATGATGATACATATCTTCACGTGGAGATAGTACCGGGATACTCTCATTTCAATCAAAGTCGTCTTCACGGCATTCTAATTAGAGAGGCATAAAGTTCAAAATGAGAATCATCGTTGCTGGGAACATTGTATATCTTAGAAAGCCGGGATGACTTGGGGAAAATATGGATCATGGTATGTGATAACGTTTGCCTCTCCAGGCGGGGTTGTTTATTCAAACACATCATTATTCAATGAAACTGAAGTATGGTTTTGAACTTGTCAATTTATTGCCTCTGCTAGCCTTCTTTCAGGGCAACTGGGAATAACTGAATTGAAAATGCTCACAAATTATATTTGAAAGATGTATTTAGCTTGTGCAGAGAAAAGAAAGTACGACTGTATTCCTGGCGCGCCGTGCAAGCGAAATAATTTGACGCAGACAACTTGCCACGAGAGACAAATTCCGAACGCTGGCAAGTCAGTCATACCGCCCCTTATTCTCGAACCTCTGTCATTTCCTTCTACCATCGTCTTCTCCAGTTTCTCATATCCATCGACACCGATGACGACGAGAGATGTCGCGTATGGTAGCTCCAAATCAGCACCGGCGTCGATGTCGAAATCGGGACGATGATGCTGTAATCACGCGGCCTTCTCTCTTACAATACCACCACCATTGCATGTCCGCCTTCTTCAGTCATTATTCCCAACCTCACGAACATTCTCTAGGAGGTTTATTTTAATGTACTCTTGCATACAGTGCTATATTTTCCCTTCGTCCATCATCACTGATGTCTAATTTCTTATTTTGTCTAGCATCCACTTCTCTTCGCGCTGCCCGGCGAACATCAGGATCTTCAAGACTCAATGCTTTCAGTGTATCAGTGGTATTCGTAGTCCCTGATGGTACGAGTCCTATTTGAGGCGAGGTATGTCAGCTATGTCCTGGTTTTGAACTTTCTATTCGCTAATATTCCCATACTCGCGGTCATCTTCTTGGCTTTTGTTGGAAAACGGGGTATCGGTTCGTTCCCAGTGTCACATGCGCAGTAGCAAGCCAATAGTATTGCGCTTGGCTGAGCTCTGCAAACGCATGAGGATCTACGTTACAGTACCTACTTTTATACTAAATGTACTTTTACTAGAATGTTCCACGCTTTCCCTACGACTTCTACCTTAATAAGCAACTTCGGCATGATGCCGGATTGCCAAATCCCAACAGCTTTATTGCAAAGTTATTGTCAACGTCGATGTGTTATGATTGCCTCCTTACTTCAGTGTCTTTCTTTTCATTTTCAGCGCTGACTTTTCTCGGTTTGTTTTGTCCGCATGTACTGAAAGTATCCTAGGTATCTCATTAGTCATGGTCCAAAGAACGCCCACCCATCTTCTAAAACGATGAAAGTATGGAAATTTTCTTATGCGAACATTGACAAATTTTCACATCGTATTACAGGTGTATTGCCTCTGGTTCGAGTTCAACTTGTATCTGTGGACACGTCTCGGATCTCACTACATATCATGTAACACCGATGGATCGAGAACACTGAGCCTTCCTGTACCATGTACGAGAGGATATATTTATCGTTATGCGAGCCATGATGAGGCTTTGTACGTCTTCACGGCCACTTGAAGTCCGGAATGTCGTGTTTGTGGACCTGGAGACTTTATCCTAACCGTTAACGTGAGCGAGAGCTTGAAACGGCCTTTTTTTGACACCAAGTGGTCGTTTCTAACCGCAAACTAGGGCTCGGGAACGCTGATGGTGAATCCCTTTACCTGAGGCTACGACTGCGAGTCTGATGCGAACGTCGAGCAGTAACGCCATTGACATTTTCAGAATCTTTTTTTTTCGACTTGGAGTGTAATCAGAAGAGAAGCTCTATTCAATTGCGGCAGGGTACTGGTGCGGTAAATAGTCAGGGCTATGTATTTGTGACCCCGCGAGGGAAATTTCGGGTGTCAAGGGTGTTAGGTTCGTCATCACTACCCTTCCGAAGATGTTCCATTGCGTTCATCGTTTAATTTCCCCGATGGATGATCGCAGTTGCATGCAACGAGGCGCGCTTTCAATGATATCGTACGATTCCGTCTTTAGGAACTACGTCTTTTCTCTCAAATGTTTCAACTAGTCCTCGGTTATCACGGCCCGGGATACTCCAGCACCGCCCTTCATCTTCGAGGACTGACAAGAGCAAGTCCGCAGCATAATGCACACGGAAAAGACTCTCATTGCCGCTGTAATTTCTGATTCGGTCTGAGTTGCCCGGCGTCTGGGGTGAGAGAATTCGAATTTGAGTACTAATAACACACTGATGCATGTATCAATCAAACATCGGTACTCCTGCGATAGTGGATGTATCACTGCTGCGTATCATTCTAGTACAGTTATTCGGGCAAGTGGCATCGCGTGCAAACGAGCCCGAACGAGACATGAGAGGACTGGGTCCATAATATCGGTGAAAAGGGAGTGGGGCATCCGTAGTTTGCTTTGAACAAGAATCTAGCAGCGCAGGTCCTGACGCCGCGCACGCGTCTTCCATTGTTTCAATCTCAAAGACGGTCAATATTGAAATTCGTGATCATCAGTTTACCGTGCCATGCCAATATGACGCCGATCAGCTTGGCTGTGTTGAATGTCCATTTTGGAAGCCGCTTGTCACTGTTCGTGACAATGATAGCGGTCCGAGGGGTGTGGATACACCTTGTTTCTTCTTGAATGTCTACCACACAGACACGGCTTGAAGCCTCTTGAAAATTTTTTAAAAAAATGGAGCTTTCAACAACGTGCTCTTTCGGTTACGCCGAGTTTTGGCTTCAAGTGATCGTTTGACGATCACGAACTGCGGATTCAAGAAGAAGCAAGGTTCTCGGGACGAACTTCCGACCGCCCCCTTTAAAGGCTGTGTTCGTTGAAGTTGCTCTTCACCATTCAATCATACAAGATGGCACCAATGCGTCCACATCAAAAGACAAGAACTGGCTGCAAAACATGCAAACAGCGCAAAGTCAAGGTATGCACTTCGTCAGCTCTTTTTGGCTGAGGGCGATATTGAAATGACTTGCAGTGCGACGAAACTCTTCCTATATGCAACAACTGCACCAAGCGGGGCGTCGATTGTGTCTGGAATGATCCTGACCCGACGCAGGAATCAACAATGCAGGGACAGATTCCCCTGGCAGAACAATCTGACTCGAGCGACCCGTTAACTCTGGAAATAATGCACCACTACTCCATCTCTACTTCCTACACTCTCTGCTCGGATCCCGACGCATCGGAAGTATGGAGAACCATCATCCCACAAATGGCATTTAAACCCCAAAGCCAATGCCTCCTTAACGCCATCCTCGCCATTTCTGCCCTTCATATCTACCATATGAATTCGACGTCTCCTCAGTACGCTTCAGCCGCAAGTAATTATTACAACCAGGCAAAAATCGGCATACACAACGCAGACGACGTTGACTCGACAACTGACGTAAATGCTGTCCTCGTCGCAATGTGTATCATCTCGCGGTACGAATTTGCTTCATCGGCCGCAATATTCCCTTATCCCGGTGATTGGTATATCACCCTCCAGGAAACGCACATTAACATTGCGAAGAACCGGACAGAGTACCAGGGCAGGGTTATGCATTCGCTCTTGGAGGCTATGGCACCCCCACATCTACCCACCTGTTTGAAGGAACCATTCCCTTTGGCCTTGTCGACCATCTTGAATTCACCGCAGGATGTTGAGGAGTTGCGCGACGCGTCGGTGCGCACTTCCTATCAGGAGTCAATATATTTACTCCAGGAGGCGTGGAGAGCTCCTTTTAACAGATGCGTGGGTTTATGGTGGTATATGATGTCCAATACGTTTTTTCGTCTGTTGACAGAAGAGAAACCCCGTGCACTCATTATATTGGCGCACTACTGTGTTATGATGAATCACATCGCTCAGACTGGACCATGGTGGGTTCAGAAGAAATGGGGCGATGAGGCTGCGAGGATCGTTTCGATGCTAGATGCGTGTTGGGAACCGTGTTTACGATGGGTATCGGGTCAGTTGAATCGAGGACGCGATAGTCAGGCTTCGGATTTTACGGACAGGGACTTTCTGACCTGGTTGAACGATCCTTCGTCGGTCGAACCCGGAAACGGTAGCCATTCCACGTTTGCGCCCCGTTAATGAAGGATAGTGTATTTGTATATAAACTAAAACTGCGCCATTTGGTTGATAAGAATTTCTGTACCAACCCGCGAACATCAACGAGTACATGTAAGGGGTCAGTCTGATAGTCCTGGTTGGTATGAGCAGACGAAGACTGAGTAAGTACTGAGACTAAGCCATTTTATCCTTAAAAAGGTGATGTTAACATCCTGTCCACGTACATTCACTTGTTCACTGGCATGTAACTCTGGTGAGATGCGAAACGGGCAGGAAGACGATACCTAGCATTCCTGGCGAGCTGGAATTTTTTCGTGAATACCATAGATGTCAGTTATTTTCCAAGCTTAACTTGTGATGTGATGGCGCACCGAGGTATAGATTGTTCTCTCAGTTATCGTAGCGTGGTCAACACGGACACGGAATTCGCAGAGTTATTTGTCTAGCCACCCTGTCGAGTCAACCTCAACTTCGTATAACAGGTCGCTTTATAGAAGGATAGAGCTTAGGATGACTGGTGACGGTCCCGAGATGTAGGATGCATGGTGGCTATAGCCGAGAAACACCGGCCTGGAAAATCGCGTCGATGGCATGGGAACCAGCGCCAGCCTTTTCCTCTCGACCATGACTCGGATGCAGTTTATGATTGGTTCATAAGCTCTCCAGATTCTCTGCAATTCATTGGTCCGATCCTTCCCTTCTACTCCTCTGCAGTGACGATCCTCGATAGTGAAAATGACTACCAATAGGTAATCACCCTGCGCAAACTTGATAACACCCGAGTGATGATCAATTGAAGATCGATTAAGTGTGGCATCGATAATACCAGACGAAGGCAGTGATGACGATATCATCCATCGGAATTCGGTCAAATACTGAATCTACTAGTACATATCAAAAAGAAGCGGAATGAAAGTTACACTGCCCTGGCAGAGTTGGTATGCACGGATGTGAGTCGACCCTTTCTCTACTCATACTTCAGCGAAATTTCCTAGTTCACTGACCTCTAAGTGACCGTATCGGTGCCTCGAGCGTCTACTGTAAGTGAGAGCCGAAAAGGAGGAAGGAACGAGTTTTCGCTAAACGCTGCGCGCGCTTCTCGATAGGCTACAGGTAATATTGGATACAAATAAGTGCTAAATATCACAGCCTGGAATACGTATGCCATCTAAACGCTGAAGAGTTCGAAGCTGTCGAAATACATAAAATTTACTGGAGCCTGCTCAATTGATGTGATCCGACGCGGGCTCAAATCAACATCATTCAGATCCGGGGTTTAAAAAAAAATAAAGCCGTGATTACAGCACTTGTTTTTGGGATCCAGATCACGAAAGCTTCGTCCGCGGAGTGACGCGCCGCAGCTTGAGCCGTCACATCCTTCAATAGGCAATGCATCTGCATGACCTCAAACAGGCAGTCTCCCGTTACATGGATCTACAGCAAAGCAATATGAGCTATAGTACGAAAGGCGTTAGAATTGGAAGTATACCAAAAAGTCCATTTTTAAATCGTTGACACGCTTATTGTAAGCTTGGATGGTGTCTCGGAACTCGTCGATGCTGAGAACACTCTTCAGACCACGATGCCTGTGCTTCATATCCTTGATATCTTGCACCATGCAGTGAAGATACCTGTCGTTGGGCCGGTGAGCTGTTGAGGAAAAATAGCTGGGGAAATGGGGGGGAGACGCACCCTTCCATCTCTCCACAAATATCCTTAAAACACGAAGCTCCACGTTCTCCTTGCATACGAACGAGAGTATCGATGACGACGATCGTGTTTGCGATGCTGTCACAGAGCTCCTTGACATTTTCTTTGTTCTTCCCTCTTTGCTACAGGAACACGATGTAAGCGATGGTGTTTATAGGATAAAGTATAGTAGAGCGAACGTCGAGGAGCTGGAAGACGAGTAAGGCGACCTTGGCCACGCTCCTGACATATGGAACACTGCTACTAGCAGCCTCAGCGAGACGTACGACTTGAAGACAGGCGTGGAGGGCAGACATGGTGGTTAGTGGTAAGATTTGTGCTGTAGGGGGCGTCGCAGAAGCGCGCGTCAAACTCGCTCAGTTCTGGGATCTGGGAAAATGTGCTATCAAATCTGATAAGATAACTGAAGAATATACTCATGATGGAAACTGACCGAGAGCATGACAAGTGAAAGAGGACTCGTAGACTTCCCAAAGTCGAACGACGATTTACGCGTCTGAGGATATGTATCTGGGATTGTTGCATTGTGGATCGAGTTGTGGGTGCTTCATACTCCACCATTTTACTCCAGTTGTCGCAGCCAGTGTTGGAGGGGATTGCTAAAAATGGATTAATTATACTCATCAAGGATTGTACGTCCGGGGAAAGAGAATCTAACAAAAACGAGGGATAATTAGCCAGAGGAGGATAAGGTCCAGAGAGACATACTTGATGCATATCCACATCGTGGAAAGCATCATAAAAGGGTAGCGTCCAGCATCCCGGTCAAATCCCCCGTTCGATGCATCTCCCTGTCCATGACCAAGATGGCTTGACATCGCATCAGGGGGACAAAGCCGAACGGAGTGATGCAGTCGGCCAATGACGTCTCTGGGGCGGTATCTTCTGCTCGACTCTTCTATGTCTGAATCTCTCCGTGGAGGTATTCCGCCTGATCCTTGGATAATGATAGCTGTAAGCGTATTAATCCCCGTTGAATGATATTAAATGCCGACAGCAACATATCAATCAACCTAGCAAAATAATAAGGCAGAGCAGGCGAAGTGGAGTGAAATCAATTCATGATACGATACAAGGTGCCTGAAGCTAAAGTCCAGGGACAAGGATAGCGGTGGAAGAAAACGATGACGACTGCGACAGCCAACTACATCCCTGAAGCAGTGCCTCTTGCTTAACGCGTCCATGTCGAATGTCTCTGTGCGGGTATTTGGCCTCTAAGAAGGCAGAGCAGGAAACGTGGAGTCTAATCAATCCGTTATACAAGACTCGGATTAGGGCATCTCAAAGTAAAGTCCAACGAGAGTGGCGGGAGAGAATGAATGACGACTGCAACACTTCGTCTATTAGCCAATTCAGAATGACAACCAGATATAAATCGCTTTTAGACGCACCTTGGATATGTGATAACTGATGCAATCATACGACTGATTGAGTGGCTACGACCCTGCCAGCACAAAATTTTGCCTGCCCCTTCAGCATTAAGAAACGGGGGGAAATATATTGGTCTATCGAAGTATTAATGATATGGTTAACACGGTAGCCAGGTAAGCGGTGCACAACAGAGGATGATGAGATTGTCGTCTTGGGACAAGGGAAGCAGCCATTAGTTCACACGCCACAAGCGCGATTTTCCCTGGGGCCGGATAAGCCGGTCTTCCGACCATCTTCGATCAACCAACTGGTATCTATTCTCAGATGGACGTCGACCGTTAGCAATTCAAAAGAATACAAATGATAATCATTTAATATGCTTCGTCTCTTAGTATGATGCAATTCTCACCAGTATTTTCGGCGCTGATGTGCATTGCATCAAAAATGGGTGCCCAATGTACAATCCCCCATTCTGGAACCAACTGGAGCAACAAGCTGGCATATCAACCACCACGACCGCCCTCACTCGTGTAATGTCTTTCTCGCTAAGATTCCATTGGGACAGAGGTATTGATTTATTTTATCATATTCTACAGCATCTCCTCCCATGGCTGTAACCTTAGGCGCGCGGTTACGTGCGGCCTTCAACAGCTCATATCTCCCTCTCGAATCAACCACCACTATTATGTCTGCTCCCAACGCCTCTCTCCAAGTTTCCACCCTCGCCGAATCTTCCAGTCCACCGTACACCGCAGGTTTAGCCAAGGTGGCGATGGGCGTCATAGAGCTGCTTGACGTTCGTACACCACCTTCTCTATACTAGATTTACCTCTTACCTTGCTCCATCAATAGGAAAAGGAAGAGAACAGAAAAGACATCAAGGAACTCTGCGAGAGCACCGCCAATGTCGTCATCGTTATCAACACGCTTGCTAGTATGCAAGGAGGAAAGGGAAACACGTGTTTTAAGAATATTTGCGCTGAGATGGAAGGGTGAGCTATCCGTATCGTTAGCTCAATAGGTACTCATTCTTCAGGAACAGCTGCCTTGGCGATATAACTCAACAACTGAAAGATGATCGGAAGCGGGAAGGTGTTTTTAATGCCGATGAGTTCAGAGATAGTATTCAAGCTTACAGGAAGCGCATAGATGATCTGAAGATAGATTTCTTGGTACGTCTCCTTTTCATTCCGTCGCGAAGGCAATGATCTGACCCAAGTACGCTGTAGATCCATGTCACTGGCAACTGCATGTTGGCGCTTACTGAGGCTACTCGCATTCCAAGACCTGTAGATACAGGAGATTATCATTTCCACCTGAGAATTTCTAAAGTGTCTTTCTTCTTCTTCTCCTTCTTTTTCGTCTTCTTCTTTTTCTTCTGCCATTCTAAATAATGAGTCCATTGTGTCGGAACATTTTCTAACCTCAAATGCAGTGGAGTTCCTACTCATCAGGCACTCCCATCCCTCTAATCCCCTGTCCCTGCTTTCGTGAATGCCGTTTCTGAATGAACAAGAAATGTAATCACCTGCCGTGCACTTAGTACACCTTCATGAGATAGGGATCTGGAGTTCTTTTCTCTCACTTTACGGTATCTCTACCCAATGCTGTAATGCTAGGTGCCAACCCTCTACAGCGCATGTCTTCCTAAGCACCCACTCTTAACACCCCCCTTTAGTCACTTGCACAACCGAACGATAGGTGTATGGAGAGTGAAGATCTGGGACGTTTGTGCGAGCATGCAAGGGGATACTGGGAAAAATTTGCGTGCTGTAGTTAACATACAGCTAATGATGAAACGATAGGCATCGTGCCGGCATAACCCGAGACCTGAATGACACCGAGAACAGCACCGCGGAACCGGCAGCATTGTCCAATGTCAAAGAGCTTGAAGAAACCATCCAAGATTGCAGAAGGCCGGTGAATGTCTCGGAGACGGACGTCTTCGTACATGTACTTTGCACTTTACGAGGTGCTAGTCTAATTAGTATACTGAAGACCCACATAACGAGCAACAGCATGACCTGATGGTCGAGATACGGGAGAAGGACGTATTCGAATCATAGTTCCACGTGCGGTTCTTTTTATATTGATTCTGAGCCGTAGAGCGCTACTAGTATCCTTGTACATGGAAGAAGGAGTCGAGCACATATAATATATCCGCACGAAACAGCAGCCGCGGACTTGTGGAATATGACACAAACTAATCTGACATTGACTCCATTTCGATTTGGCCTCATCTGGCTTCTACCTGACCCGTTCATACTCTGTAATCCGACGAAGATGTAGGTTACCGACTGCAATAGGAATGAGACTCGAATAACTGAGTACAGGGGGAAACGTCGTGATCAGAAGTGAATTAATGCATCCGAGTTATCAAAATAAAAATAGCTCGGAAACAAATCGAGGTTGTCGATGTATGCACGAAGCACGGTCAAAGACACGGTGCGAATCAATCTATATTACCATTGCAAAATTGATGTACTGTACTGGCGGAATGGGTAGAATAGATTTTCTCTACTCGTGCTTCAGCCGAATCTTCCGGTTAATGGCAGATGCCTGTACCAATGCTGAGAAAGCAGTGGTTACCTTGCTCAGATCGGGCGGCACTGGACTGGTGGATTTGGAGTCATTCGATAGTCGAAGAACCACCAGCTGGCGTTAATTCAACTTGCCATGAGAGCCGCGAAAGGGAGCAAAGAGTATTCTCAGCTGAGGTCAGGATGTTCAGTGACAAGAACAGGCCGTAGCCTGGGGAAGATTTTGGTAGACCATAGGTGGAAATAAGCAGCGGGGTACAAGCAGAAGCAGGTGCGAAATAGAGGCTTCCCCGTACTATTAGGAACCAAATACATAAAACAAGTTTATTGAGCTTCAGATTTAGTTGTGAGAATAAATCAATCCATCAGAGCCATCAGAGAGATGTTGATACACAGGACCTTCAAACAGAGTAAAAAGCCGGGCGGTCCCTTCAGATTAAAAAAAAAAAGGCAGTGATTGCAATAGGCTTCTTCGGGATCCGGAAAACGAACTCCTCCGAGTGGCGCACCACAGCCTCGGCCATCACATCCTTCAACAGGTTGTGCATCTGTGTGACCTCCAAACGGCAGTCACCCACTGAATGCATCTACAGCATAATGTCAGATACGACACAAATATTCTGAAAAAGGAAGACTTACGAGAAAGTCCGTCTTCAGATTGTCAACGCGCCTCCTATAACTCTGGATAGCGCCTCGGAAGTCGTCGACGCTAAAGACGCCTTTAAGGCCACGGTGCTTGCGCTTGATATCCTTCAATTCTTGAGCCATGCTTTCCAGGTACCTGTAGTCAGACAGCTGATTAGTTCTTGACGCGTCACAGCTAGTGGAATGTCACCTACACTTCCATCTCCCCACAAACATCCTTAAAATGCGAAGCCCCCGGTTCCCCGTGCATACGAACGAAGGTATCGATGACGACGATCGTGTTTGCTATGCTCTCACAGGGCTCCTTGACATTATTCTTGTTCTTTCCTTTTTTCTACAAGGCATAGAATAAGTAAGACCGACCATCCGGCACAGGATAGTTGCATGAACCTCGAGGAGCTCGAAGATGAATACGGCCACCTTTGCCACTTTCTCTACATATGGCACACCAGAAGCTTCAGCGATACTGGCGACTTTGAGACAGGCATTGAGGGCGGGCATGGTGGTTGGTGGTAATACAGACTTGTGCTGTAGAGGTTGATGCAGAAGCACCTGTCCCTTCACAGCGTCTGGGATCTATGAAAAGATAAGATAGCTGAAGAATGTAATCATGATGACTTACCAAAAGCGCCTGCAACACATGATTGTGACCTTACAGACATACGAATGGCGAATGGATTACATCTTTCTGGTCTGTAGGTGGGATTTTCAAAACGTGGACCGAGCTATGAGTTTTTCATACTTCATACTGACATCTCTTTGCTCGAGGCCGTTGCCACGCTGTTGGAGGATACCGTAGGCGAGATGACAGGGACTAGTGCTCATCGACGACAACCGTGAAGGGATGGACACCTGGCTGGTTATGAAATATCAGAGGATAAGATCAAGGATAGGCTTACTCAATACATATTCGTGCCATCTAAAACACCATAGAGCGATAGTACCGTCCAGCACTCCAGCAGAATACCGGCCATCCTTCCCTTCCACGACCCTGATGACTTTGACGCCGTTCTCTTCTGACGGCGAAGCATCACATCATGGTGACGTTGGATCAGGTCAGGCAATCGGTGAGCGGTAACCCTAGAACGGCATCTCTGCTCGACGCCTGCATGCGGCATTTCTCTGTGCGGGTATTGGGCCTCATCGGCAGATAGTTGTCCGAAGCTATCAAACGACTTCGAACGCCAAGACAAGGTAAGAAGGGTCGAGCAGATGCCATTGAAGATAACCGATTTGCGGTACGTGACTGGGACCCCTCGTAGAAATGTCCAATAAGAATGACACGAGACTGCGAAGGAGGTGTAAATCCGAGCCCGACATATATGCGCGTGTCTGTTAACGAAGTCAAAATGATGATGAGTTGTCAGTCACTATCCAACGCACCTTCGTTATTTGGTTGTAGCAACCATAAGACGAGTCGAGCTGAGGCTACTCCGCAAAGCAAATGTCTCGCGCTCACTGCTCTCTGCTCAGCTTCGGTCTGCGGCTGCCGCCTAGCTCAGATCGCAATTTCGTCAAGATTTCGAAGGGATTGATTATAGTAGTAAGCTGCCGCTACCGCGGTTCCATCTTGGTGGGTAGTGTAAGCGTGACGTCCAGGCCACGGGTGCACAACGCGGAATAATTGAATTACATACGAGGTGGAAGTGGGTGACAAAAACAACCAGACGTGCTCACGCCATCAACGCGGCTACTTGTCGGGCCGGACAGGCCATTCTTCCCGTCTCGATTCCAACTCGCATCTTGGTCCGACGATCTCATAGAACCGCTATTGTCCGCAAATCTTTTTCGGTCCTTGGTATGTCTTTATTCTCATTAATGTTCCCTTCCGTACCTTCCCGCCAAATTGACCCTGTATGTTGCATAAACAAGCAGAAAACACAGGTTACCTCCCCTGTTGCGCCAAACACTGATTCGAACCTCTATCACGATAGTCCTCTATTCGGACTCGCCACCTTTTCTCTCCTTTCTTGCCCTTTGAATGGTTATTAGATCGATCTGTTGCCTGAACACTTCGAGGGCTATATCTCAGGCCATTCCAGCAGTCATTAAGCACCATGACATTAGAGATCATGACGTTGGAAAGGGAAGTCAAATAGCATCCCGGAATCGACTCAGCGATCGTCGCTTTTACTCCAGAATTGATATCAGACCTGCAAGCGCCCATGCTAGCATAAAGCACCGCAAAACATATAAGCTGGTGCCTTCTCGACATGTTCATAATTTTGGGACCAGAATATCAATACAAGCCGGATACAGTAGTAACTGGCGGTTTTCCTTATCATTTTATGATTTCCTTTTTCATTCGTTCCGAGGCCATCGAAAGACATGACATGCCTAGTCATTCTCCCTCTAGACGCTGTTCCGCCTTGGCTCACTTTTTGCATCGAGTTATCTTAGTTAGGATCTATCATTACCATGCCTTCAGTCATCTTATCCCAATTTACAGCACCTCTTTCTAGCGCCATAACACTTCGAACTTGGTGCACTTGTCTACACCGCCCACTACAGCAGACGTCTTATCCACCACCATCATGCCGTCCTTCGATGCCTGTCTCCAAGTTTCCAGCCTCTGGCACTCCATATATTGAGAAGCTCGCTAAGGTGGTCGTGGTTGTAATGGAGTTCCTAGAGCTTCGTATGCCAGTAAGTATAACCGGTGCCTCCGAGTCTCATCTCTATCCTCCGTATAGCAAAGAGGAAAGAACAAGAAGGATATCAAAGAGCTCTGCGAGGGCATCGCAAACACGGTCGTTGTTATCAACACCATGGTTAGTATGCATGAGAAAGTGGGAGCTGCGTACTTCACGGATATCTTTGTGGAGATGGAAGACCAAGTCACAATGCTGTATACCTTTCACTGTCACTGTGGACTGACAATAGACGAACAGGTAGTTGAAGAGCTCAGCCCAAAACTTGAAGAGAAAAACCGAGGGCAAGCACAGTGGTATTGAGGGATTCTTCAATACCAAGGAGTCCCGAGACGCTATTCAGGATTATAGAATTCGCGTGGACAACTTGAAGACCAACTTTTTGGGACTCTCTTGCGTTATGCTTTCTGGGCGGAGATATTCTGACAATGATATTCTGCAGATCCACGTAATGGGAAACTGTCTGTTGGTGCTCGTCGAGCTTCGGCACACCCAGCGAGATCTGATGCATCCTATGGCTAAAGTCCGGATCATAGAGGACGCAGCACCGAACGATTCGTGATACGTATGACCACTAAACACGTGATCCTCGGTCTCATCTTCCATAATTTTGCTGACATGCTGCTACGCGACTCGATAGCAAACCCGATTATCTTACTAGATGTCTGAGTCAATGTCAGAAGACAGTAGCATTAAAAAATATTGAATGGTAACTTCCGCAAGCCTCCTTGATTAATATCATCGTATTTCGCTTTTGACAACCACCCACAGACGCGTTATGATCGATATCCTGTCTGGTTGAACCCGACCTTTGCTTCCTCGCCTGCCATGTACGAATGCAGTCAGTATGCCTTCACGGGGTAATGGTATGAAACTATCTTATCTCATTTAACAACACCTCTAATTGCTGTTAGTGATGTGCGGGCTTGGGCTTGAGCCCAAGCCTGACCCGAGCCGGCCTGAGCCCAGCCGGGCCTGAGCCTACTGTAGTGGGCTTGGCTTGACGATTTAAAAGCCCAAGGCCTGCCCAAAGCCCTGGGCTTTTGGTACATGATTTCTCTGTCTATGTATTGAGTCTTCTGCTACTATTTCCAAGGCAAATATCCATGTACTGCTATTCTGGCACCCTTCTGACGATTTCGGCAGGATGCCGAATATCTGCCGACCCATATATCGCTTCACCGGCTGCACAGTGATGATATCATCTCTGTGCTGAATACGGCAGCATCCTGAATCGGCATGTATTCACTCCCTGCAAGTTGTGCACACCTTCCAAACAATAAAATGTGTTATTGAGCTGAGTTATGACTTACTTTCATTACATACAATGGTCCTAGATATGACTTCCCTCTGTCTACTAAAAGCCCAGGCTCAAGCCCAAGCCCGCCCAAGCCAAGCCCTGTTTTCGGGCTTAGGCCAGGCTTGCAATTTCTTGAAGCCTGAGCCCGCAAAAGCCGAGCCCGTTGAGCCCAAGCCCGGCCCGCACATCACTAATTGCTGTGATGATTGGCGCCTTCTTCTACAGCGCATACCCTTCTAAACACCCACCATCATGCCCACTCTCAACGCCTCTCTTCGAGTAGCCAGCCTCGTCGAAGCATCCGGTGTAATATACATTGCGAAGCTTGCAAATGTCTCATTAGCCATCATCGGGTTGCTCTTCGTACTCGAACCTCCGAACTTACTAAACAGCAACTGTACTATCCCCCAGTACCCCTGACATTGCCTCCCTTCAAGGCACCAGTATTGCTGAAGATTCCAGCATGTCATATGTTGAGAACCTTTCCAAAGCCTCTGTAGCCATCATAGATCTCCTCGAGGTATTCATACCGTCCTGTGCTGTACGATTGTTGTGGCTTAACTCCGCGCTGTCAAAGGACAAATACATGAAGGAAATCTGTGAGAGCCTGGAAAATACCTTGTCGTTATCAACAAGCTTGTCAGTATGCGTGGAGAGCGAGGAGCGACGTATTGCAAGGACATCTGCGTGGTATGCCAAGGGTTTTGCGTGCGGTATTTACTCTATAGTTAATGATCAAATGGTAAGTATCTCACCGGCGTAACTTAGGTTCTAAAGACACGCAGCAGAAGCACCCCTGAATCAAGGGATTCCTCGATGCCATCAACGAGCTTTGACATCATCCTAGATTAAGGAAGCGGGTCGATGGCATAGAGGTGGGCTTCTTAGCACATGTACTGTCCGCTTTTCGAGGCGGTGTTTGGGCTATGGTCTGACTCGCTGGTATACTGTAGATCTACTTCACCTAACGGGCGATGGTACGTCCGTACTCATTGAGATCAAACACCTACAGCATGATGAGCGATATGCGGAAGAAGCATCACTGATCATTGGAATCGCAGTTACATACGCGGTCCTTGGTCTTTACTAACCCCGAGTAGCAAAGCGCCACTAGTATCCTGATGCATGAAAACGGTGGGGTGCCAAGAATATCAACATGAAACAGCGGCGGAGTTGTGGGATTTTCCACCACCAACACTTAGCAATCTAATATTGATTCGACTTCGCCTTGGTGTGTCCTGCCGCTAATTATTTGGCCTGGCTGGGATGTAGGCGACTGACTGCAATTGGAGTGAGCAAGTGCTGCGAGACAAGTCGCGACGAGAAACGAAATAATACATGTGAATGTAAAAATAATCCAGGAACAAATCGAGGTTTTCTCTGCACGAAGCACGATTAAAGACATAGCGTAAATAAATCTGCGCTGCTCTTGCATAATTAACATGCCCTGCTGGTTGAACAGGCGGAGACGACCCTCTCTGTATCTGTACTTCAACCAAGTTTCTCGGTTTATCGATTGCGAACAATTGTACCTATCCTTTGAACCGCTTGAAGACGTTTTGAAGTTGAGCTTATACCGACTGTCGGCAATTCAACTGGCTGTGAGAGCCACGAAAAGAAATGAAGAGTATCCTCAGCTAAATTCACGGTGTTCAGCTGCCAGTAGAACCAGATTGGCCTGGGGCAGATATCGATGGAATATAGTCAAAATTAGGCGGCGTGGTACTAACAAGTAAGGACCAAATATAGCAAAGGCCTCTCTATTAGGAACCAGGTATATTCAGCGTAGGTATTGAGCTTTGATTGTAACTGTGAGAATGAATTAAATATATATTGGAACCGTAGGGCTGTTAAATGGAAGACTTCTGCGGCATCAGAGATCAAAAACACAGTAAGGCGCTTCCGCATTAATCAGGGGTAAAAAAAAAAAAGCGGTGATTGCAACAGGCTTCTTCGGGATCCGGAAAACCAACTCCTCCGAGTGACCCACCACAGCCTTGGCCATCGCATCCTTCAACAGGCTGTGCATCTGCGCGACCTCCAAACGGCAGTCACCCACAGAATGCATCTACAGAAAAATGTGAGATATGGCACGAATAATGTGTAAGAAGAATTACGATCTGTGTGACCTCCAAACGGCAGTCACCCACTGAATGAATCTATAGCACAATGTGAGATATGGCACGAATAATTTGAAAGAGGAAGACTTACGATAAAGTCCGTTTTCAGGTCGTCAACGCGCCTCCTGTAAGCCTGGATAGCGTCTCGGAAATCATCGACGCTAAACACGCCTTTAATGCCACGATGTTTGCGCTTGGTATCCTTCAAATCTTCAGCCATTTTTTGGAGGTACCTGTAGTCAGACAGTCAATTAGTTGTTGAGGCGTGAGAGATAGCGAAATGGCACCCACCCTTCCATCTCAGCGCAGATATCCTTAAAATGCGAAGCTCCCAGCTCTCCGTGCATACGAACGAAGTCATCGATGACCATGATCGTGTTTGCGATGCTCTCACAGAGCTCCTTGGAATCTTTCTTATTCTTTCTCTTTTGCTATAGAACATGGAATAAGTGGGACCATTCATGGGGTAGACGATAGTTGTACAAACCTCGAGTAGCTTGAGGGTGCTTGCGGCGACCTTTGCCACGTTCTCGACGTATGGCACACCGGAAGCTTCAGCGATATTGGCGACTTTGAGACAGGCGTTGAGGGCGGGCATGGTGGTTGGTGGTGATATAGACTTGTGCTGTAGAGGTTGATGCAGAAGCGCGTGTCCATTCACAGCGTTCTGTGATCTAGCATACAGTGCTGTAAAATCTTGTATCTGATAAGATAACTGAAAAATGATATCATGATGACTTACCGAGAGCTACTGCGACAGATGAAAGGGAGTTTACGGATGTCGGAAAGGTGAACGATGATTCACCACATCTTTAAAGTTTTTATGTGCGATTTTCGAAACGTGCAATAGTCGATGGGTGTTTCGCACTGGCATTTCTTTGCTCAAGACCGTCACCGCGCTGCTGGAAGACCTCAGAGGTCAAATGACATGAACTAGCGCTCGCCCGACGTCGACCATGGATGAATGTAAATCTGGCGATAGTCAGTAAATATCAGAATATAAAAGCAGGGATATGCTTACTGAATGCATATCCGCACCATGTAAATAAAACACCAGAGCGACACCGGCAAACACCTTAGCCGGATCCAGGCCGGCCTTTTCTTCCATGACTATGACGACTTTGACGCGTTTCTCCACCGACAGCGAAGGATCACATTGCGGCAGGATTGAACGAGAACAAGAAATCGGTTAATAGCAAAACTAGGTAGTAGAGTGGGTTTTCTTACTCGACACCACATCACTTTTTGCAGATAATGGCCTCATCTGCAGATACAGGTCCGAAGCTATAGAACGACTTCAAAGACCACGATACGGTAAAAAGATCTAGAAGTTGTTCTTGAGGATAATAGATTTACGGTTCGTAAATGATGAGTGACATGAAACCGTGGAGGAGGTATAAATCCGAGCCCGAGATATGCACGTCTATTAAACAAAGTCAAAATGACGATATGTCGTCAGTCAGTACTCAACACACCTTCGTCGTTTGTTTATAACAGCTATAATACAGGTCGAGTTGAGGCTACTCGGTAAATAAAATCTCTTGCACTCGCTGCTCTCTGCTTAGCTTCGGTCTGCGGCTGCCCCTGGCTCAGATTGCAATTCCACAAAGGAATCAGGCGGAATGCTGTGGCTCTTAGTAGCGACTTGTTATCCTTTATGTTTCATCTATATGTAGTATCAGCGTGGCATACAAGCTGCGGGTGCACAACGAGGATAATCAGATCGTCGAAGTTGAGGAAAAGAAAGAAGCCGGACGTTCCCACGCCATCAACGCGATTTCTCGTCGGGCCGGTTTAGCCGTAGAAAGCGTTGAGTTCCAAATTAGGACCGTTTGCCGACCTTCAGTCTCGGCAAAAGGTTCCTCCGCGTTTTCTGACTCCTAAATTACTCATTTCTACCAGCGCTCAGGTAATAACTCGTCAACTTCATTTCATGCCTTCAGGTAAGAGATTAGATGTACGGTACCATGCATAGAGGATCCTCCCGACCCAGTAGAGAGTCACGGTAATCGTTGCTGTACCCCAACACACAGTGCAGTGAAATCAAGTCTCGCAGCTCGGCTAGAGAATTGACATATGTGGTCCCGATGGAGGAAAACATTACCGCGATTCAGACGAAGCGAGAGCAAATTCTACAGTGTTTCCTGAGCCACGGTCGAGGTAAGCCTTTAACTTTCCATAGTCTTATCTTTATTTTGACAGATGATTAAAAAAACGGGTTTGATTCTCTTTCTCAGATGCTACTCCTGTGAATCGATCCTTCTGCCCAATCTTAATCCTGGTACCGACTGGCACCAGAAAATCTTTGAAAGGCAGCATGTCACAGATGCGGGAAGATCATTACAGGACAGCACAATTGTTGAACGGTGCTCCCCTGCCCTAGCATCGGACAAAAAATTCTGAGCATTTTCGGGCGGGCAGTGAGAAAAAAAGGAACTACATCGCATGCACTGCACATGCGGGGAATCGAACCCTGCCTTCAACCACTACCATATAATATGAGCAAATTGACCGTTACGCCAACGAGCTATACGTACATCCTACCGAATTATACTATGTCAAAAGATCCGGAAGCGCTTGGGTCACAAAAGAGACCTAACTTGCGAGTCAAAGCGTTTTCCATCAAACTTGAACGACGGATGAAATGAGGGGCTCTTCCTGTAACCCGCCCATGAACCGAGTGGGATGCAAACCAAGCAGACATAGGAATGCCAGAGAAGGGAAATAAGAGAACCGCGCACTAGCTCCTCTTGGGTGCGACTCGGGTAGCAAGACACTCACTGAAGTAAAGAACTTAACCTTCGTACAGAAGAGTGAATATAGAAAGCGCTGTCCAGGTTTCGTCGATAGTCGAAGTGGCCATTCATCCTAAAAGATCATTTGAACGTGGTCATATTTAGTAGGAGATACTAGGCGGAAGAGTAAGGCAACTGCCACTGTCAGGCGTTGGAATCCATGCATGCCATATCACAGCCGGATTCGTAGACCATATTCTTCAAGTCTTACAATAAGCCTGTTTGAACAGGAAACTCAATGCATACATAAGAGAAATACTACTGGATGGCGTGTGTCAGAAGTGCGTTCTAAGACGTCATAAGGAAACGATGCTCACCTCAATACAAGATCGGCAACAGCAACGGGGAGACAGAACACGAGTCTACACCCGTACGAAACATCAGATGTTTCTTTGATACGCTATGCAAGAATACCATCAGCAACAGCCAAACCAATGAAAGAATCTCGCCATACCGTGTCCAGCAACTCAGTCCGACACTCCTCTTCCAAACGATCCATCCATGTCCCCAAAATATCCTCCGTGACCCATCGACCGAGTTGCTGCACGTCGTGTCCCATTCTATTCCCTTCCTTCCGTCTACGGTGAAACTTGAACAGCGACTTCAGTGAGATCTGGCGCTACTCCGGGTGGAGATAAGCTTTCCACGCGACATTCTTCCGACCCGAACCTCATTACACGGAGAGGGGAGAGGTTCTCATAGGAACACGGAGGTAGTGACCGATGCGGGTACGCTCTCGCTCCCCATGCCTCGGACATTAAATCTCTGCTGGGGCGGGATTGCGGGACTGCCGAGGATCCGTAGCAGCCGTCTGAGAACGATATGGCATTTTGCAGATGGCGATGGGCGAAGGAGTTTGAAGTGAAGAGTATTGTGATCCTCCCCATCACGAACGATAGGATACCATCCTCCAAGCCGTACCATCTGCCTTGCAGTACTAGTAGTACCATCACACCATCACCACGGCCCATGCTACACCTCTTGCCAACTGATGCTCCATCGTTACGTCCACAGGAGGGATCTTTTGCGAAGGGTCTCGCCTGTGCAGTGGTTACGTCCGCAGGAGGGATCTTTTCTGAAGGATCTCACTGTGCAGCGGTCCTCCCTTGCTCCCTGAACGGTCCGATATGTTTTGGGCACCATACTGGGCCCGTGCACGACGACTGTCCATTGTATACACTTGTTTGATTCTGATGTGCTTCTGTCTCATGTTACATGTTTCGTTAACGTCACGGTCTCACTTCTTTTATATTGCCTGTCTCGCAATGTCCCCCCCATATGTCTCTCTTTCAATAGATGACCGAATCCAAGCTCTTTTGCTTTTCCTGCGCCCTGGTCCTTTCGTTATTCTACAACTATCATGACCTCCATGACCTCGAATAGCGAGAATGTTGAGGAGGATTACCTCCACACCTTGAAAAACTTGCCAAAGCTACCAGCCCCCGAAGTGATTGAAGACTCATCGACTCAAGAGAGCTGGTGTGATCAGGAGGATCGGGAGGACCGACCGGAGGACGAGGACGAGGACCTCATCAATCTCGGTGCACAGTCATGTTCTCTTCCTGCTTCTTCGAGCCCTGATCTCCACCTGCCACCTGTTACCACAGCGAAAAAAGGAAAGGCCGCTCAGAAACGAAAACTGTCTTCCTTAGGTTCCGATGAAACCGCCGCTCCTTCCACTTCCTATGGTCCGGCAAGCAATACACGTTCCATGCGCGGCCAGACTGAAGCTGCCTTCGTCGCTGCCGGTGGTGAACCATCATCCTCAGCTGCACCACAGAAGAAGAAACGCAAGAAGGATCCTAACCCCTCTGATCTTCACGCTCTCTCTCCAACCGCGGAATGGCCTTCCCTGTTGGCAGATCTACATTCCCGAACAGAGATACAGCTCAACTCTCTTCGTGACCAAGTTCAGTCACTCGCAGCGGCCGCTACCACTCCTCATTCGCCTGTTGACATGGGCCACCTGCCTACCGACATCGCTAATCTTCAGAAACGTGTGTCCGAGTTGTCTGCCATCGTCACTAGCCGCTTCCTTCAGCAACATTCAGCCATTGCTGGTTTGACAGCATCCACCGCCTCCCTCCCCTCTCTGTCTGAGACGTTGAAACGCAACTCGAATCGCTTGACGAATATCGAAACACAAATTCTGTCCATGCCACGTACTGGCCCCTCAACAGACATGTATCGTGTCCTAGAGAGCCGAGTGGCTGAGTTGGAAAAAACCTTGCTTTCAATCTCGACGCCCACCACGATTGCAAAGCCCTCTTCCCGGCTGACTTCAGACATCTCCCCTCACACTCCTGCTCCATTACCCACACGTTCAGTCGACCCATCCCTCCAGGTCGTCGTCAGTGGGGTTCGTGCTGTAGGCAATCATTACGACTATGTCGCACAGCTCATGGGATGCATGCCCGCTCTTTCAATGACTGTGGTTTCTTCCGTGGAGCATCTAATAAGTTCGCCGGGTACCATTGTAATCACGTTCCGGACGGCGCAGAACGCTAAAGACTTCATGTCTGCTGCCCGTTCCCTGCCGGAGCGCTTCCGTCATTATCGGTTCCTCTGGGCTGACAACCCAGATTCTCCGATTGCGTCGGCTTCCGCCTCTCTATCAAAAGGTTCTCCCTTGACTGGGCCCTTTGTTGATGACCGTCGTGGGTAGGTGGCATCGTATCATCTCCCAGGATGCCCGATAATTTAGTTCTGTGCTTGATTAACAGTACTCTTACCAACACTACTGATTTTTTACCTAACCTTGATGATCATGTATCGCCTATGTATGTAATTGTATCTCATTGTTTCCTATTCCTACTTCATGTCTACCCCTTCTGTTCCCATAGGCCTATAGTGTCACCACCACCTCACTTGTATGTACCATCACTATGCTTAATACTGTCTGTCGAATCAGTCTTCATCTCGTGTAGGAATGAGCGTGTTCCTCAATGGCTTTCATTATGCTCGTGGAACATCAACGGTCATTTGCCATTAAAGATAAGACGACGAGATGTTTCTTCAGTCATTCGGAGGAACGACGTCACCGTATTCTTTGAGACCTGGTTGACTCCCCATACAGAGTCTTATACCAAAATACCACTAGGCCACAGGGCTGTCTTTTGATCCCGACCACATACTGGTGGGAGGCCATGGGGCGGCCTATGTGCTATCGTTAAAGACGATCTGCGTTGCTCCGTGATCGATGAGCTCTCATGCCCTGATCTTTTGGTTTTGCAACTTCCCTGTTGCTACTTAGTTGCGGCTTACATCGCTCCCATAACCTCAAAGGCATGCACAAGAGCACCTATCCATCCTTTCCAATACTTTACAGAAGCTGTAACTTTCTTGGCGGCGAATTCTACCCTGCCAATTGTTGGCTTGACCGACGTTAATGGTCGGATTGGTACTAACCTCCCGGCCAATGCACCTTCATGCCTGTCGCGACCAAGATCTGTGGACGTGAAGACGAATGCAAGAGGCAATGACTTCATCGAGTTATGTTACGATACAAATATGAGTGTTCTCAATGGCTTGGAGCTGAATGACACCACACACAATCGCAGTTTCACCTACGCCAATGCTTTTACCTCCTTCCAGCCCGGTGGCACCTCCGTCGTGGATTACGCATTTGTATCTCATGCCCTTGCCTTGGACCCTGATAACATTCGCTTCACCATCGGAAACAGAGGTCCCGCCGATCATACTCCTCTGACAGTATCGTTACAATCTATGGACAGTTTATATGATTTTCCACAGTCGACAGAGAACATCCCTCGAATCACAGACCTTCATGCGGAAAAGCATGCCGAAATTGCTGGTCCACTTGACCAAGATGTTATTGATGTTCTCGACACCGCTGTTTCAGCAATTCCGACCGACGCCGATCGTTTACATTTATATGGAGCTTTGTGTCCATGCGTGAAGAAGAATGCTGGACCATGTTACTCTGCATGGATCACCAGTACTCCGGGCAATACACGCGGACATCGCCTATTAACTGCCGCCATTCATTGGGGTCTATGTTCCCCCCGTAATCGAACGATTGCTTATGGAACAGTCCCTGATTCTCGCTCCGCCTTTGGTTCAGCCACACATAGGGTTTTACTTGCAGCAGTGATGGTTGCTGTCACCTCTTTGGGTGTCGACTCTCCCTTACAGATTGTGGTCAATAATCAAGATGTCATTGATCTCATATGCTATGAGGCCCCTTTACGTGCTGCTAGAGGCTGGATCGGACCCAACAATGACATCCTCAAGTTGGTGGTGCAATGTTTGACTGAAAGGAGGGCTTCTACACAGTTTCTTCTCCTTAGAACGGGTGAGAGGAACGAGACTTTTGATAACGCAACCGTAGCGGCGCAGAATGCATCTCGCAACCCTGGTGCATTGCCTTCTCATATGGGTAGAGCAGAATGGGTAGATCTGTCTCAATCATTCCTTGAGGACTGTAGGGACTTGGAACAAGCTGAACTATTGGATCATGCAGACGATTGTCATCCACTTCTGAAAGTATGGTCAAGGGTTCGCTACTCCAAGCTTCCTCCCACCCGTTCCTCATCACCTATTGATTCCCAACACCCGATATCCGCCCCTCCTACGAAATGTAAACAGACTGGCATCCCTGTCCCTCTTACAGATGGTGGTGACATAGATGTTGCTTCCGAGGCCCATCGTGGTAGACGGGTAACGAGAAAGGCCATGTGGACAAATTTACAGGTTCTTATGGAGGTTGCTTGTCACGCTGATTTTTTGGAAGTTGATTCGTTCCTGGTCAAATCCTGCCCATAGTTCACTACCACGAGTCTCTCTTCCGTCCCTCACAGGTACCTTCCAGAGTCGAATGAATCTACCCGACACTCTCCCTGAACATTGGGATAAAGAGGCTCGTGCATACGCTGCAGCAGCAGCGGAAGCACTTCCTACCACAACTATTGATAGCACACCTGGAAGAATTTTTTCCCGTGATTTCTTAGTTGATGACATCGTAGAGTGGAAACGGTTTATACATCGTAAGAGGAAGAAGAAAAAAGTTTGCGGTCTCGATGACATCAGTACAGATGACATTCTGCTCATTCCCAGTGACATCCTTGCAGATTTTTTCAACAGATGCTTGGCTGCACTTGATGCACCGAACATTTGGTTTACAACTATTCTTACTGCCGTGCTCAAATCCAACAAGAGCGATTTGGACCCCGAGAATTACCGCATCATTGGCTTGCAATCTTGCTTCCTGAAGGCCTTCACTTGGCTCATAGATCGTCGGTTCAGGGAATGGATGGAGCTTAACGACATCTTGCCCCCTTCTCAGAATGGATTTCGAGAGCATTATCGCACCAATAACAATATGTTCATTTTGCGCACAGCAATCGATCGTTCCTGAACAGAAGGGAAGCGCCTTTACGTCGCGTTCGTTGATCTCGTCAATGCCTTCCCTTCCACTGACCAGCCAACTCTCTGGGCCAAAATGACCACACTAGGAGCTGCGGGTCCAATTATGGATTGGCTGCGTATGATGTACCGAAAGATGGAATACGTTGTGAAATTGGGTCCCCATCACTCCGACGCCTTTCAGTCCATCATAGGCATTCTCGCCAGGGATAGCTTGTCTCCCGGGTTATGGAACATCTACTTCTCTGATTTTGCTGTGCCTGACCGACCAGACGATATCATTTTCAATGGTCACCATATTTCTCATGTCGAACAAGCCGATGACATTGTGTTGTTTTCAACGTTAGTAGAAGGACTGCAGGCGAAGCTGGACTGCTTGTTTCATTGGTGCTGCCATAATTCGATGACTATTTCGGACTCCAAAACCAAAATTTGGATTGCAGGTCCCTTGCCTACACGTTTGCCTGTTCTCTTCGTTGGTGGTCGGGCCCTTCAGTGTGTCTCCAAGCACAAATATGTTGGGATCACTTTGTCATCTACAGACAGGTACTACATCTCTCGGAGTTCCTTATTTCCTTGTCTCACGCCTCCTTACTTCTCGTGCAGGTTAATTTTTAAAGAGCACTACTACATTACCGGGTTTCTACAAAATAATGAGAATCGATCGAACTTTTTTTCGGCTGCCCAATATAGTAATTCCCCATCTTGGATTCCACCAAATGCATAAGCACTGCGAATTATACCTTCCTGACGTACAACTGGGCTATATTCCTCCGAATTATCCATCAAAGGCTCTGATATCACCACCCAGGCCTTTGGTTTGTGATCCTCGTGAATCCGCTAATCTGGTCTGTCAAATCCCAAATCAGCGGTATTTTCTTCATCACTGCAGGCTCCATTGCATGACTTGATGACACCAAAACATTGTGTACTGCTTCGGGAATCAATTCTAAACTGTTTATTCTATCATTACTGTTGCTCTTGGTGTTGAGTCGCTGTTGAAAGAAAACCGGTACCTATGAATTACTATATTGGGCAGCCGAAAAAAAGTTCGATCGATTCTCATTATTTTGTAGAAACCCGGTAAAGCTTCAAAGGCACGGAAATCTGTTAACGCCTTGTTTGGAGCAGAGAACTTCGTGGGCACTATCCCTCCGAAAGGCGGTATTGATGTCTACATGGCTACTGTTGATCCGCATTTGATGTCTGCGTGTGACGTATCCATCGATATTGATTCCACATTGCTTTCCCAAATGGAGTATGTTCAGAACCGTTTCATTCGGCGATTGCTAGGCATCGCTCAGCGTTCGCCCCTCGCCATGCTGTTTTCTGAGTCTGGCATATGGCCCATCAAGTATCGTAGAATCATGCTTGCCCTTCGCTACTGGGAATACGCGTTATCACTTCCCGACGATCATTTCTTATCCTATGCCATGACCGACTCACTCGCTCTTGCCAGAGCAAAGAAAGCCTCGTGGATCAGGGACCTCGTTCATGTCTTACAAAACCTGAATAAGCCTGTGTTCATTGATTTGGCTCACAATTGGCTTCCGAGCGATATCGAGAGGATTATAACTGATGTTGAGCAATCCTGCCTCTCAGACATTTCCTCGTTCATGGCGACATCCTCCAAGGCCCTCTTGCTACGTCATCGACCTCATCCCCCTGCCCATGCACATCCTGAAATGTTGCAGAAATCAGCTGTGGCAAGTTTTCGTTCTTATCTCAATGTTCCCATTCCTGCCCATCGAAAAGCACTAGTGCGCCTGTTGACGTCTTCTCATACACTTGCCGTCGAGGTCCTCCGATGGGCGGAACGAAGGCGTCCTCCCGTTCCCCACTGTCAGCATTTGTGCCGTCTTTGTGGTTCAGAGGTCGAGGATGAGGCACATGTTTTGCTGTACTGCGACGGAACTGGCGACTTACAGGATTTACGTGCCTGTTTCTTTCACAACATTTTCGCACTCGCAAGTCCTCCCCTTGCAGCTGCGCTGAAGTCCGCATCATTTGGACTCCATGTTCTCCATATCCTTCTGGATAGTGACGATAGTCGAGTCCTTACTTCTTTTGCCAAGTACGTTTTTGACGTGTTCCGAGTTATCAACTGTACACCACTGTATCATCCATAAATACTCGAATTCTGTAAACTTCTGTGTTTCGTTTCTCCGTTTCGATACCCACTTGAGCACCCTGCGAAGAGTCTCTACTCCGCGAGACGCACTCAACAGTGTGATTACAACGGTATGAGCCTTCGCAGCCACAGCACATGGTTCGCCATGTCAGGGCTGTGGACCCGGCCGTTCCTTATTGGGACCTGGCGCCGGTAACACCACCACCACCACCACCATCCAGTGACGGCAGGACGGCGTCGGTGTCTGTGCTGGATGATACGCCACTACAAGGTCCATCGTGGAGGCAACGAAATTAAGAAGGACTGGGTGATCTCTGAGTGAGCATGTGTTGATGGTCGCGTTGCTGCAGGCTCACTCCGGTCGTGTCTCCTAGATATAAATAATTATAAAAATCGAATGGGATGAGTGAAGGAAAGATTACACACCCGATATTGAACTTTAGAACCCCTCAGCAATGCCACGACTTCAGCTCAGATCTGATATCAGATGACGGTCGATGTTCATCCTTGCTGTCGTAGACTTGTGCAACGTACTACTGTTACACCTGCAACGGTTGTGCACCCCGCCAGAGCTTCTTCGTGCACTCTGATGTTCGACTGAACGTGAAGGATCTTCAATATAAAACAGGCTTGACGAATGTGGACTGTCGGATGAATCAGGAAATGGAAGATAATCAAGGGCAATGTAACACACCTTTTTCATATGCGGAAGCCATGGTGAATATCGACTCCAGAGTGGAACCCCGCCCATTTCTTCTCTTTGGAGACAACGAGCACGGTGTGTTGAGATAATGCTGCCATATCGAGAATGTTGATAGACATGATGAGAGAGAACTTGGCGGAGGATACGCCGAAAGCCTGTACTGCGAGACAACTGCCTCTATCGCGCCGACTAGACGTACATTTCGAGAAATCAACCTGTGAAAAACCCTTGTTAAGTTTCACAATTCAAAGACAGCGAGAAAAAGTAGCCTACCTCCTCCCGAGTCAAGTCATTTTTTCGCGTCGTACCCTTTCCACACGCCGACCTCCTGCGTCGAACAAGATGAAATGGCTCCACACGAACGCATAGAATAGGATTCTAGCACGGAAGAAAGCTGGAAAACGGTCCATCGGGGTCTGGTCATGGTCATGGTTGCGAATGAAAGAGTCGTGGGAAAATATATGACGCGTCACCTTGATTCTAGCATCCGGACCTCGGGCCGTCGTCATCGATGATGATGCCTATTGACAATCCCCACTGCGACCGACCTGGCGTACCCCGCATCAACATCGGGGCAAAGCTTCAGTGCGTGCAAGGTTTGTAGGCCTTCAAGAACTTAGGGTTGTCTGTGAACTCAAAATTGATTACCATCTAGCCTGTAGGAGTCCGCAATGGGTACAAACTGACGAAAATGACGACGAGTGGCACAACGACGGTGTCGGCAGTAGGTGTGGAGGGGCTCGTGCAAAAGGAGAGAAGGCTGGGTAGATGCAGGGAGGCAGGAGAGGACAAGCGAGATGCTGGGGCAAGATTGGGCCACCAATGACGGACGATGACGGTGCCTTTTTGGGTAACAGCTGTATGACCACAACCCCGCCCACATTCAACATGGGCCTATACCGCTCCACTCTAGCATCCCGCACACCCCATATCCGTGACTCGTCTCCCCGACTCTGCCATCGTTGTGCATCAGCACTCCCGCCCCATATTATCCCCTACAGCGAGTCTATCGCCCCTGAGACCTCACCACCCCCGTTCTCGGCATCATGGAACATGGGGGTGTCGTTCCTTCCCCTCCCTGAATCCGCCCGTCGCTATCAACAGGCCGTCGACCCTACCTCGCTCGGTTTTCTGCTTCTGACCGGGTGCTCCGTTGTCCCTAGCCACCCAGCGATGACACATTGTCTCCCCTGACGACACCACGCGCAGAGCTCATGTAGAGGGAAGCCGATCATGGTTTGGTATACACGGACTCGGATGTGCCGTGGTTTGGCAGCGCCCGGCCTTTCAAGCTTACAGCACTTCTGCTTGTCAATCTGATGCTAGACGTCGCCTTGAACAGTACATCCCTTTGTAAACAATCACCACCGTTCCCGTTTTCAATGCGTCTCTTCAAGTAGCCAGCCTCGTCAAGGCTTCCGGTGTACAGGATACATTGAAAAGCTTACCAAAGTCTTGTTATCCGTGGTCGCGCTGCTTGAGGTATCCGTACCGCTCTTTGATGTATAATGTTCCCTCGAGTCTGTGCTGTGAAACAAAGAAGTCGTGAAGAATCTCTGTAATATCAATGTCGTTGTTGACAGGCTTGATAGATGTATGCAGAGTGAAGATCCGGGATGTTGGCATGGGCATGCAAGGGGATACCGGGAAAATTTTGCATGCTGTAGTTAATATACAGCTAATGATGAAACGATAGGCATCGTACGGGCATAACCTGAGGCCGGAAAGACACCGAGAACAGCACCGCGTAACCGACAGCATTGTCCAATGTCAAAGGGCTTGAAGAAACCTTCCAAGATTGCAGAAGGCGGGTGAATGTCTCGGAGACGGACGTCTTTGTACATGTACTTTGCACTTTACGAGTTGTTAGTCTGATTAGTATACTGAAGATCCACATAACGAGCAACAGCATTTTCCCACTCATTGCGAACAATCGCCTACAGCACGCCTGATGCGAGAGATGCGACAGAAGAATGTATCATGAGAAGAAGTATGAGTGATTGTAAGAATCATACTTCCACGCACGATTCGTTTCACATTGATTTGGAAGCGCAGAGCGGCACTAGTATCCTTGTATATGGAAGAAGCAGTGGAGCACGTAATATACTATCCGCACGCCACAGCACCGGAGTTGTGAGATACGACACAAAGTAATCTAACATTGATTCTAAGTACGTCGCTTTGGCCTGGCCTCTGCCTGGCCCGTGCAAGTTATGCAGTCTGACCAAGGTGTAGATGACTAACTGGAATAGTAATGAAGCTCGAATAACTGAGTATTGACAGAAAAGTCGGAATGAGAAGTGAAATAATGCATCCGAGTCTGTCATCAATATATAAATAGCTCAGAAATAAATCCCGGTTTTCTGTACACGAAGCGCAGTCAAGACACTATGCAAATCAATCTATATTACCATTGCAGATTTGATGTACTTTACAGGCTGAACGGGCGGAAGGATTGTCTCTGCTCGTGCTTCAGCCGCATCTTCCGATTAACGACAGATGCCTATACCAATGCATAGAATGTAGTAGTTACCTTGCTCATCAAGCGGCATTGAACTGGTATATTGGGAGTCATCCCGACAGTCGGGGATCCGCCAGCTGGTCACAATTGAACTTTCCGTGAGAACTGCAAAAGGAAGTAAAGAGTATCCTCATCTGAAGTCAAGGGTTGAGTGCCAAGACCAGGCTGTAGTCTATGCACATCTCGGTAGAACATAGGTAACAGTAGGCGTTGGGGTACAAGCAAGCAAATGCGAAAGAGAGAGCTTCCCGGCTTTTCGGTCTATTAGGAACCACATACATGCAACAAGTGTATTGAACTTCGGATGTAGTTGTGAGAATAAATTAAATCATGATCGTCGGAACTCTAATGTCTCTTGCTAAAGTATTAAGCTACGCTATCTAGGCGGCGGCTGTATGACATATATAGTGCCTCGGGGTATTACATAGATGACATTAGATGTACTTAGATAGCTCAAAATGATATGTAATTTTTCTCCTTCGATATGATTTGATATATTCTGGGTCGAAGAAATTTGGGACCATATATGCCAGTCGAAGCAAAATATATTCATTTGAACTACTTATAAATCCTTCGATGTGGTTACAAAGAAGCGATACAAACGGCAGAATGGTCAAGGCACGTCGAAGTAGATACGTCTAATTGATTGTCTTCGATCTCCTTCGAGGCTCTTTTCGCTGGGGTTAATTGATTGGGTTTAAAGAAAGGTTATTTACACTAGTCTAATTGGCGTCCGAGTCGGCCGCTCCCTCAGCGCGTAACTGTCCATATCCATCATATGCGGTCTCAGCCTCCCCACGGGAGCCCCCTCATCCGTCTCACCAGTGAGTACGTGGCACAATACAGACACAGCGGAATCTAACGGGCTTCTAGTTTCCTCGCCGTGTCTCTCATTTCTTCCGAGCTATATCTACCTGGCGGTCTCAGTGGGAACGCTTATCGCTCTCTCTGAATCGCCAGGTATGTCTCTTTCTTCTCGTAGTGGTTTCCCTTCAGCTTACAGGTCGCTCTCGTCGAATTGACAGAGCTTTCGTGTTTTTTAGCACCCTCCCTGGACAGTACTCTTAGCTTTCATTCGGACTATTTGGACTATCATTGCTACGGACTATCATTACCACGGACTTCTTCATAGTTGATGGACACACTTATTGGACTTGCTTAGTTTACAAACCAATGTACAGTACTGTCTCCCTCCCAGCGCTCGCACACACGCGGAGCTGGCGTCTCAAATTGGACTAGTGCCCAAAGGGCAATTTTTCGGTAAACTCGTACGATCGGTCGGACACTCGTCGACCAATTACTGTGAGAAAAAATTGGAATCAGAGGCTAAAAAAAAAAAGGCGGTGATTGCAAGGGGCTTCTTCGGGATCCGGAAAACAAACTCCTCCGAGGGACCCACCACAGCCTCGGCCATCCCATCCTTCCACAGGCTGTGCATCTCCGTGACCTTCAAAACGCAGTCACCCACTGAATGGATCTACAGCACAACGTGAGATACAGCACGAATAATCTGAAAGAGGAAGAATTACCAAAAAGTCTGTCTTGAGATCGTCAACACGCCTCCTGTAAGCCTGGATAGCCTCTCGGAAGTCATCGACGCTAAAGACGCCTTTAAATCCACGATGTTTGCGCTTCATATCTTTCAAATCTTGAGCTATGCTTTCGAGATACCTGTAGTCAGATATTTGATTAGTTGTTGAGGCGTGACAGCCAGCGAAATAGCACTCACACTTCCATCTCCCCACAAATATCCTTGAAATGTGAAGCCCCAGGCTCTCCGTGCATACGAACGAAAGCATCGATGACAGCAATCGTGTTGGCGATGCTTTCACAGAGCTCCTTGACGTTTTTCTTGTTCTTTCCCTTTTTCTACAAGGAATAGAATAAGTAAGACTGACCATCCGGCACAGGATAGTTGCACGAACCTCAAAGAGCTTGAAGACGACTACGGCTACCTTGGCCACGTTCTCAACGCATGGCACACCGGAAGCTTCAGCGATATCGGCGACTTGGCGAACGACGTTGAGTGCAGACATGATGGTTGTTGTTGGGGCAGACTTGTGCTGTAGAGGTTGATGGAGAAGCGCGTGTCCCTTCACAGCATTCTGGGATCTAGGAAAAGAGGGCACTAGAAATTCAGCATGGTCACCTGCGTGGTACCATGCGTGCGTGGCGCGTGGCCACGCAGGCCACGCAAGTCATTAGTTGAACTTGAGTTGAACTTGCCTTGACTGAACATAATTACTGCACGATGATAAGAATACTTTGCTAAACGTGTCTTTGTATCTATTTCTTACTCATTGGTAAAATTTCTGCAACAAATAGACCTTTGTTCGAAAATGTTTCAAATCTCAGTTTTTGCCAATTAGAGTTTTTACACTTTCAAATCTCGGATTCCTAGGTGCCATTGTATCTTCCATGAGTGTATCTATGATTATGAGAAGGTTAAATATCGAAAATTAAGTACTCTCTCATTTTTCCAGCTTGAAATTATTAATCCAAAGATGTCGTGACACCGTAAACATCAATTCAACGTTGACTTCACATGAATTGCACCTTGATTCCTTCAATACCATCTAATTGATCATCTAATTCCCACAAGAACAACCCTTCCTTATATGCGGATATACCTTGGACCACGCGAGTAACCATGCTAGCGTACCACGCAGCCATGCAACCATACCACGCAGGCTGACCACGCACCGCCATGCTGACTAACCACGCAGCCACGCAGGCATCACCGGCCCGTACAACATTTTCCTCGTAAAACCTGTCTTTATTCATACGTCGGTAAGGTATAATGGCCACTTATTTAATTGGCCTCTTTGCTCTGTGTCATTGATACCTATTACCAACCATAGATTATGGTGTCTCAAGTCTCGACAAAGTAAGCGGCAACCCCACATCATGTACCTTATTACTTATGGCTTAGAAAGCACCCTTTGCGGCCTTTTCGTGTTTTTGGGATACTCAGGAAATTGTTTTCTTCTGCGGCAATGCTTTCGATGCTCTTCAATTGTGGCAATCCCTTTCAAATGATAATTTTATGATACAGATATCCTTCGAAGTATTTCGATAGTGACACACTTAAGCAGTCATTTTTAAACCTTACAAATACTCTCAATCAAGACGGTTCCATGAAGGCTGCGACAGAAGAGAAGGAAACGCGTTGAGTCATGTTTGATGGACTTTTGATCAACTTTTGATTGTCCCTGTGATTTGTCAACCACGCTGACGACCACGCAGCCACGCTCCACGCGACCACGCAGCCACGCAGGCTACTACGCAGATTTCTTCTTGCCCAGGAAAAGATAAGATAACTGAAGAATGTAATCATGATGACATACCAAAAGCGCGTGCAGCACATTAGGACCTTACAAAAGCCCGAAAGCTGAATGGATCACATCTTTCTGCTCTGCGGGAACGATTTTTGAAACATGGGCCGATAAATGGTCGTTTCCTACTGGTACCTCTTGACTAGAGGCCGTCTCCTTGCTGTTGGAGGCCACAATGACATGGACTAGCGTTCATTGACGACAACCATGAAGGGACGTGCACCTGGAGATAGTCAGCAAGTATCAGATAATAAGAGAAGGATAGGCATACTCCATAAGTATCCGCAAATAGAGTGGTACCGTCCAACCCATCTGTCGAATCTCAGCCATTGTTCCCTTCAACGACCAGGCAGACATCCGACAGTGAATCATTGATCAGAGTGATGCTGAATGAGGTCAGGCAATCAGCTAATGGCAACCCTAGGGCAGTGTCTCTTGCTCGACGCCTGCATGCGGCATTTCTCTGTGCGAATATTGGGCTTCACCTGTGGATACAAATCTGAAGTATAACCATTCCCATCACTCAGACGCCACGAAAAGTGAAAGGGGTCGAGTAGGCGTTGTTGAGGATAACCAATTTCTAGTCAGCGACTGGAACGAACTTATAAGAATCCAGTGATAGGAAACTACGAAGGATCCCGAGATATATGCGCGTCTGCAAACAAAGTCAAAATAATGATAAATCGTCAGTTGCTACTCGACGCACCTTCGATTGTTTGGTTATGCCAGCCATAATACAATCCGAGCAAAAGCCTCTCAGTAAAGTAACTCCCTCACGCTCGCTCCTCAGCTTTAGTCCGCCACCCGGTTCAGATTGCAATTCTATCAAGGAGTCGGACAGAATGCAGTGGGTCTTAGTCTGTCGCGCTTGCTGTTTCATCCCGACGGGTAGTGTCAGCATGGCGTAGGAGCCACGAGTGTACAGCGGGGATAAGCGGATTATCGATGTCGAGGAGATGGGTGATACAAAATAGGTGGACATTCCCGTGCCATCAACGCGATTCTCATCAGGCCGGATTTGCCGCTGTTCCCATGTGACTACAACTCGCAATTTGGTCCGACAATCTCCTAGAACAGTCATTTTCCGCACGCTCTGTACGAATTGAGTGGACACTTTTATTCTCATGAATATGCCTCTTCCCTAGAACTGACTCCGCATATCGCATAAACAGGAAGAAAAAGACATGGTTGCTTCCCCCGCGGCGCCAAACACTGATCTGAGTCTCTATCACGAAGCTCTGTCCGGATTTGTAGACTTTCCTTGACTTTGTATCTATCCGCTTCCTCCAATATGTCGACACTTCACATCTCCAAAACTGCCGCAGTAGTCATCAAGGACTGTGACAGAAGAGATTATGGCGTCGGAAAGGTAAGTCAAATAGCATTCTCGAACTGGCACAGCGATTGTCTTTGTCACTTCAGGAATAATCGTTGATATCGTAACTTCAGGGAAAATACTGGCGTCAAGCGCAGCAACCCCATATATGCTGGTATGTTCTCGAGATATTCATAATTCTTTACGACATAAACAACTCCCAGTACCAGACCAGATTCACAAATACGAGTTGAAGTTGAACATGCTACGATTTCCTTAATTTGTTCCGAGGTCACTGAAAGACGCGAAACCCCTAACACACTCCTTCTGGATGTGCTAATAGGCATTAGCTCACTTTCCGCGTCGAGTGACTCTTGGTTGGCATTCATATTGTCTATATTATTGCGGTCTTCAGTTATCTTATCTCATTTTTCAGCACCTTCTCTTGGCATCAATGTAGCGAACTAGACTTGCTCGCCTGCATCGCCCACTACAGCACACATTCTTACTAGTCATCACCATGCCCTTCCCTCAACGTCTTCCACTATATTGCCAGCCTCTCTCAAATTTCTGGTATTCCGTATATCGAGAAACCTTCCAAGGTCACCATAACTGCCATCGAGCTTCTATAGGTTTGTATTCCGAGCTTTGCTGTATGCCCTACGTATAGCAAAGATGAAATAACAAGAAGGACGTCAAAGTGCTGTGCGAGAACATCACTCACATAGTCGTTGTTATCAACGCCTTAACGAGGAAGTGCGAGCTGTGTACTTCACAGATAATCTGTGCAGAGAAGGAAAGGCGTGATGCCGAACACACCTTACTCTGGGGATAACAATCGGCCAATCTGAAGAGCGAAATTGATTGCAAGCATAGCAGTATCAAGTGCTTCGTCAATACCAAGGAACTCTGTGATGCCACTCATGATTTCAGCAAGCATGTGAGTGATTCGAGAGCCACCAATTTGGTACTCTTATGTACCCCATTATCCGAAAGAGATGTTCTGAGAGTGATATTCTCCAGCCAGATTCATGTAACAAGCGACTCTTTGTTGGTGCTGATTTAGGTTCGGGACACGCAGCGGGGGTCTGAAAGTTCTCTGGATGAGATTCGGAACGAGAAAGATACAGTTCCCCACGGATAATTCAAAATGCTGTTTTCCAAACCAAGAGAAGGGTTCCAGCTACAGCTGATCGGATGAACCAGCGTTCGCCATAGTGACTTATGCGATCACATTCTATAGTCTCTCTTCCTGTGTCTATGGATAAAGTTATGAGAAGCGTGTTGACGACTTGAAGCCCGAAGCCGTACTTCCTGAATTCTGGTACGTGTACTGCTTTGCGAAAGCGATAGTCTGTTCCAGATTTATGTAACAAACCACTGCATGTTGACATTCATTAAAACCTGCCGCATGCTGATCAAAATCCCAAGCATGGACGGAAGAAGGATTCGAATTACCATTATACACAGCGTGTTTTTCTTCTCCGAGCACGTTCAATGCTCAAATGTGTCGCTATGTATGTACCTGGTCTCTAATAGGCCAAGGAAGCGAACGTCTTCAATGTCGAAATATTCAGCCAGTTCAGTAGGCATATTAATTTACAACGGGCGAGATTTATTACGAGACCTCCAAAAGACCCCGATTCTTTAATTCGAATCATCCCGACTTGTATTGAGAGTAAGTACTCGAACGTTCTCCAATGCTTGGAATTAGGTACACCGTCCATCTACAATTGTTAAGTACTACACAAAAGTATGTATACGATCACTATGTACAGGTATGTGTTATAAATAGACATCTCTTTTCAGATCTTCATCAAGGGCTCAAACAATCCGCTGTAGATTGTCGATCATCATCATCATCATTACACGGTACGGCACCACTTGGGAATGCCGGAACAAGCATACAAGATGTGGCACTACACGGCCTTGAATTACTACGCATCAGCTAAAAAAAAAAAAGGCACAGATTACAGTGGCTTTTTTTGGAATCCGGATCACGAAATCTTCCTCCAAATGACACAGCACAGTCTGGTCCTTCCGAAGCTTTATCTCCATAACCTTGAAAAAGCAGTCACACGTTACATGGATCTACAGCAGTGCGATGTGAGCCACAGCACGAAAAAGTCGGAAGTGGAAGTATACCAAAAAGTCAATCTTCAAGTCGTCGACGCACTTCCTGTAGGCTTGAATGGCGTCTCGGAACTCGTCGACACTAAAGATACCCTTGATGCTACGGTGCTTGCGCTTCATATCCTTCAAATCTTGTGCCATGCCTTGAAGATACCTATTGTAAGACCAATTAGTAGCTGTTAGTGCCATTTTACTGACGGAAAAACGCCACCCACCCTTCCATCTCTTCGCAAATGCCCTTAAAATGGGAGGCTCCCAGCTCTCCACGCATACGCACGACATTGTCGATGACGATAATTGTATTCGCGATGCTCTCACAGAGTTCCTTCACACTCTCCTTGTTCTTTCCCTTTTGCTACAGAAACATAGGGTAAGTGATAGCGTTGAAAGGTACTAACTATGCTAAGGAAGGCGAAGTGCTACACACACACACACCCTAACACACTCAATAATTGCGGTTCGAAGGGGTAAGTTACACCGGGTCGATGCTTGTACTGTGGATACTAATTCCAGGTTGATAATGAATATAATTTGTTTGATTGCAATATTCTGAAACGACACAAATCTGGACTTTCTGTGTTACCGAACACAATTTGATACCAACGGGCTGCCTGGTGCAGTTTCCTGAATGCGTACGGGCTGCCTGGTGCAGTGTCTGAACTGATACTGTCTGCCTGGTTGCAGTTTTACTGGTGCTAACATGGATTCTGGACTGTACTTCTGACTGTCTGTCTGTATCTTTCTGAACTGACTGCTTTCTGAACGGTTCTTGCACACAAAACGTGACCAGGTCACTAAATACTATTCCAGGTGAGTCTAGGACTCGAAGCTCTTAACCAAAACACGTACTAATTTGCTTGGTAGTGTTCCGGGGGCCAGAAACCTCCCCTCCCGCTAGTTTACATGGACAGTATTTATACTATTCTACCCTATCTATATTTCCAATCTTTCCAGGTACTATTACTGCGCTCGCTGACTGAGCCGGGTGGATATGAGCTCACTTCCTGACAGATATGAGCTCATATCCCAGCTCCCAGGTGAACCCGATCATGATCTTGTGCCGCAACCTGGTGTCCTGGCTCATGATACTAAGTTTTACCTGTACCGGGGCAGAGCCCCTGGTGTTACGGTTCTTGTTTCTCATCTACCCGGCGAGCCAACCATCCACCTGAGAGACTAGGAAAGCTGCCAGGTAAGTAAAGCCATACGTGATCGTTCTTTGTTTTGTTATTCTTACTTTCGGACCGATGCCATCAGGCGACCATCAGTGCCAGGATGCCAGTTCAGCTGGAGCCATGTGCTTTCGACCTGCCTGGACCTTCTGTCACTCGGGCTGAGTCATCGGATCACTGGTCTGTTGCCCGAGCCCTTAGGCTTGTCATGGCCAAGTCCTTACTGATGCAGTGGGGTTTAACACTTCTTGCTGTGTACCTTGCAGGTTCTTTCTTACTCGCACCGCTACAAACATAGTTTGTAGGATAATAAAATTAGATTGATATGCGTTTTACAAGGGTAGACGCCAGGCAGGCGTATCAGTGTCCATTGAACTGCCTTGAGCAATGTATACTCAAACAAACCTCTAGCAGATTGAAGATGAGTATGGTGACCTTGGTGACACTTGCGACATATGTGTTGGAAGTACAGAGGAGAATGTGTAAGAGAGAGAATTAATTAGCCTCTCGAGGGAGAGGCATCGTACTTAAATACAAGTTGTACTACTTCTAGAATTTACTACGGATTACTATATGTGTCTACTATTGCGGTTAAATGTTCATGCTGCTTAGTCATGCCGAAGCTTTGAGTGCATTCTAGCACTAACTCGGGATTGCTATCCCAACACTCCCCCTCAATTCCGAGTACCTAGAATACCTGCAGATAAATATTCATGTAATGGTCTTGGTAGTCCTTTAGTGAATATATCTGCTAAGTTCTCCTCTGAGGCGCAGTGCTGAACTTTGACTTCATTTGAAGCCATGCACTCGCGAACAAAATGATGACGGATATCAATGTGTTTTGATCGCGTGTGGAATATTGGGTTCTCAGCAAATTTGATTGCTGATTGATTGTCGACCATAATAGTAGTTGCACCATCAGGTGGCAACCCTAATTCGGTTAGGAGTGCTCGCAACCATATTACTTCTCTAGTTGTGTGCGCGAGGGCCATATACTCTGCTTCCATAGTGGATAGGGCTATGGTGGGCTGTTTTTTTGAACTCCAAGTAACAGCTCCCCCTGCATAGGTACAGACATAACCAGATGTTGATCTTCTATCTGTTCTGTCTTTGTTGAGATAAGCGGTAATTCTCCAGCTGCTCACCCGGATATAGCAGGGAACCCTCGCAAACAGGCGAGGGTCATCGTCGTTCATCTACCTATTTATCTACATGCCATGTACACTAATAGAAGCAATATGATGTAATAAGGAAAGCCGAGGAGGAGAACAGATGAACGGTGCTTCCTACTGAAGATCCCGACATCGACTGCACCATGATGCACAACACTTGACATTCCAACACACCCCCACAAGTTCATGCATCAATACCAAGAAAAGAAGAGAAAAATGAGAGGAGAAAACATACAATGTACACCCCCGGAAGGTGAACACCGTGGTGGGAAAGAGTAACCTAGAAAGTGACATCGGAGTCACTCTCATAAGCCAACCCGGCAAAGTCCGCCGCCACAGTCTTCCCTTTCTTTGACTTCCACCACTTCGCCCTCTCCTCACAATCCGCCTTCAAATGCCTGGCCTTATCACAGAAAAAGCAAGTGAGCTTGACTTGACTGTTTCCCTTCAGGCCCCTGGATGCCTTGCCACCGTGAAAGGTGACTGCCGCAACTTCATCATCATCACCTATCCCATCCTTATCCTTCTCCGAACGTTCAGGAGCAAGCGACGCTTGGCGCATTTCTTCGTTCAGCAAGCGAATAATCACATTCGAGAGTGTGAGCTGGTTGGGAGGGGTCGCATCAAAGTTGATAATGACATTTTCGTAGAAAGGGGGGAGTCCCATGGTGAGTGCGAGGATTAGATCTTGGTCGCTGACGTCAATACCGGCTAGTTCCATCGCCTTCGCCATTCGCCTGATATTTCCAACCCAAGCCTCCATGCCCTGGCCCTCAAGCATCTTCGCCATCAAGAACTTCCTTCACAAAGACAAGCTCGTTGCAAAGCCCTGTGCACGATGCACAGTCTGCAAGTTCCCCCAAATCTCCCATGGGTCCTTCGAGTCCATGTGTGCCAGCTGCCCGACATCCACCCTCAAAATCATCTCGGCCCTAGCCTCCGCCATCTTCTGCTTATCTCGTGCCTTCAACTTCGTCGTGATCTCCACCAAGATCTCTGACTCCGACTTCCCATCTCCATCAACCTCAATCTTGACAATGTCGGTCCAGAGCTTCCGACGCGTGAGCTCGGCCTCCATCATCACTTGCCATTCCGCAAAGTTTCCGACCAATAACTTGGGAAAACGCGCACCAAACAACTCGTCCGACATTTTGCTCTATAGGCGATCTCGACGCAGCAAACAACGAATGTGGAGAGCAAAAAACGAACAACTGGACCGTCTTGTGGACCAGAAAAGTGAACAGCTGGACCGTCTCATGGACCAGCAAAGCGAACGACCAGACCATCTCATGGTCTAGCAAGTGACAAAGGTGATCTCGACACCAGTGTCGGGGTGGCGGTGTAGCGATAGTCTCGAGAGTCAGCACAGAGAATGAGAGCGACAAGGACTGTGGGTTATGCTGCCTGTTTGTGTTGAGATAAGCGGTAATTCTCCAGCCGCTCACCCGGATATAGCAGGGAACCCTCGCAAACAGGCGAGGGTCATCGTCGTTCATCTACCTATTTATCTACATGCCGTGTACACTAATAGAAGCAATATGATGTAATAAGGAAAGCCGAGGAGGAGAACAGATGAACGGTGCTTCCTACTGAAGATCCCGATGTCAACTGCACCATGATGCATGGCACTTGACATTCCAACAGTCTTCTCCCCAGTCTGAATCTGAATAGGGTATCAGTTCATCTGTAGTCCCTCCATATGTAATTCCTAAGTCTAGAGTCCCCTTCAAGTAACAGAAAACTCGTTTGAGGGCTGTGACATGCTCAGCAGCCGGATTCTGCACATATTTGCTTAATTCCATGACAGCATGTGCAATATCAGGCCGGGATCCATTTGCCGCATACATCAGAGATCCGACACCAGTGTGGTAATACTGTCTGGTGGCTGTGTCAGTGCCTCGGGGGTCACCTTCGGGGATTTTCTCTAGCCGTACATTTGGGTCCATAGGCATTTTGACCGGTTTACAGTCTTTCATGCCCATTCTCTCGAGTACCTTGAGAATATATGCCTTCTGGGATAAGGTAATAGTGCCCTTCTCCCAATTCCTGTCTATCTTCATGCCCAATATATGTTGAATCTCCCCCATGTCTGTAACATTTAACTTCTTCTTAAGTTCTTCTTTCATGTTAGACATGGTTTCATCATCCTGGGCAAGCAATGTCATGTCATCTACATGCACAGCTATAATTATAGGGCCTGGTTTCGCTTGTCTGATGTATACACATTGATCACTGATCAATCTCATGTATCCAAGTCCCAAAAATGTAGCGTTTCATTTTTTGTTCCAAACTCGGCCAGATTGCTTGAGTCCATACAATGTCAATTTGAGGTGTGCCGCTTTGCCGCTTCCATCAGAATATTCTGGCGGTTGAGCCATGTAAATAGATTCATTGAGCTTTCCATTTAGGTAAGCTCCGACGACATCCATTCCATGTATAATCAAGTTTCTTTGTGCGGCAAAGGCCATAAGTAGGCGGAATGTGTCCAGCCTGACAACTGGTGCATATGTCTCGAAGAAATCAATGCTGGGGACCTGCGAAAATCCTTTCGCAACAAGTCTGGCCTTGTATCTGGTGATTTTCCCATCACCATCCCTTTTTAATCTATAAGTCCACTTGCAATTTACAAGTGATCTGTCCTGGGGTAATTCCTCTAACTGCCATGTACCCAGAGAAGTCAATAGATTATATTCTTCATCCATTGCTTTCTTCCAATGATGCCAATCTGGCCTTGTTTTGGCTTCTTCAAGGCTTAATGGCTCATCACTGAGGTTATCTGCAGTCTCCCCCAGACATGCATAGTCTGCTGCTATATTTGCAGTTTCCAAAGGTTCCTGTGACATTTCACGTTGCAATTCCGGCGGTTTCATGCCTCTTGCAGCTGGATTATGGAGCAACCGGTAACTTGGTTGATTGATTGATGAGATCCGGACCGATTTGGTATGTGGCTCGATCACCTTCCCATGCCAAATGGGTACCTTTGATTTAGTTGCTGGGGCATCAAGGGGCATTTCCCCTTTTGATTCGGCAATTTTGGCAGCCACAGAATCATCGGAAATGTCATCATTTCCACCTGGAGTCTGCTCGACATTGTTCCCTAACTCCCCCTCGAGCGACGAAGGGTGGGATACAATATAGTCATTGTCTGTAGGCTCTTTAGTGTTGTCATCAAGGAATATAACATTTCTTGAGGTCTGAATCTGTCTGGTCTGAGAATTATAATATCTCCAGGCCCTAGATTCATCTGTAAGACCTGTAAAAATGAATTCCCTTGATTTCGGGTCGAGTTTTGACCTTTTGTTATCTTGCTGCAACACCCAGCACTTTGCTCCAAACTCCTGGAGTGTTGAAATGTCCGGTTTCATGCCCCAAAACACTTCTTCGGGGGTTAGATCATTTTTGATGGCCTTAGTCGGTGATCGGTTCTTCAGGTACGTGGCATATGCCACGGCCTCGGGCCATAGGAATTTCGGCAAGTGATGTTCTTCTAGCATGGCATGCGCATGCTCCACGAGGGTCCGATTGACTCTCTCCGCAATTCCGTTTTGGGGTGGGGAATATGTGGCAGTCAGTTCCAACTGAATGCCATTGCCATGGAGGTATTCCTTCACCACCTCATTAATGTATTCCTTCCCATTATCAATCCTCATAAACTTCAGGTCCTCCCCTTTGTGGACTTTGATGTATTTCTGGTACTGCTGGATTTTCTTTTGGATCTCCATACCTTCTTTTGACTTGAGAAAATACAATATTGTCCTCCAGGATTTGCCATCTGTGAAGCTTATGTAATATCTTTCTCCATGGATACCGTGAGTTCGGGCTGGCCCCCATAGGTCCAAAAATGTCATTTCACCTATTCTTGTGTATTCCCTTTGAGCTTCTTGCGGAAATGGCTCAACATGGTGCTTGGCCTTTATGCAGGCTTTGCAATCCTTCTGGGGCTCAGCTGACTCATCCACATCCATACCCTTGACCATCTTCTTTCTGAATAATCTCTTTACCGATCCTATATTTAAGTGGCCCATCACTCGGTGCCACATCTGCCATGATCAGGCCAGTTTTATCGTGTGGGCTTGGGTTATTTCTGGTGCGATGATGTCAAGGCTATACAGCTTTGATATCTTATCTCCATGGCCAATTGTCTTGCCACGCGGTGAATTAATATCCATCCGGGATCCTTTGAATTTGAGTTCAAACCCAGCATCCATGATGTGCCCCAGCGAAATAAGATTGAATGGTGCCTCGGGACAGTGGATACAATCCTTCAGTATAACTGAAGTAGTCTTGTCCCCTTCAACCATTTTAATCTTTACTGTTCCCCTTCCCAAGCCTTTTGACTTTCCTACACCAATAACTTCATGTCCTGGGGTCTCAACATAGTCAGAAAAATGCAATCTGTTCTTGACTATATGTTTAGTTGTTCCTGAGTCCCCCAGCCATGATGACCCTGCAAGCATAACAAGTGCAGTGTCTGTAGTGCAAAATGCGTAATCTTCTTCATCTGAATCCGATTTAGCAACATGTGCCTGGGTCTGGCCCTTCCCTTTCCCCTTCCATGACTTTCCAGAATTCTTCTTTCCATTTGGGCAGTTTGCCCTGATGTGTAGGGATGTGCACCGTATCCGTAATACGGTGGATACGTACGGCACATACGGATACGGGTCCGTACCGTTGCGAGTGCGAGACTGCAAGGTACTGTACGGTTCACAGTATGGTGAGTACCTGTAACAACCGTACGGGACAAGCCGTTACGGCCGTATATGGCAGCTGCAACTGATATGAAACCGAAGCCACTTTTGGTACTCCCTTTCCGCTCTCTCATCTGAAAATTGCTTGCCACGGTAATCTGTCGAGTGTTTCAACTTAAATAATTCAACCTGGTACAAGGTACGCCAATTACCTGACCAACCTACTCCAATGAGCCATGCGTAGTCCCCCTCTCTCTATGACAATTTGCATTTGTCTCAGCAATGTGCAAGTTCCCGTCGTCAATCTGTTTTTTTACAAATCAAACCAGTACCGTATCACCTGGCACGATGCAACAAACTCCGGAGTATTAGATGTGCATACCTCACTCATTCCTTGCTTAGGTTCCCATTGTTGTCCACACTCACTGCCACTCTTACGATACAGACCACCAAAATGACTTTGCCCACGCGATTCATGAACACAAGATGTGTAAGTCTCTTTGATTCCCTGAAAGACTTCGAAACTGACTGTTTTTATAGTAGATCTTCTTTTCTCTACATGGAGACGACAATGACTATTAGTATTATGCTGCGGAGAGCATGCAGGTCTTTTGAGTGTATTCTATGACCATAATACGGCTGTTACGTCCGTACATATACCCGTACGTACTGTGAATCTCGCTTTTCTTGCTCCTACGGTACGGACATGGTCCATCCGTATCTGTATCCATCCGTCAGGGGTACGGCCGTATCCGTAACGGTACGGTGCACATCCCTACTGATGTGCCCAGCTTCTCCACATCCGTAACATGTGATTTTTGAGTTAGACTTCTTGCCATGTGCTGCAAGTGTTGTGGTCGGATCAGAAGTCTTTTCTTGTAATCGGATGTCTTCCTGGAGAATTCGGGAGATCAATTTGTAGGAATCTTTCAAATCAGCAGTGTCCACTGATGAAATGAATGAATTCCATGATTCTGGGAGTGATGTAAGCAGTGTAATAGAGAAGTCCTCCTCCTCAACTTTCTGCTTGAGGGATGCCAGCTCCTCTTGATAGGACCTCATAGTCCTAATGTGTTCCTCTATGTTTCCTCCTTCTTCACACTGTGCTCTAAAGAATCTCCTTCTAACAAGGACAATTCCCATGGGTCCCCTGGATTCATACATGTCTTTTAGAGCATTCCATGCTTCTTCTGAAGTCTTCAAACCAGCAATATACACCAGCAGGCCATCCGAAACCCGCAACCTTATTGTCGAAAGAGCCTTCCTATCGCTCTTCTTCCAATCTGCCACCAGTGCCACTTCTGCCGGGGCCTTGATGCTTCCGTCTGCATAATCAATTAGACCTAAATCGGTTAGGATGTCGATCATCTTGATCTTCCATGTCAGGTAATTTTCCAGGCCCTTAAGGGGGTCAATTCTGTAAACGGACTGGCTTTCCATGTGGTTCTGTATGTATGTAATGTACAAAAGTGCGAAGTAGGTAATGAGGTAAGTAGTTCAGTTAGGGCTGGGGCCCATAACCTGTTGGAAGTACAGAGGAGAATGTGTAAGAGAGAGAATGAATTAGCCTCTCGAGGGAGAGGCATCATACTTAAATACAAGTTGTACTACTTCTAGAATTTACTACGGATTACTATATGTGTCTACTATTGTGGTTAAATGTTCATGCTGCTTAGTCATGCCGAAGCTTCGAGTGCATTCTAGCACTAACTCGGGATTGCTATCCCAACAATATGGAACACTGTCACCAGCAGCTTCGGCAAGATGTGTGGCAGACAGGCTTTGAGGGTAGACATGTTGGTGGTTATTGTTAAGACTTGGGCTGTAGAGGGCGATGCAGGAACGCACATCAAACTGGCTGCGTTCTGGAATCCAGGAAAATGTGCTGTAAGATCTGATAAGATAACTGAAGAACGTGCACATGGCAAAACTTCACAGCAAGCAATATTGCGGGACAAATGTTTGAGAACTTGGAGATGTCCAAAAGACAGATGGCCATTTTCTATATCTTTCAATTTCATAGATGGAGGTTTCGAATTGGGATCTGAGCTTGGGGATCTACCACCACTCATTGTTGAGGCCGTCACCACCCTGTTGAAGGGTCTTGGAAGCTGAGATCTGAGATAGTATGAACTTGGATCCATGCACGACAATGATGAACACGATATGCCCTGCGAAGAAGAATCTAAGATAAAGGTTAGCAGTCATCGCAGGATAACAAAGCGGAATTACTCGATATATGTCCATGCCGTGTAAAACGACATAAAGTGGTAGCATCTAACGCCCTGGCGGAATGTCCGCCCCGCCCACGACCTGGATGGCTTCGATGAATCGTCCCGATGACAATCACCCTTCACGCGTTACGGGCGGTGTCTTGCTGACGTACTTCGATCATTATATACTGGTAGCTATGATACGTGATGAGCTGACTATAGAAAAGCAACTCCGTTTATGCTCATTGCTAGTATCCAACGTTGGTTTCTTGCCTGGCTTGGATTGCAGTGCAATTCCCTAAAGGAATCCAAAGGAATCTGGCGACCATTGTAGTATAGTGATACCCTTAGGGCCTCATCTTGAGTATAACATCTGGTACATAGACGTACAACGGGGGACAATGGGGATTATCGACTGGAGGACGTGATGACAGAAAACAGCCAAACGTTCCCCCGCCATGAACGCGATTTCTCGTCGGGCCGGTTCAGCCGTAGAAAGCGTTGAGTTCCAAATTAGGACCGTTTGCTGACCTTCAGTCTCGGCAAAAGGTTCCTCCGCGTTTTCTGACCCCTAAGTTACTCATTTTACCAGCCTTCAGGTAATAACTTGTCGGCTTCATTTCATGCTTTCAGGTAAGAGATTAGATATGCGGCATACATAGAGGATCCTGCCGATCCAGTAGAGAGCCTACGGTAATCGTTGCTGTACCCCCCAATGGTACCCCGACACACAGTGCAGTGAAATCAAGTATCACAGTTCTGCTAGAGAATTGACATATGTGGTCCCGCTGGAAGAAGGTGCTGCCACGGTTCAGACGAAGCGAGATTGAATTCTACAGTTGTTTGAAAGCTGATTTCGGCCGGGGTCGAGGTAAATCCTCAACTTTCCATAGTCTTGTCTTTGTTCAGAAAGCTAATTTAAAAAATGATTTATTCCCCTTCTCAGATGTTATTCCTGCGAATCGATCCGTCTGCCCAATCTTCATCCTGGTATCAACTGGCACCAGAATTTTCTTGAAAGGCGGCATGTGGCAGAGGTGGGCGGCGGGACGGTCATTCTAGGACAGCAGAATTGTTGAACGGTGCTCCTTTGTCCTAGCCTCGGACAAAAATTTCTGAGAATTTTCAGGCGGGTAGTGAAAAACAAAAAGAAAGTTGCACCGATAGCCGGGAATCGAACCCTGCCTTCGACCACTACCGAATGATATGAAAACCTGAACCGGTACACCACGAACGCATGCATAAACTATACCAAGTTTTATATACACCCAAAGAGCTGCAAGCACCTGAATCGCGAACTAAAAATAATTTGCAAGTCAAAGCTTATTCATCAAATTCGAACAGTGGATGAAGTGAAGGGCTCTTCCTGTATCGCGCCCATAAGCAGAATAAGATGCAAACCATGTATGCCGGAGAAGAGAAATAAGAGAACTGTGCACTCTTTGAGTGGCGAGACATTACCTGGAGTAAATACCGTAACCTTTGTATAGAAGAGCGAATATAGAGAAACCGCTACCCAGGTTCCCTCGACAGCCAAAGCAATCAATCATCCCACAAGAATATCATTTGAACTTGGTCATATTTAGTAGGAGCTAGGTAGAAGAGCAAGGCGACTGCCATTGTCAAGGAAAGTTCCCACCAAAGCTTGAGTATCTCGGTGTACTCGCAGCCGGATTCGTAGCTCATATTCTCCAACTCTTGCGACAAGCTTGTTCATGCAGGAAACTAAATGCATACATGCATACGAAATAAAGGCGACTAGATGGCGCCTATCAGAGGTGTGTTCGGGGGCGTTATAAGGAAAGGATGCTCACCTTAGTACAAGATTGGCAACAGCAACGGGGAGACAGAACACGCGTCGATGCCCATAAGAAGCATCAGAAGTTTCTTTAAAATACGAGCACGCTATGCAAGAGTATCATCAACACCGGCTAAAACGATAAAGGAATCGCCGCAACCTGTTCATGCCGTGTCCGGCAACTAAGTCAGACACTCCCTTACCCTCCTCCAAACGACCCATCAATGTCCCAGGAACATCTTCCGCGCCAACGCCGTCCAAGGTCCCATTCCATTCCCTTCAGATACTGATCCTTCCGCCTCCGTTGAAACTTGAACAGCGACTTCGGTGAGATCCGGTGATACTCCTCGTAGAGATAAGCTTTCGACGTGAGCTCAGCTTCTTCTTCCGACCCGACCCGCATCGCTATCGCATGTACGCGGAAAGGTTCTCGTAGGAAGACGGGGGTAGTGATCATTGCGCGGACGATGTCCAGCATACCTCTTGGTCCCCAAGCATCAGCTAGACTCGGTAGTAGGTACACCTTCGAGGTCATTAAACCCCTTCCTGGCCAGGATCGCGGGACTACTGAGGATCCGTAGCAGCTGTCTGAGGATGATATTGTATTTCGCGGATGGGGATGGACTTCGGAAAGCGAAGGAGTTTGAAGTGAAGAGTATTGTGATCCTCCTCAAGACGAACGATGGGATACCATCGAGTGACAACAGGACGGTGTCGGTCTCTGGGTTACTGAAGTTAGGATGATACACCGCTGTGAGATTCATCATGGAGGTAACGAAATTAAGAAGGACTGGCGATCGTTGGGTGAGCATGTGTTAATGGTCGCATTGCAGTACGCTCGCTCCGGTAGTCTGACTCGCATCAACAAGAAAACACACAGAATAGCTGGTGCATGGTATATATGTGGGCCTGAATGGTCCAGAGTGTCTCCTAGAAATAAAGAATTATGAAAATCGAATGGCATGAGCGAACAAAAGATTACACACCCTATATTAGACTTTAGAACCCCTCAGCAGCGCGCGACTTCAGCTCAGATCTGATATCAGATGAGGTTCGAGGTTCGTCCTTGCTGTGGCATGCACGTTGACCAGTATCGGCGCACTATCGCCTCCGTCTACTGCCATACCTGCAACGGTCGTACATCCCCCACTAAAGCTTTGTGGTGCATCAGCCAACGTTGACGTTCTGCTTGAGGTGAAGATTCGCCACTATTTCGATATAAAACAGGCTTGACGAATGCGGACTGTGGGATGATCAGGAAATGGATAATGATGAAGGGCAAGGTAACACACGCTTTCATATACGCGAGCCATGGCGAATCTCGACTCCAGAAATCAGATCCTCATCCATTCCTTCTCCTCGAATACAACGAGTACGATGTGTTGAGGTAACGCTGCCCTATCGAGAGTGATGAGAGGGGATTGGCGGAGGATACGCCGAGGCCCGTACTGCGGGACAACTCACTCGATCATGCCGACAAGACAAATGCTTCGAGAAATCCGCCTGTAGAAGAATCCTTGATGAGTTACACAATTCAAAGACAGCAGGAAAAAGCAGCCTACATCCCACCTCATCGAGTCATTTTTTCGTGTCGTGTGCTTTCCAAAGGCTGTCCTCCTGCGTTGAATAAGATGAGACGGTCCCACACGAACGCATATAATGGGATTCCAGCATGGAACAAAGCCAAAAAGGGTCCGTCGGGACTGTCAGTGTAGTTGGTCGCGAAGGAAGGGGTCATGGGAAAATGTACAGCACGTCACCTTGATTTAGCAATCAGACCTCGGGCCGTTGTCATCCTGGATCATGACATTGACGATGCTACTGACAATCCTCACCGCGATCGACGCAGTGCACCCCGCATCAACATCGGGGCAAATCTTTAGTGCGTGCAAGGTTTGTAGGCCTTCAAGAACTCAAGTTGTCTGTTAACTCAACATTGATTACCATCTAGCCTGTAGGAGTCCATAATAGGCGCCAACGGACGACGATGACGACGAATGGCTCAACAACGACGGTGTCGGCTGTGGCAAGGGTGATGGAGGACCAAGAAGGGATGTGTGGAAGGGCTCGTGCAAAAGGAGGGCTGGCTGGGTAGATGCAGGGAGGCGTGAGAGGACAAGCGAGACGCCGGGACACGATTGGGCCACCGACGACGGACGATAATGGCGCCCTTTTGGGTTACGGCCCCGACCCCGATCCTGCTGTCGTCATGCATCAGCTCCCCATCCCCAACCCCGGCTCTTCCGCTACTCCTGCCCCATAATATCCCCTACAGCGGGTCTACCGCCCCTCACCACCCCCATTTTCGACATTGTGGAACATGGTGGTGATATTCCTTTCCGTCCCTGAACCCTCCGTCGCCATCAACAGGCCGTCGACCCTACCCCACTCTGTTTTATGCTTCTGACCGGGTGCTCCGTTGTCCCTAGTCGCCCAGCGATGACGCCGTTCCATACCGAGTGCCTTGTCGCTGATGGATGTCGATCACAGTCTGGATATACGAACTCATATGTGCTGTGGCTTGCCAGCGGTTAGCCCTCAAGTTTACAGCACTTCTGCTGGTTGCTCTGATGCTTGGCTTCTACAGCACATACCTTTCTAAGCAACCACCACCATGCCCGCTCTCAACGCGTCTCTTCAATTAGCCAGCCTCGTCAAGGCTTCCAATGTACAGGATACGTTGAAAAGCTTGCCAAAGTCTCCGTTACGTCGCGCTGCCTGAGGTATCGGTACCGCTCCTTGATGTATAATGTTCCCTCTAGGTCTGTGCTATCAAACGAAGAAGACGAGAAGAAACTCTGTAATATTATGGCAATATCAACGCTGTTATCGACAGGCTTGATAGATATACGTACTGGAGTGAGGAGCCGGGACATTTGCGCGGACATGAAGGGGATACTAGGAAATTTTCGTGCAGTAGTTAATACACAGCTAATGATCAAACGATAGGCATCGTACCGGCATAACCCGAGACCTGAAAGATACCCAGGAACCGACATCATCCCAAATGTCAATGAGCTTCAAGACACCATCCAAACTTGCGAGAAGCGGGTGGATGGCTCGGAGACGGACGTCTTAGTACGTTTACTTTCCGCTTTACAAGGTGTTAGTCTATCTCGCTAGTATGCTGAAGATCCACATAACGAGCATCAGCATCTTTGTACCCATTGAGATTAATTCCCTACAGCATGGCCTGATGGTCGAGATGCGGGAGAAGGACATATCATGGGAGGAAACATGAGTGATTGTTCGAATCGTACTTCCACCCGCAGTTCTTTGTATATTGATTCTGAGCCGCACAGCGCCACTAGTATCCTGGTACATGGAAAGAAGCGGTGGAGCACATAATATGCCCTCACGAAAAAGCAGCGGACTTGTGGGATACGGCACAAAGCGATCTAATTTCTCAAACCAATAGAAGCTCCTTTACATCAGGGTAAAAAAAAAACGCAGTGATTGCAACAGGCTTCTTCGGGATCTGGAAAACGAACTCCTCCGCGTGACCCACCACAGCCTCGGCCATCGCTTCCTTCAGCAGACTATGCATCTGCGAGACCTCCAATCGGCAGTCACCCACTGAATGCATCTACAGCACTATGTCAGATATGGTACGAATAATGTGTAAGAAGAAGAATTACGATCTGCGTGACGTCCAAACGGCAGTCGCCCACTGAATGCATCTACAGCACAATGTCAGATACGGCACGAGTTTCTGAACGAGGAAGAATTACAATAAAGTCCGTCTTCAGATCGTCAACGCGCCTCCTGTAAGTCTGGATAGCGTCTCCGAAGTCGTCGACGCTAAAGACACCTTTAAGGCCACGGTGCTTGCGCTTCACATCATTCATAGACTGCGCCATTTCTTGAAGGTACCTGTTGTAAAGCCAATGAGCAGTTGTTGGTGCGAAATTACCAACGGAAAAATGTCACCCACTTTTCCATCTCCCCACAAATCTCCTTAAAATGCGAAGCTCCTGGCTCTCCGTGCATACGAACGAAAGTATCGACGACGACGATCGTGTTTGCGATGCTCTCACAGAGCTCCTTGGCATTTTCCTTGTTCTTTCCCCTTTGCTATAGAGCACAGAATAAGCGAGACTATCCATTCAGCAAAGGATGGTTGGACGAACCTCGAAGAGCTTGAAGACGACTACGGCTACCTTTGCCACGTTCTCAATGTAGGAACACCAGAACCTTCAGTGATCTTGGCGACTTGGCGAACGACGTTGAGTGCAGACATGGTGGTGGGTTGTTAGGACAGGCTTGTGCTGTAGAGGTTGTGCGGAAGCGCGTGTCCATTCACAGCATCTGTGATCTAGGAAGAGATAAGATAACTGAAGAATGTAATCATGATGGCTTACGAAAAGTGCCCACAACACATGATGGGACCTTACAGACGCCCGAAAGGCGAAAAGATCACATCTTTCTGCTCTGCGGGATCGATTTTCGAAACGTGTACCGAGAACTGGGTGTTTCCTACCGGCCCCTCGTTGCTAGAGCTGTTTCCATTCTATTGGATGCCACGATGACATGGACTTGTGTTCATCGACGACGGCCATGAATAGATGTACACCTGGAGATAGTTAGCGAACATCAGAGGATCAGAGCAAAGATAGGCTTACTCGACAAGTATTCGTGTACAGAGTAATACTGTTTAACCCCTCCGCCGAATCCCGGTCACCCTTCCCTTCCACGACCACGCCGATGTCCGACAGTGAAGGGTTGATTAGGTAAGGTTAAACAAGGTCAGGAAATCGGCTAACGGAAACCCTACGGTGGCGTCTCTTATTCGACGCCTACATCCTGCATCTCTCTGTGCGAGAATTTGGCCTCATTTCTGGATGCAAGTCCGAAGTGTAACTGTTCCCATCACTCAGACGCCACTAAAAGTGAAAAGGGCCGGGTAGGCGTCGTTGAGAATGACCACTTTCTAGTAAACGACTGGGACCCTCATTGCAAAGCCCAATGGCAACAGTGGAACGAACGTATAAGAAACCAGTGACGCGAAATTACAAAGGAGCCCGAGATATATGCGCGTCTGCAATTAAAGTCAAAATAATGATAAATCGTCAGTCCCTACTCAACGCACCTTCGGTTGTTTGGTTATGGCAGCCGTAATGCGATCCGAGCAGAAGCTGCCCAGTAAAGTAGCTCCCTCACGCTCGCTGCTCAGCTTCAGTCTGCCGCTTGGCTCAGATTGCAATTCCATCAAGGAGTCGAAGGGAATACAGTGGGTCTTAGTCTGTCGCCCTTGCCGTCTCGTCTCGGTGGGCAGCATGTACGAGCCACGGATGCACAACGGAGATAATTGAATTATCGAGGAGGTCAAGTGAGTGATGGAAAAAAGCCGGATATTCCCACGCCATCGACGCGATTTCTTTTCGGGCCGGATCGGCCGTTGTTCCCGTCCCAACTACAACGCGCACCTTCATCCGACGATCTCGTAGCACGATCATTTACCGCATAGATTGGGTATGAACTGTAGATGTGGATTGCATCCAGCCAAAAAAAAAGACCCCCAGCATGAGGCTAGAAGTTGTTAGCGGAGCAAGCCAACACCCGTCGGTGCATGAACCTTTGACCGGTCACCGGACCTTACCCGCACCACGAAATATCATGTACACTGACCGACAAAAATAAAGAAACACATGGTTTTTTTGATCGGAGTTGCAATAGCTCCTCAACGCTGCAATATTTTTTTGGACTTCCAGTGAGTGTAATGTAGCTTGATATCTGTAGCAAGGGGGTCCTAATAATGAATTAAAAGACAGTGGGTCGATTAAATAATTTCGTGCACCGACGATGGACCTACCTACCTTCACATGACATTTATGATATCATTATGCTAAATTTGGGTATCTTTTGACTCAATTCGGTGAATATTTTGCCTGAAATAGCCGTGATATTAATATTGAAAGTGTTTTGAACATAATCTGTATGCTATCAAGTCTAAATCATGGCTGTGCTCTAATGGGATGTCGTAATGTCACCATGTCCAGTCAGCAGGGCCACTTTGCAATGACATTGACTGAGTGTTGGTATCGCTAGGTATGATGCCCTAAGGTAAGTAGCACACTCAGTAGCATATATTGTATCATGTATGCTCTAAAATTTACCCTTGAAGTCCATTTTTAGACCCCCAAAATGGTGGTCAACTTTTTTTTTTTGTGACATCTGGCTGGACCTACCTACCTACCCGGTGTACCGGGCTGGAATTCCGGTACCCCCTTGATCTGTAGTTTAATATTATGAAAAGAACGAGGCAAAAATACCAGTCAGTGAGCAAAGTAAGAGGGCTGCGAAACCACATGCCAATTTTGATGATATAATGGCATCACATCAACGTCGGAACCAACTTGAATCTGAACCACCACCTGGGCCGATTGCACTGAAATTCCTATCATGTATTCACCTCCTCCTTGCAAACCAAATGTGCCTATTACCCCTATGAAAGCAGCCCATATTTGCACTCTCCTCAATGAAGGCCACACCTGCACTGAAATCAGCAATGTCATTGGATGTTCACGCTCTACTGTCTGCAAAACTGGCCACAAATATGAAGGGAAGGAGAACTACTATGCTCACATTGAAGGGCGAGGCCACCCGCACAAGATGGATGATGCAGATATTAAATTTGCCATGCAAAAAATCCATAGTCACGACTGCCAGACAGCGGTCGATGTTCAATGGGGGTATTTTGACCATCTTTCAGAGTGCAGGCTTTCAGATGAGGGCCTGAAGGGTTACAAGAGGTGGAAGGTACCAATGCTCACAAAGGCTCATGTTAGAAAGTGAAGGGTGTGGGCAGAGGCACATGCAGAATGGGGAGCAGAAAAATGGGGTACTGTGCTCTACTCAGATGAGTCCAAATTCAACTTCTTTGGGTCAGATGAAGTGCAGTGGTGTCATAGGGGTCCTGGTGAGGCACTAGATGTGCATAACGTGTTGCCCTGGTTGAAGCATGGAGGTGGGGGGGGTGATGGTCTGGGGATGCATGATGAGTTTGGGCTTCAGACAGCTGATTTTGGTGGAAGGCACTATGAATGCTGTCCAGTACTGCCAGATACTTAATGAAGGACTTCTCGGCACCCTCCAGGACTATGAACTCTCAGTCAACGATGTCCTTTTTCAGCAGGATAATGACCCCAAGCACACAGCTCGGCTTACGAAAAAGTGGCTTGCTGACCAAAACATCTCTGTAATGGACTGGCCACCAAACAGCCCCGACCAAAGCATCATAGAGAATGCTTGGGCTACTCTTGAACATCGTCTGAACAACAGACCACGTCACCCAACAACGACTGCTGCATTATTTGCCATTCTGCAGGAGGAGTGGGCTGCACTTGGAAAAGAGTATTGCAATGCGTTATATGGTAGTATCCCATCACGGGTGAGGTCCTTGATATTGGCAAAGGGCAGGCATACTAGATATTAGGTTGTTGGACTTTTTGTCAGGTCAATTATCTTGTTTTCTCATTTTACTTACACTGCTAAAAATGACACTCTCGGCTAACATATTTATATCTCATCATTTTTTTCATGTATGTACCTCATTCTTTTTCTAACAATAAACTACATCAATTAAGCTACATTTCTCTCACTGAAAGTCTGAAAAAATATCGTAGCGTTGAGGAGCTATTGCGACTCCAATCAAAAAAACCACGTGTTTCTTTATTTTTGTCGGTCAGTGTATATACTTGAAGTTTCTATCTTACTAACTAAGCTACAATTTTAGGACACTCTTAGAACATACTAGAATAATTGTAGAGGTATAAAAGCTTCGCATTTGTACTGCTATAGACTTAGATTATCCACTGATTACTCTTTCTCTCATTGCTACTGCTGCTCACAGAAGTTATAATTATAGTTTTAATACCGGTCCATAAAGAGCATGCAGTAAGCCATCTATATCTGTATAATGAATCACACTCGGACAGTCCGTTCTTCACTAATCCAGGTAGCAATGTACAGGCTGTCAGGGCCCGGCTTGGGCTGGCTTTTAGGGCTTGGGCTTGGCTTAAGGCGGGCCTGGCTTTCGAAATCATAAGCCCGAGCCCTGAGCCCAAGCCCTACTGGGCTCAGGCTTGGCTTGGGCTCAGGCCAGGGCTTGGGTAGCAGGAAGTGATAGTCATGTTTGAGTTCTAATAATACACTTTTCAGTTGTTGAGTGCATTATTGACTATAGTCTTGTCTTTGAAGGGGGCTGTTTGTGATGTAAATCTGCTGTTTTACTTACTATATTGAAGAATAACAACTTTCCCAGAAGCCTCAGGTATTGTCGAGTACTTGGTCATGGAAATATTGATTGTCATTTTGCAACCACACATTTCTGAGAGACTGTAGAGCTTTGAAAAAATCACCACGTAGTCATTTATAAAGCCCAGTTATAGTGCTACAGCATCTTCTAAAGCCTGGGCCTAAGCCTTGGGCTTGGGCTTTCTGAATCTAAAGCCTGAGCCCGAGCCCTCTTCAAGCCCTACACCAGGGCCTGGCTTGGCCTGGCTTTCGGGCTTGAGCCAGGCCCTGTACATCGCTAAATCCAGGTATTTTTCAGCCAAAGTAAGCTAGAGAGTGCATTGGTTCATGGCCTACTCAGTGCTAGTCTGACCACGGTTCGGTGCAGAACCTCGTGAACCCAGTTTGAACCCAAACCGCACCTTCAGGTTCAGGTGTGGTGCAGGTTCAGGTTCGCTGTAGCTACGTGGGTGCAGGTTTGAGGTTCGAACAAGGCCAGATGGGTGCACCCGAACCTGAACCCCGAACCACTATACATTTTTAACTGCTCTTATTAGGACTTTTATACATATCTTTGAGATGCCTTTCTGTACTATTTATTATTTAGGTCTATTTCTGGTGCATCTTTTCTACTTTGCACCTCCTTTGGCCACATTTGCGATGGAATTGAGTCATGGTTAGCATTGGTGATGTCATACTCATTGATGAGTTCACTCATATCTGGCCTTAAATGACATTTATTGGGTGATATACTATAAGTTGAATAAATATACAGTATAATAGACATTGCTAGAACTATCCCACCCTGCTGTACAGCATCCAGCCTCGATTTTCTGTCTGCTGCTGCATCGGGAGGTGCAAACCCAGTGCACCTTGAACCGCACCTGAACCCGTGGGTTCGGTCACATGATTGCACTGAACCGAACTGAACCTGAGGTTCAGGCAAAAGTGCCCGAACCTGCACTGAACCGAACCCTGGTCAGTCTACTGCTCACATCACATTGTACATCCCCATAATCCTAGACATATAATTTGGACACGTTTGCCATCATGCTGACACAGAATAGAAGCTTCTACCACTACTGCTGTTAAGCACTAACTCTAATCTAAACCAAGGCTGATCTCTATCCTGTCACTCGTGTTCGGTGATTCAGTGTTAGAGAGGCGTTGGTAGATTGCGAGAAGTTAGGCATCACTTTATAGTGAAAGCAAGGAGCTGGTAAGAGTTAGGAGTATATAACCTGAGCCAAAGCTGGGGTCTAAGGCCACAGTGTAGGCTAGCTTAAATACATGTTAGACTCGTACTAAGAATAGTATCTACAAGGGCGTGTGCAGTGAGAAGTGTGTCTTTCAACGAATGAGGAGTGAGGACACTAAAAGAAGTGTACTCCTGATGAATGAGAGTAAAGAGCACATATCACCTGCAGCTGTGTGGGACTCCATCTGAATAGGCTGCATCCCACAGACCGCCCTCGACTGGCAGTCGACTCTCGTCCAACTACTAAGAAGTGTGATGTCATCAAAAGAAGTGTGATGGCACATGCGGGTCATCGGTCATCTGGGATGCGGCAGCTGTGAACTGGGGTGATGGCAACCGGGTAAATGGGTAAGGAGTGTGCCGGCAGAATATCATGGGTCCGAGAGATAAGATAGGCAGGTCCGGGGTTCCGAGGGATAAGGATAAGATAAGATAAGGAAAATAGGGGTAAAGTCATAATAACTGCACCCCCAGAATCAAGGTAGAGAAGGGTCGCACCTAAATCCATAGTGTCTACGAGGCTGTCGCTCAGCCAACATCAGTTCTTATCAACAGTTGGGCCTGATTCCAAACACCTTCTTCCCAAAATGATTCGCATACTTATAGAAAATCGTAAACATCAGCGTCACCTTAGTATCATGATACAGCGATGCCCACCTCTGTTCAATGTATGTGATAAAATACTAGCAAAACACCTGACGTCACTGTTGGTCCTTCATTGTCAGGATTGACAATGTCCACAGAAGAGAGGATGCGCACTGATATGCCTACAGGGCATACACACTTGAAAAAGGCATGTAAAATTCAATTTTACAGCATTACAAGTTGTATCTCTACCTATACTAGTAAGAAAAGACAAGAAATCAGGAAGTAACCAGTGTAGTAAACCATTGGGACTTAGCCATACAATATCTACACCTCAGGTGACGAGCCAGTGACCTGATGACTCAGCCTGAGTAACTGAAGGTCCAGGCGGGTCGATGCACATGGTACCAGCCGACCTGGCATCCCAGCACTGATGGCCACCTGATGGCATCGGTCCGAAAGTAAGAATAACAAAACAAAGAACAATCGTGTATGGCTTTACTTACCTGGCAGCTTCCCTAGTCTCTCAGGCAGACAGTTGGCTCGCCAGGTAGATGAGAAACAAGAACTGTAACGCCAGGGGCTCTGACCCGGTACAGGTAAAACTTAGTATCATGAGCCAGGACACCAGATTGCGGCACAAGATCATGATCGGGTTCACCTGGGAGCTGGGATATGAGCTCATATCCACCCGGCTCAGTTAGCGAGCACAGTAATAGTACCTGGAAAGATTGGAAATATAGATAGGGTAGAATAGTATAAATACTGTCCATGTAACTAGCAGGAAGTCAGGTTTCTTGCCCCCAGAACGCTACCAAGCAAATTAGTACGGGTTTTGGTTAAGAGCTTCGAGTCCTAGACTCACCTGGAATAGTATTTAGTGACCTGGTCACATTTTGTGTGCAAGAACCGTTCAGAAAGCAGTCAGTTCAGAAAGATACAGACAGAAAGTCAGAAGTACAGTCCAGAATCTGTGTTAGTACCAGTAAAACTGCAACCAGGCAGACAGTATCAGTTCAGACACTGCACCAGGCAGTTAGTACGCATTCAGGAAACTGCACCAGGCAGCCCGTTGGTATCAGATTGTGTTCGGTAACACAGAAAGTCCAGATTTGTGTCGTTTCAGAATATTGCAATCAAACAAATTATATTCATTATCAACCCGAAACTAGTATCCACAGTACAAGCATCGACCCGGTGTAACTTACCCCTTTGAACCGCAATTATTGAGTGTGTTAGGGTGTGTGTGTGTGTAGCACTTCGCCTTCCTTAGCATAGTTAGTACCTTTCATCTGGAGCCCACCGTGAGGGGGTATATATCTAGTTGAAGCTTGTATTGGAATTAATAGTTCCACAACCTGGAAGAAGATTCACGTCTTCTACCTGATCTGAATAGTGTTCAATCGCTGTGGAAAGCCGCACGAGATGCACTGGAAACTACAAGCAGCACGAGAGGCAGCAGAGTGTAGATTGCACCACGAAGCTGAAGTAGCAGCTGGTATAGTTCCGAACATAACACGGAGAAGACAAGAAGCAGATCAGTGGGATCTAGAAGCCGAGATAGAAGTGAAACACTGCTGCAGCAGCCTCAGACCAAGCAAGGATCGAAAGAGAATTGCACTGACGCTTCCCTGGAACTTGATTCACCGAGTTCTAGTCTTCCTGGTAGCACTAGGCCAGCCACCAACTTCAGTTCAAATCTGAACTCGCAACCTCAACAGAATCCTACACAACCACAGTCATTAAACATGGCTACCAAGCGACAGATGCCGATGGAGTCATCAAGAGATGCCCCCAGGCTTGAAACCTCGGACCCCCGGGCGATTCGAAAACACTTCCGGATCATGGAAGGAATGTTTAAGATTTATGCCGGGGTGGACACGGACGAGGAGAAGAAAGACTGGGCTGTACATTATACCAGTATGGACATCGAAGATCAGTGGAGAGCATTCCCTACCTTCGAGGCAGGGAAGACCTGGGAAGACTTCAAGGAGGAAGTCCTGCGCAGTTATGATGGTGCAGCAGAAGATGATGAAGATGCACGAAAGGGGCTTATTAAAGTAGCCCATAAGTACAAGAGAGAAGGAATTATGGACTCTGCCGACTATTTAAATTATTCGAAGGGAGTTCCAGGCCAAAAGTAAACAGGTTATCAAGGAGAACTTAATGTCGAACCTGGACCTGGTAAGGTTGTTCATCTCACCATTCGAGCATGATACCTTGTGGAAGCGTATGCGGGACCAGTCTAAGTAGTCAGCCAGCAGCGCCAGTCACTGTGGCTAACCCGGCAAGAACTGCACGCTGATCCCTGGCCCCTGGAAGACGTGTTCAATGCAGGAACTTGGGTCTTGAAGGGACCAGGATGCCAGTCTACAATGAATTATTCAATGGGTCTTTACCTAAGGTGGATAGTTCGCCCAAGGTTGAGGCGCCAGGTGCTTCAGCTAGTAGAGGCATAATGACCCTCAAGAAAGAACCCGCACCTGCTGCATTATCAGGGGAACTGCATAACTTCCTGGCTGAAATGGCGGACAGCAACCGACTCATAGTTAAATTACTTGAGAACCAGGTTACATCTCAAGGCAAAAGAGATGAGGAGTTACACAAGATGTTGGCGCAGATAAAGGCCCAACCAAGGCCAACCCAGCCCGCACCGGCACCAAGTACTCGTGGACAGTTTGGCAGTAACGCGCCGGGTAACTGTCATTTCTGTGAGACCCCTGGACATTACCAGGTAGATTGTCCCTACAAGTTAGAGATGATTACTACCAGGGAACTGGTTCATGTACCAGGAACTCAGAATATATACAGGTTACGAGATGGGAATCCTCCTCCGAGAGAACCCGCCGGGATGAGTCAAAAAGCAAGAATTCAGCATTATTATGAAACGCATAAGGCTTCTGGATCTAACCAAGTTGGACAGACCTATATCGTGGCCCCACAATTACCGGGCCCGGTGCCTCAGTATGTTATGTCACATCAGATAGCAGAAGAGAAAGAGGATATCGGCTACTTGAGGAACATGCTCGAAAAGTTGGTACAACAAACCTCTCACCTGGCACCGGATAAAGTTGATCAGTACCTGGAAGGACCACGATGGGAATCTGTCGTGAAAACCAGAGGCCAGCAATGTCAAGAGGCTAGCCAGGCCAATGATACTCCGCAAGATACCCAGGATTTTCATAAACGTTCAATGAAGGCAGGGGAGCACCATAAAAAGGCAGCGGCGGTGGCCGGGCCGGTCGACTCTTCACCAGAGGACGTAATCCAAAACCAAAAGCGAGGAGCAGAGGCAGAAAACTGGCGATCACGCCCGAAATTGCAAAGCAAATATACCCCTAATTCTAGTAGTAATAATGATGAGAACCTTGTACCTGGCGATCCTGACGTAGTCGATCGGTGGTCCTGATCAGTACCACCAGTGATCTCAGTCACCAGGAATGACTGGTCACCTGGAACCCGAAAACCCATATGCTGCAGTACCCTAATGTAACTTTACTCCCATCCCCTGGCCGCGTTGAGAAAATCTCCAGTTCTACCAGGTGAAGTTAGAAAGGAACCAGCTTATAGAAAGAAAGTAGAGGCACAGTCAGGCTGACTTAGAAAAGGAAGTCTGGGACCAGATGATGAAGGCTCCCATTACCCTGACAGCAGAACATTGGCTGGCATCATCACCAGGTGCCAGGCAGAAGATGAAGACCTATGTAACTCTGAAAAGGATTCCTACCAGCAAAGTACTCCTGGAAGACCTCACTGGATACAGAAGAAGTTGAGGAGCAGGAAGCACCTAGGGTACCTCTGGGCTCCGTAGCCAATATATTGGAACCAGGCCTGGAAAACTGCATCAGGATTGAAGATTTACCAGTCGAATGCGGCTTCTATGTAACCACTATGCGTCAAGGTCTTGTCCCGGAAGGGTCGACAATTATTAGTGACCCGGTAGTTCAATATCTGGAATCCATCTCGGAAGGGGAGAGGGCCAAAACGGTAGTAGTCATAGCTTCGTCTTCACAATCTTTGAGATCAGTGTATCCGCTGGTGTCCGGAAGAAAGAAGTTGGAATGTCTGTGTGACTCTGGGTCACAAATAGTGTCATGTTCAGCCAACCTGGCTAAGCAGATGGGATGGGAATATGACCCGGACATCTATATCTTGATGGAAAGTGCGAATAGAGGAGTCGAAAAATCGCTAGGACTAGTGAAGAATGTGGCTTTCTTGTTCGGGGAAGTCACGGTTTACCTGCAAGTCCATGTGCTAGCTAACCTGGCATATGATTTGTTGCTTGGAAGACTGTTCGATACTTTAACCTCTAGTGAGGTAAAGAACTCGTCAGATGGCGACCAGACAATGATTCTTACGGACCCTAACACCAAGAAACAGACCCTGGTACATACTTATCCAAGAGGACAACCACCGGCAGTACTTCAAAGGGAACCTGCTATGGGTTTTCAGAGCTCAAAGATCTGATCCCAGATCAAGGAGAGCTCGCGGTCATTCTCACACAGGATAAGGAGGGTAACTTCGTCATTGAAAGTTACGCTGGGCCTCCAGGCAGACAGGATAAATTCACTAGGACGAATCTCTGAGATTTCTATCTCAGCGCAAGTCAGAAAGTAACCGAGGACCCGCTAGCCGGGTCCCTTATCAGCACATTTTATGCCCAGAAGTATTTAGGCATTAAGCCAAGTACGAAAACAGGGGTCCTGGTACAGGAAGTGAGGGATACCTTACCCGTCTTTGATATAAAAGCATCGAATCGACAGGAAGCCCAGGGACAGCAACCAGGTAAAGCTTGGGTCGACCTGGAGGAGTTGTATGACTGCACCCTTGAATGTTGGGTTGGATACCTGGCAATGAGAGGCAGGTTCTTGTAACCAAGAAATATAAGCCTGGTGGCCTTGAAAACAAAGCCAGTGCTGACAACTCTACCTTCCAACTTCAGAATCATCCGTGATATAAAGGGAGATCCGCTCGCAGGGATGCCTGAATTATCACCTCACCCTGGAAGATTTTAAACCAACTGGAAGGTACTCTGAAGAGAGAAAACTCAAGATCGATGACATACACAAAGAAGATTTCTTATGGGCCGAGGAACGGAAGCTGATGCACCATTTTATGATGCTACAGAACGAAGGGTTCGCCTGGGATGACTCGGAAAGGGGACATTTCCAGGAAGACTTCTTTCCGCCTGTAGACATCCCGGTAATTCCGCATATGCCCTGGGTACTTAAGAACATTCCTATCCCGGCTCCCATATACCAGGATGTATGTAAGATAATCAAAACTAAGATAGATGCAGGAGTATATGAGCCTTCGAACTCATCATACCGCTCTAGGTGGTTTTGTGTATTGAAGAAAGATGGGAAGAGTCTATGTTTAGTGCACAGCCTGGAACCATTGAATGCGGTTACCATTGCACATTCTGGACTTCCCCCGGCAACAGAAGAACTAGCAGCTCACTTTGCGGGCAGGGCTTGTGGTGGGATCCTGGACTTATTCGTAGGATATGATGAAAGGTCCATAGCGGAATCGTCCCGGGACCTTACCACTTTCCAAACGCCGTCTGGAGCACTGCACCTGGTTACATTACCAATGGGCTGGACCAACTCAGTACCCATATTCCACGATGATGTAACCTACATTTTACAAGATGAGATACCATTGTTCACCCGGCCATACATTGATGATGTCCCTGGTAAAAGGACCAGAAACCAGATACGAGCTGCCAGGCGGAGGTTATGAAACTATACCTGAGAACCCGGGAATTCGCAGGTTCGTCTGGGAACACTTCCAGGTTCTCAACCGAATTGTCCAACGGATGAAATATAGTGGAGGAACTTTCTCTGGGCCCAAAGCCATACTCTGTGTCTCTGAAATTATTGTAGTAGGCCACCGTTGCACTTATGAAGGAAGGAAGCCAGAGACTGAACGTATGAAAGTCATCCTCAATTGGGGACCCTGCAAGGAACTAGGAGACTGTAAGAGCCTTCCTGGGAACTTGTGGGACCTGCAGAATGTTCATCAAGGACTATTCAAAGCTCGCAGAGCCCTTGACTAATCTTACACGACTGAAAGTACCCTTTGAGTGGGGCCCGGCACAAGAAAAATTGATGCAGGCTTTGAAAGATGCCTTGGCAAGTAGCCTGGCGTTGTGGTCAGGTAAACTATGAATGGCCAATCATCTTATGTGTCGATATGTCCTGGCAGGCTGTTGGATTCTACATATGTCAATCCGACCCTGAAAATCCTAAGACCCGATATTATTGCCGGTTCGGATCCATCACCTTGAATGAACATGAAGCTAACTTTTCTCAACCCAAGAGAGAACTGTATGGATTGCACTTAGCCCTGATAGCTTGCAAGAACTGGGTGTGGGGATCAAGGAACCTGGTAGTAGAAACTGACGCCAAGTATATCTTAGGAATGTTGCGAAACCCGGATAGTGTACCTAATGCAGCAATAAACCGATGGATAGAAGCTATACTTCTATTTCATTTCAAGTTAGTACACGTACCTGGCAAAGTTCATGGACCAGATGGTCTTTCCAGGAGGGATTTCCAACCAGGAGACGATGAATATGGACACCTGGAAGAAGACACAGAACCGGAACATGAGCTGTTAGAGTATGATATCAGTCAAGAACCAGCCCCACTGGAATTCAATGACTTCTCGGATCGGATAGATACCAGGCATGGTTATGTTACGATAGCCAGGGCCCTGGTAGACTTAGAAACAGATCGAGGCTTCCTGGCTGACAGTGGCAGCCAGGTAACGAGTGTTTTGTATGGCGCACCCATCCTGCCCGAAGCAGAAGAATTCAGGGAGACCGAAGAGTACCCTGAAGATCATCAGGGAAAAGTTGGTAAAGAAATGGATGAGCGGCTGGCATTAGTGCCGGCCTGGCTCGACCACCCGCTTGAAAAGCCTCCCAACCTGGCGGATGCCCAAGTTCGAAACTTTGTAAGATTTGCTACACATTTCTTCAAAGAGAACGGAAGGATATACCGTAAGAGCCTGGAAGGTGAACATAAGTTAGTAATTGAGAAACCAAGACGAATGCATATAATGAAGTCAAGTCATGACTACCTGGGGCATCGCGGAGTCTACGCGACTACAGAACTAATTAAGCAGCAGTTCTGGTGGCCAGAGATAGAATGTGACATAGCCTGGTACGTGAAGACTTGCGAAATATGCCAGAAACGTCAGATGTTGAAAGTGCGGATTCCACCAATGGTAACTCACACACCATCGATTTTTCAGGTCATCCATGTAGATACTATGCATATGCCAGTATCTTCCGGGTACCGATATATCGTACATGGCAGGTGTGCTTTGACCAGTTGGATGGAAGGAAAAATGTTGAAAACGGAAACTGGAAAAGCGATCGGGGACTGGATGTTCCATGATGTGTTTTGCAGGTGGGGTTGTGTATCATTGATTGTGACGGACAATGGGTCACCATTCTTGAAAGCCATAGCTTACCTGGAAGCAACTTACGGTATCCGGGGTATTCAAATCTCGGGATACAACTCCCAGGCTAACGGAAAAATTGAACGGCCTCACTTAGACATCTGCCAGGCCTTGTACAAAGCTTGTAATGGTGTCGCTTCCAAATGGTCATTATATTTCCCACACATCATGTGGTCAGATCAAGTTACTACATGACGCAGGATGGGTTGTTCCCCTTTCTTCGCAGTAACCGGTGCCCACCCAGTACTTCCTCTAGACATAGTAGAAGCTACATGGTTAGTAAAGTACCCAGGCCGTATTCTCACTACGGAAGAAGTGATTGGGTACTGGGCCCGGGCTTTGGCAAAACATTCGTCTGACATAGCACAGTTACGCAGTAGGCTACACGAAATCAAGGTCCGCGACACCTTGAAGTATGCCCAGATGCATGCTGCAACTATTAAACAGTTGAACTTCAAACCTGGTAGCCTGGTATTGGTCAGAAATACGGCCATTGAGAAGGCTATTGGTGGCAAGATGCGACCCAGATACTTGGGTCCTGTCATGGTTGTTAGACGCACAAAGGGAGGATCGTACATTGTTGCAGAAATGAATGGCAGCACTTGGGGATTCAAGGTCGCCGCCTTCCGGGTTATTCCTTACATGGCAAGGAAAAAGATTGATCTCCCGGAAGAGCTGAAAACCCTACTTGACATGTCAAAGGAAAGCTTAGACCAACTGGAAAACTCACCGGAACCAGTAGAAGATGTACCTGATGACTTCACTTATTCTCACCCAGAATATGAGGATTACGAGTCATTGGACCCTCTTTTGGAAGTTGCAGGCGCGTAGTCGGTAGAGAAATTATTTATGTTTTGCATGCAGGCTGAGAATGCGTAAGGCACTCAATCAAAGCTATCTATGGCACGACTAAGTCGCCTGGATGAGGTCTGCTAAGTGGAAGACAGAGTGAAGAAATAAGAAAATATAAGTAAGCCTAAGAGATCATCCTGTCGATCTTGGCGTCGATAACACTGAGTTTGTTGACACAGAACTTGTGAGCAACGACCGTCGATTCCAAGCAGTGAACCAGGAGCTCGAGATCAGCCTGGAGCTGGCGCTGACGGATTTGAAGACCTTCCAAGGAATCAACATGGGAGTGACAGCTGGCCAAGATCTTGAGAGCCTCCTCCAACGAATCATGCTTGGCCTGGAGATCGAATTGAGTCGCCCAGGCTGGGAGAAAATACGTAAAATGCAGCAATAACGGTCACCAGGTACATACCAGCAATGGGAAACAAGACATGATGAGTGCCCAACTCGCCATGACGTGCCAGGGTATTCATATCGGTACAGATACGCTTGTTTCCACGCTCAGCTAAGGCCCGGTCTTGCTTCTCGAGAACCTCGACCGCCTTGCGATAAGATGGATCAGAGGTATTGAGTCCAAGAACATCACAGTAAGGAATAGCAATCACCGTCGCGCAGAGAGAGAGACCATGGGATTCCTCGTGACAAGCCTCGCACTTGTCCTGGGTAGCGGTACGCTGAATAAAAATTAAAGTAGTCAGTCAGGTATCAACGGGACATGAGAAATTACTCACCGGGGTAGCCTGAGGCGAATGACTAGCAGCCCGCTTGGAAAGGCGAGGACGACGCTTACGAGTTGTGCATCCTCGATTCGTTGGCTTAGCTATAGAAAGAAACCTGGTAAGCACAGTCGAAGGCTGAAAAAGTAGGAAGTCACCTGGGACTTCTCCGGCGACGCTCATCTGTGAAATTCCAAATGCGAGTTGAACAATGAGGTCGGAATCAAGTTCAGGCTACGTACGCTGTCAGACTCGTCGCTATCCAGGTCAACAACGATACTTTCCTCCCCAGTCTTCATCTGGACATCCTCGTCAACCAGGATGGTCTCGGGATCGGTGTCAAGACCAACAGTTGCCTTGGACTTAACAGTTTTTCCAGTCTTCTTGAAGGATAATTTCTGAAGAAGGGGACAAGTCAACGAGGGGACTTGCAGATAGAGACTTAATACATACTGGGAGAGACCCGGAGGGCTTGGAAGAAGACTGAGAGGAAGCAGCAGCCTGAGCATTAGCCGCAGCTGTGGCAGCAGCCGCAGCAGCCTGCTTCTCCTCTCGGTCAGCGTGAATCCAACCAGTCGCACGTCCAGGAAGAGTTGTGTTGTCGGGAGGTTTAGAACCATGCAGGAGTTCAAGCAGGAGTTTCCGGTTCTGACAATCCCGCCGGGCACCAAAGGCTCCCTCACGAAGAAGTGACGGGTCTTCCTGGTAGGCCTTCATGAAGCGCTCCTTGTTATCGAAGAGAGGCATCTATTATGAAGTTAGTAAGGCACCTGGGAGAGAGGTAATAACCTACAATCCCTTCTAAGAACCAAAGGTTCTCCTTGTCGATAATTAGGATGGCGTCGAAGTCCGGACTGCCATCTTTGAGAACCAGAAGTACAGCAGGAATGGTAGGAAGGTAAACACCATTTTTGCAATGGGAACGGAGAAGAGCAAGAGCAGCCTTGAAACGAGCGATCTGCATAGACTCAGGTGCCATATTGAACGAAGGAAATAATTGTCTAAGTTCACCAGGCAACTTGGTTTTATAAACAACCGACAGCCGGGTTGAGGCATGTTCAGACCCATCCCTGTCAAAGAAGAAAACCGCCTGACAGTTTATGAGCTCATAAAACTTGTTCTGTGAGCTCATACTTTGCATCCTGGCTTAGCCTGACGTCTTCGAGCATTTCATTGATCGGAAATGATCGATCGATCGCAAACAGCCTGGGACAGGCTTTATTTAGTTGGGGGGAGAGGACTAGAGTCTATCTCAGAAAATATAGATTTATTTTCGCCCCAATAAGATTGAGAAACTAAGTAAAAGATGCTAAAAGCAAACCAGGGAAGCACAGGTAACTAGAAAAGAAGTCCTGTCATACAATCGGGCAACCTGGAAGGAAGCAGGCTAATAAGACAGCCGAATTCGTAAAAGTGCCTACTATGGAAGAAAAGGGTACTAAGAATGGAAATAATTAAGTAAGGTACCCTGGGGATTAGAAAATGGGACCCATGCCAGACCAAGTATAACCACATGAGAACAGCCAGGCAGGCAAGTGAATAGGATAAACTCCAGCCTGGGACAGCTAAAGCGCGAAGTGTCGAGTTAGAAATAAGCACCAGGAGAAAAGAATGAGCTCACAAGTCGCAGGGCATCCGCAATCGCACTTGGCAATTTGTCCAGGTCCATCGGATAACAACCGATCCCAACCTGGAAGAACGGCAAATCGCTGGTATACTGAAGACCCGTCGAACCCGGAAAATGATCCGATAGGATAACTGGATCCTGGTCACCCGGGAAATGCAAGTCACTAGGAAATGGAGACATAAAGCTCTAGGAAAAAGAAAGAAGTTAGAAGGCCCGGAAAGTCGCAAGGCAATTAGCTACCCGGAAACCTATAACAAGACGTCGACTATCCTGTACCATCCAAGGAGTCCAATCCGGGTCGATGAAACAAGGTCCCAAGTTATTGCAACCGTGGTAACGGTCATAAGGAATCGCAGGGCTAGGGCATCTGTATCGTCCGGAAAATGGTTTGCATGGGCAAGCTAAAGCCGTAACTTAGCAAGGATCGTACAGCAACTTAAGGACACCTACCAGGAAAGGATGCACATGGTTAATTAAGTCAGCTACTTCGGGTTGGCACCAGTTGACCAGTATGTTAGAGTCGAGTACTTGAGGGTATCGGGTATGGGCCAGGCGAAGCAAAAGGTAGTGATCACCCTGCAATATGTGAGGGAGATCCCTCCAAATGAAAGGCAGAGGTAAATCCTCAGGCCAGAATGAAGGAGATACCATGACCAGGTTGGAACAGACGGATGTGCAAAGGCAAAACCCGGTTTAAGTTTAACCTGGCAGAGCTGTTTAGGCTAAATCCAGCCAGGAAATGAAATTCTCGAAAGCACAATTTGAAGTCATGTCTGGAACTTAGTAACGGAGCATACATTCAGGAGCACATCAAGCCTTTTAGGAGGCGAGCGCAAATTCTAAGTACAGGAACTCTAAAAATAGTGGTTGGCATCAGGAGGTGCCACAGTATCCGTAGGAGGCCACTGCTACAAAGAATGAGTATGCCGGGCAAGTAAGAAGAACAGTGGAAACCTACCAAGTTAGCAAACCAGGCACTAGAAGCGGCATCCTGGAAGTGCTGCCAACGGAGGCCTTGACGAAAAACCTCTTCAGGTGCTACCTGGAAATGGTTCCGTTTAGTCGGGAGTCCTGGGAGCATGGGTGCGATGACTTCACCAGGAAATGTATCGTCAGGATCGAACCTGGGCTTGGAAAACTGAACAGGGAAGGTGAAATCAAGTTATAAAATAAAGAATGAGAACGCACACCGAGTAATTGAAACATCCTGGTAGGATCCACAACTTTCCAAACCTCCCAGTGCACAGATTGGAAAGCCAGGCTGAGGTTATTGGCTAGAGCAGTCATCGTTGCCAGGAAACAGATAACGAGGGTATCACGGTCTTTGGGAAAGTAAGACTCGTGAGCAGCCTGGAAACTGGTAAGCCTAGTTAATAAAAGGAAAGAAAATGGATGTACTAAGAAAGGATGAACGGAGTCGAGCATAGACTTGATTTCGGGTTGCAAATAAGTTGCTAAGGTATTCATATTGACCAAGGCAGGATATCGAGCATGAGCCTGGCGAAGTAGGATGTAATGATCCGACACCAGGAGAGACTGGAACTGCTCTGGGGGAATCCCAGTATCGAGCGCAAGTGGGTCTGGATAGATCTTGCAGCCCATGATATGGAAAATTGTGACAGGAAGCGGATAAATAAAATCCAAGGTTTTATATCCAACGGTCTGGGCATGCCTTGATGACCAGGCAGCCTGCAGGCACTTAAGAATTTCACCATGAACGACCCTGCTGATCCAAGCAGGCCGATCACAGTGAAGTCGAGCCTGAGATCTAGCAGTGAGCACGCTACTTACCTAGCAGAACCGGGTTAAAAATTTGACTTAGCCAAATGGTCACTATATAAGACAGTCGGCCCTTTGTTTTGGGCATGACATTCAACAAGTACAGCAGGTATTCTTTCAGTCCAGTAAACACATGAGAAAAATTTAAAACGGCCCAAACCGCCGATAAGTGTCCGAAGGAGGGAAGATCTGGGAGGGTGGACGGTTCCAGTCTCGCTCCCAGAACCAGTATGGTCCTAACTGGACCTCCCTGGTTCCTCCAAACCCGCTACCACTCATCGAAGGACCCGGCCAGGCAAATGAACTGTTAGTTAAGCTCGGCGGGACTAATGAAGAAGTTCAGCTAGCGGACAAGAAAGGCAGAAAATGGACGGACTTACAGATGTCCCGGGATGTTTAACAGGGTGAGCAGGGGATGAATTCGAGCTCATCTTTGGCTAAGTCATCAGCAACCTGGTCACCCTCCGCTTCGTCGTCCTCTTCGTCATTGTCGCTTCCTACTGGAGATCTGGCAGAGGACCTACTCGTGCGAGGCGTGGAAGTCTGGTTCTCGAGGATGGTGAACTCCGGCAGTTGAGGCTTGGGATCAGGTTTCACTATGCATTGTCAAAGGATGGGGGTAATAGTGACGGAGTTGGGGTGCGGCAACAAGCTCTAACTCGTCTTTCTCCTTCTGTGACACCAGCCCCATGTCGATAAGCAGGCGGCGTCCAACCGGAAATTGACGTGCAAAATTGACGAGCGCATCGGTATCGTGGTCACCTTCAACTTGAGTGAATGCTTGTAACATGTTACACAATGCCGCAGTGCGGATTCCGTAGTTTTTGTGCAACGCGTTGAGAAGGTGGCAGGATCGTGCGGTCGGCAGATTGAAAGAGCCTGGTCGTGCATTTCCATGACTAAGAAAATTACCATCAGCAATCAAGAAAGAGAAAGGAGACAAACTCACAAGGATAGGCGGCTTGCGCTGAAGTGAGCAGATTATCATGGACCTCCTGCAAGTCCGAGGCGGAGAGACTGGCAGGAGCAATGACCCCACTTGTTACAGTTGGTACAAGTCATCAACGGCTCCTTGTGTTGACAAAGGACTCAGCGACTTGCACACATAGTACAACCAGTCGCGTCCTGGGAAGGAAGTTAGAAATAAATAATAATAAAACGAAAAGAGGAAAGAAAAATACCTTGTGAGGAGAGACGCATTGCCGACAACAAAGGAGAATCAGTAAGGATGCGCTCAAGCATGTATTCCGCAGTAACAGGGGTAGGAGAGCAGTCCACGGATGTCAACATGCAGTGTCTTCAGCCAGGATGGCAGGAGGAGGAGTAGGTTCCTTTGCCCTAGGGACGGTAGGCTCCTCCTTGACAACAGTTTTGCATCCTCGGCCTTTCACCTGGGATTTCTCGGGGGCCGCTGAACTCTCTTTGCCTAGCACAGTGGGAGGAGGGATCAGTGCCTTTCCGTTTGGTAGTAGTTGCTTCCTTCTTGGAAGGTAAGGGAGACAGTTCCCGTTCCTCAGTCGACTGAGGGGGAAACTTGATCGCGTTTGGGATGTTTGCTGGACGTCCTGCTTGAAGATGCAGTTTCTTTCTCTTTGCGGAGCGAAGGGAGAAGGTCCCGCTCTTCATCGACGGAGGAAGACGCTTGGTCTCACTTAAGGCGCTTGCAAGACGTCTTCTCGCCAGTCTTCGAAGTATCGGCGGCTTTGTTCCCAGCACCTTTGAGAGGCCTGGTAGAAGGAGAACGGCCAGTGGGGTTTGCGTTTCTTAGAGTTTGACTGTCGCAGGCTGGCACAGGAGCTGGCAGGTGGCGACGGTTCTCGTAAGAATTTGGCATCGGCCATAGTAAACACCCCCGCCTAAACAATGAGGGAAGTTGAAAGTAAAGCAGTACACAGCACATACCTTGAGCACCTTGTTTGCTATCTCGGGGCTGCAAGCCCACAGTTTCCAGTCAGGATGGACAAGTCTTTCGGGGATTCCGTGAACCGCTTTGGAAGCAGTGGCGAAAAACTGATCGACAATGGTCGGGTGGGGGGCGCATGAAAGTGGCACGGTAGGCGGCCTACCTAGCATTAGTAAGTCACATAGGGAAGAGTACAAGAACTCACCAAAAGGACATGTGCATTCCCCGCCTGTTCAGCAATCTCTATTTGGCGAAGCGAGTCAGCGACATCAGTATCCCACAGGGCAGGGTGCCTTCTCGAGAGCAGCACATAAGAGCGCGAAACGGTCGGGCGCAGACATAGTAAGCAAGAGCGAATGCAGAGCAGGGAGGGCTCAACGCGTAAAAGTAAGAGAACAAGTAAGGTATCGTACCCAGAGTATGAAAAATTTAACATTGGAACGCGTACCTGTGAATGAGAAGCGGGGTGAGCACACACCACGTCTCTAAAAATAACTGAATTACCGAAATCGAATTCCATGATGCATGCCGAGCAGATGCCGATGGGAAGGAATACCGAGAATGATAATCACCTCTCTCAAAACATACCGGCTCCTAGCAACGCGGATGGAAGGCGACACGACGACGACTGGGACAGTCGGCATTTAGTTGAGGGGAGATGATATGCCTGCCTGGCGTCTACCCTTGGAAAACGCATATAAATCTTAATTTTATTATCCTACAAACTACGTTTGTAGCTGTGCAAGTAAGAAAGAACCTGCAAGGTACACAGCAAGAAGTGTTAAACCCCACTGCGTCAGTAAGGACTCAGCCGTGACAAGCCTAAGGGCTCAGGCAACAGACCAGTGATCCAATGACTCAGCCCAAGTGACCGAAGGTCCAGGCAGGTCGAAAGCACATGGCTCCAGCCGAACCGGCATCCCAGGCACTGATGGCCACCTGATGGCATCGGTCCGAAAGTAAGAATAACAAAACAAAGAACGATCACGTACGGCTTTACTTACCTGGCAGCTTTCCTAGTCTCTCAGGTAGACGGTTGGCTCGCCGGGTAGATGAGAAACAAGAACCGTAACACCAGGGGCTCTGACCCGGTACAGGTAAAACTTAGTATCATGAGCCAGGACACCAGATTGCGGCACAAGATCATGATCGGGTTCACCTGGGAGCCAGGATATGAGCTCATATCTGTCAGGAAGTGAGCTCATATCCACCCGGCTCAGTCAGCGGGCGCAGTAATAGTACCTGGAAAGATTGGAAATATAGATAGGGTAGAATAGTATAAATACTGTCCATGTAACTAGTGGGAGGTCAGGTTTCTGACCCCCGGAACGCTACCAAGCAAATTAGTACGGGTTTTGGTTAAGAGCTTCGAGTCCTAGACTCACCTGGAATTGTATTTAGTGACCTGGTCACGTTTTGTGTGCAAGAACCGTTCAGAAAGCAGTCAGTTCAGAAAGATACAGACAGACAGTCAGAAGTACAGTCCAGAATCCGTGTTAGCACCAGTAAAACTGCAACCAGGCAGACAGTATCAGTTCAGACACTGCATCAGGCAGCCCGTACGCATTCAGGAAACTGCACCAGGCAGCCCGTTGGTATCAAATTGTGTTCGGTAACACAGAAAGTCCAGATTTGTGTCGTTTCAGAATATTGCAATCAAACAAATTATATTCATTATCAACCCGGAACTAGTATCCACAGTACAAGCATCGACCTGGTGTAACTTACCCCTTCGAACCGCAATTATTGAGTGTGTTAGGGTGTGTGTGTGTGTAGCACTTCGCCTTCCTTAGCATAGTTAGTACCTTTCACCCATTGGTATCAGATTGTGTTTGGTAACACAGAAAGTTCAGATTTGTGTTGCTTCAGAATATTGTAATCAAAAAAATTATATTCATTGTCAACCCGGAACTAGTATCCACAGTACAAGTATCGACCCAGTGTAACTTACCCCTTCGAACCACAATTATTGAGTGTGTTAGGGTGTGTGTGTGTAGCACTTCGCATTCCTTAGCATAGTTAGTACCTTTCAGCACCTACACCTGTGTTAGTAAGACAGATCTGTGCTGTAGAGGGCGATGCAGAAGTCCGCCTCGAGCTCGCCGTGTTACGGCATGAAGAAAAGCTGCGGTAAAATCTGATAAGATGACTGAAGTATGTAATGATGATGACCCACCGACAGCTCCCGCAACAAGTGATTGGGAACCTGCAGATGCTCGAAAGGCGAATGATGATTTACGGATATCTTTCCCGTCGGTTTGTGCGATTCCCGAAACGTGGACCGAGCCAGGGGTGGGTGTTTAACACTGTCACATCTTTGTTCAAGGCTGTCGCTGGCAAGCTGTTTGAGGAGTTTGAAGGCCTACTTGACATGGATTAGCGCTCATTGATATCGACGACAATCATAGATGTACGCCTGCTGAAGGGAAGCGAAAGAAAATGAGAGATAGTTAGCAAAGATACGGCAATAAGAATAGACAGTCGTACTCGATACATATCTATGCAAAGCGCCATAGTGATATGGCCTAGCGTTCCAGCCGACTCCTGGCGGACCTTCCCCTTCATGACCATTCCAAAGCATTGGACGTTTTCTCTTCTGATAGTGAAACTGTCACTTCCAGGTGGTGGTCAATCAATCGGTTAACGGCAACCCTAGGGCGACGTTTATTCCTCCTCTATGAGGATATTGGCCTCCCTTGCGGATACTAGGGTTAAGTGCAATCCTCCACATCTTTATCGAACGCTAAAAGTGACGCGTGACGTCTCACTCGAAGTTAAGAAGAGTGGAGCAGGCATCGTTGAGCATAGCCAATATCGGATAAGTCGATTTGGGATCTCGGCGCTAATATCCGTTCTGCCCTTGCGGCAAGTTTTAAATCCATTCAACGAAAGCGAGAAAGGCAGTATGTCGCACATACGGGACGACTTGGTCATACGTAATAGTAGCAACTATGCAGAAGAGCGATGCGACTGACACTGTCAAGCAGGCCAAGGAATGGACCATGGACGTTGGCATCCATCTCAATGTTCTCACCAAAGCTCGTGAACCTTAGCAGACTAGCATCCAGATTCGTAGCTCATATTCTTCGAGTCGCTTGTTTGTGCAGGAAACTAAATGCATACATAACAGAGACTACTAGATACCGTCTATCAGGGGTGCGTTCGGGAGCATTATAAGGGGAGGATGTTCACCTCGATACAAGAGGGGAGACAGAATACGTGTCTACACCCATAAGAAGCATCGGATGTTTCTTTGATATGAACGGGCTATGCAAGGATGCCATCAGCAACAGCGAAAACAATAAACAAATCTCATCATACCATGTCCAGTAACTCAGTCAGATACTCCCTTACCCTCCTCCAAAATGTCCCAACATCTTCCGCGCCAAGTTGGCCCATCGACCGACGTCGTATCCCATTCCATTCCCTTCTGAAACTGATCTTTACGCCTCGGATGAAACTTGAACAGTGACCTCGGTGAGATCCGGTTATACTCTTCGTGGAGATAAGCTTTCGACGCAAACTCAGCTTCTTCCTCCGACCCTAACCAGATCACTATCGCATATACGCGCAGAGAATCTCGTAGGAACACGGGAGTTGTGATCATTGCACGTACGATGTCCAGCGCACCTCTTGCTCCTCATGCCTCAGCTAGACTGAGACACCTCCGAGGTCATAAAATCTCTGCGACTGCGGGATTGTAGGACTGCTGAGGATACCATCAAGTGACGACAGGGCGGAGACGCTGTCGGGGTTACTGAAGTTAGGATGATACGCCGCTGCGAGGTCCATCGTGGAGGCAACGATATCAACAAGGCATGGCGATCACTCGGTGAGCATGTGTCGATGGTCGCGTTCCTGCATGACTCGCTCCGGTAGTCTGACTCGCATCAACATGAACACATACAGCAACTGGTGCATCGGATATACGTAGACCCGAATGTTCCAAATTGTCTCCTAGAAGTAAAGAATTATAAAAATCGAATGGCATGGGCGAAAGAAAGATTACACACCCGATATTGAACTCTAGAACTCCTCAGCAGCGCCGCGACTTCAGCTCAGATCTGATCTCGGATGAGGTTCAAGGTACGTCCTCGCTATCGTAGACTTGTGCGATGTGCATCAACGTACTATCGTCCCCGTCCGCTGCCACACCCGCAACAGTCGTGCACTCCCCGCTGGAGCTTCGTCCTGCACAATCCAACGCTGATGTTCAACTTGAGGTATAGATTCTGCGCTATCTCGATATAAAACAGGCTTGATGAATGCGGACTGTCGGATGAATCAGGAAATCGAAGATAATGAAGGACAATGTAACGCACCTTTTCATATATGCGAGCCATGGCTAATGTCGACTCCAGAAATTGGGTCCTCGTCCATTTCTTGTCTTTGAAGACAATAAATACGATATGTTGAGGTGACGCTGCCGTATCGAGAGTGCTGATAGACGTGATGAGAGGGAATTTGGCGGAGGACACGCCGAGGCCCGTACTGGGAGATAACTGCCTCGATCGTACCGACAAGACGAATGCTTCGAGAAATACACCTGTATAAAAATCCTCGATGAGCTTCACAATTCAAAGACAGCAGGGAAAAGCAGCCTACCTCCTGCCTCGTCGAGTCATTTCTTCCCGTCGTGTCCTTTCCAAAAGTCGACGTCCTCCATCGAATAGGATGAAATGGTCCCAGACGAGCGCATATAATAGGATTCCAACATGGAACAAAGCTAGAAAAGGGTCCGTTGGGACCAAGTCGGGACTGTAGTCGATGGTCGTGGTCACGAAAGGAGTCGTGAGAAAATGTACGTCACCTTGATTTAGCATCCGGGCCTTGGGCCGTTGTCATTCCTGGATCATGGTGTTGATGATCTGACGAGAACGACGCGAACCTGCCTTTCACCTGCTGCAGACCGTCTCTGTCCTAACTTATGAACATTACACACGTCAGTCAGGCACTTTGTATCAGCCGTCATATCGAGCAACGCGACTGAACACGACAGAAGTCACTCTGTACATCAAGGTTTCCAACATTCTACTTCCAAACACTCTCACCACTGACATTAAGAGCTCTAGAGACTTCTGGTTACATAATTCATCGCAAAATTCACTGCATGCCAATACACTACACCACATTGCTGACAAGAAGAATATCTTATCAGGGGTCAGATCATGTTGTCCAAGACGGATACCCGGCCCGACGAGAAATCGCGTCGATGGCGTGGGAATTTCGGCTCTTCTCTTGTCTTCTCGCTTCCTTGCACTTTCTCCGTGTCAATAATCTAGCCATCCCCGGTCGTGCGACTGCTGCTTGACCACTATACTGACACTGAAAGATCAATATCTTACTCCAAATATCGCTATATATGCTGCGATTCCGCCAGATTGACGAAATTACAACTCGATGTTACTGAGAAGGCTTGAAGCTTATGCATTGAAGGAGCGGGTGGGAGGCGTTTATTTCCTATGTCGTGGCACCTCGACTCGTCGTCTAGTTATATGCGCCAGTTACGAGTCTATGATACATCCGAGGTGTGTCGATTAGTGTCCAAGGATTTCATCTTTCTGACGTCGTCAACAGAAGAGTCGCCTACGTTGTAACCCTTTTCTTTCACCACTCTCATCGGAACTTTTACCTGAGAAAGCATAGTTGGCTACCACGGACTGATGATACCTAGTTTGCAATCATAGCGTGTCACCCTCGGTGGTTAACGTCGTTCTGTGGGGATTAACATTTTCGGCAGCGGTGGCTTGCACATGTACCAGCGAACAGATGCGACATGGGACCGCCGAGTAAGAAACACCATCTCAGGGTTACCGTTGGCGGATTTCCTGACCTCGTTCAACTTCACCCTGAAGTAATGAAGGTTCAGTCATCTAGAGAGAAGCGTCGAAGTCAGTACAGTCGTGGAGGGTGATGGTTGTGGAGATTCGGTTAGACGCTACTACTTTCTGACGCGATCTACGACAAGCATGGAGTAAGTCTATGTTTTTCATCGGATATTTTCTCACTGTCATTTGCCCTTGGAAAGGCATACACCCTTCATGAATTTGTCGATGAGCGGTAGACCACATTGTTTCAGCTAACGAAACCTTCCAGCAAATGAGCGGTAGCATGAAGGGCCCATATTTCTATCAATGTTTCGATGGCGGCATGAGAGACGTGGGACATCTGCGAGTCCCCATTCATTTATCGTGGCATATTGCTCTCGGTGGGTTTTCATGATGATGATGTTGTCTAGTTATCTTATCACATTTTACAGCATCTATTCATGGATTCCGAGTTTAGTGAGCGCTTCTGCATCGCCCTCTACAGCACACTTCTTACCACCAACCACTATGCCCGCCTCCAACATCCTTCTCAGAGTTTCCGAAATCGCTGAAGCTTCCGGTGTACCATACCTCCAGAATGTGGCTAAGGTCGCTGTAGTCTTCTTCAAGCAACTTGAGGTTCGTATACCAACTTTTACTGTACTGGATCTCCCTCTGAGTTGGCATCGTCTCTAGGGAAAAGGAAAGAACAAGAAAGATGCGAAGGAGCTCTCTGAGAGCATTGGAAATACAATCGTCGTTATCGACACCCTCATTTGTATGCATGGGAAAGTAGGGGCACCGTATTTCGAGGGCATTTGCGGTGAGATGGAAAAGTGAGTTGCTGTATCGGTGCTGTATGTCCTCAACAGCTGATAGTCATCTGACAGCTATCTCGCCGGTATCGCCCAGGATCTGAAAGACGATCAGCGAAAACACCGCGGTATCAAGGGCATTCTCAATGTCGATGACTTCAAAGATGCCATTCAGACTTACAGGAAGCGTGTGGACGACTTAAAAATGGATTTCCTGGTACTTTGATTTTCCGATTCGCGAAAGCAATGGGCTGACCTAGTATGCTGTAGATTCATTTAATGGGTGACTGCTTTTTAGAGGTCATTCAGGTTCACAGCATAGTGCAGGGCTTAAAGGAAGGCAGTGAGATGCGACAAACGGACGTTGTAGAAATGACGTCTAGAGAGTTCATGATTCGGATGATCCGGATCACCAAACATGCGGTTTTTTTTTTTAGCTTGATCGAATACCCCCGTAAGTAGACGGATGCGACCCGGCAATATCATTGGTGTATAGTACTGGATACCACTGCATAGTAGTAGGCACTGGTAGACGTTGTCGTATACCGTATTCTAATTTCATATAAGGCGCATCACTGACCATGATTAGATGATACTAGAATTTCATCTTTTGACGGTAGCTCACCCTGAGCACTGAATTCCACTGTCGTATACCATGCGCTACTATGTGTCGACGTCGCGTATCGGTCCGTCCGCCGGGATTATATTCTCCCGCTAATTTCCGTTGCCTTCACATTATTCTATCAGAATCTACGGTGCTTGTGGCTGGTTTTGGTTCCCCATCCGATTACCAGGACCACTATGCCAAGTAGTCGTATCAAATACCCGGGTCCACTCTTACCTGACGTGCTGTAGATACAAATAACGGGAGACAACATGCTGATGCGCGCTGAGATCAACCGCAAGCCAGCTGTGCAGGAAACGTCAGGTGGATGGAAGGAATCTGGGCCGGGACAGCTAATGATCAAATGATAGGCATCATACCGGCATAGCCCGAGACTTGAAAGACACCGAGAAACAGCACCGCCGAACTGACAGCATTGCTCAGTGTCAAATTGCTTAAAGAGACCATCCAAGATTGGACAAGGCGGGTGAATGTCTCTGAGACGGACGCCTTGGTCCGTTTACTCTCCGCTTTACACGGTCGTCTAACTCGCTAGTATGCTGAAAATTCCCATAATGGACAACAGCATCTTTGCATTCATTGCAATCAATCGCCTACAGCATAACCTGATGGTGGACATGCGGGAGAAGGACGTATCATGGGAAGAAGTATGAGTGATTGTCAGAATCATACTTCCACCCGCGCTTCATGTTAGGTGGATTCTGCGCCGCAGAGCGCCACTAGTATCCTTGTACATGGAGGAAACGGTGCATCACATAATACATCCGCACGAAACAGCAGCGGAGTCGTTGGATACGACACAAAGAAATCCAACATTGATTCTATTTCGCTTTGGCATTTACCTGACTCGTTCAAGTTCTGCAATCTGACCAAGGAGTAGGTGACTGATTGCAATAGGAATGGGACTCAAATATCTCAGTGCTGACAGAGAAGTCGTGACGAGAAGTGAATCTGTCATCAATATACAAATAACTCAGAAGCAATTCGAGGTTTCTCTATATGCATGAAGCACAGTGAAAGACATGGTGCCGATCAATCTATTAGGGATGCGCACCGTCGCCGTATTGTACGGTTTTCGGTAACCGTTATACGGAAGACGGACCGAAGCCGAAAGGACCACATTGACCATTTGTACGGCACGGTGTACGGCTGTTCTGTTACCGTCGAGAGCTCTTACAGACGGCCGTACAACGTCGTAATACGGCTTATTTTTTAATCTTACTTTTGACTCAGCTAAGAGTCTTTTTAGGGTAAATTTATGACACAAAATAGTCATCATTCAATTCCGTGGCTTTACTAACTTCATTCTTTTAACTGTCTTATCAAAATTTCGTACACATTCAAGACAATAAGTGTAACTTTCTTTTAGGTCTTGGGTACCTCTAGTCCTGCTTAACGCGGCATAGTTGATTACAAGACTAGATTAAACTCAGATGCATTGTACAGCTTTTTTGGCAGTCTTAAAGGCCTCTGACTGACTTTATGAGCAAATTAATTCTATACTCAGGTGCACGGTCGTCAACGGCCGTAGACGGCCGTAAGGTACCCGTACCGATGCCGACAAGGCATTGAAACTGACCATACGGCACGGTATACGGATAGTTCCGTGACCGTCTGGGACAATGGCTTTACGGCCGTATACCGTATACGGTACGGTGCGCATCCCTACAATCTATATTGCTAGTGTAAAATTGATGCACTTTAGTCAAGACATTCAGCGGTATAACTAGAGTGTAGCCTCGGTAGAATAAAGGTAACATTAGGCGGTGCTGCACATGCAAGTTTGTTTAATGAAAATACTCACGTTAACACATATTTCCCACGCTCAGAGTGAGTTACAAAAAAAAAAAAGTCGTGATTGCAACAGGCTTCTTCGGGATCCGAAAAACAAGCTCCTCCGAGTGACCCACCACAGCCCCGGCCGCCACGTCCTTCAACAGGCTTTGTATCTGCGTGACCTCCAAACGGCAGTCACCCACAGAATGGATCTACAGCACAATGTGAGATACGGCACGAATAATCTGAAAGAGGAAAACTTACGAGAAAGTCCGTTTTGAGATCGTCAACGCGCCTTCTGTAAGTCTGGATGGCGTCTCGGAAGTCGTGGACACTAAAGACGCCTTTAAGGCCACGATGTTTACGCTTGATATCCTTCAATTCTTGAGCCATGCTTTCGAGATATCTGTAATCAGACATTTGATTAGTTCTTGTGGCGTGACAGCCAGCGAAATGGCACCCACTTTTCCATCTCCCCACAAATATCCTTAAAATGCGAAGCTTCTGGCTCTCCGTGCATACGAACGAAAGCATCGATGACGGCGATCGTGTTTGCTATGCTCTCACACAGTTCCTTGACGTTTTTCTTGTTCTTTCCCTTGTGCTACAAGGTATTAAATAAGTAAGACTAACCATCCAGCATAGGTTAGTTGCACGAACCTCGAGGAGCTCGAAGACAGATACGGCTACCTTTGCCACATTCTCAACGTATGGCACACCGGAAGCTTCTGCAATATTGGCGACTTTGAGACAGGCGTTGAGGGCGGGCATGGTGGTGGGTGGTAAAACAGACTTGTGCTGTAGATGTTGATGCAGAAGCGCGCGTCCATTCACAGCGTTCTGTGATCTAGGGTACCGTGCTGTAAAATCTTACATCTGATAAGATGGCCGAAGAACGTAATCATAATGACTCACTGAGAGCTTCCGCGATAAGGGAATGCAGAAGTCCAAGAGGCGAATGGATCACATCTTTCTAGTCCGTAGGCGTGACTTCTGAGATATGGACGGAGAGATAGGTGCCATACTGGCGTCTCCTTGCACGAGGCCGTCGCTACACTGTTGGAGGAGCTCGAGGGCCTGCATGGCATGGAGTAACGCTCGCTGACATCGACGACAATCATGGATGTACACATGGCGAAAGGACGCCAAGGAAAACAAGGGATAGTTAGCAAATATTCGAGGATAGCAAACAAAGGCTTACCCCATGTAACGCGACATAGAGACGTCATCCAGCGTCCCAGCCGACTCTCGGTCACCCTTCCCCTCCACCACCGTTCCAAAGACTTAAACGCTTTCTTTTTTGGGTAGCAGTCAATCAATTGGCTAACGAAAACTCTGGGGTGGTGTCTCTTGCTCGACGCCCCTCTAAACGGATCATTGGCATCACCCGCAGATACCGGTGCCAAATGCAATCTTTCACATCTTTATCGAACGACTTCGAACGCTAAAGGTGACGCATGTTGGCAAGGTCTCTCCCAAAGGTGTGAAGAGGGGAGCAAGCGTCCTTGAGCATAGTTAACTTCTGGTCCGCGACTAGAGTCGATATCTGTGCGTCTGTTCACCAAGTGAATGATAATAAGTCGCCAGTAACTAGTCAACACACTTTCAATATTTCATTACTGGATACCACAATATGGGTAGAGCTCAGGCTACTTGGGAAAGCACACCTGTTCGTGCTCACTGTTCAGCTTTAGTCTGCCGCCTGGCTCAGAGTGCAATTTCGTCATGATTTCGGAGGCAAGATGGTAGCAAACTGCCGCCACTGCAGTTTCGTCTCGGCCTGTAGTGTCATAACGGCATATGAGGGACAGGACCACCATGTCGGACAACCGGGTTATCAACTGGAGGATATGGGTGACAAGAAAAAAGCTGAACGTTCCCACGCCATCAGCGCGACTTACTACCGGACCGGTTCCGCCGTGGAAAGCGTTGAGTTCCAAATCCGGACTGTTTGCTGTCCCGCTTCTTGACAAAGGTAATCGACGCTCTTCGTTGTTTTCGGTGTTTTTTGACCCTTCAGTCATCAGTTTGATTTCATGCTCTCAGTCAAAAGAGCAGTTTACCAACCCAGTACGGCTGCACCGCCAAGGGATTATGCCGGTCAACAGTGCGATATCAGGTGACATATGTGGAAGACATAGGGAGGCGTTACCATGATTCAAACGAAACAGAAGAAAATTCTGCAGTATTTCAGCCGAGCTCGAGGTAAGCCTTCATTTTTCCGTAGTCAGAGCTAGCTAACCCGCATCCGTGTCCCGAATTCTACTTCCGAAACCTAGCCTGCCCACATACGATTCCTCCCGCACCCCTCCCTCGAACCACTCCGCTCCTCCACCAATCACGAGAGGGAACTCTCCACTCTATCCATCTGTGCTAATAATAGATATGACCCCCCGTCCACACACGCCCTCCGCGCCGACTCCCCTGGCACGCATCGACTCCTAATGCGTCCTCCACTGCTCGTTCATGCCTGCAGTACGTGTATCGGCTGCATTAAAAGGATTATTATCGAGGCGACATACCTTTGCGCGTGCTACATGCATTACACCGTTGTATTCGTTGCTCTTAGTATTCTACCTCACCCTCACCCTCGCTGTAGTAATGAACATTGGCTTCATTTTTCACTATCTGAAAGGAGATCATTAGTCAAATACGAATAGAAAGAACAGGGGAACTCTTACTCGGTACATTTATCTCACTATATCTGTAGTCTTATGATTCAACAGGTCACCGTTAGCATCAAGTCAACAAGCAAGAGAGCCTTACCGTACTAACCCAGAAATCCGCACCATTAACAGAAGCGTGCAACGCAGGAGTCGGCCGCGTAGGGAAAGCAGAACATAAATATGCATACCATGGTGCTCCCGATGAGCTCATACACCCATCGATGCTGCTAGCTGGTGGACTCAGCGACCAAATAGAGGCGAAAAGGAAGGATATGCACCATACTAGCATCTCTCAATGGGCTCCTTACACCCCCCGCCGACCCTTCTCCAGCCTAGCCAAAAGAAATCCATTGCTTAAAATAAACCGCTGCTCGCTGCTCAGTGTTGGATCTCACTCTCACCCTCGTGGTATAAGCAAATATTAACTTGGTTTTTTTACTACCTGAACCACACCAATTATCCAAAGCAAGTAGAAAACATCGAGTAAACACTCACTCGGTACATTTATTCAGGCTATTTATGAGCGTAGAAAAAAATGAATATCGAGTTTACACATTCTCTCAAAGCTTTGGAATGTGAGCGCGGCACCGACGAGGCATATCTGCCCTGACCAAATGTACGAGCCCACCGATTGATATCTACGACAATCATAGATGTATGCCTGCTGAAGGGAAGCTAAGGAAAAGAAGAGGTAGGCAGTAAAAACTGAGGATAAGGAGACTCTTATTCGAGACATGTATGCAAAGCGCCATAATGATATCGTCTATCATGCCAGCGGATGTCCGGCGGTCAGCCTTGCACTCCACAGCCATGTCAACGACTTCGCGCTTTCTCTTCCGATGGTTAAAGTTTTGCTTCAGGGGGGCATTGGAAAACGTGAAGCAACTGGGTAATGACAAGCCTAGTGCGGTGTTTCTTGCACGATGTCACCACTGATAATTGGCCCCGTTTGCGGATACCAGGGCTGTCATCATTGATTAGTAAACCTGGCTTCGATATTTCGTTACTGAATACCATCATGCCAGTTCAGCTCAAGGTACTCGGTAAAGCGACTCCGCTAGCGCTTGTTGCTCAGCTTCGTTCTGCTCTGAGACTTCGGAGGGACGATGGTAGCGACCGTCGCACCTGCTGAGACCTAACGACATGATATCGATGTAAAAACCAAAGGTTAAGAAGTAAAAATGCCATATGTAACAGTGCAAAGCTGCGGGCAGTGGCAGAGAAAGAAATGACGTATGCTACCACCGCCATCTGCCGGGACCCGGCCCGCAAATATAGGGGGATCGAGGTCTTTACCTCATTTACAGCACTTCTGCACATCGCTCTCATGCTAGACGCTCAGCTTTACAGCACGCACATTTCTAAACAACCACCATCATGTCCGCTCTCAACGCCTCTCTCCAAGTCGCCAACATCGTCGAAGCTTCCGGTATACCATACGTCGAGAATCTGGCCAAGCTTGCTGTGGCCGTCATAGAGTTGCTCGAGGTACATGTATCACCTTTGTTCTTCGTTTTTGCCGCTGACTCTGCTATGCCGTTCATAGAAGAAAGGAAAGAATAGAGAAGACGTGAAGGAGCTCTGCGAGAGCATCAACAATACAGTTGCCGTTATCCAAACACTTGTCGCTAAGCATGGCGAGCGAGGTGCGGCATATTTCAAGGGCATTTGTTCAGAGATGATAGAGTCAGTCACCGCTCTCATATGCTGTTATTTCCTAACAGCTAATATTCACCCACCAGATATCTCTCTGGCATGTCCCACGATCTGCAAGACATGCAGGGCAAACACCGCGGAATCAAAGGCATCTTTAATGTTAACAAGATCCAGGATAAGATCAAAGGTTACAAGAGGCGTGTCGATGACTTGAAGATGGACTTTTTGGTATGCATGTTTTCGACATTGCGAATTTGGCGATCTGACCCGCGGACGTGCTGTAGATCCACACAACGGGCGACATCATGTTGATGCTCACTGAGATCAACTACAAGCTAGCTGTGCAGGAAACCGGATCGCAAGAACAGCCAGTGACCATTCAGATCACGATTATATGCTGTGTTTTTTTTGTAGATGAGCACCCATTGCTGATATCGGATGGGGAGCTATGTTCACGGACCCGGCAATATCATTGATGTATAGTAGTGGATACCATTGGATACTAGTAGGCACTGCTATACGTTGTCGTATACCGTATTCTAATTTTATATAACGCACATCACTGAACATGATTAGATGATACTAGAATTTCATCTTTTAACGATAACTAACCATGTGTACCAAATTCCGCTGTTGTATACCATGCACTACTATGTGTCGGCTTCACGTATTGGTCCACTCGTCTCCCGTTGATTTCCATTGCCTTGCTGTGCCTGGTTTTCGCTGCCCATCCGATTTTCCTCGACCTCTATGCCAAGTAGTCGTAGCAAATACTTGATCCCACTCTTACTTGCTGACGCGCTAATGTGCTGTAGATCCAAAGAACGGGAGACAACATGCTGATGCCCGCTTAGATCAACCGTAAGCCAGCTGTGCAGGAGAAAGAATCCGGGACAGCTAATGATCAAACGATACGCATCATACCGGCATACCCCGGAATTTGAAAGACACCGAGAAACGGCACCGCGGAACCGACAGGATTGCCCAGTGTCAAAGAACTTGGAGAGACTATCCAATATTCCCGCTTTACATGTTCGCCTAACTCGCTAGTATGTTGAAGATCCACATAATGAGCAACAGCATCTTCGTACTCATTGTGATCAATCGCCTACAGCAGACTATTTTTAAATTGATTCTGAGCCGCAGAACGCCACTATTATCCTTGTACATGGAAGAAGCAGTGGAGCACATAATACACCCGCACGAAAGAGCAGCGGAGTCATGGGATACTCCGCAAAGAAATCTAACATGACTGATTTTGCTTCGCTTTGGTCTGGCCTCTGGTTCCCCCGTTCAAATTCTGCAACCTGAACGAAGCGTAGGCGACTGACCGCAATAGGAATAAGACTCAAATAGCTCAGTACTGACAGAAAAGTCCTGCCGAGAGGTGAAATAATGCATCGGAGTCATCAAGATATAAATAGCTTAGAAAGAAATCGAGGTTTTCTATGTATGCATAAGGCACAGTCAAGGACACGGGGCGAATAAATCTATATTACAATCGCAAAATTGATGTAATTTCCTAGCAGAATGGATGGAAAAGATCCTCTCTACTCGCGCTTCAGCTGAATCTTCCGGTTGATGACAGATGCCTGTACTAATGCTTAGAACGTGATAGCTACCTTCCTCTGATCAAGCGGCCGTAAGCTGGTACATCTGGAATCATTCGAGAGTCGAAAATACATCAGCTGGCAGCAATTCAACTTGCCACGAAAGCCACGAAAGGGAGTAAAGAGTATCCTCAGCTGAAGCCAGGACGTTCGGTGGTAGAACATAGATGTGGTATAAGCAAGTACGCGCCAAATACAGAGGCTTCCACGCTTTTTCGTCTATTAGGAACAAAGTACATTTAAGAAGTGTATGTATCCGCGAGAATAAATTAGATCATGATGGGAACCGTAGACATTGATGATATTGGCCGCGCGCTCAGGAAGCACCTTTCATCAGAGTTTAAAAAAAAGGCAGTGACTTCGAAAAGCTTTTTTGGCGGTGACCATGGAATTTACCTTAGATCAACGTAAAAAAAAAAAAAGGCGGTGATTGCCACAGGCTTCTTCGGGATCCGGAAAACTAACTCCTCCGGATGACCCACCACAGCCTGAGCTATAGTTTCCTTCAACAAGCTGTGCATCTGCGTGACCTCCAGACGGCAGTCACCCACTGAATGAATCTACAGCACAATGTGAACTATGGCAATCATGATCTGAAAGAGGAAGACTTACGAGAAAGTCCGTCTTCAGATCGTCAACGCGCCTCCTGTAAGCCTGGATAGTGTCTCGGAAGTCGTCGACGCTAAAGACGCCTTTAAGGCCACGATGTTTGCGCTTGATATCCTTCAATTCTTGAGCCATGCTTTCGAGATACCTATAGTCAGACAGTTCGTTAGTTGTTGAGGCGGGGTAGCCAGCGAAATGTCACCCACTCTTCCATGTCAATGCAAGTGTCCTTAAAATGGGAAGCTCCAGGCTCTCCGTGCATAAGAACGACGGTATCGATAACGGCGATCGTGTTTGCTATGCTCTCACAGAGCTCCTTGGCATTATTCTTGTTGTTTCCCTTTTGCTGTGGAACATAGAATCAGCGAGACCATTCTTTAAATAAAGGATAGTTGCACGAACCTCGAGAAGCTCGAAAACGGTTACGGCTACCTTTGCCACGTTCTGTACGTACGGTACGCCGGAAGCTTCAGCGATATTGGCGACTTTGAGACAGGCGTTGAGGGCGGGCATGGTGGTTGGTAGTAAGGCTGACTTGTGCTGTAGAGGCTGACCCTGAAGCGCGCGTCCATTCACAGCGTTTTGTGATCCAGGATACGGTGCTGTAAAATCTTATCTCTGATAAGATAACCGAACATCTTTCTGGTCTGTAGGTTATATTTTTGAAACACGGATAGAGAAATAGGTGTGTCATACCGGAACCTCCTTGCTCGAAACCTTTGCCACGGCGTTGAGGATCTCGAAGGCCAACATGGTATGGGCTAACGCTCATTGACATCGACGACAATCATGGATGTACAGATGGCGACTGGACGCTGAGGAAAAGAAGGGATAGTTAGCAAAGATTAGAGGATAACAAGATAATGCTTACTTGATATATGCCTATCCAAAGCGCCATAGAGACGTCGTTCATCGTCCCCGTCGACTCCCGGTCACCCTTCCTCTCTACCACCATTCCAATGACTTGAACGCTTTCTCTTTCGGGTATCAGCCAATGAATTGGCTAACGGAAACCCTGGGGCGGACTCTCTTGCTCGGCGCCTCTCTGAACGGATAATTGGCATCATCCACAGATACCAGTGCCAAGTGCAATCATCCACACCTTTATCGAACGACTTCGAACGCTAAATGTGACGCGTGTCGGAAAGGTCTCACCCGAAGTTATGAGGGGGGAGCAAGCGTCGTTGAGTATAGTCAATTTCTGGTGCTCGACTAAAGCCGACATCTGTGCGTCTGTTAATGAAGTCAATAATAATAAATCGTCAGTAACTAGTCAACTCACCTGTTATAATTCGCTACTGGCTACCATAGTGCTGGTAGAGTTCAAGCTACTCGGGAAAGCAACCTCGTTCGTGCTCCTCTTCGGTCTGCCGCCTGGCTCAGACTGCATTCTTCATGATATTGGAGGGAATATGATAGCAAGCTGTCACCACTACAGTCTATCTCAACCATAGTATCAGCACGGCGTAGGAGGGACGGAACCGCCTGGAGGACAATCGGTTTATGGACTCGAGGATGTTGGGTAATAGAAAAAAGCCGGACTTCCCACGCCATCAACGCGACTTGTCATCGGACCGGTTCGGCCGGTTCCAAATCCAGACTGTTTGCTGACCTTCTTGACAAAGGTAACCGACGCTCTTCCGTCATTTTCGGCAGTTTCTGAGTCTTCTGAGTCTTCAGTCGTCGGCTTGATTTCATCCTCTCAGTCAAAAGAGCAGTCTACCGACCGAGTACGGCTGCACCGCCAAGGGAGTATCCCGACAAACAGTGCGAGATCAGGCATCACCGTTCACAGGCGAAAAAAGATCGACATATGTGGAAGACATAGGGAGTCGTTACCACGATTCAAACGAAGCGAGAGCGAATTCTGCAGTATTTCAGCCGAGGTCGAAGGTAGGCCTTCATTTTCCATAGTCTTCTCTTTCTTCCGACAGGGCCCTTTAATGTTTGATTCTCTTTCTTAGATGTTACTTCTGCAATTCCCTTCATCACACCAATCAGAATCTCGGTACCGACTAGCGCCAGAAAATCCTTCAACGAGGGCGAAAAAGGTGGTGCAATGATACACGTTGCAGATGTGGGGTGAACACAGCACAATGTTTATGCCACCTGTAACTCTACACTATTGCACTATGCAAAGGACAAATGTCATGCTATGGAACAATATGGCCGGTAAGTCAAATTAATGGTATTCCATGATCCACGTTACCTATTTCTCTTCTTATACGCAGTCTTTGATGCTTGTCACTATCGAGGCTAGAACGCCCAGCACCGTTCTCGCTGGATGTTATCGATTTTCCGTTATGCTTCCACGTCTTGCTACCCGTAAATTTTATAGCGACATATTAATGGACAGGTGTACCTATTCTAGACGAACCGAGGGTGTTGCAAATTGTTTCGAGTTCAGGTCAGTGTGCCGATCTTTTTGATTTAGGATATAAGACTGATGGGGGCTCGTACACCCAGGGAAATATCTAGCAAGATCCGGCCGTCGTTTACAAGGAAGGAAAACCACATCCCGCAACCCGAGCGCTTTTGTGCCGCCAAGCCTCGCCATCATGGTTTCATCGGATTTCAAGCCACGATGTTGGTCTTCAGCATAGGTTACGTTGCAGCATGCCGGAAAACCTCCGAAACATACCTCTGATTCTTCAGGGAGTCCGCATTGAATGGTGTCTCTTCGCTATATTGGATATCACAATGCTTCTGTCGTGCCGTTTCAGCGATGGCAAGTAATAGATAGTCGCACATCGCGACTACGGTTATCTGGCAGCAAACTGCTTGTAGTGTAGCCTTCTTGCACCTTCGAGTACCGATAGCTGTCCTGCGCTTCCGGAATTCAGGCTGTCAGGTCTGAGCGTGTGTCAGGACGCTCTGGAACGGGATCAGGTAGCAAGCAAATTCGAACTCCATCATCGTCATCGTAACCCTTGGCTCTCGCGAACGAAGTGGCAAAATCGGTCGCGTGGAGGACATCGAGGTCAAGCGAATAATGCCGGTGGAGCAGTCTTTTGCTATGTTCGTGTCTCATCAGACAAGGATGACGCGAAGTCCCGACGATAATGTAGAAGGGCATTGATGTAGCGGGTGCGCTTGCTTTATTTATGTATGGTATTTTCCTCCTTGAAACTCGTGTATAGTGCCATACCTTACCTTTTCTTACTATCAGGGCTCGGAATTCTGGATGGTACTGTATGGTTCGACTGTACACGCGAAACACCGTGTTTCCAACGTCCGATTTGCTAATCCTGGATATGCAATATCTTTCTCCTGAACAAAGAGCAGACGGTTAGACGAGCTTCGTACGTGTTCTGAGAAATCAACAGTTTGGTGGCCCGTGGGATTCGGATGTACAAGGTCTCCTGTTTGGTGAGCTTCACATCTCCTTTTGCTAGTGCCCAAAATACCTTTCGTTGGTGCAAGCATAGTACCGGATTCTCTTCGATGCCTAATGCCTGAGAGACGGAGAAGGTCACAATAAGACAAATACCTCGCTATGGGATATATTTCCCACTAGCATTCATTGCCAAGCCATAGAGACATCACAGCCGTTTAAAGCGGGTGTTAACGGCAGCAAAGAACTGACGCAACCAATATGAAAAAGTACGGCTTTCACTCTTTGCCGATTTGTACTCGTATGTCTTCGAGCTTACTAGCCCTTCTAGCGTTCCTAATTTGGGGACTTCGAGTCAGGGGCACCTTGGTATTGCATTGACCGAAGGACTGCTTATTGTTTGTGCTTCAGGCTTGAAATTTCCGGTCGGTGACAGTTCCAATGCGTGTACAAAGGCAAGGAATACCCGGATACTGGTACTTCGTCCTCACTTTGTTTTTCTTTTGCTCTTTTTGAAGCATCCTGTAGTTTTTATCCACAGGTCTATCAATGAACCTCACGGTTTCCTCTCAATCTGATAGTCCGCCGCTGCTTCATGAAGTTTCGTTTTCGGCTGAGTTGATGACCAGTGTCTTTGAATACCTTTGGTCGGCGTATCTTCGGATAGAGGATCGTCATGGATAGATGGAACCTGTCGACAGCCTCAATGTTCCTGGTGCCATCAGAACACCAACTTGCGGTATGCCTGCAGAGCCCGCCCGAGTCGCTCTTGCTCCGTTTCTCCTGATTACTCGTCTTCCGTTGGAATAGGACACCATGCTCCTCGACGAATCTCAGAATTCACATGAGAAATGGTTTTCTCTATATAAACCACCTCAAGATCTTGTATTCTACTCACAAGGACTACCCTCGTCTTTCAACTGACAATGCGCGTCTTTGGAAAAGAATTCTTCTCTTCTGCGCTCCTTGCGGTTCTCCTCGCCAAAGTCTCGTATGCTTCACCTTGGACAATGACTTCGAAGCACTCTACCCACCAACGAAGGACTATCGGACGCGACTTGACGATTGATACCTACCATCCCGAGTCAACCTTCAAGGTAATAATTAAATGACGTTCTCCTGCTCGTTGTCTTATATATTTCTTTGTAGACTTACGGAGAAGGGAAAGCGATCTCGTCTTTTAGTAGCGGTGACCTGAAGACATCTATCGTCTCCTTCATTGCGTCTGAGCTTGGCGCCGACTCGTCTACCATCACCTACAGCTCTGGCCACACCGCTGAGAACGATATGAGCTACGCCTATGCAAAGCAGTACCGTATACGTCCCTTTATCTGAGTGCTCTAATAATGACCCTGATGTCTCTTACAAAGGATGGTATTCCGTTTGCCAACGCTGTTGCCAACGTAGCTTTCAAGAACGGTAACGCGGTTTCGTTCGGGTCGTCGTTTGTAGATACATGTAAGTTGTATTTTTGTATCTGTGACTTCTCATTCGTATTAATGATATCATTTAGCCAACATTGCTTCCTCCCAGCCCTCCATTGAGCTCGATTCAGTCATAAGCAAAGTCGAAGACGCGCTCGCTGCTACCTACAGCGGCATCAACTCCCTCGAATATCTAGCCCTCGAAGACGGATCCGTTGCCCTCACCCACGTAGTCCAAGTCCTTAACGCCGATGCCAACACAGCCTATGAAGCATTCGTCGACGCCCATTCAGGAGATATAATTGGAGTCACCGATTTTTCTGCACAGGCTACGGTAATCTCGATGCTCTCCTCACTTTCACGTCTTTCTTAGTCTGCTATAGTACACTGTCGTGCCAATAATCCAGGCATCTGTAGTGGACGGCGAGGAAGTTGTCGTCGACCCAGAAGACCTGAACTCTTCTCCTCAAGGCTGGGTACAGAATGGGGAAACCGCGTATGTATATATATTTCCATAGTGCAGCGTCCTGATATTTGGCAGGGGAAACAACGTCATCTCCTTCAAGGGACTATTGTTCACTACAACTCAGCAGTCGTCCCCCAATACATTCGACTACCCATATAATACAGCCGTTGGCCCTTTAATCGGCGGAAATGTCGACGCTGCTTGCACCAACGCCTTCTATATCGTCAACCAAGTCCACGACTTTGTTTACAAGTACGGATGGACCGAGGCTGCTTATAATTTCCAGCAGAACAATTTTGGTAGAGGAGGATTAGGTGGGGACCGGGTGCAGATGTCTGTACAAGACGCTGGCGGGATTAACAATGCGAATTTCGTTACCCTTCCTGAGTAGGCTGTTCGTTGATTTCGCTCAGTGCCATGAGCTAATGTGGATGTTTTCAGTGGTCAGCCTGGCACTTGCCGGATGTATATTTGGGATCTTACAATTCCCAATCGCGATGGAGACTTGCAGAATGATCTAATCGTCCATGAGGTTACTCATGGGATTTCTAATCGCTTGACTGGAGGCGGTACGGCTAGATGCTTGCAAACGCTCGAATCTGCGGGGTTAGGTGAAGGTGTGTATTTACGAATATATTTTAATAGTGTTGGTTCCTTACATGGTTTTCAGGATGGTCGGATGCCATGGCAGAGTATGTCAACTCTTCTCTTCTCGCTGTTACCAGATGTCTAACATATCTCACAGTTGGACTGAACAGACGAGCGCTAATACCCACGACTTTGTTTTCGCTGCATGGGCAATAAACAGAGCCGGTGGTGGGCGCAACTACCCGTACTCCACGAATCCCAACGTGAACCCACTCCGGTATTCTTCACTTACTCGGCTAAACGAGGTTCACGGTAAGTGTGCTCGTTACCGTGTTGGACACCCATTCAATAGTCCTCAGATATTGGCGAGGTGTGGGCCAACATGCTGCACAATGTATATGCTGCCCTAGTCCAAGCCTACGGATGGTCGGCGACAGCGATGGATAATGCTAATGGGAATGAGGGAAATATAGTTTACCTCCACCTCTTCATCGACGCGTTACAACTCCAGCCCTGCAACCCTACCTGTAAGTGCATCATCTCACATGTTCTAACATAAACTGACTAAATAAACACTTGCAGTCGTGCAAGCTCGAGCTGCGTGGATCCAAGCTGATGTGAACCGCTACAATGGAGCCAATGCTTGCATTCTCTGGAACACGTTCGCGAGCCGTGGTTTGGGAATGTTTGCAGCGAACTATGTGGACGATGCCACCGTTCCAGCGGGATGCTAAATACAAGGATTGACAAGAATCTGGTAGATAGCTATGACTGGAATTTGGCACGACATGTATATATTAAACTTCTCGGATTCTATGACATTGTTGAATTCCTCCGACACGTCCAGCACAATACTACACCACAGATAGCAGCCACTGAGCGGTTGTTACTGAAAGATACACGATGAAGTTGACTTACTCGGTTGCATTTTATGTAACGCTCTGCTGCTAAACAATATATAAATAAAGAGAAGTGAAATAGGCTTGAACGAATATACCAAGTTCAGAACGGCGAAAATTCAGGACACTGTTAAAGCAGCTCAAGAGAAATATGATATATTTGCGGTGACGACGATCAATCCATCAGTGCATACTGAAGGCGTAGCCATTCTCTATTGTACCCCGCAATAAATAGTCATATAGTCTTATCGGCCGCTCATCACGAGATAACAGGTTCTGCGTTCTAGTCGATAGTAAGCTGTAGCATTCATAAGAAATCCAGAACAGTCATTCCCGCTCGGTGACGATGGCATGCAAATGCTTATCACGGAATGCCGGTAAGAAGTGATATCGGAAGTTGACGTGGCTTGAGAACAACAAACAGTTAGGAATGACGAGGAACAGAAGGAATAGGCGCGTTACACACTTTGTCTCGTGATTCTTCAGATCAAATTTTCGGAGTAGATTCGCAAAGAGGATATACAGCTCGCACCAAGCCAAGCTTGGGTTCCTGTTAGAAAAACCGAAATGCTGTGGAGAGGAAACTCACTTGACACCAAGACAAGCCCGAGGGCCCTTTGAGAACGATATTAGGTACTTGTCGAGAGACGCTCCAGGTTGGAGCCACCGTTCTGGGTTGAAGTCATGCGGGTTGGGAAAGATGTCCTCGTTCATGAGGACGAACGTGCTGCCGATGCCAACGGAGGTCTGCAAAGTTATTAGATATACGACTTGATACTGTGAAGAAAGCTCACTCTGGCCGGAACGAGGACACCTTCAATTCTAGTAGGGGTATCGACAACGCGTGGTTTAGCAACTGGAACACCATTGCTGATGCGTAGTGATTCTTTAATGACGGCTGTCTGTTTTGGTGGTGTGAGTCGATCTCGTGTGGAGGTTGCGATATGGGAAATAACTGACCAAGTACGGCAATTTCTCTAAAACTTCATACGACGCGGGCGACTCGAGATTAGGCCAAGCGTCGAGTAATTCTGCCATCAATTTGGAATGTATCTCCGGATTCTGCATGATGTGGAAGAAGCCAATCGTCATTGCGTTGCCTGTTGTATCCGTTCCGCCAAAGAGTAAATTTTGGGCCTAAAATTATTGATCATAAGTGCGAATAGAGAACGTTATGGCGATCCTACGTACCTCATCTGATAGAGACTTTTTCGATGGTACCTCGCCTGATTTGAATTTCTCGGGCGAAAGCAGGCTATGGTAAATCGTCTCATGCATGCCGTCAAGGGATGAAGGATTTTCTAAGATGCCGTCGATCTGGGTAGACAGTGCGTTTCGAAGGTGAACAAAACCGATAGTATCAGGGTTGAGATAGCGGGTAAGGAACTCGGGGAGACGGTAGAGGAGCTGAAGGACGGGAAAGTGCCGGATAGTCGTCATCATAGGCATGGCACGTTCGAGGCTGAGAAGGATCGGGTGAGAGAAGTCTGGGGAGAGAAGGGCGTCGAACGAGTGAGAGTAGCAGAAGGCAGTGATGATGTCCATGGTCAGGGATTTGAAGGCAGCGTAAAGGTTAACAGGTTTGTCTTTGTAATCCTTCTGAAGGCGGAGAAGTAGGGTGTCAACCTGTAGGGATTGTGAGCTAATTCATATGGGGGAATCGGAGGGCACCTTACCTTTGACTGGATGATACCCTCCATCTGGAGGATCGATCGACGAGAAAAAAAAGGCAAGAGCAAATCTCTCCGTTTCTTTGCAACGGCATGCTCAGTAAATCCGAATGAGGACTCGTCTTGAGCAAAGCAAAAGTAGAAATTTGGGTCTTTGATGAATTTTACTTGAGAGGAGTAGATGGAGAAGTAAGCTTGCGGGCTGCTGAAGTGTAGCTTAAGGGATGCAATTGAGACAAAAGGACGTGACGATGTATGCAACAAGCTCACTTCATTAGGATTTATACGAATGACGGGTCCTGAGTTAGATCAGTAAATTTAGGCTATTGGAGGATCGAGGAGATGTACCATATAATTTGTGTAGTTCTTCGAGTTTCTGGACAAATAGACCGTCGCAGAAAACCTCGTAATAGGTCTGATACCAGCCTGTGAGAGCGGCCAGGCGCGGACCTGGAAATGACTTGAGAGGGTGGAAGAGTAAACGGTAGATTGCTAGGTAAAGGGCATAAGAAAGGAAAAGAGGCAATGCGGCGTCGGTGTAGCTTAGCATTAGGGACATACTAGACGTAATCGTTGGGCGTAGGGCTTATATCCTTCGCCCACCTTTCCATACTCGGTTTAGAAGATGCATTTCAGCTCATGCTCTTGGACGGCTATGGAGCTTGTTTGCGTCACGAGGTGTCTGTTTGCGTCACGAGGTGTCTGTGGAAGAGAATATCAATGCTTGTCCCACTTTCTGATGGCTTGAATCAGTACACTAGGTAAGAGAAGAACTGATGACCGGTAATATCGACATCACCAAAGGACGAGTCGCCTAAAATACCCATTGGTATCAGTCAACAAAAGTCACAAGGAATCTGATTAATATTACTGCGTTCACGGGGTGTTATCGGCATCTGTTAAGCGGGAGATATGACGGGTCAGATGCCTGTGGTAAGTGGCGTTGCCGCACGTTGCCGATAGGCTCTGAATGTGCGGAAGATTGAAAAAGGCGAGTGGCATCCTATAAATAGGTTGTGGATCATTCTATCTATTGTCGGGTCAGCATCGAGAGACGGTTATCTGTATTCACTGTTCAGTGTAATATCGATGCGCATGAAGAATAGTTACAGGAGGTACGTTTATGCGCCTCGGATGACGGCTCTTGAACGTTCGCTGTGACCGTGCGAAATTGCCTTTTTGGTACACTAGGCTTCTTTCCTTCGCCTGGTCGACATGGTAGCGATCTTTCGCTGTTCACACTGTTACGTCAGATAATAGGCTGTGAGTGTAATTATTACCTGGTTTTCAGCATGCATTTGACAAACTAGCTAACGTTCGTACTAAATGGCACTATTCCTGTGCCAATCGTGTTGGCTTTGTTTCCATGAGGGATTCGGTCGTACCTACACGGAACGTTCTTATCAGAGGCATGGATGATGAGGGAACAGCCAGAATAGACGACCCTTACCGTAGGCAAGTAAAAGAAAATCCAAGATGGAAAAGGTAGCTCTCGATAAGTCATGGAATGTGCGATCCAGATAACCAGAACTCGACACCGTAAGGTCCGGAGTCAAAGTTCGCGACACATTTTCCCACGACTCCTTTGTTTCTGTGGCGCGATCGCGGCTTGTTCGCGACCACCTACTTACCATCTTTTTTATGGACCTTGTTTCAAGTTGGAACATTATTGCATACACTTTTGTTTGACTTATTTGCAACACTAGGATGTGTTTGGAAGGGAAGTACTACAAAAAATGGTTCGAGAGCGAAGTGATGACAAAGCAGATTGTTTTTTTTCCTGCTGCCTTTGGATGGTGAAGTTCTTCGCGGATTATACTTCAGACGAGTTTACTACTATGCTCGGACCATCTTCGGTACCATCGACTCTGTTTTCTCGAGGTAAGGCCGTCGGTATGTCCTCTCCTTCTCTCATCATGTTTATCAGCTCGATACTACGGCACTCTCTCAGGAATATCTTCCTCGTGGCATTGAAGAAAAGAAACAAGCGAGATGTAGCTGTGATTTGCTTGAGGAAGTTGTGGCTTTCTTGTGATGTTACTTGATGGCGAAAAATTATGACGCTACCCGTCCAAGATATTCCATTTCCTGATGTATTTCACTGCGTGGTGATCCGGATTAACAATGACTTGCTATCTGTCAGATCACAGTGAAGAACTGCCATCCCTATCAGAATACCGGAATCTGCTTATTCTGCCAATGACCGCGATCGTTGCAAGTGCAGCAGTAGATCCTGGAAAATAACATGCCGATACTGTTTAATGGATGCTGCTTGAGTCTGCGACAGTTTGTTTAAGGGATGCGAGCAAGTGCGAACACCAGCTTATTATATGCACTTCATCGGGCGTCGGTTCTGAAGCTCTCAAGGCTCAGCTTTCTGTCCTGCTAAGATTTCAACTGTTCACATTCTAGTATGTAGCCTTCCTGTCGCTTGTGGTATTCCATTGCTAATATGTATATGGGCGTAATAGCGTGCAAAAATTCCGATGGACGCAAGTTAAATTTTTCCAGTTGCAAGTTACTTTTAAGTGCACAAGTTCGTATCCCCCCCAAGTTAAGTACTGTTTTATATTCATTTGAATCAGTTGTTACCATAGATTTCTGAATAAGATCTGGGGCATGGATTCGGAGCGGGACAAAGCGGCCCCTGAACCGGCCGACATTATTTCGGTCGATGGTGCTTGACACCAGTCTTTCCGTCATTGCGGCCTGAATTCCTCCAGTGTCTATTCATCTTTATCTATTTCTCCATCGCTTACTCAGTGATGAATTCAGATACATCTCCCTTGGGTGTTTGATCTCTGCATTCAAAGCCGCTCAGTCTAAAGAGTAGACAGTCGACTGACTTCGTTATAGATTTGAATGTTCAGGATACTTCAAGATAGCAATAGATCGAGCTCAGTGGGACGCACTGAGAACAACATTCCAGAGAGTTCAAGAGCTCATGACATGGCCCACTGGACAGCATAGGTACTGTATTTCTTCCCAGAATGTTAGTGTTCATATGGTTCATAACATCCGGACGGCTGGACAAAGATTTGTATATCACAGCCTAGGCCTTACGTATTCTGAACCTATAGCCAATAGCAAACTTCTGAAAAAAATTACTAACTTGCGGAAGGAACAAGTGAACTTGGGGGGCTCATAATCAACTTGCGACCGGAAAAACGTGAATTGTGCCTAGGTGAATTTTTTGCACGCTATTACGTCCGTATTCTTCCTAATTTCCAGAAGACGGCCCCAAGTATTCGTTCTCAAGGTTTTCACTCAACAAGCACCTCTAGTTTATCTCGCATCAGCCATCACACGATGTGACTGGGATTGCCAGCCTGAGCAAGCGGCACCAAGGACAAAAATTCGTATTCACTCTGCAGTCAGCATGTTGTCATTACATTTTTTCCTACGTTCCCCTCTCAATGGAGTCGCTGGGACACGCAGTGACATGCCATTCGATCTTTAACACACCAGCCGCAGATGTTATCTTATCCGCCTTTGACCGTTCCTTATGCTTATATCAACCTTACACCGTCTCCCATGATTCAATCTGAGGAGGATCACGACATTCTTCGCTTCAAGCTCAACTCTCAGATCAGACCTCATCATCTTCCATAAGAAGGATAATAAAATGTGTCATGCTGTAATGATTTTTATTATTGACATCGCTAAATTATACGAGCGTCATATCAACACATTGTGCGAACATTGAAATCGCAACTATTCATCACATCGCTCTCTCCCAGCTCAAGTACGATGTCCTCTTGTTTAGCACCCAGCGGGAACGGTAGTATCGTCCACGTAGTTTGCCGCAGACACTCCCAAACCACGACTCGCGAAAGCATTCCAGAGAATGCAAGCATTGGCTCCGTTGTAACGGTTCACATCAGCCTGGATCCATGCATCTCTGGCTTGCACGACTACGTATACCGAGTCAGCGTTAGAACATGCGAGATCTTGGTGCACTTACAGGTAGGGTTGCATGGTTGGAGCGATAACGCGTCGACGAAGAGGTGGAGGTAAACTATATTTCCTTCATTCCCCGTAGCATCATCCATGGCTGTCGAGGACCATCCGTGGGCTTGGACCAGGGCAGCATATACGTTGTGTAGCATGTTAGCCCACACCTCGCCGATAACTGAGGACCAGTTAATGGGTTCCTTAAACGATGATGAACGAGAACACTTACAATGAACTTCGAATAGCCGGGCGAGGTCGGAATATCGGAGAGGGTTCGTATTGGGATCTGTGGAGTAGGGGTAGTGCCGGACGCCATTAGGGCGGTTTGATACCCAGGCTCCAAGAATGTAGTCGGAAATAGTGCCGCTCGTTTGTTCGGTCCATCTGTAGTTTTGTATTAAATTCCTGGTAACGGTGAGAAGAAGAGAATGGAATTGTCATACTCTGCCATCGCATCCGACCATCCTGAGAACCATATCAGCAATCGAGATCAAAGGAAACTGGTAAATATGCACCTTCGCCTAATCCAGCGGATTCGAGCGTCTGTAGACACCTAGCCGTTCCACCTCCAGTCAGGCGATTAGTAACCCCATGGGTCATCTCGTGGACGAGAATGTCGTTTTCTAGGGAACCATCGCGATTGGGAATTGTAAGGTCCCAAATAAACATGCGGCAAGTGCCAGGCTGACCACTGAAAACGTTTATATCAATCAGCTCACAGCGCGGTGAAAATTCGGCGAAGAGCCTACTCGGGGAGAGTCAGGAAGTTGGCATCGTTTACCCCGGCAGCATCTTGGACGGACATCTGTACACGGTCTCCGCCTTGTCCGCCGTTACCAAAGTTGTCTTGCTGGAAGTTGTAGGCGGCCTCGGTGAACCCGTATTGGTAGAGGAAGTCGTGGGCTCTGTTGATGATGTAGAAGGCGTTGGTGCGAGCGGCGTCGACGTTTCCGCCTAGGAGAGGGTCGATGGCTGTGTTGTAGGGGTAGTTGAATACGTTGGCCGAGGATTGCTGAGTTGTGGTGAGGAGTACTCCCTTGTAGGAGATGACGTTGTTGCCTCTGTGGAATGTCAGGGAGGTATCTCATGAGGGGGAGGGGAGGGACAGGATCCTTACGCGGTTTCTCCGTTTTGTACCCAGCCTTGAGGAGAAGAAGAGGGGTTCTCGGGGTTGATGAGAGTTTCTTCGCCTTCTGCGACGGATGCTTCAGTTATTGGTACGACGGTGTACTAGAGCGTCGGTTAGAAGAGCAGAAGGGAGGAGAGATCTAAGATTTACCGTAGCCTGGGAAGAGAAGTCGGTGAGTGCGATGATGTCGCCGGAGTGGGCATCGACGAAGGCTTCGTAGCCGGTGTTGGCGTCGGCGTTGAGGACTTGGACTACGTGGGTGAGGGCTACGGATCCGTCTGAGAGGGCGAGGTATTCGAGGGAGTTGATGCCGCTGTAGGTGGCGGCGAGTGCGTCCTCGACTTTGCTGATGATTGAATCTAGCTGTATGGATGGCTGGGGGGCGGCGATGTTTGCTGTACGCGGTTGTTAGTGATGTGAAAGTCTGGAGAATATGTTACTTACATGTGTCGACGAATGACGAGCCGAAGGAAACAGCATTTCCGTTCTTGAAAGCAACATTTGCGACGGCATTAGCAAATAGAACGCCGTCCTGAAGAAGGGATGTTAGGTTCATATTTATAGCAATAGGACGAAAGACGTACATGGTACTGCTTTGCGTAGGCGTAGCTCACATCGTTCTCAGCAGAGTGACCAGAGTTGAAGGAGATAGTGGAGGCATCGACGCCGAGCTCTGAAGCAATGAAAGAGACGGCGGATGTCTCCAGGTCCCCGCCAGTGAAAGACGAGATGGATTTCCCTTCTCCATAAGTCTGCAAAGGTATGAGACAATGAAAAGAACAATATCATTGTTTTATTACCTTGAAGGTCGATGCGGGATGGTACGTATCGATCGTCAAGTCGCGTCCGATGGTCCTCTGTTGGTGGGTAGAGTGTTTGGAGGAGGTTGGCCAAGGTGCAGCATATGAGACCTTGGCGAAGAGGAGCGCAAGGACGACAGAGGAGAATAGCTGTCTTTGGAATGCGCGCATGGTCAGTTAAGAAAGACGAGGAAAGTCTTTGTGAGTAGAATGCTAGAGCCTGAAGTGGTTTATATAGAGATGAGCCATTTTTCACTGTGCGAAAGGGAGATATGTCCGGTGTATTGGTACATCCGTTGAATAACACGGAACTTTACACAGAGTCCTATTGAAGTGGAAGACGAGTGATGAAGCGAGAGAAGTTCGGGCGGAGTCAGCAAATTGTGGCTTTGATGCTTCCAGGAACATTACCGCTGTCGGTATGATCTGTCAGATCATGACGATCACCGGCAAGTTATCAAGGAAGGCTACTCAGCCGCTTATTAGAAAGAAAGCCAGGCTGTATGGTAGCCGTTGTGGGCTATTGGAGTGAGAGTGAGATGCGAGGTGTGGGGTGGGCTCTTAGATGGAAGGCGACTGCGAGTCGCACTGACCATGTTGAGGGACAAGCAGCTTCCGGTGTCGAGTGATGCATTAACAAGGGGCTGTCGCTTCGAAGTCCTCACGCAAAGGACGGGAGAAGAGCTGGTGAATTCAATAAGCAACAGTATGCGTGTCGGCGGGGGATGAAATTTCGATGAAAGACGTACTTTGTTTATACAGATTTCATCAGTTCCCCGCTGCTTCTAACATCCGCTTCCGACGGTCATGTCATCTCTTGTGAACACAGAAGAAATTTGGTGGGAAGAATAATCCGTAGAAAGATATCGTAGCATATTCAGGTATTAGGAACGTCCGGTCTTGTTCCTGATTATTTTAGTCGCCGGAAAGAAGAGACAGAAAAGTCTGCAGGAAAGTTTGTATACACGATTACTGAACTTTTTTTGCAGGAAGTGTCCAGACCATGCCGAAACATTTACGAACGTGGAAAATATCACGTCGCGGACTGCAATATCCTAGATTACCGGAACGGACCAGAAAATCTTGTGCTTGTGCACTTCGCAGGTGATATGATAAGGTAGAGGCAGGTGAAAAGACGGAGCAACGACCGAGAACACCTGAAGTCGGCCCGAGGTCTTGATTATGACGACGTGGTCAAAAAGTTCTCACGATTTCTTTCTTTGTGACCACCACAATCGTACCATTCTTCTCTCCTCTCCCCCTCTCGCATGCAGGATCCCAATTATATGCACTTTGATGGATTCACTTCGCCTTATTCATGACAAGAGGATGACCCCCGGAACGGAGCAACACGAAAAAAAGAGTCGACAATGAACTGACGATAAGCAGACTGGAAAGGTAGGCGACTTTCGTCAGGTCTGGTGTCTTTCGATGATGATTTCCTCATGAATTCTACTACAGGAAATATTTCTGCAATACTACGTTTGTCTTGTTGGCGTTATCGACACGGTTTTCTCAAGGTAAGAGGCTAGGCGATCCCTCATCGACATCTTTGTTGCTCATCATGGCTATCAGAACTCTCGATATGGCGGCGCTTCGCGGTATATACCATTTCTCTCGCGCATAATTCCAAGAGGTGGTTGAACATCTGCATCTGGAGTCGCAACTTGCCTTTGCTTGCGTGTAATGGCGAAAAGGTGCATGTCGTGCCTCGTCACCTGACGCATCTCATGGTACAGCGCGCGCTCCTCAAGCTCAAAATTCATTCGTTATCATCCAAACTCTCTGAATAATCACCTCCCCAGAGTTCGCTTGTCCCAGATGAAACTCTGACCGTGAGCATGACCATTGCAAGTTCAGCAGTATACTCGGCTGACGATGTGATGAAGGAATAATCATGGTTGACGAAGATGACCGGAAATCAAGATAGTTCATGGATGTTGTGTGTGAGCAAGGGCACATCGCCGACGTCAGATGTGATGCCTTCGAGTTCTGCTGAAGGTTCAAATGTCAAGTCCACGCCGTGGTGTGTTGGTGTGTGGTATTTCGTCTGTTCATGCCGTCAGTTCTTACAGTACTGCTGTTCTAGATGATCTCTGTCATCATTCACTTCCCTACGGCATGTGTTCACATTGATGCGATTCGGATTACCGGAACAACCACGCGGCAACGAGACGATCAACACATGCTCACCCTGTTCTGTCATCTCAGGCCGTCTGTTCTGTCATCTCAGGCCGTCGTTCCTTCTTTCATCGCCTCCACGATGGACCACAGGTCAGCCTATCATCCTAACTTCAGTAACCCAGGCGCCGATGCTGTCTTATCTTCGCTCGACGGTACCCTATACCGTCTCCCATCATCAGTCTTACGACGAACCACCACGTTCTTCGCTTCGAGCTCTTTCACATTCGGACCAGATAACGAGTCTATACCCATCCACGAGCATGATGACATCCTTGAACGACTGCTACGGATTATCAGCGGTCTCGCAATCCCACCTTGGCGCACATTTGACGAACTTGAAGGCGTGCTTAGTCTATTATAATCAAATTTTTGCCCAAATAAGGTATTTGCAGAATCTCCGACAAGACCTCATCCTCTTCCACAAGAAGGATAATATAATGTGTCATGCTGTAATGACTTTTATTATTGACAACATCGCTAAATTATACGAGCATCATGTCGACACATTGCCCAAAAATTCAAAAATGTAGCTATTCATCTCATCTCTCCCAGTCCGAGCACGATGTCCTCCTGTTTAGCACCCAGCGGGAACAGTAGCATCGTCGAGATGGTTGGCCGCAGACACTCCCAAACCACGACTCGCGAAAGCATTCCAGAGGAGACAAGCATTGGCTCCATTATAACGGTTCACATCAGCCTGGATCCACGCGTCTCTGGCTTGCACGACTTGAGGTACCTAGTCAGCGTTGGAAGGTACGAGATCCTGATAAGCACTTACAGGTAGGGTTGCATGGCTGGAGCGATAACGCGTCGACGAAGAGGTGGAGGTAAACTACATTTCCTGCGTTCCCGGTAGCATCATCCATCGCTGTCGAGGACCATCCGAAGGCTTGTACCAGGGCGGCGTATACGTTGTGTAGCATGTTAGCCCATACCTCACCGATATCTGAGGACCACTTAGTAGGTGCCTAATGTAATAGTGAATGAGTGTACGTACCGTGAACTTCAAAAAGCGCATTGAGGGAAGAATATCGGAGTGGGTTCGTGTTGGGGTTCGTGGAGTAGGGATAGTGGCGAATGCCACGAGGGTTGTTTGATACCCAGACTCCGAGAACGTAGTCGGAAACAGTGCTGCTCGTTTGTTCTGTCCATCTGTAGTTTTGTATTAGATTCCTGGTAACGGCGAGAGGAAGAGAATGGAATTGTCATACTCTGCCATAGCATCGGACCATCCTGAAAGCCGTATCGGTGATCAATAGGATTGGGAGCAACAAGGAAATGTATTACCTTCCCCTAATCCAGCGGATTCGAGCGTCTGCAAGCACCTGGCTGTTCCGCCCCCAGTCAGGCGATTCGTAAGCCCATGGGTCATTTCGTGGACGAGGATATCGTTTTCTAGAGACCCGTCGCGACTGGGAATCGCATTCGTCCAAATGTACATGCTGCAAAGCCCTGACTGACCGCTGAAAACCCGTCTATATCAGATTGTGGTGCCGCATAGATTCAGGGAGCGACCTACTCGGGAAGGGTGAGGAACTCCGCGTTGTTGACATCGGAGACATCTTGAACGGATATTTGGACGCGGTCTCCGCCTTGTCCGCCTTTACCGAAGTTGTCTTGCTGGAAGTTGTAGGTGGCCTCGGTGAAGCCGTATTGGTAGAGGAAGTCGTGGACTCTGTTGATGATATAGAAGGCGTTGGTACGAGCGGCGTCGACGTTTCCGCCTAGGAGAGGGTCGATGGCTGTGTTGTAGCGGTAACTGAATATGTTGGGTGAGGATTGCTGGGTAGTGGTGAGGAGTACTCCTTTGTAGGAGATGGCGTTGTTGCCGCTGTGGAATGTTAGGGAGATATATTTGGGGAGGGGACGCTAGCCTTACGCGGTTTCTCCATTCTGTACCCAGCCTTGAGGAGAAGAAGAAGGGTTCTCAGGGTTGATGAGGAGTTGTTCGCCTTCTGCGACGGATGCTTCGGTTATTGGTACGACGGCGTACTAGAGCATAGTTAGACATATGCGAAAGTAAGAATTATGTTAGGGATTACCGCAGCCTGGGAAGAGAAGTCGGTGAGTGCGATGATGTCGCCGGAGTGGGCATCGACGAAGGCTTCGTAGCCGGTGTTGGCGTCGGCGTTGAGGACTTGGACTACGTGGGTGAGAGCTACGGATCCGTCTGAGAGGACGAGGTATTCGAGGGAGTTTATGTCGTTGTAGGTGCCGGAGAGAGCGTCCTCGACTTTGCTGATGATCGAGTCTAGCTCTATGGATGGCTGGGAGGAGGCGATTTTCGCTATACGCGGTTGTCAGTGATATGGAGGTCGACGCAATACGTTACTTACGTGTGTCGACGAATGAGGAACCGAACGAGACAGCGTTGCCGTTCTTGAACGCAACGTTGGCGACGGCATTGGCAAAGGGAACACCGTCCTGAGTATAGGACGTAAGGGGTATGGTTATAGCAATTAGATGGAAGGCGTACATGGTATTGCTTCGCATAGGCGTAGCTCACATCGTTCTCAGCAGAGTGACCAGAGTTGAAGGAGATAGTGGAGGCATCGACGCCGAGCTCTGAGGCAATGAAGGAGACGGCGGATGTCTCCAGGTTCCCACTAGCGAAAGACGAGATGGCTTTCCCTTCTCCATAAGTCTGCAAAGGTATGAGACAATGAAAAGAACAATATCATTGTTTTATTACCTTGAAGGTCGATGCGGGATGGTACGTATCGATTGTCAAGTCGCGTCCGATGGTCCTCCGTTGGTGAGTGGAGTGTTTGGAGGAGGTTGGCCAAGGTGCAGCGTACGAGACGTTGGCAAAGAGGAGCGCAAGCAGTACAGAGGAGAATAGCTCTCTTTGGAATGCGCGCATGGTCAGTTAAGAAAGACGTGGAAAGTCCTTGTGAGTAGAATGCTAGAGCCTGAAGTGGTTTATATAGAGATGAGCCATTTTTCACTGTGCGAAAGGGAGATATGTCCGGTGTATTGGTACATCCGCTGTATAACACGGAACTCTACAGAGAGTCCTACGACGGTGGAGGACGAGTGATGAAGCGAGAGAAGTTCGGGCGGAGTCAGCAAATCGTGGCTTTGATTCTTCCAGGAACATTGTTGCTGTCGGTATGATCTGTCAAATCATGACGATCACTGGGAAAAGTTATCAAGGGAGGCTACTCACCCGCTTATCAGAAAGAAAGCCAGGCTGTATGGTAGCCGTTGTGGACTATTAGAGTGAGGCAGAGATGCGAGGCCTGGGGTGGACTGTTAGATGGAAGCCAAGTGAAAGTTTCGTTGACCAGGTTTGATGGAAAGCAGCTTCTGGTGTCGAATGGTTGCAATAGCAAGGGACTATTACCTCGAAGTCCTCGCGCAAAGGACGGGAGAAGAACTGGTGAACTCAATGAGCAACAGTCTGCATGTCGGCAGAGGATGAAAGCCTACAGATTCCATCAGTTCCTCGCTGCTTCTAACATCCGCTTCCGACGGTCATGTCATCTCTGTGATGGGCCTCGTGAACAATAAGAAGAAATTTGGTGGGAAGAATAATCCGTAGAGAGATATTGTAGCAGATTCAGGTGTTAGGAACGTCCGGTCTTGTTTCTGATTATTTTAGTCGCCGGAAAGAAGAGATGAAAAATTCACATGAGCAAGAATACTGAACTGAACTGTTGTGTGTTTTTTTTGCGGAAAGTGTCCAGAGCATGTCGAACCGTTTGCAAAGGTGGAAGACATCACGTCGCGGGCTGCAATATCCCATTATCGGAGCGAACCAGAGTATCTTGTACACTTCGCAGATTGATGATGATAGGATATCATCCTCCCCTCGACCGGTTATGACAACTACCAATTATTATGTTGTGACAAAGCCTAGAAAGTTAATTTTCAGCATTGAATACTTATTTTGGGGAAATGCCTACATGTCGTATGGCTTGCAAGTTTATTCACTGCTGGGGCCGGTTCCTTTTACAGACGGAAAAAGGTATTCTAAAATGTCGTGAATTTTTGTTCCCTTTGTATGGCACGAAAACAGGATACGGAAAACGCAATGAAAAATTTGTACTATTAGTGCTCACCGCTCCTTTCACGTACCGAACACAGAATTACTCCGAATGAAAAGTGGTTTCCTTTGTTCTGACTGCGGGAGACGCCTTTTTCATTCCGTTTTTCCTGTCCTTTTTCTTCGCCTCAAAGAATACGGAAATTATCTCAAACTCATTTTTACTATTAGAAGTTCAAATGAAATGTCACGACATTTTGAGGTCTTGTTTTTCCGCAAAGAGAATGTACTGGCTTCAGCAGTGAGTTCAGCAAGAGGCGCGCAGTCCACTGGTGCGGTAGATGACGGAGGGACGACGGAGGTCACCGGACGTCGGCCCGAGGTTCTGTTTATGACGACGCGGTCATAACTTTCCCACGATTTCTTTGTTTGTGACCACCATTGTCCCATTCTTCTCTCCTCTTCCCCTCTCCCACATGCAGGATTCCGACTATGTGTGCTTTTATGAATCGAATTTCTCTTACTCACGACAAGAGGATGATCTTCGGAATGGAACGACGCGAAGAAAACAGTCGAGAACGTTGCGAGAATGAACTCATGGCGAGCAAACTGGAAAGGTAGGCGACTTTTGTCTAGTGTCTTTCGATGATAATTTCCTCAATAATTCTATTTTAGGCAAAATTTTTGAAGCTATCTTCGTCTTGTTGGCGTTATCGACGCAGTTTTCGCAAGGTAAGAGTCCAGTCGAGCGTTCGTCGACATCTTTGTTGCTCATCACGGCTATCAAGAACTCTCGATACGGCGACGCTTTGCGATACATACCATGTCTCTCGCGCATAAATCCAAGAGGTGGTTGGACATCTGAATCTGGAGTCGCGATTGCCGTCGCTTGCGTGTAATGGCGAAAAGGTATGCATGTCGTGCCTTGCCATATTTTTCCTTTCCTGACGCATCTCATAGTACAGCGCGCGCTCCTCAAGCTCAACATTCATTTATTATCATCCAACTCTGAAGAGCTGCCTCCCCAGAAATCGCTTGTCCGAGATGAAACTCTGACCGTGAGCATGACCATTGCAAGTTCAGCGGTATACTCTGCTGACGACGTGACGAAGGAATAATGATGGTTGGCGAAGATGACCCGAAATCAAGATAGTTCGTGGACGTTGTGTGCAAGCAAGGGCCAATCGTCGACCTCAGATGTGATGCCCCCGAGCTCTACTGAAAGTTCAAACGTCATGTTCATGCCTCGGTGTGTGGTATTTCGTCCGTTCATGCCGTCAGTTCTTACAGTACTGCTGTTCTAGATGATCCCTGTCATCATTCACTTCCCTACGGCATGTGTTCACATTGATGCGATTCGGATTACCGGAACGGCCATGCGGCAACGAGACGATCAACACATGCTCACTCTGTAGAGTCACCCCAGGCCGTCCTTCTTTCATCGCCTCCACGATGGACCACAGATCAGCCTACCAGCCTACCTTCAGTAACCCAGACGCCGACGCTGTCTTATCTTCGCTCGACGGTACCCTATACCGCCTCCCATCCTCAGTCTTACGACGAACCACCACGTTCTTCGCTTCAAGCTCTTTCACATTCGGACCAGATGGCGAATCTATACCCATCCACGAACACGATGTCATTCTTGAACGACTGCTACGGATTATCAGCGGTTTGGCAATCCCACCTTGGCGCACATTTGACGAACTTGAAGGCGTGCTTAGTCTAGCGGAGACGTGGGGAGCGAGAGGTGCACTGGATATCGTTCGCGCATCGATAACTGCCCCGGTATTCCTGCGGGAGCCACTCCGGGTGTATGCGATAGCGACGAGGTTAGGGTGGGAAGAGGAAGTCGCGCTTGCATCGAAGCATACACTGAGTTTATCTCTGAATGACGAGCAGCACCAGGAGGCACTGCAGCGGATTCCGACGCGTTCGTTGGTCAAGCTGTTCAAGTTTCACCGGAAGAGGCGAGATGAGTTCCAGAAGGGTATGGAATGGGACGCGAGGTGTGGGGGTTGCGATAGATCGGTTGACGGGTCGGTGTGGGTGGCGCTGGTGTGGAAGATGTTTTGGGATATGGATGCGAGGCCGTCAGGGGATAGGCTGTGTTCGCTGGAGATAGAGGAGTGGCCGGAGATGGAGGCTTGTCTGTCCGAAAAATGCCCGGGATGTGGAAGGTTTGTGTATGATAGGTTGGAGGTGCTCGAGAGGGTGAGGAAGTGTCTGGCTGAGTTGCCGGATACGGTGTGAGGTTAGGGTGACTCGTTATTCTTTTGGTTTTCGCTAACGTTGTGCTCGCTAGTGGTGCCGGAGGAACGACCAGTTTTTCTCGTTGATACAGTTTATTCTTTGATATATCAATGCATATACTTACGAAAGGTCAGCATCGTTTCCTTATACCCCTTCTGGATGTAGCTCTGATAGATGATATCCAGCAGTATCGGCCTACGAAATGTCCAATACTATATTGTGTTGACTTTTTCCATGTATATAAGGCCGGGCTTGTTGTCTGGTTCGTGATTCCCTAATTTCCTGGAAATATTACACGCAACGCAAGATTAGTATCATCAATCATGGTCCAATATGACGCATCATTTCACTGGTGGCTCGGTCTGATTGACAATGAGCTCGCTGTTTTGGGTAGCTGCCTCTTGACCACTGCCAGTATCTGTCCTGGGCAACGCCAGACGACGTTCGTTCGTCCCAGTGAGATTAGCTTGCGAAACGGCCTGATCATTGTGGGTGCGGCCGATATTCAGTCACCGGTACGAAGCTAATCACGGAAAGGTACGCGCTCAAAGTCTCGGTGGATGCATAGGGCATTGCATGAGAGTAAGAAGTCACACGTTTAACCCAAAGATACGTGCGTGAACGTGTTTTCCATATCCCTTTCTCCTGACGAGCGTCCATATAACCCAGACGGTCCAATGCGGGGTATCTGTCGACGGTGGAACTGCCTTCAAGCCATCATAGACCGAGCAGCTGTTTCTGCGGTGATTTCTGCCTGAGATTCTCATTGGCGAAGCTTATATCTTCTTTGCTCGGATTTGACGGACAGTTTCAAAGGCTTGATATTGCATTTGTGGTGTACTAGTTAGCGTCTAGTCCTCCCAGTGTAGACCACAGTGGAGTTCGGAGTTCGATTCTCCGCTAATGCATCCCATTGGTATTGTTTGATAACTTTTTTTCCGAAATATTTTTCTTCGGCGAGGAAAGATCCAAGAATCCATAAATTCATGGATTCAGTGGCCCTAATGTCTTCATAAATCCCTATGCATAGATTGTTTCAGTTCGTCATTTTTTCTCGTTCATTGGCGATTCTACACTTTCATGTCTTATTCCGTCAATAAAGAGTCCCTTTCTCCGGGATACATGCCCTACTTCGACGCTTTCAACATCGCCCGGGAGTCTGGACGATGCTTCGTCGACCGACAATCGTACGACACGCTACCGCAGCGATTATAGACACACATGCGGGATCACGCGGGGTTCTAAATTGCTGAATACTTCAAATGGGTTCTGCTCAGTGCTCAACTTATTCAAAAAATTATCATCATATGAATGAGGCTCGACTTTATTCTCTTCACTATCGTCTTTGGCCGGACTTTTATCAGTCTATACATACTTAAAAGAAACCTTAAGTCATACTATCGGCTCGTCAATGGGTACTGTGGCTGCTTCGGGCTTCGTCAGTGGTCGCTGCAGCTGGCTAGTGAGCGTAACCTTACGTGCGACGGCCGTCACCATTCTACTATAACACTCGAGGGTTCAACGTTCAAGCGTGAAACCGCATTAACGCTGTAAAACGTAGTCATCGATGACTCTGAGAAGGGCGCCTCGACGCATGGGAAGGTTTACCGATGACGATATGAATTTAGATCTATAGCTAAGCTATCTACGTATGTTGGTCGTGTCGCATATTCATGACTGCAAGCAAGTTGAGAAGAATAGCGCTGTACTGGGAATAAGATGTTCGAGTTACAACTAAAAAAACCGTTCAAAGAATGTATACTAATCAATAATATTCAACTCCCGCTTCCTGGTCCTTGCAAACTCATCCTTGTGGGTATCCCAAATCCTGAGTCATCATTTATGACCGTCGCTAAGAGCTCAGGGGAAAGAGAAAAGCGTACCGCTGCAGTTCCGCGATGTAAAGAGTCTGGATGCGTCGAACCTCCTCCATGTCTGGTTGATTGACTCGTTTCACGGGTATGGGTCGTCAAACTGAGGAAAAGCTTGTCAGAGAATCTGTAATGGGGCACGCCTCAAAGACTCACCGACGGCAGTTATTCTCTGCCTATAGGGGAGTAGCCCGAGATTGTCTAAAGCATCCATTGTCAGAGAGGCGCCGGGGGGGGGAAACAGATAACGCACAATTGAGCAGCCCTCTTCCGTGGAGCAGAGACAAGGTAAAACCAAACATCTCCAGAAGTTTCTTCTGGAACATGTAAATGACACTCCCCTTCTCGTTGGGCAATTGCGAGAGAATCTGACGGATTTATGGAATTTTATTTTCAGTTGGCTGCATTTTCATGGGAAAACAAAACGTACGTCGTTTTCTCCGGAGAAGACCGGTACGAGGTCCGCTCTTCATGAATGAGTAAACAAAAAGTTGATTAAAGGATCCTAGACGCCGACCCTTCCTGTATAGCAAGCTTGATGAACCCTAGCCTATGGATGATTTCAAAAAAGCATATAGCGACGATAACTGTAAGATAAAGTACCGTTTACGAAGAGTCAAGTCGGCGGTTCCTGGATGAGCACTCAGGATCTCTGCGGCCCCTCCCACTACGATGGTGATAGACTGTCCTGGCCCGCTCTGCAGGATGTTAATGCATGATCTCTTACTCATGCTCCCCATTCCCAGGTGTATCATACATTCCCGATAGAACGGAAGTTTAAAGTTGCTAGAAAGAGTGAGAAGATGAGTTGTAATCCCAGGGAAAAGTTTGGAGACTCCAGTCGCTAAATGTTTGTCGAATGAGAAAAAAATTGAAACAATGAGATGAGCTATGGTAACATACTATCGGTAGCAAAGTTTGCAAAAGCTCCCCTGGAGATAACCTTGAGCTTGGTGGGAACGTAAAGCAAACCAAAGTTGAACCGCAAACGTACGTGCCAATAATACCTATTCGTAACCTGTTTGAGAACTTTTTAAACATTCGTAGTGATGATGTCGACATACCATGGGGGTGATAACCAAAAACATAAGTGCGACTGGGCGGCAAGTCTGCTTCCTACAGTGTAATGGTCAAAGCCCCATTCTCTCATCAGCGACGGACCAACCTTCAAGCATCTGGATGGGGGAAGTGTCAAAGTAGGTCCGAAAACGGAAGCCAACGTGCCGCCTCACGTGATAGGATAGTACGCCACGAAGTACCTCCACCATGAACACCGACGGTACCAGTGCCAGACCCGCCCTCCGTGCTCAGGTGACTTGTCGAGGCAATACACCCATATCATATAACAAGTAACGGGAGGCCACAACGGTGGAAAGGAACTGGATCCCCGTCAGCTCCGTCACCCCAAAATGCGATGCCAACGTACTACAGGAAGATGAACAGCGTGCAGCACTTGAGTATCAGGAAGGACCAGGAGGCTATCGCCAGCATTTCCAGCCCTCTCTGGGCAGGTATCGAAGATGGAACGAAGCTGCAGGACGCTCATTTCAGCACACCATCAAAGCTCCCGAACAAAATGATACGAACTCGATATTGTCATGAAGCGATTTCTTTACAGTGGTAAACCGCGTCTTTGCGAACCCCGAGAGCCACTTGGAAAGTGACGGCTTCGACCGTGGTGGAGACTCCAGAGAGGGCTTCTTCGACATTTCCTTTGTTGTAGTTCCCAGTAGAAACCGGACTGCGGCAATTTAGGAAACTAGACTAGCAAAGTGAGTTCCATGTGACAATCTCTGCGTCAAATAGCGTTACTCGTAAAGCACATTTATCGCACAATTATTGAAGTATCTGATCGCCATGTATTCATCTCTCATAGAACGTACAAAAAAAACAAACCACCGTCAGCACTATCCTCTGCGAAGCCTGCAGTTCAGGAGGCAGCACACGCTGTAGCACCAGACGACTCAAAAACGACTCGCTCTTTGTTTCCTTGAGTGATAAAGATCGACGGGCCGGATTTGAGCTAGCCCTCGACAAGCATGTACTTTGCTCAAACTCCTCGGTCATCCAGTAACGATTAGATGAAAGATCTTCGAAGAAAAAATCAAACCCTTCCCTTGTATCGCGTAAATCTCTCACACTTTCGCGGGAGAAGCTCTTCTTTTCTTAGAGAGCATGTGCCCGTTACTAATCAGCAGAGACGTGGAATACAATATAACCGGTTGTAGGCATGAACGCCCACGATGTAAGTCCGTAGATATAAATACTGCATCTTCTGGTCATATATTTCTGACCTGGCCATCAGAATAACTGATTGTACTGATGGAAGGATCTCATTCCAGATTTTTTAAATGCAATAACTTGAAACTTGACTTGAACTTGACACGCAGAAAAGGTGTGTGATGCCATATGACCTAAGGATTTGAGCACCTTAGATATACCTAATGACCGTCGGGGAAAGGTGCGACTCCGAACCATGCAACTTTGCTCTTCGCATATTGAACGGACAGACGAGAATAGATGAACGCGGTATAAAGAACGGTCACGTGATAGTTTAAACATAGAGATTTTTCCGGCTGTCGTCGATAACTATACCCCATGGAGTCAATCCATCTATCTAAATCTGAGAGGGGGTCAAATGCCTGCCTCTCGCCATGCCGGAATGTAGGTGACTGTAGGCGCATAGTTCGCCCAGCAGTGACCACCTAGGTTAATATCTCCGATATGTAGTCCCACTGCCGCTACACGTCCTGATTTCGCAAGTTCTCGCTTGTTTATCCCGGCTACCCCTTATTTCTCTATGGCGCTCCCACAGGATTGGTGCCTCCTTGTGGCACAGGCACTAGTCTTTTCCGGGTTTTTCTTACTGAATTCCTTTGGGAATACTGTTTTATTTGAATGAATAAATATCCTTCCGGATGATTGTGATCATGCTGTCATTAAAAATGTTTGCACGGAATCTGTGCGGAACTTCGGAAACTTAGTTGAGGCGGTAAAAGTCAATGTGCATTCCCTTCTGGGTACTTAATTGAAGGTTTCTCTATTCTAGCATTCTCGAGTGAACCATACTATCTCCTCGGATCGATTGGATAATACTCGCCCTACTCCACGGATTAAAGAGAAACATATCAAGTTTCGTTTTCGTTCAAGGCTTTTATGAAGGTGAATTTGTGGTTGGCGAGTGACGGTGATTGGTCTACATTGTGTGATTTCGTCTGTATTCAAATATTCGTAATTTCTAGGCTCTAGTACCGTGTTCGTGGTGCGGCTCTTCGCCAAGCTTACGTTAACCGCTTCCTGTTGTAAAGTTCCTCTTTTCGGACTTTGTTATCAACGTAGGTTGGTCATTGGGCCTCGGGCAGGGCATAAAAATGTAATCACACGCACATACAAAGAAGTTATCTCGCATGTGCTTCTAAGGAACAGAACCATGGGTTTGGTTTTGGCTTCACGCGCTGTTTGAGAGAACCTGTCTGGAGACAATCCGAAGGAAAGCTCGTATTCAGTACGCATGAGAAAAATCGCAGTTCATGGACAGTGTAGCATTCCCATTTATCCGAGACAGCGTATATATGGTTTACGTGTTCTGGAAGACAGAAGCTGATTCGATGTGAGGGCAAGAGAAGAGGACGTTGCGACGTCACGTTTTGTACGGGTGGAGAAGGTGTAGCAGAACAAAACTTGAATTAATGCCAGCTTTTTGTTCGGGAACGGATATACATGAAGTGCTCTTTCTCCTCTTCATCCGCCAACTTCAAGTTGTCGACAAGGCCTCCTCTGGGAGAGGCACTCGTCGGTGGAGTTATCAGTTTCTAGAACTCGGCGGGGCTGCAAAACGTTATCTTGTTCCGCTTGCCTTGGGACTTAAATTCGCATCCCGGGAATATGTGACTTCTTGTTATAACGGACATAGTGTCTTCATACCTGATGTTTCAAGGTCAACCTAGGAACGGTAGAAAGAATTAGACCTGATGCTGATATGAAGTGCTTCATATTTAACCGCGTGAGCATGAAATGGCAGTCAGCAGAACTAGGCAGCGTACACTTTGAGGGATAGTGATACAATTTGCGTCGGCCGGCCGCTCCAGAATGATTGGTCGATACATTATAAAAAGAAGGCCCAGGCCGGTGGCTTGGGGCAAAATTTCAACTTAATAACGGGCATAAATGAGTGAGTACCTGAAGAAGAAATCATACACTGAGTCAATGGTTCATTTCCATGTCGTTGGCCTGAGCAGCCGGACTGGGGAATAGATCCTGCGAGTGCCCATTACGTGAATATCGTGATTCAGCGAAGTGACGGTCTCGACTCTGTTCCACCTCGTGCTCAAGATTTTTTACATGAGTAAGCCCGAGTTCCTGGCGCGTCAAAGACAAATGCCGCATCACTATAAGGGTTCAATGTTCACCTGATAAGACTTGTGTTCATCAATATTCTTACGGGCGACGGTCCGTCTTGAGGGTTCCTATGGTGAACCACTCAGGAATGTGCGGGACCGCCAATAGAGAACGTGGACTCACCCATGATAGTGCTATCCTCGTGCTCGTGCATCCTGAGAGTTGCTTGACGAAAGTGTGGACGTCATACTACCCTAACGTACAGGAAAAATCTAATGATAGGCTTCAAGGTCGGCTCCGTAGAGCCAGGGATCTGCCTTATCATTATGATATCGGAACATGTTTCAACGCAGTGAAGAACAGATACAGAGAAACCCCGTTGTCAGCACGCATTAATTAATACTGACATTTGACAGAACCTAAGAAGCTGTTCATTAAATGTAGAGCGGCATATTCTGAGTTTAAAAGTCCAGCTTACATAGATCAGAATACGACTTGTGAGCTAGCTGTCCCTTTTCTTGGCGCACGAGAAGTTGCAAGCGAAGGTCTTCGACAAGTCTGATAAAATCATAAAATCTCCACAGCCACTCGGAGACCAAACTCCGAGTCACGTAAGAGCTCCCTCCAACAAGTACAAAGCTTTGGCGACACAAATTAGAGGGCAGCAGTATTTGCCCATGGCCAGGCGCAAGCGACGTTACGTTGCGGTCTGAAATCGAGCAAATACTGATGTGGCTGTGCGTGAGAAGATGAAGTAAAATTTCATCTTGCGATCATCGACATGTCGCCAATCACGCATTAAACATAGAGGTTCACGTTCTGTTAACGTTGCGCTCATGACTCTGTATCTCTCTCTGAAGATCCTCAGCTGACCCCCAAGGCTAACGCCACCAACTGAGACGAGGTCTTTCGGATTCCCTTACTAGGCGACGAGCACATTGGGCTGACTTGGGCTGACTGGCTAGCTGGGTGCCTACATGTCAGTAATTACCCTTCTCAGCTGGCGATGGGAAGCGTACTCCTCGGTACAGATTATTGAAAACCTTCTTCGGTTATGATATCGAGCCCGAACACTAGGATACTGCGCACTCAAAAACATTCTTCTGTGGGAAAATGGAATTGGCAAGTATACCGGTTCTGACTGTGTATGACTACTGCTCGCTTATTGGTTTACTATCCTCAATCTCATGCCAATGGGACTGGTCGCATATTCAAATTCAAATTCTATAGATAAAAGCTCTGAGTCGAGTCAAACTGTACGAACTGCTCACCGGCTTGATGTGATTGGGTGTGGATACAGTTCTGGAAGGATCCAGTAACCAATTCGGATTCCTCCCTCAATTTATCTTACTTCTTAACCCGTTTAAGGCATCAGCATGAAAAGATCTTGAGATAGCCCCTCCCGATATATAGTCCGTCAGCTGTATATCCCAAATAAATAGCGGGCGTAGCTGGAATTGATAAAAGGCGGGCGGCATTTCTTCGTCAAGCTCTTCAACTTGCACCTACACAGATATCTCCCTCTTGCCTCTACTAATAACCATGTGCACTTCATCATCATCCTCCGTCCTATTCTCGGGACACGACACTTCGCATGCGAGACCGTCCATGAATACATCTGTCCCGACTCGTGGAACCAGCGAGCCCCAATGCTGTCATTGCGGTTGGAGGGGTGCTCACGCACCAGGATGCCCCTTCAAGTAACGAATGAAATCAGTTTTCCGTGCGCATTTTTTTGTGCTTCTCTTCCGTCGTTTACCATAACTCATTGCCATCAGACACCTCACCCACAGTATTGTTTTCGAAATCATTGCTATATCTACTTTCTGTTACCGCTACCGCATCTTGTTCTGCTACATACACGTCTTAGCACTCTTATTTATTGGACCCCGCCCCTTTCTGACATCATTTACTCCATATACTAGAGCGCAGCACAGTTTCGTTCCGTCGCTACATAGCAATCGTACAACTGCACCCGGCGAGCCCGAGATCGTACCTGTTCTGTCATGGGATCTTCTACTCCGTAATCTCCTGAAGACACGAAAAAATGTCTGTGGGAAAGCTTCCCTGCATGCCGTCATTCAGTCCGCTTGAATCATTACCGAAGGACTTGGGGAAGAAAAAGAGGCTGATCACCCGACTGCTAAAATTTAACTCGGACTTTGCCTCGGTGTCCCCTGCGTCCCAATGACTTGCTCCTCAGCTCCGAAATCACCATGGTGATAATCAGGTTAGACACGAACCCCCTCTCGATGTGCTCTGGGAGTTACTGTGGTACTAATTGCCTTCTCTACCTGGAAGCTGCCGAGGTAACCCATGCGACTAGGAGCTCCACAATACAGATTACTAGTCCCAGGACATGGAATACTTTTGAATTCAGATCTACTCCAACGCACGTTCCCTGCTTCAGCAGGGAATTCTTAGTCGGACTCCGTACCCAATTTCGGGTTCCACACTTACAGTGTATAAGCATTTTCGACGTCGGTATCCTTCTACCATGGGAACGCCTGCATATGGCATCCCCTTTTTATTAACTCTGCTCCGTGCGTTATCAAGCCACACAAAGATGTTCCAACCTTGTCCGGAGAAAAATACACATCGCCGCCCACAGTTACTTCTAGCGGTGCGGCCATTTCCGACCCGGGTGTGAGCAGCAGTAACTATAATTAATGATTATATTCAAACTGACTGATCTACATGGTGCATTTGTATTCGCGGGTGAAAATAGCTTGAAATCGCGTCTAAGTATTTGCCTAGATGACCTCACTCTGCTGGAAGGGACAGAATTGAAATAGCGCCCTAATATTACGTTATAGCTAGAACGCTGGCCTCCCCGCCTATACGATCAGTGTCGGTAACGGGAGTAGTAAATGAAGCAGAAATAGTATTTACAACGGCGACCTTCTATAATGCGAATTGCAATAGTGCGCGTATCGGCATGGACGGGCTACCAGATCGTACTTGGCACCACCAGTTGCATGGAGGCGGCCGACGGAGGTATGTGATCACTATGGCCAATACGAAGATAACTAACAGTAAGACTGAAATGAGCAAGCGCAAGCAGTTGGTAGCACCGTTAAAATCAAAAGTGCGCAGCAATCTTATAATATGTTCAGTAGTAGACGTATCACCCTTTGGCGGTGTATCCAAGGCTTGGGACTCCACAGTCAGATCCGACTCAGTACCAGAGGTGCGGGAACTTGCGGAAAAGGATAGCGTCGATTCGGTTTCCGTAAGAGAATCATCCTCTCGAGGTAAGAAGACGGGCTGTGATAATAATCAAAAACCCGGGTACTCATATAGCGCACATGCCTACAGCTTTGCACTTGCGCTCGGATTCTTCCAGACTGGAGAACGTTTCTGTTCGCTCGTCAGGATCATTAGATTAAGAAAGATATAAAGCTTACTTCAACAAATGCCCTCAAACCTTCCTGTATCGACATGACATATTGGTTGGGCGCTTATAGGAGTGAACTGTGTGGTACTTACCTTTAAGTTTTCATCTCTCACGAAAAGTCTGCTGCTCTCTACACTCCACGATGCATCCAATACGGAACGATTGCTGTCTTCAGCGAGAATCAGCGCTCTCTTCGTGGTCTGTACCGAGTCAGGGGAGCATTTCTCAACAAGCTCCCTGGCGTATCCGAGAGCCGTCGGCAAGACAGCTGTCGAAGAAGTCAGCGTATTGATGCTAATCATGGGAAATGTCATGAGAAAAATGAAATCAATTAGCCTGAATAACTCACAATCCGAACCTCTCATAAGCGTCTTTTGCCGTTATTGTCTTACCAAGGAGTAACATCTCGCTGGCCCGCTAAGAAAATAAAATTTGAAGACGCTAAACCCGAAACTCTGAAAACCGAAGCGAACAAATAACATACCTGATGTCCGGCAATATGCGCTAACCGAGGTATACCTGATGATACAGTTAATATCAATCAACTCAGAGCCAACGCATCGCACCTCCTTGGAGAGCCACCACGCCCCTTCTCACCTCCGGAAGGGCAAACTTTGCATTCTCATCCGCGACGACTAAGTCACAATTCAACAGAATCTCCATTCCTCCACCGTACGCACCCCCGTTAACAGCAGCCACAATGGGCTTCGCCGTGAGCCTCCTAGAAATACTTGCAAATCCATATTTGTTCGCACTGATATCGGCCTGATCGCTTGACGCAGCACGAACAAGACGGTTATCCCACCCCTTCAGATCTGCTCCAGCACAGAACATGCGTCCAGCCCCTGTCAGAACCAGAACCCTAATGCAAATTCCGTCAACATCAGAACGGGATCAAAACCACAAGACTGACCACAACTCCCTCTCACGCTCGAACCAATCGAGCACAGCACACAGCTCGTCTGCGAGCTCAGAGGTGACAGAGTTGAGGGCACCCGGATGGTTCAGGGTAAGCAGGAGAATGTGGGGGGAAGGGAAAGCGAGGATAAGCTCTGACGAATGTGGGGGTGGCGAGGACATGGTGGGGAAAACGAGGGAAAAACGGATAATAGATGATCTGGTTCGATCGGAAATCGGACCGGGATACCGATCAGATTACTCATTGTCAAAGCAACCCAGCGCAGCTACGCTCAAACCGCGCTGCGTCCACACAGATGGTCGAATTTATGAGACGGTCCAGAATATTCTCTTTGGCTGAAGTGTATATCATTACGCTCCAATTCCATGGCTACAGTCCGTGAATTTCCTGTTTTTCTACGCGTTCTCAGATAATCGAAGATGCAAATTTATTTGTCTTGCGTTCCAAGTTGACCCTGTGATTGCCCTGTGATCTTTTCTTGCCAAATAACAGCAGGAAGTCCGAGCATGCGTGTCACCTATTTTCCGAAGAAAGTGAGGAACACTTCTTCATTTAACAGCTGATCCGACGCTGAGTAAGTACAATGTGCGGTTTGCACACGACGAAGAGCAATCGAATGAACGCCTTCTCATGGACGCAGCATCAAGGTAGGAGTAGGACACCGAGTCTGAGAAGCTCGATGTTGACTTCGATAAGAATGACGGTCTGGAAGCGATAAAGACCGGCAGGCATGAGTGCAGCCGGATGGCGGCCATCAATCCAGATTCTAGAAAGACTTCGAGATAAAACGCCCGTTTTGCACCCCGTTTCCGTGTAGAAGAAAGCGTGTCGTTGAACAGTATAAAATTTAGAGAGAACTCAGTGAAGGATGTGATAGCATATAAACATGCATCCGCATGTTATACGCGTCGATTCAGAAAATAAAGGTCTCGCCGATGCTCCTCCCGTGAATAATCGAAGACGACCCACATTTTTCAGCAACATTCGTATTCTGATTCCACGGTAAAGGGGTATGTGCCTGTGGAACGGAAAATCGCGTGAATATGCAGGCAGTACAATGTATTCGAGGCAGTAGAGATCGCCGTGGTTTGGACTCTATGCCGGCTAGTAGCGCCCTGAACCAGGCTCAGGGTAGAGTAGCATCATTCCTTCCCTGGAGCGGATGTCTGCCCTTCTCTACCGGTGGCGGTAAGACCAGTTAAATGAATACAAGGGCTCCGGGAAAGTACGGAAAAAATCACTTTGGTATTGTCGGTAGGAGGCTGATCTTGGCAAGAACTGGCTCTGTACCCGGCACCTAAGTCATCTGAGAACGGGGTTTGGGGGCAGGAGTTCAAGACAATGGAACCTTGTTAATGCCTGGAAGTTTCACAACATGAGATTCACCTTTCGAGGCTCGGAAACGGAAGCGAAAGTTGAACTGCACGCGGTATGATATTATATGAGACCACAAGGTCGTGAATGCCACCTATAATGACAGAAATAGTGGCGAAGTTGCCTAGAGAGTGATAGACAGCCTGCTGAATACGAGTCTGAACGACCAAGAAGGAGCCGATGACGTCGAGAACGGGATTCATTATCATAACTTGACATAGTAGACGCGAATAGGGCTTGTTTTGGGCTTGTTCCCTTCGTAAGGCTTCTGCCTGAAGTCATACGCCCTCGAACTTAATCACCCCATAACAAAATTGAGTATCAGCGCTTACATTTTCCGAACTGCTAATTCGTCAAATCTCCTCGATACGCACAAAAAACCTAAGCATTTACCTTCCAAAACAATGAGATTGATTAGACCGCGAAAACAGAAAAGTAAGTTGAAACATCGAAGATAAGAAGTGAGTAACCTTTGTGGGTTCCGGTCCGCAAATGAAGCTGTCAAGCGTGTGATATTCAAAGGACTCTTTTACAAGAGATTATGTCCGTATAACCGGCACCTGGCTCCTGAAATAAATCTCCTCAAGAGACGAAGCGCCTGGGTTAAAGAATCGAAATATTTACCGCAAAGATAATTTGCAATGCATCCTGTATCCTCAATCCAATCACTGCTGACCGTTGTTTAGCTTTATGCAGAGTATATAACAATGATGAGCATAAAGGCTAGGCAGATAATTGGTAGCTTTTGCGAGCGTTGGTAATCAGTACTTTTATACATGAGTTAGTATTCACTCCTCGCCCTCAAGTGATAAGTATGGGCTTACGTATTCATCGCTAAAGGCTCCATCCACCTCAAGAAACCATGAACTCGTCCGAATTCCGTTCGAGAGAATTTCGGAACAAGAGGACGCCCTGGATACGTGTCAGGGTCTATCAGCCAAGATCCGGAGAAGTGATAGAAGCTCTCACCTGTTGGTATCGTACTTTGCGGAATCGCAGTTCAGAGTACTCCCTATTTCACGTCGTACGGGAGATGAACGCCACATCGATAGCGCGGAAAATGTGACTGTCAAAGGATTAGCTGATATTAGCACCGGGACCAGAATGCTGTGATACAACCACGAACCGAATGCTGCAACCCCACATTTTAATGCGTCGTTATCTTCCGATCCTGAGAAGTAGTAGTAGCAGGTGCCACATCAATCAAGGATCAAGCTAAGCTTCAAACGCAGAGCGATCAGGGATGTCTTGGAGAATCCGTTTAAGGCAGCGGAAGATCTAGGACCATACCATCATATTATTTTACAGGGACGAGAAAGACTTGTACCATTGAAAGGTCTTGTATCCAGATGTTCAACAGCTCGATGGTGGACTTGGACCCAGAACATGGGCTGGACTCGGAAAAAGTTGATGTTAGGAGCCAAAAAGTCAGCGAGCGGGTTCATGGCACCCACGAACTCCGTTACAGCTCGAAGAAACGAGATAAATGCCGTAGGCTTCACCGCAATTGGTCCTTTTAAGGCCAAGTCCGAATCGGAATCGTCCCTTCTCGCACGATCAGTGACATTCATGGGAAAGAATCACACTCAGTATACCTGGTTTGGAAGGGGGGCATACGCGTGAAGCCCAAGACTTAATGAAGACCGGAAGCAGAGCCTATATTCCACAGCACTGCGGTTATGTATGTGAGCCAGGGGAAACGGATAGAGATCAAGGAACGTACCTAATGTCCCGTCGTGCTGAGAAGGAAGGCATCATAAATCGATCTACGCGAGGTTCGCGGGATATTGCCTGAAGAAGACCTGACCATGCGGTTCACCGTCGTGCCCGTTTTCATGTTGGACCTCCTAAGCCCCATAGTCTCGACGCTAATGAAGCAGATCATCACTCAAATATCAGGGAACGATCAATGGTTCTGTCGAAGAGTATCTCCGTTGCCGAAACGCTGGTGAACATAGGCAGTCATTCTACCTATTGTAGACGAAGAGGAACATAGCTTCGAGCTTTGGATCCAGCCCAAAACCAGAGCGAAGCGATCATTCACCAACACGACCGGTGACAACGGCATCAAAGTCTCCCCGATGGCAACCACTTTAGCATCTGTGATTCGGAAGAGCGGCTTGAGCTTTTCCATCGCGAACTATCAGCTGAAATGGTGATGCTGATCATCCGTGTGCAGAAACACGTAACGAATGAAACGGTCTTTAGGTGCTGAAGAGGATGTATTGAATAGGATTAGACAAAATCACAGAACGTACAGCATGATGATCTTTTGGAGATCATCAGAACCGAAAGACTGGATTTTTTTGTGGAGGATAAAGCCTGTCACCAGAAAGCCTATCCCTAGACGGAGTAGTACGGGAATGTCCGCATGTGCCCTAGAGAGGTATTATGGTTTGAATAGGCAAAGACAACTGAATTATAATTAGTTCCGTCCGACGATTATTCAACAGACGTACCTAGGGTCGACTGAAAATGAACCAAAGCACCACGATGCACAGCTGATGAATACAGTGTTCGCGACATTTCACCACGGCAGAACGTCATCAGTACCAGGATCAGGACGCCTCGCAGTGTACCTGTCCTAAACCCACGGACCGTCGAACAGTAGCCCAGATCAGAACCTTTTTTGCTTCGATTTCAGGTTCAACGTGTGGTCCTGCGACAAAGAAAGGAACCGTCACTCAGAAGCCCAAAAGGTCAGGGACAAGACAGAAAAGAAGCCACATTCCGTGGAACTCGACAAAGGCGGAAAGAACGATGGACCAGGTGAAACGCTGTGCCGAAGTTATTTATTACTGTAACCATGAAGAAAGGAACAGCCTTCCTAGAACTCGTATCATAAAACGAGTTGGTTCAGCGGTTCGATTCAACAGCAGTTGAGCCGGATGATGTCGGACGAAGAGTATGCCCACGACCGTCACTGTGAAGCCTCTAAGTCAGAAAAAGGGATCTTGAAAGGAACGGGAACATACAATTATTTTAAGCAAGTAGGCATCATTGGAAAAAAAAAAGAATGTAAAGAATCATGTTCTCGTATTATATAAGCCGAAAGCTGTTCAGAACTCGTCATTTCCTGATTGCAGCTAAACTAAAGTAATACTCTATAAGATCGTAGATGATTAATATTGGTTGTCCAAGTACATGCCTAAATAAAAATCATTACCACTAAAGTCCGAAACCCTTAAATCTCCCACCATCATTATGCTAGAGCACAGCCAGGCCGCCCATGATCGCACCAAGGACAGCAAACCAGGACTGCCCGAACGTAACAGCACCTCCATTTGAGGTGCTACTGGATCTACCTGCCGAGCTGGCAGCAGCAGCAGATCCTGTAGACGAAGCACCAGCACTGGAAGCACCCCGCGTGGTGGTCCCGGTACGCGAAGAAGAGCTTCCGCTAGTACTTGTTCCGGTACTCATTACACCCTCTCCGGTACTCGTCGCACTTGAACTGGTCGACGTCGCCGTAGAAGTCCCAGACTACGCAATTAAGCATAGTATTACAAGAGGAATACAGAAAAACGTACGCTTGTCGCAGTCGTGGTGGTAGATACACCAGTCAATACTGCACTCCCGCCTCCAATAGCAGAAAAAGTCGTACATTGCGAGGAAGACGGTACAGGATGAGCAACGGGCGTAGAAGCGTCACCTTGGTGGAACGCTGCGGTGCCGTAGACACCCATAGGCTAATCACGGCATCAGGACAGGGCGCAAAGTATATCTGTGAAAGGAATACCTGTCCGCTGTCACCCTGACATGACTCGAATACACCAGCGTCGTAGTTGGCGGGCATGTTCCATGCACATCCCATCTCGTCGTAGATATGTTGACCTAAATTCAGAAGACGGTCAGCGATTCTGGGACAAAGCGACAGTTTTGCTCTACTTACACCATGTAGGCGCCATGCTCCCGGCAGGATTGCAAGCTCTGAGGCAGAATTGGTCAGCAGCCATAAAATTCTGTCAGAGATTGAGATACAAGCGTTCAGGGGAAAGATAGGTTGTGTACCGTCCATTCAAACACCTGTTCGAGCTTCCCGAAAGCAGTAGAGAACACCAAACCGCCAATTGGGTTGCCTGATATTCAACAAAGTCAGTGTTGCACATCAGCCGACAATAAGACGATGCTTTACCATTCCCAGTCGGCACCATGAGGATCGAGCTCTCCACCAGCATCGCCAGCGGGGATATTAAGCTTAGTCAAATCACCCGTTCCTGTGAAATAGTCTGTTTCATAAATGATTCCTATCAAACGTCAGGGATATACGTACCAGTAACTTGGACAAAGTCGGGCGTCTGAACGAAATGTGCGCCTGTAATAGTACCATTGGGAATGAGACGTGTACCGTAGCCGTCCTAAATGAAACTGGGAAAAAGCGGACAGAGCAAAGGGTCTGGAGAAGGCAACCTTGAGGCACCAAGAGACTTCGATACGCTGTGGGAGCCTTTAGCGTTTCCAAGAAAAATGGCGAGTTCGACGAACCTCTGTATTTCCAATTGTAGAATCGGCGCCTGCTGTGGGCGGGGCCCATAGGCAGCTACAATGTGGGTATGTAAGTGATCCACCTAGGCAGGGGCCGGAAGGCGAAACGTACAAATCATCGACGCCATTGACTAGACGAACATCAGGAATGATATCGCCCAAGATTGACAAGATAACAACGCACTGTAGACATTCTGGCACATCGAATACTGACTAGACGTCGTTCCGCATTTGTTGGTCCCACTCTGACCCTTGCTCAGACGTGTCGGGTGCGGTATCAGGTAGATAGGTCGCGCTATATTGCGCGCCTACGGTAGAGAGTGTGGCGATAAAAAGAACGACGACGGGGGTATGCATCCTGAGTGATGGGAGAAAGTAAGGAGAGATAGGTACGACACGCGACATCTATTGGGAATTTTTAGGGTCTAAATATAGAACACCTGTCAGGAGCACCGGATTTTTAACTGAAACCATGGAGTTGTGTAGCCGTAGCTTTCAGCTATGTACAACGACTAATTGAGCGTTGAGAAATGCAGAAGGCGGGAGCTCGAGCGCTGTGAGTGCAGCAGCGAAAATCAGGGAAAATTCATAGTCTGAGGAACGGAGTAAACAGAAATAACGCTGACAGATAGGGAAAATACTGACAGACACCCAAGAGACGCTGAACTATCGATACCTTGATGGGAATGAGGAACCGCGGAGCTTGACCTAGCAAAGAGACCGTAATCGTCTCAGCGTGTTGAAGAGTTGAAGCGTCAAAGAATCCGAAAAGAAAATGTCGCAATTACTGCAAGATGGCTTGTTAAGGACTGAAACACTTTTACAAAGACACAATGGTAACTGGCATCATTCTGGGACGTCAAGAACTAGTTTTGCGAACGCGGCGCAGCTGCCTGTAAAGGGCGTGTATCGATGTGTTTTTAAGCATCACCCATACTGCTTGCTGCCTGTTCCATGAATTAGGATCTGAGGATAAGAGCAAGCCGATGAATCATCAGACTAGGCCGAGGGCGAAATATCGTAAAACCGAACGTGCGCCGAAGCCGAAATGAACTGGATCAAAGTATATCAGTATCGGGGATCCAAGCAACGTCAGACGAACATACCGACAAGTACGCATGTGATGTGAACGGTGCTCGTGTGCTCCCTAGTCGCGGTGAGAGCAGCCGCTAAGGATAGCAATCGGAAGGTTGAAAGAATTTCGACGCGTCAATGCGGGTTTGCATCGTGTACACCGCGTGGGATCATAAAATTGGGACTAAGCGCCGGCTGTTCCATTAATTAGGCGCGAGAGAATGAGTTCAACACTACAACATCCTAACAACCTGTGGGGCACTACTGACCACAGCATGGTCTATCGATAGATGCCGTATCAATCACATTACAAAAGATCCATGACTCGTGGAAATCAATCCAGCAGTCGCGTATAGACCGTTCCTTCAGCACGAGTACGACATAACACTGTACAGAAAAGAACTGATGAGCAACCGCTCTGACAGTTAGGCTGTGTTACCTTGTGAAAAATCAAAGAAATTCATCTTCCTGTGTGGTGCTCCACCACATCAATAAAACCGATTCCTAATAATTCGGTTGCACCGTGGTACGCGTTGAAATGGTTCGAAACTTTATCCTTCTGGTCCATACTGGACCCGGCAGATAAATAAATTGACGGACTAAGATCTATGACTGGTTTATGTCAGTACCAACCACAGCTTCCATGAAGAAATGGGTAGAGATATCGGTCGTCGTGGTTCAATGAAAAGGTTGAAGTTGTAGTTGTTTGGCATCTCAGTCGGCGCGCATGAACCGTTCGGACCGTCCGCCCGGTTCTTTGCGCCTTGCTCAATTCTCATCCTGTTGCTGCTGGACTTCAGTGGGAATTCGCTGCTTCATTATCTTTCCCAGCTGCTTTAATTTTATCTGAACTACCATGAACGCTCTCAATCCTCAGCATCGCATTCGTCTGCATAGGTGAGTGAAGATGACTCATTGTTACTATGGTCCGTTTGACTTGGTGCGACGCTTGAGCTTCGTCTCTTCGCCATGTCCCCGCAGGTATTCTGGCATCTAGCTTTCAGAAAGTGATCTGTCCTTGCTCACCGTAATTCGGTTTACATGGCAATAAAATTCAGTGTAAGAGCAAATTTTATACTTGTATTTACACCACTTTTGGGCGCAATCTGCTTGAAACTGTGGTTCAACTTTCCTTCTATATTATGTGTACCCGACACTCATTAGCTTCTCAGATAAAAACCACTCACAACTCCGACTTTGTTTAGACCGACCACTTTCTGTACTCTATGCGCCTCGCGATCTGATATGCTGCTTCACTCGAACTCTGCGGTGACTTGTAATTTCTCTGATATTCGCCCAGCTCGAACTGATTCAGCCTACTGTCATTCACTCATTCGCACAGCCCTTGTGGAAATTATTAAGAGGCCTTTCTTAGCGGGGATCACGACGCGATTACTATCAATATTCCCCCCGCCACCTGCAAGAGCGTATTTGGTATGTCTCACGACATGTATTTATCAAAAAATATCCGAATCATTCTGATAGCACAGGAAAAGTGACAGCCCTACTTTTAACTTGACTCGGAATACCTTCCCACCGGTACCACGAAATAATTGCGATATCTTGATTCCCTCGTACAGCCAACCACGAGACTGTGAGTAAGCTGAACCTTCCTGAGATGATGAACGCTCCTTAGTATGTTATGATACCAGCTACTACACATCTTCAATTCCCGCACTACGGCTGGTATTTTACCGATCAGTGCCGCCGTCTCTCTGTAATATATCATTACAATTATGCGGCCAAGGCTATTTTATGTTAAATCCGCATTGCTCCTACTAGCTGGGATACCCGACATTGATTACTTCCGCCAGCTTGAGCTCTCTACAACTTGACCTAGCCGCCGGGACCATCAAATGGCGCATAACCTGCGGCGACTACAGCACTCGCACATCTAAGACGACGCACCCCGCACGAGACAACTAACTTGTTTCCGGCCTCTGAGTCATCGCTGACCACAATGCACGCCGGTCCTTTTTAATTTCGGTTTAAACCAAGTTCCCGCTGCACCGCAAGAAGGCGCTAAGATGGCCTATCAAAGGCATTATACAGAAAGTTGACCACAGGTTCGTCATTCTTTTGATCTTCCATCATGATTCTAGGGTTGATCGTCGTGATAGTCAAGCCTTTCTCAATTGAACCGTAGTTTCCTCTACTCACGGAAGCTCCACCGGGGTTTGATAGTGCGATTTTCGTATAAGCCGGTTGTTTTTCCACAGAATGCACGTCATACATTACAAGTTGTATGAATTTCTGTCATACCGGCGACTCAACGTTGTGTGGAACAAACAAGACATAATGGTGCTATTTTAAGTATCGGTGTATTGTATCTGAATACTCGCCCGGTCCTTGACAATATGTACTACATAGCATTCCTGGATAAATCAGCATAGCGGGTGCGAATGTTCATTGGAACTACATTTCCTAAATTCCTTTCTGAGCCTGAGGTCCGAGTTGATTCGGAAGGCAGAGTAAGACATCAACGTCTTTTCTCATACTCTGTCGACTCGTCCGGTCATCCATCAGAATTGAATGAAAGGTTACGACATCGGAAGATATCACTTCGCGAACCTCTTGTCTCTGCGGAACATATTAAGCCCGGAACAGGCACAGATCACCATGACGAATAAATGCAGTTGTTACAATTAGCTAACTATAATTATACAGATCACACCGATTGGTGTATGATACGCGAGATAAATATATGTACAAGAGTGAGCGACGAAAAGCAACATGCTAAGATATGTATACGACATGACATCGAACGCGGATGCATAGTAACGGACAGCGATTATAACGATGATGGAATGTAACTGAAAGGGAACAATGTAGGAAGGTGAGAGGATGTGATGTGGTTTGGGCAAATGATCTGATGATGAACGAGCTCGTAAGCGATTGAAAAACAGAAGGAAGAAGAGAAGGATAACTCACAGAATTATGATCGCATTCCTTTATCCCTTTATCCGAAGGGGCACCCTGGCGCGTGAGCACCTCTCCAACCACAATGGCAGCACTGGGGCTCGCTGACTCCGCGACTCGTATTCGATAGCGGTGAGCCCAAAGATGGTTCTGAGGATGGGATTGAGGATTCGTGTCCGGAATGGTAGCAAACTGGTACAGAGGATGACGATAAGGTGCACATCGTGTTGGGTATGCTGGGTAAGGAGGACGCGGTATTGGTTTAGATACGAGGTGGGGCTCGACTGGTGCTGGTGCTGTTCACAACTGCCTGCTTTTTATCCAGTCCCGAGGTGGGGCTCGTTTCGAAAAGATTGTATTCAGGTGACAGAATTATATATATCGGGAAACGGGTAGTAGGATCTGACTGATGCTAAGGGGTTTCAGCCGGATAAGAAGCTAAACCATTCCGGGTCAAGGCCGGTGAACAGTTCGAGTCGAGTCGTGAGGTACAGAATTCGATTAGGCGGCCCTGACCTAATATAGACGTATAGGTCCTTATTCGCGGCTCGTTCAGTGACAAATTTTCCGAGAATACTGCCAAAGACAGAGAGAGTAGATGACAAGCAGGTCCTCATATAGAAAGCGGGCCGATGCGCTGAAAGTTAATAAGGAAACTTCAATGACTGCCCAAGGTCATAAGGATGAGGTTGGTGGCGTTAGGGTAGTTAGTATTTGCGGTCTTCTGAGGGAAAAAAGGGCGAATAATGTAGTCATGAAAAGAATAGAATACTTGAAGCAAGACATTACCTCTGTTGGTGACGGATTATTTAACAATATCCAATTCCCCCGTGCAACGTTGGCGTAGTTCTGAGCAGAGCAAGGTCGAGAGAGTAAAGTTCCGAGCGCAACACGGTCACATCACGTTCTGTGCGACTATTGTGACCTCCCTTTTAGGCCTGTCAGCACCGCCACACCGCCACTCAATTTCGAACCACTTCGCATGCTCGACATCTCCTGTGTTATGTCCGAGAGGAAAATACCGCTTCATTTAGATAATGACTTGGGTGGTATCCATCCTCCAAATTATCTTGACAAAGCTCGGTGGTCATCAAATGTTTGGTATCTCATTCCCGAGCGACCAGTGGGCATTTTACAACGGCGTGATTTGTAACTGGACGACGAAGGGAACGTTTGTATCATTTAAATTTTAATGGATCTTAATATCTTTCTTGATTATTCTCTCAGCTTCTCTGAAAACATTCCGTCAGCAAGTCGGTCTCAATCAACTGGTGCTGATTATTCTCTTATGTCCGTACTTCTTTGTTCTGATACGTGTTTCAAGGTCATGATTCAGGGTAGCAGCCCTGAGTATCAAAACTAACGAAATTAGAGCACTTTTGCTGTACGTTTTTTGTGCAGTAGTTCACAGTGTTTGTGATAACTGAGCTTGAGACTCAGTTCAGCCGAAAGCGGGTGACGATGCCGCACCTTGGTTGAACCGAAGTGTTCTCAGGATGATTTAGCGAGGGCATTTGGTTCGTTGAAATAATCTTTCGAATACGATGTCAGTCTCACGAAGTGCATGTAAGCAATCATGAAGAGCCCTCGATACCCTTACCCTTACATCGGAAGTAGGTCAGAGTATTCATGAATACTCGATAAACGTTACAGTGCTGCAGGACAATGATTCCGGGAAATATTCAGACAGGCTTTTCCCCGCCGAATTATCTCAACCTTGAGTTTCTTCTAGTACGTACTTAACAGCGTTCGGATAAAACGAGACTAAATTCAGAGAATTAGTACAACCACTGGTGCGACTTCCATTTAAGTAAACTGCACAGTGCGCTTCTCCAGCCGCGGTTCGGGGTAACAGTGCGGAAAGTAATCGGTACACTGGTAAGCGCCTGCTTGTTCCAGCACCTCGTTCATTTTGATGCTCAAATTGACGGATATCCGGTCCGACTTTTTTTCGCAACATCTGTCCTGGAGTCGAATGATTCATGTGGGGTGGTCGAAGCAAGCCGGAATTATCAAGTATAAGTGGCTTCACTGGCAGCTCGTCATTCCCTGCTTGACAGAGAATAGGATGACGCTGTATCTGCCGTCATCTATACAAGATTGGACTCGAATATTCAAGCTAAGATTTTTCTGACGGTTCAGTGTATTAATTGCCCGCAGGGAATAATCAAGGTGATGTCTCTATTACCACAGCACTTGGAATCTTGACGAACCCCATGCAGCTTGTCATAGCTTCTCAAAACCCGGTGGTATCTTCTATGGCATTGAACATTTTGTGATATGAAGGTAAGTCGCGCACTACGAAGGTGTTCGACTCAGCTGACTCTCGAGCTTCCCCAGCCGCGCGGTTCAAGGTGCATAATGCGGTGTTCATTAATGTGTTCAGAAGTAACCGGTAACTTGGCGAGCACTTCTTTGTCCTGGCCGCTCACTCGCCCTTCCCGACTTGGATGCATGATGCAAGCATGACTTCTGAACGTAATATGTATCCGCGGTTTGATGAACCCTTGGGGAGCACTTATTGCTCGTATATATGGTGATTATCAAGTAACTGGCTCAAACCTGAAGGATCTTGCTCCCTGCTGACGTGTACCAGGATGATGCTGCCCTCGTGGTCATTGGGAATATTCAGTGTCGCATTCGTGCCAGCCGCCCGTTCAAAGCTTCGTATGGAATACGCTGACCTAAATATTGGTACGATTACAATTTCAACAATGTTGGAATGACGCAGCGACCTTCGTCATCACTTTCCCAGGTACATGTTTTTCTCCGTCGGATGAAATACCAAATTTCTGTGACTTATGACATCCTTTTCTCCGTCCTACCAAGTGAGCTGAAGCTGCTCTGGGCCCAAGGAACGGTATCTTCAGGAAGGCCTGGCATTCCCTTCCAACGTACCAAGAAAGTCATCTGACTTGGCAGCTGAAGCGTCCTACCTAGAGTTAATCTTCATTGTGTCAGTTAGAACCACGAGCGCCTGTCTCGGATGTCTTCTAGACCAATCGGTGAGCCGCGAGCGGCGGACAACGTTATCCCCCGAGTTACTGTAGCAACCACCAAGCCTTTCTTCACGTCTATCATTGCCCAACAGAGCACGAAAGACGACTCCTTATCACCTTGGCTTGTAACTATCTCTCGGATTTCCCCATATCACCAAGACTTTCTCCACCTTCAAGTCAACTCCGACATCGCACACGCTTCTAACCGTCTCTCTGTTGCCCAAGTCTCGACCCACCCAAATTGTATTACTCTTGTGGGTCTGTCTCGGTGCCTTCGCCATCCCGGATGATTGACTTTGACGATGTGCGGCGCATAGCACACACTTCTTCAATATAATTGCCGTGTGGCGCAGCGTGTACTTTACATTCATTATGCATGTCTCTTCACGAGAAATCATCGCCACCGATGCAGATCTTCGGATTTTTTTGTCCTTGACAAATTCTTCCGCTTCCTTTTGTCTGGGCTGTTGAGATAGACTCTTTGACGCTGCGGGTGCACGGTGGCGTCGGATAGGGATTTTTAGCCCGAACCGAACCACTTCCTGTTCCTCATTTATCAATGATCTTCACTAATGACGCTCTGAACGGTCTAGACACGAAGTCGAGGATTGATCGTCTTGCATGTACACTCATCCTCAGGCTATACCAGATACGAGGCGACAACCGTTCACTACCAGAACAGAATGTGCGCCACCTATCTCGGATTCATCAAGTTTTGACGCAACTCTGACTGTGTAGAAAACTGGGGTACTTCTTGAAATAGGTCCAAAAGAGCGTACTCTCCTAACGGGTATTGCCGCGCTTGGAAAGAAACGTGCTGCTGGACACAGATCAAAAGGACGGCCAGTACCACGAGCCCGTCGGCGGCGGTAGGGCAGGGTCTTGCACCGTACCCTCCCAGCGATCGAGTGGTTAAACCGCTGACTCAAAATTTCGGACCGCTGAAGTTCTAAAGTCGACAAAATATTTTACATTACAAAGGCTAGAAATCCTTCCGTGACAAGGGCGGAACTATTTTACGGAAAACTGTGTGATAGAGTTTCCAGGGAGGGCGCGCTTGCTTCGCTTCCTGTCCCCTCTAAGAAATTCCATTGTCATGATGGGATTCCGTGTGAGTTCCGCGTACAAGCTTTGTCGGACAGGAGGCAGTGGTACCCTGTCATGTGGAATGAATAACAGAGGCTGGGAGAGGCTAGGGAATCACGTTCCGAGGGGCAGATAGCGAGCGCTATTATGTTCGCATCAGAAGCATGATCTCATACCGAGCCTGCAGGGTTGCCATTTCAAGCGATGTGGGGTAAGGAGAGGGCTTGGATAAGGAAGATTTATGGTGGTGGGATTATCGGAGAAATTACTCCGGGTGCTGGGAGAAGTATACACCTACCGTCGCCTACATTTCGGCAGATGGGTCTAGACATTGTGTTGCTATCATCATCGGCGTGCCGCAGTCGCAACAAAATTGAATATCACGTCAATCTTAACATGGTTGACGTCGGGGAGCACTGGCTCAGCGCGGGGCCATTTGATATGTCGACAAAATCTGCTAAGCACCGAGAAGATCAGGGATTACGCACGCGGAGGTGGATAGTTCTTGATATTTCCTGTCAAATTCTGTACGAATCTAGCAGTCGAATAAGTTATTTTGGATCAGAAGCTGATCCTGAATCGTCCAGACCTAGCAGGGTTGAGAAGAAGAACGGAAAGGAGCGCTTATACGACTTCAACCCTCTGAGTTCGTCATTCATGACGTTTGGTTGCATCGACATCCGTAGTCTCGGAGAGATGATACCTTATGGAACGAGCCACCAGAAAATAAAGTTCTCTGGAGTACTGATAGGTAATCCGTTGGAACTGGAGCCTGGAAATACTTACTAACACGAAAATTTAAGCCATCAACTACGTTGCAGCTCCATCAAGCAATGATTCAGCAGCATAGCCTGAGGTCCCCAGATATGCATGTATGCCTAGAGCGACAAGGAGATTCGGCCAGACCAAGGGTAGTAGTAGAAGCGAAGTTAAAGGATCCGGTTCGAGCGAACATGATAAGGTGCGGGATTATTGTAGTTACCGCTGTCCAAGAATTATTACGAGAAGTCACCTGAATCGTGGAAAATTTACACTGCAAATATTTATGCGCACGTAATCGTTGTATATTCAAATGCTTATCTTCGAGTTGACAGCTTCGATAGTAATGTAGGCACCGATACATTCTGGTCGACCACGTTTCTCCTGCCCAGGCGCTTGAGGTATTTCTGCGACGTGAGTCACATGTGACTTTATCTCCAAGTTGCACGCCTACATATGACGAGCTAGAAGGTCGCTACCAGGGAATACTTGCTATTGTTGTAGGTGCTTATGCCGCAAAGTCCTTAGAAGCCGTCGTTCACGGACTGTAGAAGGTATGTCGGACGGAAGCGTAAGAATTAGAGTTGATGTTATCACTGGCAATACCACGGACGAGGAAAGTGTTATCATTCAGATCATTTAGATTTGTAACCACGAGTAAGAGTCTCAATGTCGGCAATTTGTACATCACCAGAGCCACTATGGTTCATCGGACTGAACAATCCGTAGCACTGAACGGAGGTTTTGTGGAATGCTACGGAATGTCACTGGAACTTTGATAAGAAGACGGTGAGAAGGGGCTATCATTTCGTAGTAGTTGAAGCAAGTAGGTGTCGGCCCGGTATCCGTACACAAAAATAAATGAACATCCGATATTTCTTTGTTTAGAGTGCGTCCCAGCGCGCGCATTATCTATTTGGAGGCTAAATACGACTTTGCATTAGCCTACACTAAAATTCACGGCAAAAACATCGAGAACACATAAACAAAGAATTACATGACAATTGCGTAGTAATACCATCGCAAACATGAAAGGAATCATGATGGTATGGGAGGCAGTTTACCGTGTTGCAAGTAAAAAGTACTAAAAACCACTGTCTTCCTGCATCTTGAGACACTTCGTCGATGAAATCCAACAGCGCAGAACACGACAGCAGAGGGGTATACCTAGTTTGACCAATGGTAAATGATCGGCCATTAAGACGTCGTCGTCTTTAGAGGCAAGTGTGCAGTTACACTTGTTTGGCAAGCATCTGGCGCTTCACCTTCGGCCGACGTATCCAAGTTGCCGGTCTTTGCCACGGGACTTGGGAGAAGGTTTTTCTATCGTTGTTTCCAGTCTGCGATGAGCTTCGGTCGTGGGTGGGCATTGCCACATTGGAGTTCCTAGAGCTTTCCTCCGCCGACCTTTCCTTGAGTCGCCCATGATTGTCACTGATAGGGTTGCTGTAAGCTTTAATCAGTAATTGCACTCTTGGAATCGATGTGTCACATTGGATTTCGTTGCATCAGCAAACTCTGCTGAATGGTGAACATCGTCGACATTCTCTCCTGCCAACTCTTCGCATTACGCCTATATGTCCCTCTGATTTCTTCCCCGTATCGTTATTGTCACAAGGTGACTCCTCGTTGATTGTTATATCACTGCTTACGGCAAAAAAAAAACTTGTTGGCAAGTGATATCGAAGCGATACAGATTCTCTTGCCCATGGGGACTTCTCTATGTTGAAACTCTGGTTAGACCAGCTGCCCACACGCTGGAAAACCTCCGGAATACTCCACAGCGGTGATAATTTGATACGGGGGACTTCGTAAAACTTGAACGATGCACTATGACTCACAATCGATCTTATGATCTTAATTTCCCATACTACTGATCCCATTTTCCTATTTGGACAGTGATTTCTTGGCCGTATTGTGGTAATGTATCCTTGTGATTATCCACCTTTCGATGTAGGACGAATATTATCTATCTTTGTGTTAATTCCTTAAGGCTCTCAGCTGAAAGTAGGGGACACGAATCGCTTCTGACAATCACATGCTGCCAGGTCCGTTCAACTTCAACTTGATAATAATTGTCGTACACGCTGGATACTGAGCCATACTCGGTTTTAGGGTCAGTATGTGGTGGACCCTTCCCCTGAAAAACTTTCTTGCAACCTACTCGGGAAGTGGTGTTGCGACTTTTTTCTCTAGCTCTACAGAGCACCAGTTGATGCCGTGCTCCTAATCGCCGTGATAGGCCGCTGACAATCCACCCCTGTCTTCCTTCATTTCACCTTTCATTTCGGACGCTTTCTAACAAGGTCTAAATCATCCGGTATGAAGGCGCCTAGGAAACGAGGACAATCTTTTCCTGGAAGACTCAATACGTCGTCCGCAACCGCTCGCGGCAAGATGGTCCCCACAGAATCCTACTTGAGTAATGCTTATGGAACGCGTCGGGGATATCGGCTACCCGAACCCGAACTTTCAGATTGCAACAGCATCGTGTGGCACCAAACTCATTGAGTTTTCGTTCTCCTTCAAGTTCCCAGATCTGGGCCAACGTCACCATTTGAAGGCGCCACAATTGACGTAATCAGCTTTTCCTCACGTTCATTTGGTTATGCAGTAGTGAAATCTGTTCTTGAAATATGACCCTTTCATTCAGTCAATTTCGACGTGGGGCGCCGAGGTCGAGCCAATCCCAAACCAAATTTGCTTCGTGAAGGTCAGCTCTAGTGTACCTGTACCTAATGCATATATATGATCGACGATTGTCTCAATGACGTCCAAAGCTGTTACTAACGCTTTGGTCAGCGGTCCGAGTTCCGAGGAAGAGTACGAGCTAACAGCTCGACAGGGTAAAAAAGTAGTACCGGTCTCCTCCTAAAATAAATGTCCTGTGATGATATATACTTCCTTAGTGCAGACCATGACGGTTCGGATCACAGAAATACAACATATAGGAAAAGAGATCCGGCTTACACGTGTAGACCCATGTCATAGGTAGATTTACAGAGGCCGAAGCACGAGAATAACGCAAATCGGCATAGGTTCAAACTTCATGGAATCAATAACCGCAAGTATAGTGTCATGGCTGTGTATGCGAAGATCGGCAATGCGCAAGGCACTGAGCAGGAACAGGTCAGTGAAAAACATGAGCCAAATAAACGTACAGTATGACTCGCAGCCAGGGTTAATCAATGCCAGCGCGTAGAGACGGCTCGATAAAAACAAATTGAATGTAATAGCCGCCTGATTTTCATAGTCCGTGAACCTGTTGCGCTCCATAAGATCTCCGAATGAAACAAAAAACACAAATCTTTGATGCGTCATTCAGATTCCGAGGTCGATTTCCAGCTGGGCGCTTTCTGGCTCCGCATTCAGAACCGGGACCAGATCGCATAATGAAATCGCCAAGGCACTATGCCAAGTGTGGATTGGCTTTGCACTGAATTCACCGGTGAATGGGTATTTTGGTGCAGACTATTGACATGTGAATAGCTTCACCAGCAGAGTTATTATCAAGTCATGACATTTCAGACGCAAGGTCGTCAAGTGCGACTGATGTCGGTTAGCAATAACCATGACAGGGTTTGCCACTCGCCTTTTACGAGCCTCCGACGACAGATATCAGAACCCACGGTCCGAAGTACCTGGTGGACTTCAGGGAAATCAGAAAAAAACGGCATCGAGAATGGAAATGATTGAGACACACTAGTCACGATGACCCGTTGATGTTCGCAGTGGGTTGGATGGATGTGTGAAAGAATATGGAAGACGAAGACGCCTACTGGCACCTACATTTCGGCATCGGGATGGGACGGACATAATAGGCAGCGGTTGGATTCAATTGCTATGCGGAGGGAAACTGTGGCCGGAGACTGATGAATGACAGGCATCTTCGGCCAGCCGCACCACTAGCGTTGTTAGGCGCTGGATAAAGAGAACTGAATAGGAAAACCCGGTTTTGAAGTGACGGAATGCATATAATCACCTGTAAGACGACTGCGAATCGGATCGCAATTTCGTATCCATATGAAGACTAGCCCACAGTCCGCAAAATTCAAGGAGACAGTGATATAACTACTAAAGGCTAGAGAGAACTTTTGATAAGAGGCTTTCATGTCACTTTTAGAGACACAGAATATGGTCTCTTGGTAAGATGTCAGGACATTGGAAGCACCTATTCAATGGATAAAACTTCAGGAAGTTAAACCGTTGATTATATTTGAAGTTATGATATGCCGAAAAAATCGGCAGATCGTTTTGAGATCGTTTGAGATCCCAGATGGACCTAGAAATACCGGTGAATAAGTCAGGCCACCTATTAATGCGATATATACCTGAGAACAGAGAGCTAGAACGAATGTTGGACGTCGTAGAAGAAAGAGATGCTAGAAAAAGGCAACGAACATGGGTGCCCAAAGGTTCGCTCCAGGAGGTCAATGACGTAATTCACCGTCGCGATTGTGGCGTGAGAATCTGTTTTCTCTCGATCGATGTCATCTCCTTCCAGTTACTACCATGCTAAGATGGACCAGCCTGTATTCTCTTCTTCGGCGTTCTCATAGTGTCCAAATTTTGCGCTGCGTTTCTTCGCAAGCCCTCCACTATACCGAGCGAGTAGTCCACGTAGAAAATCTCCCTGCGGGATACAATGTTTCGACCATCCTCGAGACTATGAAGGCTGGTACTCAGGTCGAGAAGATACAACCTCAGAAAACACGACTATCCGTGTATTTTTATGACCAGAACTGTGCTGCTCGATGCTTACAGGCCAATGGAGGAAGTCGTCTGTCGCTGAAAATTGCTCATGCAGAGGGTCGACTACCGAACACCGTTGTTGCCTCTCTGGGGCGCTACCATGCGTCTCATATTCTCACCATAGACCGCGTATCACAGAGGTTCGATATCCAGAAGCTACAGGAAATTGTTCCTAAGAAATCCTTCAACTACAACGAATCTGACGCTCACTCGAGATCCGTTTCCTGGATACATCCACGGCATTCAATGTAGGCTATCATCCTTATTTATCATATGCTTGTTAACATGATTTCTATCCAGACCAGACATGTCCTTCACGAAGTTCCACCGGCATTCAAATTGTAGGCTATCAAAATCTTATGTATATATTGCTTTGCTTAACAACGATCTATCAGAAAAGACATTCCTATAAGAAGGACACTCTCCCCGATTAAGTGTCCCACCTGATCAATCATGTGGATATTTCCCTCCGGAAAACACGTCTCGAGGGCTTCCAGGGATATTGGACTATGTTAGAGGTATGAAAATAGTATGAGCAATATAAACAGATCGGAGGAAAGAGAACCAGTTCAAGGGGTCTCAGCTAAATCTTGGTACGTTTCCGCAAATTATAGTGAGATACATATATCAGGAATCCATTGGAGAATCTCTCTTAAGCTTGGAGAATGTAGCCGAGCACATATGAAGTGCAACGGGAGAAGCCACCACAGTTCAACTCGAGTTCAACGCAGCCTAACGCAAACGTGACACGCCGTCACAACTATCGTCACATTTGCGTTCTCGTTTGCGTTTTGTCTCGAACGCATGCGTTTACTACAACGACGCTCGCGTTCGATTTAATAACGCATGCGTGACTTATTTTTGAGTTGCGTAAGCGAGTTGCGTCGATTCGAGAGGTGCACACAAGTTTTTCGGTTTACCAAAAGTCCAAAAAATGCAAGGGTTCACAACTGATTCAACGCGAAATGATACTGAAGTAAGAGGATTATGTTCTAAGACATATATAGCTAAATTCACACGCCTTTATGGCTTTCCAAGATAGTTTCACACTGTTTCTATGTCATAGAAAGCTGCCGATACATGTCCAGTAAATACGTCGAAAGTAGGTAAGTGCGTCATATAAATACACATGGTAGTATTATTCTTGAAGGTAGACTAACTATTAGAGGTCACGCACTGAACGCATCGAAGGAACGCAAACGCATCCGAGTTGAACGCATTCAAACGCAGTTGAACGCACGCACGCAAGGGTCGAACGCAGAATTCTCCTCGCCCCTTCACGAAGACTGGAGCTTCAAAAATTCCCAATTTGATTACGTCCACGACGACGAAAACAGCTTCTTCCCAGACTGGTACCCGATGGAAGAAAGGAATTCCAGGAGAGCGTTGAAACGAAGCGTCGAAATACGGGGCATCACGTCCCCGATAATTGCCGAAATTTGTCAAGGATGGGTAGACCGATTTGACGAGGTCTCGTCCGCCTTGGTTTCTGCATCCCTCTTGCCGAAAACAGAGGTAAGTCGACCAGCTATGAAAATCTAACCTGTGACTAGATGTCGTTCTTTCAGTTAACATATCTCGGCTTCGCGACGGAACTGGCTGCAGAGGAGTTTCTGAAGATGTTTCAAGTCAAGGCTACGAAGGCGGGAGTCCAGATGGAATTGGCTGTAGGGGATCACACGATACACCCCAGTCTGATCACGGCTATGAGCTTGGGTGCTAGTCGTTCGCTTGCGTTTACTCTGAGCCGGAAGCAACACGATATATTGAAGAAGAAAGATTGCCGGAGACTCTTCTCGAGAATGGGTCGGGTTTCCATGGTTTTCGTCCAATTGGAGTGAGTCGTTTTCCCATTTTCGTAATCAGCCTCTCTGATAGAAATTGCTACTAGTGAGGAGACATTAAAGGGCTCGTTAGTGGTTCAATTCGACAACATATTTTCGGCTATGGGTGTTATACATCGGCTGATGCACCCAGACGTGTTGCCTGATGTAGAAGGCAGCCATGTCAACTTTAAAGGAGCGCATCAGCTCAGATATCTTGTTGTTCAGTGACGAAGGAAGCGATTAATATGATTGTATCGTTCTTCCTTTGTTTGCGCAGAAAATCCGAAGCCGTCACATCCGACGTGGAGTAACATGAATACGACGCCACGATGATTTCAATCTTATACCCATTTTTCAGTCGCGGTGTGTGAAGGCTTGCACCGTAAAACATGTGGCGTTTGTCGATGTACGAACAGTTCAGTGTAATGCAACATTTCTTAAGTTCGTTTGAATCATCTTCACTAGGAAACAATCTTCGCTTCATGATAATTTCTTCAGGACCTCAGCCAGCCACTTACGCCAAAACGCTTCATATGAAACAATGTCCTCGACTGGATAGATACAAATCGGACATTCTTGTGTCTACCGGGCTTACAGCTCATGAAAGTAATACCAGTCGCATCATTCATTCTCAGTCCCCCTACTCGCCTTCCACGTTTCGGGACCCTTCACCGTTTCCATGAGTTCTTCAAGAACCAAAAATGAAAAGCGAAGACCTACCACCCTGTTGTTCAACCTCTGATACTTGACCCGCCGTGCAAACCACTCCTTCGCCGTCTGGCCAGTCTCGAAGTTCTTCCCAGGAGTATTGTGGACTGTGTCTGCGATGAGAGGACTGTCCTCAACTAACGCACGAAGGATGACCGAGTTGCCTGGTCTGGTGAAGAAGACTAGAGACCATCTGTCGAGATGAGACTGAGCGCCTGGAGGTGGCCTTGAAACGGATGAGGTACGAACGAAGATGAAGGAGCGTCAGGCTTACAGAACTCGATGCAGATTTGAGCGGAGGATACCTCCGCTGAATAACGACAGTGCATCACCGACATTGCAGATCGCATGCCCGGGGATCGGCTGGAACACCAATACTGAGCAAACATGATGACATAAAGAGAGCTCATAAGATCACCTTGACATACTGCCACTCTGTATAGCACGGTGGGAGGACCTGTAAACCTCCGAGTCTGTTATGTAAAAAAGTCAAGGAACCGAAGTCCGTATGGGCCCCGATCGCCACTCGGTCAGGAGCGTATCTAGGGGGGTTCTGAGTCGTTCGCGCTTCGCTTCCGCTGTGCTCGTTCTTGGGGTGAAGCTTGCTCAAGGTTCCTTTCGGTAACCCAAGTGTGTCATTGAAGATTCCCAGGATGGTATCGTTTACTTTCGCCGACTTGGTGACGAATGGGATGATGGTGGTTTCCATTCTCTCGTTTACCGTGGACGGGTAGGTGCGGTGGACAGCGTTCGGGTAGGCAAGCGCGTCGTCTTTGGAGACGTTGATGAATTCCATGGTGCCTTCCTGTCCCGATGCGTCTACAGCGCTACTTCCTGCGGCTTTGTATCTGATAGGACAAGATAAGTCGAATGAGACTATCCAGAAAGAATTAACTGACCCGAAGGATCTGCCTTCGTCACCTTGTTCGTATTTCATCTTCTCCTCGAGAGGCAGATTTCATCGTTTCCTCTCCCATCTCGAACATGCGGTTAGCGTCTTCTTCGGCACCGTGGTTCTTCAGGCTGCTCTTATCAGAAATATGATATGAGCAGGCTTCGGGAAGAGACGTACTACCAGAAACCGAGCTTTCGAGCGGCTTCCCAGAGCCTTTCTATCTCATTTGTATTGCCCTCCTTGAGGAGCTGGTAGTCAATAATGAGGAGAGGATGAGTCGGGACAGTCGTCTGGGAACGGGGGAGATAGCATGGTTAGATGGGAAGAGAGGAGCCGTGAGTCTTAAAAGGCAGTCATAGGTGCTCCTTTCCCATGATGTAGTGGTCACAAGTCTATCCGAACTAAGACCATAAGCCGAAACGATTATTCGACACTGAATGGAGAACAGAATTATCCTTTCGCCTTAAAGTCTATTGGCAGCCGTGAGAGGACAGTAAGTATATAGGTCGGAGAGTGGACGACATTGACTATATTGACTGTCCAATGCGAAGGGGTGGATTTAAGAGGTTGTGTTAGTTTTAGTTGGATAGGGTTGGACAATGAATCATTTCAAGGACTCTGCCGTGAATTATTACATTCCTTGTCGAAGTATACGAAAACGGTCTCGCGCTTGACGTGTCTCAGGAGGAAGGCCAAGGAAGGTATCCAGCACAGAAAGAACCGAAGAGAGCATTGAATGCGTTAAGATCCCTTGAAGAATGGATTGGCCTCCGGTTAAGAATCGACAAAGTCCAAAGCAAGTTCAATACTCAACACCCGCGTCGCAACGGAGCGCGATGATGGTTAGGTTCGGATGGTAATTGAACTCCGCCCAAAATAGATGTCATCAGGCAAGCATGCCGCAGTTGTCGGTGTGCGGGCGGCACCGGCATTTCGGGAGAAAACGGAAGTGGGCTTGGATCTCGATTTCATGATTAGACCGTGCGAAGGTCTAGGCTAACGCTCTTTCATTTTCATTTCTTTCTCTGCGTTCTACTATTTATTCCAAGTGGGCACTGAGCAATTATGGTGCTAGCTTCTAAGGAATTGCAAATCTGAGGATTGCTGTGTGGTGTCAAGCCATCTTTTCCTTCGTCGTGTGTTTCTCTCCTTACACAGTGTAAATTCCAGGATGTCCCAGTGCTCGGGTGCAGGTGTCGATTCCGAAACTTCACAATCCTTTGCTTACACACAGTATACCGCAGCGTACTTATCTGATACCGCACCTGACAACACTGAGCAGGGCCGAATTAGAACCAAAAGGATACAGATTAACGTCTAGCGAAGAATCAAAGGGCGTGTTAGCGATTTCTTCTCCCTAGGAGATTTCGCGTCTGATGCTGGTTTAGTCAACGTCATTGATGATTTCTTCATTGCGCTTTCAAGTTTCGATCGAAGGTCTCTTATTGGCCCTGCCTATTGTTGGTGCTACAAAAGTTCGTCCGGTCAGCGGTTGCTCTACTTTGTAGGTACTAATAGCCTCCTCCATAGCGCATGGAAGTTTGTTCTGCCTCAAGGTCTATTCTCTCCGTTTTTTTGCTCACCTTGCTTCAGCGACCTTTAGACCGACTACGGATTTGTGTCATCCCAGAGGGGATCACAACGTGCTTGCTATTCAGATGCCCAGTTTCATACGCGTCACCGGTGCGCGTATAACTTTAATTCATGAGGATGCTCTCTGAGCAAAGCCTTCGTGGGCTTGGGAGATTTCACAAATCTTCATATCACCTCTGGGGACGCTGGTGGAGAGCTCGACTAAGTTGCGGTAAATTTCTTGGAACTAGCATTGTCTGAATGTCAGGCAACCTTATCGGAGGTCTAGCTTCTCTTCTACTCTCGAGAGGCTCAAGCAGGTATTTATATCGACGGTGAGTAGTGATTAGGTCTATGCAAACACTTGTATCTCATTATTTGGTAGAACATTATGGCGGCCGACGGGTTTTCCTTCAGGGCGTGTAATCCCACTGGGAAGACTCAGGGCATGTCTCAGTCTTCCATATGAGTATTAGCGGCTAATGCCGAAACAGATGAATCGCCAACCATTATCATTCCCTCCTGTCTAGCGGATCTGCAAGCTTCATTATCATTGACTGTTGTTGACTGCCCGTGTTATTCGTTCGTATTCAGTACCTGCTTTACTGTCTACTTCAAGTCCTCACAGTGAGTTCACTCCACAACATCCTTTCGGTGCTTACTGAGATGTCGAACAGATGATCTACTGCGCTGGACTTGCGTTATGGCGTTCATGAGAACAGAGGGATATCATGACCAATGACCAATGCTTTTTCACGTAGCGATCCGCGAATCTCGCATGGGCGTATGGCCTTGAGTTACAAATGATTTCATTTTCGGCGTCGACGGGCACCTTGTGGGTTCTTTGATCTCTGTCTATTTCCTCAGGCCCATGAATGTAGTCCGGTGCTACGTTATATAGACCCTGCACCCGAACCGCTTTAATGTGCTCTACGAATAGGGATGACTCCAATTCTGACTTGATCCCAACGAAAGATCGTAGGAGAGTGCGCAGTGGCCGGGCGCCCTATCGCTGTTAACTAGCATTTCGCTCCTACTGTCAACTTTGCAGGGGCCTTCTCCGTAGTCTGGATCCTGAGGGCCGAAAGGTCGTGTGATAGGACGTCTTGATGCGGGCCCTTCCAATTGCGTTGTACCTTTGACGTTCGACAAGGGTATTTGTGGCCATGGATGTTACCTTTGCTGGACTAATTGATCACTAGACAGCCCTGATTGTTCCCCGCTTGAAGCTTGAAGCTTGTTTGAATTCCAAGAGCTACCTCGTCAGTATCCGAGCAGGCCTAGATTCGAGGTGCGAGCTGGCATGACTTCCCACTCAGAATTTGATTGGTAGGTACCTTGATGGTCCCGGCGTTGGGCACTGTTTTGACGACCTTTCCTCAGCATCTGATCTTGTCATACATGGCAGGATTCCCATTACCTCGGGATGAGATACCCTCACTATAGACCTGCCAAAGCTTCTGTGGTGTATAGCGTTCGGGAGTGGTTGACAGTCCTGAGATCTGCACACGGCCGAACGGAATTCGGACCAAGGTCCCCTGCTTCCTGAGGTGGATTCGGCTATCGTCGAACTGTTCTCTTGGTCACTTCCCGACGCCCCAAACGTGTACTCGTCATTGTGTAGTACCATCCGTGAGTATACACCCTGCAGAGTCGTTTTATTTCTCACATCCTCAACGTAGTTATACGCTGCGTGCATCATATCTAAGTTCTATCTCAGACTATCTTAGCTACAACCTCAGTCGGCGGCTAGACAATCTTTCATCTGCTTTCCAGGTCTGAATTTCTTATCTGTTATTTATGGTACTATATTTTCGGAACGGCATGCCGTGTCCCTGGTACGTGACCACAATCTCATTCAAAATCTAGGCCTTCCTGATGAGTCTCACAGGCGCGCGCTTAATTGCCTCGTGTACGGACCGAGGACCCACAAGGGTCACTGAAGCACGACATTTCGCACTTTCCCACCATCTAACACTATCGGCTCAATACCGTTGTAAGTATTGTCTTCCATTTATATCTGCGATTTCCACCGATCTCGTTTTTTTGGGTAGTCGATGACCGAGACGGCTCCTCTGTATGCATCCGGGCAGTTTGATGCTGTCGATCAAGAAGGAGAATACTTGAATGTCGGTGATATCAGTCTGCATGAGACCGATTATATGGAAACCTCTCTAACCAGCGATGACGAAGACGAGGATGACGAGAATGAGAATGAGAATGAGGAAGATGAAGATGAAGACGTGGGATTCCAGGCAGCCTTAGCGGCGTCTACGTTGGAGATGGAGAACACTCGTAAACAAGAGGAGCTGGAACTTCAGCAAGCCATTGAGGCGTCGAATGATGTAGATCAGGATGTGAAGTTGACGCTGGATACTGAACGAGCGATAGAGATGTCTCTGGAACAAGAGAGAACCTTGGAAGAGATGCGAAAAGCGCAAGAGGAGGACTTCCTTGGTCACTTTGCTGCAGAGTCATCCTCGATTCTGTCTTTCGATCGGCCGAGCTACACCTCATCGGTGTCAACCTTATTGACTGGTGGTACTGGATCGCAGTCACGACATCATCCATTCCTTTCACCCCCTGCGTCTGTCATTAGCAACCGCAACGCTAGCGTTTCTTCGGCTTCCAGGTACAATTCTCGAGAAGCGAACATCCCTGTGCCTATAGGTAGTGATTCGAGCGCTACGGTCACAGACATTGACATCAGCGCCTATCCACCACCAAATTTATCTCCCACTGCTTCTACGAATTGGGAGCTGATGGCTGAGAAGGGTGATCCAGTATCTGTCTCTGTACCTGGTCAGACATCCTCCTCCAGTCCAGCTACTTCCAAGCGCGAGAGGGAATATAAAATTCCTCTACCGAATTCTCTTCCGTCGAACATTGGTCCTGACTCTCTTAACACAGAAGACGACGCTCCATTCCCAGAAGTTCAGGATGGGCACCCTACCCCGCCAAAGCCGCAGCACGAACGTTTATTTTCATCCTCGAGACTTTCAAACAATACCGATACAGGTTGTGGGAGGTACAGATCCGATAACTATACCTGTGAAGCTAGAAGATAAGCTTGGACAAGCTCCGTACCTGCAGCACAAAGCGACATTTCCGCTCTCCTTCCCCGGACTCTTATATTTCTCCATCCAGTCCTACAGCGACTTTGAAGGACGACGTCCCCTTCCCAGAGGTGGAGAAGAGTACGGCAAAATCTCGTACCTCATATAAGCCGACCCATGAGTGCGTTTTTTCTACTGCGAAGTGCACATATGACTTATGTCTCCAGCTCGACAGCGTCGAATATCTCTGTTCAAAGTGCTTCTACAGAGCAGACATCCGTACATGGGGATACGCGTTCTCAACGTTCCGATGATACCTCTGCCAGCTTATTTATGCGCCTGGCTGTTCCACCATCGGAAATGGCTCCACCTTCGCCATCGAGACAATATTTCATTGCGAGCGATATCTTAGCTGGCATTGAACCACGCATGTCTCTTCAGACATTCAGGACGATGACACGACCTCTATTCTCCGACCAATGCTTATGCATCAGTTGCGGGACCGACTTTGTATGGAAATTATATCTTTCTTCGATCCGTGTTTGATAGACCCCTTCAGGTACACGATTTTCAGCAAAGTGTCCAAGCAATGCCAATTACCGTCCGATCCGCTATTCATGGAAATCTCACATGTTGCTGTGAGAAATGCGGCGTTGAATTTTGTCACGGGTGCCGTCGTCCACGGAATTGGTGCGAAAAGCCTGATGGCTGCGTACCTCGGATCGCTACTGCGATTTTTCGGCTACTGAGTCTCATTGACATTGAGCTCCTCAGGATTGGGGGTCCTGAACGTCTCAACGAACTGTTCGCAAATAGCGGAAAGCGACAAATGGTAGCCAATGCGTTATCTATGATGGTAACTTACCTGAACAATTCGATGCATGCGCGGCATTACTATCTCCCTCACCTCATCAATCTGTCGCTCCTTCCTGTGATCTTCGAATACCTCCTTGAACGTCCTCCCAAACTGTGGATAGAGACAGGGGCAACTGAAAATCTCTACCGTCAGATGCTTGCATTTCTCACGATATGTCTCGATGTGGGGAGTGGAGAAATTCTCCTTCAACAACGAGGTCGAATTATCCGGCATAGTGGCTTGTACGCAATGATGCAAGACATGGGAGGGATCACATGGGACCATTCAGCACCGGTTAGATCATTTGCCGATGTTGTTGAAGAAATCTATACGAGTGATTTCATGAAGGAAGCAGAGGAATATATCTCTAGGTCTCGATACCTTTTCGACCATCTTAGCGAACGTGTGAATCATCTCAAACACCTATTCGAGGGAGTTGATAGGTTGCGTACCATAGACGATGGTGGGAAATCCGTTATGGCTCGACGCTCCAACATCGATGTAATAATGTAGTGGGTATGAGAAGCTTATGCTCTGGGAAACATTCCTGATTGCATTTTTTTTGTGAACGTCGGGTTCAGGTGTCAACGAGACGTCGGATGGCGTTCGTTACTCCATTCGTCAAATTCGTAACACGCTCACTCCGCCTGAAAAGAAATTACGGTGGCAGCCTTCATGGGGTAATTTGAACACGGAGCACATACTGGAATAGCAAGAACCTCAGTGCCGCTCTCGGTGCCGTTTATCGAGGAGATGTGGGGGCAGCAAATTTCGCCTTGGAAATCTAGCTCAATGATATACTCCGGAATCGGACATTTGTGAATGGAAGAACCGTGCTTGACTACGGTGTGGATCGTCTCGCGATTGTGAAGTCCTACGCTACCTAAAGCTGATTATCAGCCAGTATCAGCCCTTCGTTTCAGGGCGACGTCAGATGGATTGATGATCGAAACCGAAGGGCGCACCCTCCTCCCACACATTCGTTCGGCCTCACGTTTCCATCCTACGGAGTCCTTCTAATCATTTCAGACGTCCTTTGGCTCTGTCACTTCGGAAGAGCTTCACTGTTTTGAGCGTGAGAGGGATGGCTATGTTCCTGACTCCTAATTGGTTGTGATATTGCTGTCGCGGATACTTTTCCGAAGTTGAGATGTGGCAGGCTAAACGTATACTTCAGTTAATGAAAACAGTTTTGGACAAGAATGTTTGCTCAAAGTTTAAAGTTTCAAGTTTAGATCCTGTAAATTTGTTCCAACTTATTAGGATCGTTGGTAGGGCGAAGGACGCCTATGAGAGGTCCGGTCTTTTCGTACTCCCGATGATCTCATTGACCTCCCGTTAATCAGCGTCAAAACACTATTTTCTGGTACAAGGGACCCGAGCATAATGTGTAACATTACCCCTACGCGCTCAAACCTGGGAGTGATCTCCGGAAAACATGAAACGTACGCTTTTACTGGATCATAAAAGTGTTTTAGCTTGACTATATAAATAACATAGACAAAAAGACTGGTAGTTCCCGGAGTCCGTCACTCGGGAGATAATCATCTGTCAGATAGTACCTCTCGACTTGAGAACTCCTAACTGTTTATCTCATTCCTGAGGCACGAATACGTTGATAGTGCCACGCACACGATTTATAATCCTTCTAATACGGAATGAATATCAGTATACACCCCCTCCTTCCCAGCAACGAGGACAAGGTTTAGTGTTTCGTAGATCACAACTACTATTTTTGAAATTACACATGTGCTAGCGGTGCGGCAAGTATACGCCAAGCTTACTCATGTGGAGACTCGGAAATTAAGTCCGCTCCATCGGCAGTCAGGCAAGAGCGGTGGCAGATTTGTTTCTTGACCGCCAAGGTTCAAATATTCTTTTGTAACACTAGAGAGTGCATGTACGACCGATGCCGGGGGTGTCAATTATGGCATTCCTGAGCCTGTCGTGGTACGAATTAGTATGGGAGCATCATCGTGTAACGTATGCGACTACTAGAATGTGGCGCAGAAGTAGCGTTAACCCCGGAAGTGTTACGCGTAAGAGACAAGCCGTACATCAATAGTAGAAAAAGGGATCACGGGAACGGTTCAAACGTTAAAATGCAAGCCGAGAGCTAGTAGAATTGTGGAGCTGGAAGGCTGATCGGTGAGGTAGACGACGACCAACGCCGTAGATAAACGGTATCCTAGGAACTCCCGAAACCATCGCTATAGAGATTACTAGGGAACAATGTAAAGGATGAGAATGCGACGTTCCTCACTTAGAAGAAACCGAATAGGTCGAGTTATCGAGTCGATTCCGGACTCGGGAATTTCCAGCGGTCCTTGAGGGTTTGTTCCTTTCGTGCCCTAGTGCCGGAAATGAATAGATCATCCATCAAAGGAAAGGATAAATGAGAGACGCGATTTACGGCATCCTACCGTTACGATCTCACGACTTCTTCGAACTCGTCATGTCTTTAGGTCAGATGAAGGGATTCGGATAGTTTTCGAAATATAGATCCCAGGACCCACATATGGAAAAGGTACCAGAAGTGACGCTCATCTTATCTCAGGCTCGAGTGCAGAAATGCAATTGTACAATTACGAAGGTACAATTATACACGTACAGGCCATCTATGAGAGGTCCTATTATAAGTGGAATAAATATGTGATAGGAGCGGAAAGCTGTAACACAAGCAATATAAAGCAATTACGACGGCGATGGACTGTATTTGAATGGGAGCTGTGAAGCAATGATTAAGAACATGCATGACGCGCGCAGTGTGGAGTAGGACTTCTGATGACGAAGTGGCCCCAAAGTGGCTCGTAAGCGGCAAGAAAAGAGAAGATAAGAAGGAATAACGCACAGAATCCTGGTTCCCCTTCCTTTACCCGAAAGGACACCCTGGGGCGTGGGCGCCTCTCCACCCACAATGGCAACATTGAGGCTCGCTGGCACCGCGACCCTTCGGGCCCGACGTAGTCAACGCTGGGCGCACAGATGAAGAGCGATGTCCGGAATGATCGCAGACCACGACGGAGGATGATGATGAGGTGCACATAGATGTGTGTGTGTGAGGGTGAATGCAATGTTGATTTAGATACGAGTTCCGGAGCTTGACTGGGGAAAAGTCATTGGCAACATGCCCACCTTTATACCAATGTCAGTGGCGCCCAGTTTTTTTCAAAAGATTCAGCTGACCGACAATATATCGGGAAGGATAGTTAGAGATGCCGGGTTAACAAGTAGGACGAATCGGTAGATCAAGCCTGATTCGTTACTAGACCTTTCTAGGAGTGTCCCATCACACGAGGCCGGTGAACAGTTTGCAGTTTGATTCGTCTCCACCCTCCGAATCGAGCCGTGTATCCGACGATATATGAAATTCGTCCGAAAATAGCATGGACGAGGTACAAGATTTGACTGGCTGTCCCGGACGTAATAATAACGAAAATAGACAGACAAGTAGGTCCTTATTCACGCCCAGAACCTGAATATCGTCCAATCATAACTTACTTAAGGAATACTACAGTATTGTCGTACACTCTGCGCAGCATCCTGCCCGGTAGCAGAGGAGAAACTACGCTTCCAAGTCCATTGATAGACCCAAGATAGACCGGTCGTAGTAAATTATTGCACTGTTCACGGCTCCGGAGAAACATACTGCCGTATCCTGCCGTATCGTAGTATGAGGCATGCGTGTCAGGAGTTTCCGGTTGGCTAGATTTCCTTGACTTCAGGAATTATGTCTCTCAGCCTGATCTAGCTAAAGATAGACAAGTAAGAAGAACAACGACGTCGGAAGAATGAAGAAGACTATAGGTATCGAGCTGGATGCAATTGGAAAACCAAACAGGTGGTCGTGTTATCTCACGTGATTGGTGCACTGCCACGTGGCTACACCTTTCCTCCTTGTTCAATCCTCGTTTCGTGTCCAGAATTCGCACAGATTTTTTCCTCCAATCCAATGCGCATCATCCGATTAACGCTGTTCACGATGTTAGCGCATCACAGAGAATTCCTTACATGATTTGGTATATCATCTCCGAGAGAACGCCATTGGAACACCAGGACATTCTTTGAATTTGATCAAAGCATGACTACGGATTACAGATCAGCCTGACAAGTCGATAGATAACCTAATTAATCTTCAAGTTATGCTGGCGTCGTATACCATTCGACCACAAGCTCTGTCCGGAAGAACTCGAAACCAATGCTGATTTTGTTATCTTGAACTTGCATATTGACAGCGCTGACGCAGATTTCAATTTGCAATAGGACATTTTGGACTGAATTATTTTCACAGCTTTCCAGAAATTTTCTTCTGTTGTGTTCGTCTGGAATCAGGATACACCTCTGCTCGCGTTTCCAGGTCATCTTACAGGGGCGTGCGACGTCCCTTTGACTGATCGCAGTGGGCAGATAACGGCCTTACTGATCAAGAACACAAGGTTCGTCAGGTGGACATTTGCGGCGCTGCGAGGCCTGCATTTTGGTTGGAATTTGTACTACCCGGAGTAGAGCTCAGACCATCATGACCTAGGGTCTCTTCCGCTCAGTCCTTCGATGTAGTCGTCTGAACGCACCACCCTACCGCAGTCAACTCAATTTTCCACTTTTACGGAATCCAGCGTCTTCTATTTCGTAATATCCAAGCCAGTTAACTTAACCTCGCAGCAAAGGATTTTCCAAACTTCACCATCTGCGTGTTTTTGCGTCACAATGACGTGTTTCGGGGGAAAGTAACCTTTACTTGCGTGGACAGGCTTTCGCTCTTTACAAGTTACCATCTGATTTATTTGGTACAGTATATCCGCTATTACGCAAAATGAAGACTGAAGTAGGCGAAAGTTAATAAATTGGCACAATGCCAGTGGTAATGGTCTTTTTTATCTGTAATTTTTATCCTAGTATCATTCACGAAATGGTAATTATCAAGTAAGTGCCTCCAAATTTCAGCAATGTCTTCCACCTAGCTAAACTCCTCCCTACACATAGTCCGTTGTGAAGTAACGCGACACTTATCACCCAATCCTAGATGAGAGAAATACCCGGTAGGCTGGCGAACACAAGCTTTCGGACTAATAGTTGCATCCAACGCTTGACTAATGACTCTGGTAGACTAGGAATTTGCGTGACGAGTCCGGTAAGGATAACGTTTAATAAGAAGGCGAGACTTTTTACTATCCGCTTAAGACAGAACTTCGGAGTTTCCCGGGATCCGGAGTGACCCATCCTGGAGGTCTTCTAGGACTATCGATGGTCCGCGAGTAATGAACGCTGCCATCTGATTAATCACCTCCTTCATTTCACTGCGGCTTGCCTATCCTTTCCAAAGCGTCGACAATAATCGACAACAAGATTTTTTATATTGGCGTGGCACGTCGGGACTGGCCTCGACTCGTCGCCACATGTATGTCGCGGCTTTCGCTGTTGTCACTAGCCTTGTTCTATCTCCAAGTAAGTCAGCCCATCCCTTGATACACAGACCTGGGCCTCGGTGCCTTGGCAATCCCGGAGAGTTGATTCCCTCCTTGAACGCAACAAGCGTACCTATGCTTCTTCACTGCCTCATCACTGCCAAATTTAGCTGTAAGAGCTAATGAAAATCTTCGGCCTTGTACGGCCAGGGTTTCTGCAGGATCGTTTAAACAGCGACTGCAATGGGTGGTTGTCTGATCCGCCCCTGGAAATGGTCCTTTCGCAATAGCGATTACACTTTTACGGATCTAGACTCTAAGTCGGTCTTGCGCCTCTTGGTTTAAACTATCATCATCGTCTCGGGCATTTTTTGCAAAAAATCCATGCAGAATGCCTCTTAAAGATTCTTAAACAAGGTCAGAACAAAATTTGTACACTTGTCGCGAATTAACAAGGAAAATGCCTTAGTACATGTGCGGATATCGACCGAAAGCTCTATCAAAAGGAACCAAGAGCAATTTATAGTAACGGCACAGCGCTCCGCCGGAATCAATAAGGGACTTTGAAACTGTTGAATATCCCTGCAATGAGGGTGGGCGCAAGTTTCCCGAATTCGCATTGTAGTCTATAATCGAGAGGCGTATGCCACGCTCGTTTTCTTCCCTTTCTTTGCAAGAATTAACTGATCCCGCTGGCATTGAAAAATTCAGTAGATTGAATGTAAGTACTCCGGGTGAAGACTTTGGAAAGGATATAGCGGCACTCCGCTAGTGGATGAAAGCAGTGATCAAGACTGGAGATCCAGAGAGTCAAGGCCGAGGAGTAGTTAGCGATCACACGACCTGTTCGCATTCGTCCGACATCAATCCTGCAGGAACAACGTCAAGTTCAGCGGGGCGGAGTAAAAATTGCGACGGAGACGCGCCGGACAAGGAAGGGGGATTTGCGGTGGTGATGGGAGTATCGGATAAATCTAGCCAGACGCCGGGAGAAGGATACGCCTACCGGTGTCTACATGGTCTCTATAGATGGATCTGGATGCTGGATGGTTCGCATCTTCGTCTGCGGTAATCAAATGCAGCTACGCCTGATTGAGGCGGCAAGAAGCTGCACGCTAAAAATGTTTGAGATAGTTCGCAGTCTGAGTTCCCCTTGGAAACAGTACAGTGCGGTGAGCGTCAACCTACCTTTAGATGTCAGTTCGACGTCAGAAGAGAAAAAACTGGCTGTTTCTATCCTTTGAGCACGGCAAGAATTGTGGTATCTCGTGCACATCGACGGCCGATGGAAAAAGCAACCGATAAACGAAGGATTCCCTGAAGATGTCCGCGGGGGTGGGGGTTTGCTGCAAGGATGAAGTTTATTAATAATTTCAAGGTCATGGCGACAATGGGAGCTGAAAGATACCTCTGAATGGGGAGAAATATATGTCATGAACACGATGAGATCGATGTGAGATTTTTTTGGCTTGAAAATTAGGGGAAATACACTGAGAAGAGCATTCGTATAATGGCGACAGAGCATGTGTTCCCGTCCTCGGGGCGGGAAGATCTGCTAGCAATAATAAAAGGACGGTTGAAGACTGTTAGCGTATCAATACCTACATCAAGCAGGTCACATGAAATTACGACAGTAGGGCCTAGCGGTAGATGTTGTATTAACCACGCACTGGAAAGCCGAATCCCAGACTACGATGCTTTAACGCGGCTTCATCAGTACGGCGTACTCTAGAGAACATGAAGTAAGCATGACATCGAGAAGAAAGCAACATCGCACCATAACCATGAACCAATCAGTAGGCACGCCAGATCCATTTTATTTGAAGTGGGCCATGCCTCGTGTGAATCAAGCGAGACGTCACGTATGGCCTGATGCTATAAGTATGGCATGCCACTATGTAAAGGAAATAATAGTAATCAACTATGGTACCGATAGCTGGGAGATGATTTACCGTATTTGATTATGAAAGGCAACTGATTGCCCTGAGTACGTCTCCGAACGACTTCATCAGCAAAGCGAGCTGACGTGGCTTGGCAACCCCACATCGAGACCGGAAAACCCGCCACGCCGGTACGAATGTATTATGTGATGCAAGAACTACCGTGGTCGGTAAAGGTATGTGAATGGGAATGACCAGTGTCAGCTGTAAGGAGGGTCACGAGTATCAGAGAACTGCATCATGGTCGATGGGACCGCTTCTAGCGACGCCTTACGGGCCGACAGATGGAACCGGGCCGGTTTGTATCCACTTAACTTCAACTCGATAGTCAAGTTCTGCATGCTTGGCATCATCAAACCATTCTCCTTGTGTTCCTTGCAATATTATGGCCAAACACTCTATTTTGGAAATTTGACTCTAGGGATCACGGTGCTGAAAGTCCAGCGGTACCTTGTATAATCTTGCAACAGCGGTTAATACTTGGAAAGTCTGTTATTGGGAGAGCTTCGAAGTCTCCAGAACGTACTTTGATCCTTTCACACCTCACGATCCACTAAGTAAAACATGAGAAACTGGCCAATCTTCTCAAAGTCTTATAAATCACTGTGTACCCATCACGTACCTTGTACCCCTCTACATGATACCATGCCACCGTTCACAATCTTGGGAGATTTCACCGTCGATTACTATAAACATCTATGTTCTTGATCGGACTAGTACTTCAGAAGTTATTGAATACTTCGGCGCACGGAATTTGATCGAAACTTGATGAAGAACGTCTGCGTGACTCGCTCTGAATTCTATTATCTTAATTCTCCGACGCTTCTGTTTCTCGTACTGGTTTTTCATTCTGTGATGGATACGCTGGATTCTCCAATGACGGCCTCTCGGAAATGAACCTTAACCCAACGTTTTCGGCCGATGAGAGGAGGGGTACACCGCAGGCTTGCATGTCGACGGTGACATCACACGTACCGCCGGGGCACTCAGAGTACATAATACTGTGGTGGTCATCGCCGCTACAGTCGGCCTCGGGCTCAGTATGTGGCGGCCCCTTCCCCAAGGCATTCTCTTGACGTCTCGCAGATGTGGCGTTTCTCTCTGCTTTCACGTCGTTGAACTGTACTTTTTTGAATCCTTCTCATCTTACCCCGAATCAACCTTGTAAGCGCTGATTACTCTTTACGTGTACCCATACCGCTCATACCGGCTGTATTTCATCCAGCATATAGGACCGAACCATCCGGTATGAAGGCGCTTGGGAAGGGCTTAGGTGGCAGATTACCCACATCTATTCTTCGCAGTACAACTGTTGAGGGTCATACAACCTGACCCTGGAAGAGGAGAATCGCAGCACGTCTTCTGCACAGTGACAGAATATGTTTACCGCCCGAACCCGAGCTCATGTGGCGTCGAGTTCATTATGTCAAACATCTTCTTGTCACAAAACACCTCGGCTAACAGAACGATCATTATATTCTTGAAC